AAGACCAGTCTAGCCAGGTCCGTTGCCGCCTCGCTTGGCCGAAAATTCCACCGGATTTCCCTTGGTGGTGTCAGAGACGAGGCGGAAATTCGGGGCCACCGACGCACATACGTTGCAGCTATGCCCGGTCTGATTGTGAACGGGTTGAAGAAGGTCGGCGTTGCAAACCCCGTCATTCTACTCGATGAGATTGATAAGGTCGGCGGCGCCAACTTCCAAGGCGACCCGTCCGCTGCCATGCTGGAGGTTCTTGATCCTGAGCAGAATCACACCTTCACCGACCACTATATCAATATCCCCATCGATCTGAGCAAGGTTCTCTTCCTTGCTACTGCCAACTCCTTGGACACGATCCCGGCACCTCTGCTAGACCGCATGGAGACCATCTCCCTGTCTGGATACACCACTGTTGAGAAGAGGCACATTGCCAAGCAACACCTGATCCCGAAGCAGATTCGATCCAACGGTCTCACTGAGGGCCAGGTAAATATGTCAGACGAGGTGATTGATAAGACTATCACCGGGTACACCCGTGAATCAGGTGTGCGCAACCTAGAGCGGGAGCTTGGCTCTATCTGTCGCCACAAGGCCGTTCAATATGCCGACGCTGGGGACTCTGACCGTTTAAATGATTATAATCCTGTTGTATCAGCCGATGATCTGGAGGATATCCTGGGAATCGAGCGATTCGAGGAAGAGATCGCCGAGACACACAGTCGTCCCGGTGTAGTCACAGGCCTCGTCGCCTACTCTACCGGTGGCCAGGGCAGCATCCTGTTCATTGAGGTTGCAGACATGCCCGGCAACGGACGCGTCCAGCTAACCGGTAAGCTGGGCGACGTACTCAAGGAATCTGTGGAAGTAGCCCTGACATGGGTAAAGGCACACTCCTTCGAGCTGGGTCTCACCCACGACCCCAATGAAGATATTATGAAGAGTCGTAGCCTACACGTTCACTGCCCCTCCGGCGCGATCCCCAAAGATGGTCCCTCTGCTGGTCTTGCCCACACTGTTGCCTTGATCTCCTTGTTCAGCAACAAGCCCGTTCCACCGCAGATCGCCATGACTGGCGAGGTCTCCCTCCGTGGCCGGGTCATGCCCGTCGGCGGTATCAAAGAGAAGCTGATTGGTGCTCTGCGTGCGGGCGTCAAAACTGTGCTGCTGCCGGACCACAACCGCAAAGATGTCAAAGACGTCCCACAGGAAGTCAAGGATGGTCTAGAAATCATCTACGTCAAGTATGTCATCTCTTCCCGACCTTGGTTTAGTTCACTACTAACAAATTGTTCACAGGCACATTTGGGAAGGACTGCGCCAAGTCTGGCCCGATGCCCAGTGGCCGGGCCAACACGAGATGAACTTCGTCGAGAGCCGACTGTAAACCGTTCTCAACACCTCAAGTTCGAGGCGCAGAGCATCTCTCTCATATTTTGTCCAGCATTTCGGTCCCCCACTCTCGTTTTTGCATAGCGTATAATAGGCCCGAGGCCCCAGTGACTTGTATTTAATCAGCTTGTCTTTCGTGATGCGTTATTGCCAGTTATTATTATTTCGTGTCTATATTACTGAACATACAGGGTTCAGTTCTAACACCAACACCACAATTTACAAAATCTGTTTTATCTTACTCAAAGATTCATGTAAGCCTTGACCGGATCAGAAAAGATGATACGCCATTTTCAAGATGTATACAATCTACCCCAAGAGTATAATACACAGATCCAGCCAAAATAACATGGACCAGAAGAGCAAGAAACACCACTTTTCCCCAATGTCGGGGAAAAAAACCATGAAGAACAATGCAAGGAATCTCATCAAAACCAATTACCGCGCTCCGTGCTTCCGGTGCTTAGAATACCAAGCCGGCAGCGTAGAGGAAGGGATGAACCCGCCATTCTTAGCGGCCTGGTGTGGCTCCAAGCCCAGAGCCTTCCAGGTCGGTCTCCAGGTCTCCTTCTTCTCGAGCAGCGCCTTAGCCTGCTCCTTGTAGGCATCGCGCAACTCTTGATCGGGCTTTTCACCCTTGTTCGGCTTGGGGTTCTCCTTTTCTTGCATGTCGAGCTGCCACTTCTCGGCCTTGGACCAGCTTTCATTCTCCCATCTATAGGCGGAAATTGGTTAGTTATGATGTTCAGCTTGGTTGCTGCACGTGTAGTATTGGGAATAAAGAGAGTGAAGACAAAGGAATTGAAGTTGAAAAGGACGATAATGTTAAGGATGGGCATCACATACGGGCTCAGATCCTTGGGCTGCGTGGGGTACACGAAGGGCTCCTTCAATTCAACGGTCATGCGCTTCTGCGACTTAGGTCGACGCCACGGGCCGAAACCCTTGTTATCGCGCGAGATTCGTGTGATTGGTTGTGCCTGGACGTAACTGCGGATACTGAGAGATCCGACTCCGTACAAGTGCCATAGGTAGCTGCGGAGATCGAACTTGTTAAAGTTGAGGGGGACGCGGAATTGAGCATATCGGGGGGTGAGGTTGGGGGTTCGGACGAGAGCGACACGGAATTGAGGTCTAATGAGGCGAGGAATTAGTTCTGGTGCTTTTTTATTTCGTGGCGAATGTCCGATTGAGCCGGCCAAGTCTGCTGAGATGCTGTTTTGGTCGAGCCGAGTTCGGGTTCCTGGAAATTTTGGGCAACGTACAGGTACACGGGCTTGCCGACAACGCTAGGCCATTTGGTTTTCGGGGGTGCCTGGATTCCAGCCTGGTTCTGCAGGCGGCGCAGCGCTTTCGCTTGAACACTGCTGAGACGCACCATCGTGTTTTGTTGAGTGGACGAATCTGGGGGTTGGAGGTGCTTGCGGATCCATCAAAACTGCGTTGGCCGATCTGGTCACATGACTTCCAAGTATACGCCAATAGTGAACACAACACTCACTGCTGTAGGTTCAGTCAAGAGTCGGAATTGATTGCAGTACAATAGTAGTCGGTCGTTTATGCGCCCTTGTCATGTCTATTTGTCTATTTTTGTGCTCTGGTGTAAAAGGTGTAAAGTGTGATATTTTTGATATTTATTTCCTAAATGAAGAGTTTGGGTATTCTAGAAGACATCTATTGATAGGAAATTTTGAAACCTATATTACATGCTTTATTCATCGTAAATAGTCATTAAAAAGCCCAAGATCATTTCCTTTTACTGTTCCGATGATCCCGAGACTCGAAGGTCTTCTAACCGCTTGGTGCTGTCATCGACATCTTTGGAGTACTTGGTATCAAGGGCACCAGCCTCCTCGGCTTCAGATCCAGACTCTGCCTCATCATCCTCATCATCGTCACTATCATTGGCAGCTTCTCCATCTCCTTTGACTCCCACATCTGCCATGTAAGCCTCAAGCTCTCGGGCCATCTTGCGCGAGAAACCTGTGGCTTCAACTTCAACATCCAGACGTTTGCCGGGGTTCTTGAGAAGCATCTTTCTAGCATCGGCAAAAGTAGGGCCCTTTGAGTCGCTCACGAAGTGGAACTTGCGCTTGAAGTACCGCTTGATACATTCCACATCACGGTCAAAGTACATTTCAGCGTTAGCGTGGTCGACGGACAACATCTGCGGGAAATCAATGAGAACCGGGACCAGCCGGATGTGCTCATCTTCCTCTTCCTCGGTGAGCTCTTTCCCTTTCATTTCGGGGGCCAGCTCTTCCTTGATAAGGATATTGAACTCGTTGAAATCACCGTGGATTAGACCATATCGCGCAAGATCCAAGATAATATTCATAAGCTCGGAGTATAGCCCAGCGGGGTCGGCGACTTTTGCGATTTGGCGCAGAGGGAAAGCATCGATTAGACTCATGACGATGGTGTGTCGGTTCTGGGCAATGGGATCGGGGACGGAGAATCCGTTCTCGTGCAGAGCCTTCATGAAAGCAAACTCCTTCATTGCTGCCAATCGAGACATGTACATCCATGAGGCTGAGCTGCGGTGTCGTAGGTAATCACGGTTTGTCTTGACTGTTCGGAACGAGATACGGCCGAGACGGTGGATTTTCATAATGCGCTGCGCTCCGCTAGCCTCTGCGACCACGATGATGTCTGATTCCTTTCCCACGCCGATTTGGTTGCCGACCGAATAGATGACTTTTGACTTTTGGTGCGCGTTCAGTGCAAGATAATCCAATCCTCCGTATGCGAGTCGGTAGCCGTCATCTATATGCAGAATACTTGTATTAGTGGTAGGATCAGATGCAGAAGTGAATGGAATGCATACACTTGGCATTCTTGACCTTTGCAATCAAGTTGATTTTCGCGAGGTTTGAGATTGCGCGATTGACACCGCTGCCGCCTCGGAGGCCCGAAAGTTGCGAGATCAACGGCGTTGGGACGACCTCATGGTTCCGGCTGCCGGCTTCACACTAGAGCAATCACCCATGTTAGCTAATGAAGAATGCGCGACATAATATCCTCAAAGAAAGAACATCGCGGGGTAAACTCAAGAGGGGCCGATAAGTACCGCTGCAAGAACTCGGAAATCCTCAGAGGTGAGGTAGCGAATAGCCTTAGCGTCGAGTTTCATGGTTGCGAGGCAATGAAGGAGCTCTTCGCTTTCTTTGAAATTCCCTAAATTGATTCGTTGGAGACCAGAACTTCAAGACAAGTTGGACCAGTCAACGATACAGCGGAGGAAAAAAGTTGATAAGAACCTAGCCCTAAGCCCTATTTCCTATCCGGGATGAGAACCTTGATAGCTTCACCTTTGTTTGGATAGCATAATGCGATAAATACAACTTTATAGCTGAGTACCTTTCAAATGCAGATGAAAAGGAAGCAGTTGGTTCGAGCTGAGTGTGTTTACCCATACAGGCTCACATATGTAGTCTACTCATAGATCCATGCAGTTGCAGTAGAAGCCAAACAGATATAAAACTTGTAAAATAAATCCATGCTATTCTTCATTCGTTCTGAATACATTAGATCCAACGATAACCCGACCACTATACGAGTCCCGCTGGTTGCGAGCAATGGATGTAAATCGGGGAATATCTAGTCTAGCTTGCTTATTCAGGGCTTTCGTAGTCCGGGTTCTGGAAGATAGGTTAGTACTGGCTATTTGGACTGGAGATAAGGAGACGTACTTTGCGCAAGATAACCAAGCCTTCGAGAGTGCTGCTCAGAGGAATGTACTGCTCATCCTCAAGCTCGGCTCTCTCGCCGTGTGCCAGGAGAACTGGCGTGCTCTGAGTCTGCCATCCAGTGATGGTCTTCGGGCGACCTGCCTGGCCAACCACGTCCACAGCCTGACCGACGCGGACATTGACGGTGAGTGGCTGAAGGTCCTCGTCGAGGGTAATAAGGAAGCGGGGGAACATGGCGGTAATGAGGAAGTAGAGCAGGTAATGGTGTTCAGCGAGGATGAATTGCTTGGCATCGATGAGTGATACAAGCACAGTAAGCAAACCCGCTGCTGAGACACGGGAAAGGACCTGTCGGTCGGTGTGGAAGGGGTTAAGTGTCATGGTACCCTTGCCCATGTGTAGAAGACCCTGGGCGATGCGAACCATGAACAGTGAGTTCTGGTCGCGGTGGTAGTAGCTGGCCAATTGCCGGAGAAGCTGTGCAAGACGGGCATTGTTGGTACCAGCGCCACAGAGACCCATGGCGAAGATGGCATTAATGGCAACTTCGTTGTCATTATCGTGACTGTACCGGGACAGTGTATCGTAAACCTTCATCTGTGGGTTGCTGGGGCTGATCAAGCCCATAGCCAGGGGAACCGCCCGGCGAATGTTGGGAGATCCATAGTGCATGAGGTGACCGAACTGGCGGAGAATCATATCTTGTCCGACATCCTCGCCCATGGCAATGAGAGACAAACCGAGAACAGCGTACGACTGAACAAGCTCATCACCCTTGTTCTCCTCCTTCTCTTCAATGATATCATTGCAGATGTGGAGAAGCTCTTGTAGCTTGAGCACTGTACCAGTGCCTGCCCAAGCGCATACTGAGGCAAGGACTGAAGTGGGCTTAGCCATGGGGTGGTCAACTGCCTTAAGGATGTCAAGGATGACATCAACCTCCTCTTGGCGGCCGAAGTACAGAAGTGCCAGACCAAGGGCCATGAACCTTGTCCACTTGTCCTTAAGCTGCTTCTGACGCTCCTCATCCATCAAGGTGGTCGCGATTGCTTCACTAACCTGGTGGTTTGATGAACCAACAAAGATGAGACCGAGGGAAACTGCTGCCATGGCAGATAGCTGCATGTCTAGTGAGGCGTCCTCCACAATAGGGAGGAGAACCTCAAGCAGTTCTTCCTTGTTAGAACCGGCGTATGCCAGACCAAGACCCATGATGGATGCAACTCTCATCGGGACGTTCTTTGCCTCAAGATTGTCAGGGTCACTCAAGAGGGCAAGGGCGGGGTCGGAGTCAAGTCGGACGCCGGAGTTCAGGATACCAATAGCGAGAAGAGCACCAGCTTTGACCTGGTCTTCTTGCGCGTAGGTGAACTTGTCGATCTTATCCAAACCATCCTCGACATCACGGTGCAGCAGCATACCCAGCGAGGCAGTTGTGGAAAGCATACCATCGTCCTTGGTCTTCCACACCCACGGGCCCTTGTCACCCTCCACTAGCATCATCTTATCGTTACCAAATCCGGCGTTGGCAAACGAGTTGACAAATGCGCTAGCCAAGTTGTGTCGTGCCGAATCAAGATTGGTGAGGCCGGCTCCACGACTGCTCTCAAGATGTGTCTTGTAGATATCCTCTGGCATCTTGGGGTCCAAGATGTTCAGTTCCTTAGCCAGAGATTTGAAGTGCTTCGGGATGGAAGTGTTGTTGAGACAATCAGCCAAGGCCTCTCCCTCCTCATCATCAGCTGGAAGGTCGAGCCAGATCTGCTGCCGGGCGACAAGGAAGGCCATCTGTTTCTTCAAAGACATGTCGGTCGTAGCGTGGATGTCACTCTTGATGAGCTCAGTGTCGTTCAAACGGATAGCGAGCACGATCGCTTGCGAAAGTTTGTTGTAGCGGACGTAGATACCGTGGGCGGTTCGGAGGAATTGCTGATCTTCGGGGTAAGTGAGGAGATTGACCATACTGACCATATACAAGCAGACTCGTGCGTAAGTGTTCTCATCAACGAATTGAGGGATATCTTCGATGATTTCCAGTTCGCTCATGAGATCAACTGCATCGGCTTCGGCATTATGACTCAGGAAATAGGGCACCAAAGACAATGCAAGGTCCACTAGATCCTGGGTATCCTGGTCTGCGTTCAACCGGTTCTGATATTCTTGTCCGATTTCCAGTGCGAGATGTCGGACATATTCGTGACCCCAGGAGCCTAGGTCCTCCGATTTGGCCAACAGGCGGTATTTGATGGTCTCCAGCTTCTCTTCGTCTCCGTAGGTCATTCCAAGCACCGACAGCATATCAGCCAACGAGTTCTAGAAAGCATAATATCGTTAGATCATTATAAAGCGATAGAAGCGCCGCAGAACTAACCTGCACAGGGCCTGGGACCCATTTCTCGTATAGCTCTGCCAGCCCATCATAATGCGGTCGGAGGAACTTGAGAGGCTTAGGAACAGCTGTCATGGAGGATGTAGAAGTCTTGATAAAGTTCTTGATTGCGTCCAAAGCAGGCCCATAGAGCGAGGTATCGGGTTCCTATTGAGAGCAAAGATGATGATTAACGTCATTGTGCTATGCGCACGGGACAGGAGAGTGACTGTACCTTTAACCGCTCAACGAGCATCTCAAGTTCGCTCTTCAATTGCTGATCTTCTTCACTAAGTTCCTCTATAGAGAAATTCCGTCAGCGTGTTGCTCTAAGTACCACCGTGGACCCTTAAGAGAAACCACATGCTCCGTTGCGAGATCCTTTGGGAAATGCCTTATCGCAACGTACCATCTTGAGACTTCTCATCTTTCTTCTTTTCGTCTGCTGGCTTCTCGCCATTTTCGGTGTTCTTGCCGTTCAAATCGCGAACATCATCAACCTTGCCCTTGCCCTTGTCGGCGGAGGTTGGCCGTTCGCCCTCGTTGGCCATTTCTGATGGTAGCTGGGGACCAAGTCGGGGGGAAATCGAAGCGGCGTGGGAGGGATAGGTATCAAGCAGATGAGGAAAAGATAGTGTTACAAAGCAGAAATAGATGAAATTCTGCAAGTAAAGAGTAATGCAAGTGGATTGTAAGCTGGTGATGGAGAAGCAGAGCTCGGTCTGGTGCAGCTCCGGAATCGGATTACATAAGTGCCAAGCCCTGGAGGCGCTCGTCATTGTTTTGGATTTGCAATATTACGACTCCAATTCTATCACTCAAATCCTTATGGATATGGTTTATGAGAGAGAGAAAGACTTGGGTATTTTATGTTTCAGACTCGGGTTTAAATTCTTACATATATCGTGAATTTGGTATACATGCCAGTGAAATGATAACTCGGATCCTAGATATTTCCCCAGGAACTCAGTCTTGAACACAAAATAATAGGTCTGTCGAGGGATCATCAATCTTGCTATCTCTGGTACATCCTCCGTAATGAGTTCGAAACTCCTTGGCATATTCTTCCGTCTGTTTGGTGTATGCCGCGGCCGTTAATCCCTCTCCGTCGTATGAAAGCAGAGGCAAAGCATCAAGATCTGGAAGCCCCGAGGAGAACAAGTCAAGCAGTGGCGTAATAGTTGATGCGTGGTTCAACGGTTTTTCAATAGACCCCAAGCCGGTAGAAACCCCACCTGTAAGCGGCTGAGTAGGGTCATGGATGACTTGAGTGGGTTCTTCACCCGAGGTAGGGGGATTGGTGCCTCCGAATTCTTCTGGGGGTTGATATAGCTCGTTGTGTACTGTGGCAATTGAAGAAGATTTTATGCCCGGGAATGATGGATATAGGAGATAGTACCCTTTTGCACGGATCATCTCGAGCATGTGTTCCATAAAGGCAGGATATCTCTCTGATATCAACTTTGTTTGGGAGGCCATCGCGGATTCCGGAGTCGACAGGCGGTTGGCCACAAAGGAATGGAATTCCGCCCATGCATCCCCAAAATACAAAGCTGCATTACTATTGGGGGCCTGCCATAGGAACGAGGGAAGGAACTGTTCTTTGCCCTCAACATTCATGGGCGGTGGGTTGAAAGATTGGCTATCAGCCGTTGGTTTGGATGATGGCAGTTCAAGTGAGATGCCGATCATATTGGAAAATATGCGCTTGGCCCGGGCAGATTGTTTGTAATTCAGTACAGCAAACTTCAGGTAGTGGTAGAATGATGGTGCGAGTTCGGTCTGTGGAGATAACAGAAGCAAATGTGTCACGTCAGGGTCCCGTGGGTAGAATGATTCCACAGTTCGGAGCGATGATTCTGCTGTGTCCATGTTGTGGGGTTGAATGCGCCGCCGAATAGTGAGTCGGCCAGGAAGCTGGGTCAACCCGTCCAAATGCTGTAGAAACAAAAGCAACTGCGAATCCACCCGCTGAGGGAGCTCTATTGTCAAGCTTGGAACCGATCCCAAATAATCAGCTGCATCCAATGACTGCAACAGCCTGATCAGAGACCCAGAAGACTCGGATGGTGCATGCACCACCATTTCGATTTGTATCTTATTCCACGCTATTGCACGTACGGTCAGTATTCCTGGACACCCCATGCCAGAGAGGAGCTATATAACTTACATTGAAGAGCTTCACTATCCAGGGAGGCTATCCACATAAGATCCCTGGATGCAGTGGAGAGAGCAACGTGAGGGATGCCGTCTTCTCGGGAATAGATCTCGACCCCGTCCCAGAAAAAGGAATCCTCCCGGCTCTGACCTTGTGTAATGATCACCTCAGGGCTGAGGTAAATTTGTATGTTTTGCAACCCTGCTATCACAGACCGCTTCATACGGTCATCGGTAGATTTGGGTGCATAGTCAGGCCGAGCATCTGTAGTCATCGCCAAGTCAGCAAAAGGCGTTCGACCATCATAACCTGGATATCATACCGTGCCATGTCATCGGGCATTCACTATCTCTGATTCCGTTAACTTCCTTGATACCTTCAATCGAAACTTCATCCTTTCCCATCAGGGCGAAATGCACATGGTTCAACCGCTCACCAGCCATCCGACAAGCTAGGGGCAAAAGATCCGACACACTGCGGAGACTTGAGGCTGCAAACACAACTGCACGGCTGGGGTCTTTCTGTGAATACTTATAGCGAGGAAGTGAGTGGGGTAGCTCGTAGAACTTGATCATCCCATTGTAAGCTTCCTCTTTTTGATTCGATTCCAACCCCTTGACTAGTGGCAAACTGTCTGGCTGTACATCCGCTGGCTTGGGAACAGCTGGCGTATCTGAGCCAGTCCATTTGGCAGGGCTTTCTTCTCGTAGCTTCGCAATCGCAGGGTTGTACCTATCGGCGACGGGTCCCAGGTCCGTCGGCATGTGCTTGAAGAATTCGTAGACGAGAACAAGCGCAATGATAGCGAATAGTATTCGGCGAGGCCGAGGCATCGCTCGGTGCCGCAGAGGTAGGAAGCGCGCTTGATCAGATGGCCTATGGTCGTCATCTTTCTTGCCCATCTCTTCATCAGCCCGAAGGGGCATCCTTGGGGGGTCATGATATGCGCCCGGGATTATTAAGGGCAAGCTCCGTGAGCTCCGTGGTTCCCTCTATGACATCGAAGCGACAAATAAATGCAGAGGACAAATGCGACGAAATCGTTGCATATTCATTGCGAGAAGAAGTTGGAATGCAGCGGCGTAAACGATCTCCACAAACAATGACGCCTGGGCTCTCTTATCGCCTTATCGGGTCCTCGCCTTTTCTCTAACTACGCGCACTTCGCGCAATCTATTGCCCCCTCAAACACCTTCCTAATATCTGGAAATCATGATGGAAGACGATATGGATATTGAGTTTATCGATCAACGCGGCACCAAGCGCGCAGCAGAGGAAGATGAGCCTCTAGAACCCCCTAAACCAAAGAAAATCAAGGTAAGGTAACGCGTGCGCATGAATCACATCGTATGCTATCACATATAACAAATACTAAATTACATTCAGGCTTTGGATCCCGATGTCGTAAATAAAATCGCTGCTGGGGAGATCATCGTTGCACCAATGCACGCACTCAAGGAACTCATCGAAAACGCCGTCGATGCTGGCTCCACCTCAATTGAAGTCCTGATCAAAGAAGGAGGTCTCAAGCTACTCCAGATTACTGATAATGGCCATGGTATTGATGTAGGTGGTCTTTGATGTTACAGCAGCTGTCTCTGACACTATCTAGCGAGACGATCTCCCTATCCTCTGCGAGAGGTTTACTACATCCAAGCTCAAAGAGTTTGAAGATCTGACCTCCATTGGGACATATGGATTCCGCGGTGAAGCTCTAGCTAGTATCAGTCACATCGCACATCTGACGGTTACAACAAAGACTGCTGGATCCAGCTGCGCCTGGCGAGCACATTACGGAGATGGCAAGTTGATACCGGCAAAGCCAGGCCAGAACTCTGCACCCAAGGCAACGGCTGGCCGAGGAGGAACTCAAATCACCGTAAGTCAAATAGATGGACATACGGTATGCTTTCAAGTTAACGAAACCCAAGGTCGAGGATCTCTTCTATAACGTCCCCACTCGACGGAGAGCTTTCCGCTCAGCCAGCGAGGAATATGCCAAAATTCTCGATGTCGTTGGCCGGTACGCAGTGCATTGCTCAGGGGTTGCTTTCTCATGCCGCAAACATGGAGACTCCGGTGTGAGCATCTCGACTCCAGTCAGCGCAAATACCGTCGACCGGATCCGCCAGATTCACGGCAGTGCCGTGGCGAACGAGCTTGTTGAATTCAAAGCCGAGGATACAAAGTTCGGTTTTCGTGCATCCGGCTTCGCTACCAATGCCAATTATCATGTCAAGAAGACAGTGAATCTGCTTTTCATTAACCACCGTGCAGTGGAGTCAACTGCTGTTAAACGTGCAGTTGAACAGACTTACTCTGCGTTTTTGCCCAAGGGCGGCCATCCTTTCGTTTATCTTGATCTCGAAGTTGAGCCTAACCGCGTCGATGTCAATGTACACCCAACAAAGCGCGAAGTGAATTTCCTAAATGAAGACGAGATTATCGAGCTTGTTTGCACTGAAATCCGCTCCAAGCTAGCTGAGGTGGACTCGAGTCGAACATTCCTAACACAAAGCCTCCTACCTAATGTGCAGACCATCGAGTCCCTACAACGCGATCACGGCCCTTCAACCCACGAGGAAGCAGGAGAGGCAACAAAAGCCGGAGCGACACCCAAAACGCCCGCAACAACAAAGAAACCCTACGAAAACAACCTCATCCGAACAGATTCCAAAGTCCGCAAAATCACAGCAATGCTAGGCCCATCCAACCCAGCCGCACCCACAGAAACCGATAGTCCAGCAACATCAATCCGAGACGACGGCCTCCAATACGAAACAACAGATCGTCAACCCCTAAAGATCGCCCTCACATCCGTCAAAAGTCTTCGCGCCTCCGTCCGCTCCGAAATGCACAACACACTAACAGAGATGTTCGCATCACACACCTACGTCGGACTAGTCGACGAGCGACGCCGACTCGCAGCAATCCAATCAGGCGTGAAGCTATACCTAATCGACTACGGACTCGCATGCCACGAATTCTTCTACCAAGTGGGCCTAACCGACTTCGGGAACTTTGGCATAATCCGACTCGACCCAGCGCCGAAGTTGGTAGATCTACTGAAAATCGCGGCCGAATCGGAACGGCAAGAGCACCCTGACTCCAACGGGGAAGAGGCCGATTCCATCTTCGCCAACGCACCGGAGATGATAGCACGCACGCTGGTCGAGCGTCGCGAGATGCTGAATGAATACTTTTCGCTGCAGATCAGTCCCACCGGAGACTTGCTAGCCATCCCGCTGTTGCTGAAGGGATATCTTCCCGCGCTGGCTAAACTGCCTCGTTTCCTACTGAGACTTGGGCCGTACGTGGATTGGAGTAGTGAGGAGGGCTGTTTCCGTACGTTTCTGCGTGAGCTGGCCACTTTTTATACGCCTGAGCAGCTTCCGGTTCTTTCGCAGCCGGGTGCACAGGATGCGTTGGGGGAGTCGGCTCGTCAGGGGCCGGTTGTAGCCGATGGCTCTGGGGTCGAGGACGACGATGCTTTTGTTAGAGCTCGTCGTGTGCAGATGGTTCGCATGTTGGAGTATACTGTTTTCCCGGCTCTCCGTGCGCGACTGGTTGCCACGTCACGACTGCTGCGGGGTGTAGTTGAGGTTGCAGATCTGAAGGGTCTATATCGGGTGTTTGAGCGCTGTTGAGTGGGGGCATATTAAGATCATACAGTTCTTTTGTTTATATTCATGAACAACGAATGAATATGTATCTGCTTTAGGGGAGATTTCAAGGCATGCATTGGTGATCCAAGATCTGGTTCGTATCCAGTTTGCACGTTTGGCTTGATATTCAGGTAACTCTTACAAAGCATCTTTACTCGAATCGAAAATGTGCGAGGCTCAAATGTGATCGAGCTTGTAAGGTTGTGGTCACGCCATATCTGCGCCGGCCATGTATCACATGGACAACCAAAGCCCCATGGACTGTACCGCTAGCATTGATACTACGGTAGCAGGGCTAATGGACATGGCGAGGACAATTGAGGAATTGCAGGAAGAAACCAATTAATGCAAACGAATGCGACTAAACCAAGTATAAAGTAAATTGAACTAAGTAATGAATCGAGAGGGAATATAACTGGGTAGTATAATTGGGTTAAGGTCAGGATAATATGAGGAGAACCAACAAAGCTAGCATCATTATTTCGAAGAGACTCCTAAATAATGTAAATATAGACTTAAATACTGTAGTTGGGGACCGCGCCCTCCACTACGTGTTGATCCTGCCTGTTCATTCCTTATTACGCAGTTCTATTATGTAGGCACAGAGGTTACAGGTAGCAGATCGATACAGATTTAGAACAATACACACTCCTGCACACCTCTGAATTCACTTCTTGGGCGCCTGTCCCAGTTCCCTTTGTATGCTTTGCTTTGGCGGGTATGACGTGGACTTACGAGTGCTGAATCGACCCGTATGTCTGAGAGCATACTGCCTAGAGCGTTCCCTTCTTCAATACCAATAGAAAGACCGTTTGAAACAGATATAGGAAATCTTGTGCATGTAATAACTCTTAGGTTATGGGATATGGATTATGTGTAAATATCAGCTACCTTAATCCTGTAGTACTATAGAATATAACTCGAAATAAAAGTGTGGTATAGAAGAAAAGCTTTTAGATGAATTTTACACTATATAATCCTAATAGGGGACATAAAGTTATATAATTTTCCTACTTTACAAAAATATTTAAAAATAAAAGCTGCTCTTTGAAGCTAAATAAGTAGACTAGGTCTATGATATCAATTTATCTTCCTATACTTAAATGATGTGGTCGAGATATATACATTTGTTTCGAAGTACCTTTGGTATGTGGCTCCCATAGAAAAGGTACGTTTTGCATTCAACCCGTGCAGCCCAACTCCCACATAGCCGAGTACAAGTATGTAACCAGATATCGTTGTGGTGTACATCGCTTGCAGCGGTAACTCAGCGGTAGAGTGTGAGATTGCAATACAATGTGCAAATTATCTCGAAGTCCCGTGTTCGATCCACGGTCGCTGCTTTTTTTTGCCCACATTCTTATCTAAGGCTAGATAGAGTACCCACGAGGATTATATCGCATGCAGCGGTAAGTCATGATGGAATTTTTATATTATCGGTCTCGAATACGCGTATAGACAGTTCTTTAAGAATAATAAAGGAGTGCATTTAATTCAAAATACGAAGTACAGAGAGGGAAGGGAAAGCGAGAAAGGATTGGTGGGTCCCTAAGGCCCTAGACTAAAAAAATAAAAGGATTACAGGTAGACCGCCGCAAAGCCCAACAGCGGGCACCAAGCAATACAAACATTCTAAGAAACGTAACTTTTTTAATTACCTTATGCTTAGACCCGTTTTTAGATCAGGGTAATATTTTATTATTTTAACTAATTAATACGTTATTAATAACTAGCTAAATTTATATATTACGTTTAAACACGCGAAAAAACGCGTTCTTTAGATAAGTCTTAAATTATAAAGGTTCACGTAGAAAGTGCTAGTACTCCTATATGAATCCTAAATATATATCTAGTTATCATAACTTCAATATTAACATTTTTTTCAACATCCACTGGTAGGATTCTGTTTAAAATTAGTGTATACACTTATGCAGCTACTATAATTTTAAAATCTAAATCTAAGCCCTATATAACTAGTAGAAGGGTCAGAATACAGCGATTACAAGATGCTAGTTGAACCCCCTGAATGGGCTTTGATGGGAGCCCACTGAAAGCCCATTAAAGCCCGTTGGGTTGGGTTGGGCTTTGCGGAGGTCTAATTATAGGGGATAGGAAGACAAAGTAAGCCTAGTGAACCGGGCGTTAGTTAGCTAGCACTCCTAGTTAGCCTATACCTAAATAACTAATAATATCCCTCGCGTAACGTTTGGTGGGAAAAGTGCCCTAGCTAGGATTCGACTACGCCCACGAATGGGATTTGCCAATAGAGTCCCACCTACTATACCGGAGCATACAAATTGTAGGTACGTTTGACATACAGCCCCTACTGCTGCTCTTTTTGCTTTTATTTTTACTAAGATTAGATAAATGTATTTTGTTTACCACACCAAACATGATATCGCTTGCAGCGGTAACTCAGCGGTAGAGTGTGAGATTGCAATACAATGTGCAAATTATCTCGAAGTCCCGTGTTCGATCCACGGTCGCTGCTTTTTTTGCTCATGTCATTTTAAACGAGCGGGTGGGATGACATTACTCAGCCTTCATTATCTGAAAATAAAGCCGTTGTAATCGATGTTGCTGAGGCTACTAGAAAAAGACACAGAACTGAAGAAATGAAGATGCTAAAGTGAGAGACTAATGAGAAGACTACTGAGACAAAGAGCCCGAGGCTTCCTTCCACAACATACGCCCCAGAAACCACCCAAAACCCGACATTAAAACTCCCCAAGGAGGAAACTGATGGTATTTCTCAAAAAACGTCCTTTCTGCATATTTCAGCCTTCCGGGAAAAGATGTTACTGTCGTACTTCCCCTAGGAGTTCGCTGATTGATCCGATCTTGCATTTCCAAGACCATCTATGCCACCACTCTTGCTTCAAATTTATCGAAGATCAAGACAGTATATTTACATGTATAGAAGCGTGGGAAAAGATTTATAGCAATAGGAAGTATGTACCTGGGGTGATCGTGGAAGATGACCTACTTCTCCTATTTGGTAGATGATCGAAGGACAATACCCGAAACTGACCTCTAATACCCCCATCAACGAGGGGAGTCTAGATAAGGTACTCAGTAAAGAATAAACCCTTATTACTCCCCACATTTCCGACCCTTTTTCTGCAAATGAGAGATGACTTTTAAGGTGGAGCATTAAACTGCCGGTATATAGGTGGGTCTATAGGGCTAAGGCACTTGAACGTGTATCTAGACGCTACAGGTGAATACGCTATGCTACATATATGTATGCACGGTCCTAATCGCTCTATATAACAAATACAAAATTTCCGTGGATAGGATGTTTTGAGAAAACCCCCAGTACGTACTAATGTGCCTTGGGACTTGGGGGCCGAGAGAGAAATAGTGTAGATGGTGACACCAGTTTCGAGTCGTACTGTACGCGTTGATATGAAGATGGGACTCTAAAAAAATTTCATGTATTACCAAATGGCAAGCCATGTCCCTTGATATGCATAACCATTGGAAAATAAGAGAAGGAGAGGTATGACTGCGAGCAAGTGCGCATTTCCATATCCCTCCAAATTAGCTCAAATATCACAAAAATACAAAACGATCGAGGCTGAGCGCCACTAGACGCCAAGCCCGCCCCAAAAATTGTTCATTCACGTGCCTCCTTCATCGAATCCAATATACCATTGGACGTATCGCTTCTAATGTGTTTTTACTGGGCAGGGCGGAAGTCAAATGTGTCATTTACGAGACGAGATTCTCAAGTTCTTTTACACCATGGTGTGTACCCCTCCTCGCGAGTATCTTTACTATAAAGAGTAGTTGTAAGGCTGATCGACAAGCTGCAGCCCCCTAAACATAAACGGATGGCTGCAGCAGGGGTGCAGTGTGATACAGCCCCCGAGGCGCATAAGACCCCTAATTTTCGGTGTCGCCGTCCAATAATGAAGTACCGGAAGGATAAATACGAGATACCAATGCACCATATCAGTAGCGCCGCATAGACTAAGTGGTTCGCGCGTCTCTCCTAAATCTTTCTTAAACCGCGAATCCGCCCAATATGCCCTAGGCATATTTTCTACTGCGATGTGGGAACTGTGATCATGATCTTCCAGAAGCTCGATCAAGCGATCGGCCTTTTCCGACGTGATGACAAAAGAAACCCCCAGCCATATGCTATAATGACTGCAGTAGGTTATACTTATCGAGCGGTGCACTCGACACACGATTGGCCAACTAATCATATATCACGGTTTCACAGACGATGCTGTCCAAGAGGTTCAGCTTTCAGGCAAAAAGCCTGAAATATGCGACTCGGATTCGGCCTTCATGATCAATGCAGGAAACTGCCAGTTGTGCATCGGGAAATACTCGAACGAAACTTATGAGGACACAATATTGCCGCTTTTTGGGGAAACGCTCGATTACTGCAAGGGAATCACCTCTGGCGAGAATAAGACGGCCCGTATCGAGTCACTGCTCAGCCAAGAATCATCCTTACAAATCCAGCTTGCTAGTCTTGGGTATTCCGTCTCCAGCACGAGGACCACTAATTCATCGCCGGCGACAACGACCGACTCGGGGAGTCAAGTGACAGTTTACCGGACGGCTCAGGCGCAGCCAACTGCAGACAGCTCGGGAAAAGACTCAAACATTAGCACCATTGTGCCGGCCGTGGTGGTGCCCGTTGTTGTGATCGGCATCGTAGTGGTGCTGGGCTTCTTTTTCGTCCGCCGCCGACGAAGTCGGCAGGAAGGGCCGGCTCCTATCCATTCTTCCCTGCCACCTATAGAGAAAGCACAGTTGCATGCAGATGAATTCAGACCGGAATTGAACGGGACTGGGAATGCAGATGATTCTAGACCTGAGTTGGAGGGGACGGAACCCCAGGCTATGCGGACACTCAGTTTGCCCCCACTCGAGCTGCCAGTGCAAAAGGATGTCAGACGAGAAGATGTGACAGGAGAGCTAGAGGCTAAGTAGTGAATAGACTTCAGTCCATATATAATAATTTATAAGTCCATGACCAATAATGCTGTTCCGAGCAGGCTGTATACAATTACGGCTATGGAGCTGGCGCTGAACCATATCTTCATCCAATATTCGATATAAAATGTAAGTCAAGTCGAGAACAGAAAAGCCACGATCGTACATGCTTTTGTGGGGTCGAATATAGATACGCCGTTTCCTAATAGGTAATATCATTGGAATGGAGTTGGATATGAGGACGGGGTCCTTTGAAAGCTCCAATACCAATGCAGATAGCTGGCCGACTCTTTGACCTGCGCAATCCCGTCTTTCAGCCGCTTCGCTCGCCCCCTAGCGAACGGGCAGTTTGTCAAATGGTCTCACTATCCCAACCAAATTTCACTCCGTACCACTGTGCTGTCACCCTCGCATCCGCTGAAATGACTGATACTAAAGTACCCCACTGGCCACGGCGGTCTTTGGTGACTTTGTGAAAAATGAGGACGAGGAATATGACTTCGAAGAGCTTGCTGAGCCGTGGAATATGTACAGAATAAAGGATGATCCGAGAACAATGGACGATCAATATGTCCTCTATCCTATTCGACTCGGGGAGATGTTCAATGAGAGGTACCTGGTTGAGCATAAACTTGAATTTGGAGGTGGCTCGACTGTTTGGATGACCCTTGACCTGCGAGATAAGAAGAATATGGCCCTTAAAGTCATGATGAGTCCTGGGAAGTGGGGTGAAAACGAAATTCGAATCTAGGAGATCATCAAAAGTGTCCAGGCCACCTCTCACCTAGTGATATACACTGCGACTTTCTTTCTTCCCCGCGATAATGGAAGCCGCCAGCCACCCACCTATACAATATTGCTCCCCAGACCGACTTCATAAGCAAGATCCAAGATTCGCCTGTGATATGTGGAGCTATATGGTTATCTTCTCTATACTCTACCTTACCTTTACTCCATTCTCCTCGGGCAATAAGGGTGGGGTCATAACCGGCATGGTTGAATGTTTAGGCCCACTACCCGAGCAGTGAAAAGGCCTCTACCTTAAGGGGATCGATTCTTGGTACGATCAGTCTCGAGTCCTTAATCCAAAACATGACCTTGCATCAAGAATTGCGAGATTTCGTCCCGATGTTGATCCAGTCGAGCGCCAACATGTGCAATCTGTCATGTCGAAAGTCTTCACCTACTACCCTACCCAGAGAAACGTCCGAGTGCAACGGAACTTCTACGCAATCCTTCATTTAGAGCGATCATGGATAGGTATGGGCACTGAAACCTGAAGTAAAGTGACATATGATTACAAGACAGACTTTCTGAAATGTCACGTTTTTTTCCTACACCAGATATCCAATATCCTCGCCTAGCTCCCACTTTCTTTACTTTTACGCACATCTGATGGCCCGGGAGATCATTTTGTCAAGGATGGAAGCTGATGTTACACTGTGACTTCGAGAAAATCATCTCAATACCTCTAAAGTCTCCCAAAACCACACGATGGCATGGGAGAAAAAGCAAAGCAAAAGAAAACATTTACGCACATACAGCCCTGAGAAGTTCAGATGCGGTCACGAGGAAGAGGAAACTGCCGTGGTCGCTTGCAATGAAAACTGTGGCACCAGCAAGGACCGAGTCCCTGTTGCGAAATCTACGAAACGGTTTACCACATGCAGTTCTTGCAAGGCAAATCTTTGCGCTTGGCTCTTTTATCTACGAAGTATCTACTGGCATGCAACCATTTGCTGATATTGAGGATGATGAAATTGAGAGAATGTTTGGGGGGCACATTTCCCTAGGTCTTGATGGCTTTGATCGGTATGGGCTGTGCTGCTTTATGTCTGTATATGAGACGGGAGAGAGGATGATTTCATGTTCCGTGATTCTTGCTTGCTTGGCTTCATTATTTTGACATTCTCTCCAATAGATATATCTAGCTACACTCGAAACTTCACCAATAGGGCAAGAATATTATGAATCCTGGCAGCAGCATTAACAGAGATGTCAACCTATCGAGCTCGAGTCTCAATATCGAGCAAATGAGTTTGTAGGTAGTTCTACGCCCCCCTACTTTAAATATGGGATGTGAATTAGTCCCTGATAGAAAGGCAGGTTGAGATGTTAGGATTATCTTTAGGAAGTGCTTGGTAGACGAGACTTTCACTATTAATACATAGCTCTGAAAATCTCTCTATTCGCTCGACAGATTCGATGACCTTTTGACTACAGCCTTAGGTACGGTGTTTCAAAGATGCCTATCTGAGTTTACTTTTCAGTTCTGCTTTATGTCTACAGAAAGGACCGCGTGTGTTATATAATAGGCTGCTGCACGAAATGTCATGAATTGAGTAAGGCTATCGTAGCGATAACATAATATATGACAGGGAGCCTATTGATAGAGACTCTTGTCGTTCAAGAACACCTCTTTCCATTCCTCCTCTTAAGCATTGTGGGTGGCTGAATATGGATAGTCGGATGTGAATGATTGATTGAAGCGGCCAACTGAAGTGGTTGATTGGAGGCGAGCAAGCGCCAACCTCAAAGAGAAAACCTTTTACCCCCAAAGCAAACGGTCTTGAGAGTGTCCTTCATTAGGTAGACAATATAACCTCTCCCCGACGAGCAGCCTCCATAGACCATCCTGTGGAGCCCTTGTCGTTGAAGGCCGCCTCTTTTTATTCCTCCTCTCAAAGGTGGAAGCATTGTGGGTGATCAAGTGTGGATGATTGATTGAGGTGGATGATTGATTGAGGTGGATGATTGATTGAGGTGGATGATTGATTGATTGGGATGATTGATTGATTGGGATGATTGATTGAGGTGGATGATTGACCAGCCTGCCGATTTTCCTAAGGCTGAAGCCCGCCACGGTCAGACTGGTTGTGGTTGATTCAGTGGGTGCTCGAAGTGGGTGGGTGTTCGACGTGATTGATTATTAGGAGTGGATAATTGAAGTGGGTGGTTGACCAGTCTGCCGATTGTCCTGAGCCCGAAGGCCGCCACGGTCAGACTGGAAGTGGTTGATTGAATTGGGTGATCGACGTGGATAGTTGTTCGACGAAGCTGGTTGCTCGACGTGCTTAAGTATTCAAAGTGGTGATTGTTCGAAGTGGGTGGGTGACCAGTCTGCCGATTGTCCTGAACCCGAAGGCCGCCACGGTCAGACTGGTTGTGATTGGATAAATTGGATAGATGGGTGGTAGATGTGTTGACTGATTGATTGATTGGATGGATGGATGTTTGATAGAAGTGTTGATTGCTTGATGAAGGGATGGATGGCTGATTGAAGTGTTGACTGAATGATTGATTGGATGGATGGATGTTTGATTGAAGTGTTGACTGAATGAATGAATGATTGGATACATGGATGTTTGATTGAAGTGTTGACTGAATGAATGATTGGATGGATGGATGGATGTTTGATTGAAGTGTTGATTGATTGATGGAGGGATGGATGGCTGATTGAAGTGTTGACTGAATGAATGAATGGATGGATGGATGTTTGATTGAAGTGTTGATTGATTGATGGAGGGATGGATGGCTGATTGAAGTGTTGACTGAATGATTGATTGGATAGATGGATGTTTGATTGAAGTGTTGATTGATTGGATGAATGGATGGATGGATGGTTGACTGAAGTGTTCTTTTCTTTTTTTCTTTTCGTTTTGTTTGCCTGAAGGATAAATGTAAGTAGATAGAAGGAAGAAAAAGAAAAGATAAGAGACAGGCAGAACATACAAGTCATGTGATGGATGATGAACATGACAAGTGCCAGGCACGTTGAAGGGATATATTGTTATGTGGTTGTGTCTGAAGGATGAAGGTAAGTATAAAGTATTATGGAAGGAACAAGAAAAAGAAAAGGAGAGGAAAAAGGGAAAGAACATACAACCTTGGAAGTCATGTGTTGAATGATGAACACAACAGGTGCCACATGGGAAGGCACGTTGGAAGGAGATGTTATGTGGTTGAGTTATTTAAAAGATGAATGTAAGTAAGGAAGGAAGGAAGGAAGGAAGGAAGGAAGTGGATGGCATAACTAACCAGACATGTGATGAATGTTGACGTGATTAAGACCAATGCGTCAACGGCATGTAGACAACAGGCTTCATCTCATCAGATGTGAATGTAAAAATATGAAAGAGGTGATGAGACTTAAGCTGATGATGGAAGACCTGATGCAAGATCCAGGGTGGATAAAATATTTGATGAAATCCTTTAATGGGATGGAGAGGTGGAGAGATGAAAAAGGAAGAAATAAAACAGAGAGAAAAGGGGGGAGGGGGGTATTTATACCCTAGGGACCTGGACGCAGTCGAAGCAGTTACCTATGTAGGCAACGGGGTGTCCTTCAGGTGACACCCCATTTTGCAACTTCCCCTCTTCAACTATTTGCCCTGTAAGTCCACCCCACTCCTCATTAAGGTATTAGCGTAGTCCCAAATAGTCTCTAGAGTCGTAAAGAGAAGAGGCGACGGTGTATACACTGTATAGGCGTACGACACTAGATAATATCAATGCCGGTCTCACGCATCGATCAAGATGTCTCAATTGTGTTCCTCTGTATGTCTCATAGAAACGCACCATGTTGCGATTGAAGATATAGGCCATTGAGATGCGGTGAGATCTATAGATCATTAAGGTTACACGCTAGACTATGTTGGGCGTGGCGGCCACGGGTACGTGCACGGTCCTGTTATGCAGTGTGTCCACAGGTAAAGCCTTGGCATTTGATGCCTCGCCAGAGAGTTCCTAATTCCTATGATCATCTCATCTTCAGCTTCGCTTTATCCGCCTGTGGGTTCTTTTGATCAAACATCTGAGGTGTGATCTGTTGGCGCCCCGACTCGAAGCCACCAGTCTCGATCGCTGGAAGGTGTACAACAATTTCTTGACCCGTCTAACCATTGGATACAGAGTCAAATCCCCTCTCCTCGAAACGCTTCGTTGATAAGTTGGATTGTGTGGAAGAATCGTCCATACCGGGTGGGTTGGGTAATGAATACGGTCCCCCACGACACCATGCACATCATCGATATTCTGTGGATGGGTGTACCCAGTACCGAGTATGGGAACAACAGGGACCGAGGATATGATGTGGATACTATTTGGGCTCTTTCCAGTATCTTAAGGGCAAGATAGCCTAGAGGGTTATACGGTGCTATTGCCTTGAAGTCCGATGCGACCGAGGAGCAATAAAGGGCAGTCTACAAGGGAAAGCGATCTAGATAGGTTAGGAAATATTTGATCTTCGGTAGATACTGAGAAAACTTAGGATACAATACAATAAGGCTCTCTGTAATCTCAATCTGCATTTTGGTAATACGTAGTCCTCCTGATCATCGCTCGAAGCACAGCCGACTGGTAAAGGGAGTACAGACACGAATAGAGGCGTAGGTATGAAAGAAAGGTGAATGCCTACACATTTCTCGCGACCCTGTGCCACCAGGTGAGTGGGGAAGCCGGCAAGCATTCATCCAGGCACCATGGTATGCACCATACAAGTGTTCATCGAAGATCATGAGACAGCGAGGACAGCACACGAGTGAGAGACCTGGGTACCTCCAGCATAGTCCCTGGCGGAAGTGGATACCCCGGGCGCACCGGCGCTGCGGCTGTGAGAGACATTGGGTGTCGAAAGGGGGCGACGACGAGATGTAAACCGTGGAGACAGCCGAGGCTAGAGGCGTTGAAATGGCCCTGGAGCCGATCCAGGAACGCTGGCACCGGATACCGGACACCGGGGAGGTCGAATGGTCGAAGACGGTGTCGAGGAAGCGCGGAGGAAATCGAGAATCCGATCGAATTATCAGGTAAGGAGACACTACAGTACTAGAAAGATCAGAGAAAGGCCGCATCTTCGGTCACGATACAGATGCGAACAGGTATCATTGTATTGCGTTCGTATCCGTTAAACCTCAAGAGGGTACCGGTATTCATTTGCAATTGAATACCAGTATATGCGATATATATATTGCTGAACGCCCGGCGTTCGAAGAATTGCGGACAGATCTGTTCGGCGAACTAGACGGCTGCGGAACACCAGCGAGTCTTGAAGGAGGGTAATACAAGGCTACTAAGACGTTCGCAATTATATTCGTCGCGGATCTCATGATGAAGACGGGGTCTCTTAAGGCCGTTTCAATTACTAGGCTCTATTGCGACGGATATAGGACAGGAGGATACAGCCCCGACCGCCGGTTAGGGGGTACACGATCACAAATAGCAACGGCAACAGCAACAGAAACACCGAGAAACCAACCAAACTAGGGCACAGATATGCCGGAAGACCGAGGGAGCACGACACAGGGGATGACTGCCGGGTCTGCGCTATCCCCCTCAGCACCAAGTTCACCTATCCAAGCGACCAGTTCCGCATGCGACATCGACAACGGGGACGAGGGCAAAGAGGAAGGCGGGGTGTGGGTCACAGCGTACTGGATACACGAAGACGAGCTGTTCGCTTGTGGACTTCATGGAACTCGTAGGAATGCGGGAAGATGGCGGGCTCTGGGGGTGACGATTCGGTGGATGAACGGTTGGAGAATTACAGATGGAGATATTCGGGTATTTGAGCACTGTAGGCCAGAATGTGGGCTGTGGAGAAAATCTGGGGACGGTGAGACCAATATAACCATACGCCGACCAGGTCTATCTGACGAAGGGGAGTTCAGTCACATTGACTCCGTACAGCTAAATGGCACAATAATACGAGATTGAGGATTACCAGTTAAGCTATTCTATATTACAGACAGCAAGAGAGAGACGAGAAATCCATATGTAATTTTTTGCGGTTACTCAGGGACCATACAGCATGAATAGGCAGTTGATCGATGGCCATGGAAGCCATGGAAGAAGGAGAGAGAAGAAGAACTGAGATATTGGAATATCATTTGTGCCAAACACCCGCCGTAAGTATAGCGTAGTTTATGTGACCGAGACCCCCCATGTTGTAGACCTCCTGCATGGTGTCGTAGGCTGGGTTACGGGCTTGGGTTTGTCACGGGTGTCGATAAAGATGCGCGTGGGAAGGCAGTTTTCGGCTTAACCAGAAAGCACGGTATGTTCCGTCCATGATAATCGGTTCAAGCTGAGTGTCATAAGTGTTGGGAGCCTACCGAAGGCTGGTTGACCATAAATCGAAGTCGTCGGTACCGGTGAGAGTCGGGACGAGCTCGGACAACGAGGGCTCTTTAAAACCGGATGAAGGTATTGTGACGAGAGTAAAGAACCTAGGTGCACGCGAGAACGCGGGTTAGCCTCACCGGAAGACGCGGTATGCTGTGTTGATGAGAATCGGTTGAAGCTTGGGAAGGGGGGGATGGCTGAGCAGATGCTGGTTTTGTCCTCCAGAATTGCGGTGGCGACAGCGAGGTGCGCGTAGATGCGTACGGCAGGTTTCTGTGTCCATCGCGCCAACCTATGTACAAGTTCTTATAACCATGAGATTATTTCTTCATTCTGAAGCGATAGTTTTATGACTTCGATACATGCTCTACTCTAAAATACCTATAATATCTAAATCGCTCGTAAATTTCGTAGAGCCTAGCGCCTAGCGTTATAAAAACCACTATGTTATCATCTTTCTATCGGTCTTTTTCAAGGTCTTTTCTAGGGTCTTTTAGAATATAACTGCTAAGTATCCCCTAATCTTGTTAATGGGGCACCTTTGATACGATACATTTCTAGAATTCTAAGAGAATACATATATAAATGTATAATTGTTAATTCATGGCAGCTGGCTAACCTTCTGCCGGCGCAAAGCCTGGTTGGCGCGATGGACCCCAGAACCTGCCGTAAATGCGTAGATCATAACGTACGACGATTAGGAAGTGACACCAAGGCACAAACTCAGTCATAACCTCCTTGGAGGCCCTGGGATATAGTACTAAAGCCGGGCCGAACGGAGAAGGGCTCGGGGCTTTCTGAAAGATTAGTCCGATGCTGGTGTGGATCAGACTAGTTCATTAACCAGCCATAATCCACATTATTATTGCCTTTGGTATTTGTTCCAGGGTTCGGTGTTTGATGAGCCCTACCCAGAGCAAAGTGAATCATGCGAATGTCAAAAAATCAAGAACTGAGTTGAGAATCTGACAAGACCAAAGACCGAATACCGACTCGGCCTCTTATATGGAAATTTAGGCGATTGACAGGCTTGAATAGCATATAAATAGTGAAATATCTCTCCTTTCAACAATACCATTTCAACATCTCTTTCTCTTCTCACCTCTACTTTGATTTTCCAAAAAGAAGCGAAATGAAGCCAATCACACTCTACTCACACCAATATGGGCCGAACCCATGGAAAGTGGCGCTCATCTTAGAAGAGCTTGGAGTTGACTACATGACCATCTTTGTCCCCTTCACAGAAGCCAAACAAACGCCCTACACAATGCTCAACCCCAACGGTCGTCTCCCATCAATCACCGACCCGAACACCGGCCTCACGCTCTGGGAGTCCGGCGCGATTGTTGAGTACCTGATTGATCACTACGACAAGGGGCACAAGATAAGCTACGCGCCAGCTGATCCGCCCGCCGAACAATACTATCATCAAGCACGCCAGTGGCTCTTCTTCCAGGCCTCGGGTCAGGCGCCGTACTACGGACAAGCAGCATGGTTCGCGCGAATGCACCCAGAGAAGATTCCGTCCGCGATCGAGCGGTATCGCAACGAGATCTACCGCGTCACATCCGTTCTCGACAATGTGCTCGCCGGGCGAAAGTGGCTGGTTGGCGATAAGTGCACCTACGCCGACTTGAGTTTCGTCTCATGGCAGCGCTGGGCTGTCACCTATGGCGGCGATGATCTGTATGAGAGGTATCCCCAAGCTGGGGAGTGGATGTCTCGTCTTGAGAAGCGAGAGACCGTGAAAAAGGTTTATGCGGATCAGGATCGGGCTATTGCTAAGCTTGAGGGCAAATGAATGTCTGCTAGAGTCGTGTGTTGTCATGAGGATCCCATTCACTGGTAATCACCACCCCTTTTGCTTTCATCACTGTGTTTTGGTTTCATTATTTGTCTCACGTCGCCGATATTCCTTCGCTGCAATGGCGTGCAATTTTTATTTCCTTTCTCTTTGCTTGGTATTTTAGACATAAAACACCACTTCGCTCAGATCTCCTTCCAAATTTCATCTGATCCTCGCCTGTGCCCAGACCCTCAATCGACCCTTGATTGAGGTTTACCCTGATTGAGGTTTACCCTTGCTCCCATGCAGATGAGCCCCACACAGGAGCCTTGTACAATGGGTCTATAACCAATTCGTGGTAAGCCTAGATCTTGATGGCATAGATATGTAGTTAATGCTGTACATCCATATTTGGAAAGGGCATGCTAAGATTTATTTTGGTAGATATGAAGAATTTCAATCCAGCTCTAGATAGAGCAATGGTATTACTGTTCAGTTATATAGCGACCTTAATAGCAATATGCCGCTCAAGCACTGAGACTGGGATTATTGAAAACTGTCAGAGAATAATCCATTGAGCTCTGATTTAATACTTATTCGGTCCGCTTGCAACCAAAAGCTGCCGTACATGGCATAGAGTAAAACCATGCTGTTCTTTTCCCACCCGGCAAGTACTATACAGTTTGATATGTAGACTCATAGGATATCCGTACACAATTGTACTGACGGAACTAATTGAGTGGATTTATTGAAGAACTAGTTCAGAGACCGCAGTTTAGATTGTCACATAGCCCCAGGGGGCGATCATTAGGATATTACGACATGGGTATTCCGAGTTGATCCGATTTACCATTTAAACACATGTAGTCGCTAAATCAGGCTATCCTTAGTGGTAGATTACCGCTGGTCAGATCGACATGATATACAAAATCTCAGAATAGTAAGTTGCATCTGTACAGAGATCTCACCTCTAGCTTCACATTCTCAATATCAATTACTTCATTATCTACTTTCATCGATATACTATAAAATATTGCTCATATTTGCTCGATGTGCTCGGACCGATGTGGGAGGGCGATGCCGAGTCGGAGATGTTAATGTCCCGATATGGTTATATTCTGGAAGTCAGCCTGCCGTATGCCGAAGAAGCCAAAGCTTCCGGACTGCTTGTAGCCTTATAAAATTAAATTATTATCCCACTAAGGCGAATTAATACTCGGAATATTTGAAGGTAACACTGAAAGTTGACAACGCCCGACTTCGTTCCGCACACGTATTCGTCAAATACTCATTTCAAACTTTATCCGGCGAATAGATCGGAACGGATCATATACAAGAATCGATTTCTCCAGAATGTGGCCCCCCTGAGGCATTCAATCAAGACGAAGAGGAACAAAACCAAGAAAACGGTGACATTGTCAACTGGACAGGATCCAACGATCCTCAACACCCACGGAATTTCCGTCCGTTGCTCAAATGGTTGATCACTGCTATGTACGGGTCCATCGCCACGATCGTCACCTTCGCTAGTTCCGTCTTCAGTGTAGGCAATGGAGCCACTGCACAGGAATTTGGTACATCATCTCATGTGATGGCACTTGGTACAGCACTTACCGTCCTGGTGAGTTCCTGAGATTGAAGTATGAGTCACCATTATACTAATAACAATAATGGCAGGGCCTTGCACTGGGACCGCTGGTGTTCGGGCCACTTTCCGAGTTGTACGGTCGAAGGATCCCTCTTCTGGCGGGATTTCTAGTCTTTTCTTTATTCAACATACCAGTTGCGGTAGCACAAAATTTGCAGACCATCATGGTCTGTCGATTTATAGTTGGCTTCGGTGGCTCTTCCGGCTTAGCCATTGTAGGGGGTGCCCTTAACGATATCTTCCCTCCTCTTGATCGAGCTGTCGCTGTCTCCGTCTTCGCTGCGGCCACCTTTATTGGCTCCTTTCTTGGTCCCGTCATTGGTGGATTTGTGGTCCAGTCGATTGGATGGCGATGGACACAGTGGATTACTCTTATCCCTTCCCTTTTACTGTGGCTCATCTATCTTATTTTTGTTCCGGAGTCCTACGGACCAATTATTCTTGAACAGCGAGCACAACAGTTACGCTGCCAGACCGGCAACTGGGCCCTCCACGCAAAGCACGAAGAGATCTCCATCGATGCAAAAGAAATCCTTCGTACATATCTTGTACGTCCTGTCATCATGCTTTTCATGGAGCCAATTCTCCTCCTGGTTAGTATATACATGTCCTTGATCTATGGCATTATCTACCTCTTCCTGGAAGCATATCCTATATCCTTTCGCGAAGAACGCAAGTGGAGGCTAGAGATCGCTGGCCTCCCATTTATCGGCCTCATTATTGGTGTGGTGATCGGCACTATCCTAACCACGGTGTACACCAAGACTCGCATTGCTAAGCTTTTCAGGGGACACGGATACGCGAAACCCGAAGAAGGATTGGTCCCAATGATGCTCGGCGCTATCTTATTACCAGCGGGCCTATTCTGGTTCGCATGGACAAGTAACCCGAGTGTCCAATGGGCCCCGCAGGTAATTTCGGGGGTCCCTATTGGAATGGGCCTGTTTCTTGTGTTCTTACACGGGCTGGACTATATCATTGGTGTATATGCGAAGAATGCGAACAGCGCAGTTGCCGCTAATGTCTTTCTCCGAAGCTTGGTGGGCGCTGGATTCACCATGTTTTCTTCGGGAATGTATCACAATCTCGGTCAGTCACTCCAGATCCACAAATCCAAATAGCCGGTTCTGATATTGCCACCAATAGGAATTTCCTGGGCAACCTCCCTTCTGGCATTCCTCTGCGTGGGGCTGGTTCCCGTCCCTGTTCTCCTATATTGCTATGGGCCCATGATTAGGAGCAAGAGCAAGTCTTTCAATTGTTAATTTTTCGAATGTTGCACTATCGGTTTCCATATTAGGAATGAGCAGTGGATCGTCTAATTGTGCTTTATCATGGAATAATGTCATCATTATTTTGGACCTTTCGATCGTTCCAAGAAATCAGAAAGATGAAAAGAACCAAGGTTTTAAAACTTGTAGAAGTCAAACTAAGATTCAATATGAAATTGATGTAAAATTCTGAAGAAAGAAATGGTGCGCGGAAAGTTGATGAAGGGCAATGATAGTTGACAGTCAGAGATTAGTGTTCAATGCGACGAAAAGAGAAAGCTAGGTTACTAAATGGTAGGTATAATCGAAAGGGAACCAACTATTCTGTATGTTATTTACATATTGCAATCTGTTCAACGTTCTTGCACCGGATCGAATAAACCGTTGACGGTAACTCGCGAAGTTCAGGTTCAACGGGCGGTAAACAGAGTGATGGTCTAGAGAATTATGTTACTGGGAGAGAAGGGCAAAACCGGCGATACATCATTTTTGAGGGATGAAGCGAATGCAATCGGGTCTTTTCAGCCGATACGGTGTGCTGACAACGGTCTTGCTATAGCGTGGGGCTACGTGAGCCCACCGTTCATTGCAAGTCATTCATTACCTCTCCCAGTCTACTGGAGCGAGTATCCTAGACTAGTTTGAACGGACTGTTTTTCGGCTAAACCATGTTCGGCGTGTATGGAGCCCAGATATCACTTTACCAGCCTCCTATATTTTGATGCACTGTGTATGCAGTACCACTTCCATAATTTGAGATTTGTATCCACAATATGAATCCACTGTTTTTATTTTGAAGGTGGAACGGATATCGGAGATGATTATCCCGGATTAGGAAGGCCTAAAATCCGAAAACTCGGATCAACGCACCGGGCATATCGCCTACCGAAAGGGGAATCAAGGAACGCCGAGTAAATGGCGACACGCAGACTGTTTCCATTGAGAAGTAGCTAGATTACTAATTTCTTTTCGGGTTTTGGTGCATATCATGGCTACAGTGGCAATTGTGTCCCCATAACGTCCCACCCCAGGCGAAATTATCGTCTAGCACTGATCTATGCGGTCGTTCCATGGCTGGAAGCCGTCTTCCCCTGTGAGATGTCTATCTTGCAAACTTCAGATAAAAGTCATTTTGGTGGATCTATTATACGTTCGTCGAGGCAATGTGACCCTAGGCTTGTATAAAAAAGTAAAGCTTCACAATTATGCACATTTAGATTAAACAACTTCAAACGTCCCGCACTTGACCGTTCGCTTCACCGCTGTGGACAGGTTTCCCTGTCTCCTTGAGAATGGCAAGAACAACCTCATATGACAGCGAGGAGTTGGCATTGACTAGAATAGTCTCGTGCTCGAGGCTGACCTCAAAAGATTCGATACCTATGATGGATATTGCTTAGCTCAAACAACCACGAAGTATAATAATTAGCACGTATTTAACTCACCATCTACACCTTTGAGAGCATCTTCAAGGACACCGGAGCAGCCGGCGCATCCCATCTGGACACTGAACTTGTATTGGTTTGGGGACATTTTGACAGGGATTTGTTGGAGTTGCTGATGGAGAAAGGAGGGAAAATTCCGAGGGATCTTGAAATTTGTACTGAAGTACCTTCTTGTCCTCTATTTGTATTAGAGTCGGACACGTATAATATATCTCCGCAAATCAGCAACTCCGAATCCCCGAAGGCAATGCGCGGTTATTGCCTTTCCTCCTAAACAAACCACCTATACTATCTCACACGGCAACTGTCCAAAAGTTCTGCCTTCCCCCAACCTTGCTCAATCCCTATTTCTTTTCTGGATCTGCTCTGACTTTATCCCGTCATTCCAACCAGGATAAGCAATCAAAGTCAGAATCCGGGCCTTGCTACCAGAATGAAAGGCCGAAATGCACTTCTACTACAGCAGATTCGCCAAGCACTAGCTCGATGTTGAGCCTATTTTTTTAGTCCTGCCGTTTTACTACATTGTGATGCTTCGTAGACTGTACGATTTGTGACCTCTCTGCGCTACGGACCTGGCTTTCCTATTACCTCGAGCTCGATATGAACACAATCATCCTTTCTTCAACTAAGTTTACATAATTTTCGATGCGAATGTTGACCTATGTGCAAGCTTGGCTATTCTCCAAGCACATCGTATTATAAAATTGAAACAAGTTGCCGTTCACATTGAACCAGTATTCATTTTTCAAATAATACCCCTCGAAGCTAAAATTGTGGTTCAGCAATTACCATTCAGCTCAGCCCTCTTAGTATGAGATTAAAACTTGCATGGGGTAAGTGACAACTGTGACGCGAACGAGCAAACTGAAAGAACCAAGACAAAAATAACTTCCTAAGTTTTGCGTAGAAAGGTCGGTTGGCGTCGAGTCCAGCATAGTCTATCCAGCAGAGGAATATCAACTACCAAGCAAGGAGCAAAGGAGATAATTGTGCTTCGTCTCGCGGAAAAGTGTAGGGTGATTAATTCTCGTAACTAGAAGAAAAACCTAGAAGCACTTCGGACTTCTAAACTCCCAGGATAATGTGCACCCTAGTCTACTATGGAACTTGAAGAATGTTTGGGTGAAACTTTCTCCAGCATTGAGTATTTGGTAACTGATTCACTTATAATTATGTGGCATGTACGCCGAGGAAACTATATTATCACCTTCTGAGCCAGAATGCCTCCAACCCTTTTGAAACTTCATATCCTGTCCACCACGCAACCAAAAACTTCACCAAGTCTTATAACCCGCACGTGAGACGCCGATTATAGGCGAGATAATATCATCCTAATTAAACAAGCTGCATGTCTCTGAGACAAGCTCTTCCTTTTTTTCGGGCTCTTCCCTTGGGACTTCATCTAGTACTTCGCAGAGAACCTACTTCTGGCCCGCAGCTTCTCGCCATAGAAGAATAGGATAAAGATTCCCACAATACAAGCAGCAGTGAGAGCTGCAAGCAAACTCGTGCCTGGTCCAATTCCCATCGCTCTGTACATGGGACGGGAAAACATCACTGCTGCGAAAGCGAGCGAGGAGCGTGCGAAATCGTTGCCGGCAAAGGTCGAAGCTGTATACTGTGGGTATACAGCTGGCAGGTATGCGAAGATTGACTGCATAAGCAGGAACATGCCAACTGTGAAGAGGAATATACCGATGACGCTTACAATCCAATGCGTGTGTCCATTGCCAGTCCAAGCAAAGATGAACAGGCCGATGGGCAAAAGGAAAGACGAAAACAAAGCTGGAATGAGACGATACTCTGGGATATCTGGTGCACCCGATATGATGGCAGGGGTAACGATCCAGTAAAAATAGGCATAGTAACCCGCGATGGAAACGACTGTACCGACAGTGATAGACAAGAATGTCAGGCCCATCTCGCCAACGTTGAAGCCATAAAGCTCGATGTACACCATGGGAAACACCTCAAAAAAGCTGTAATAGATGGCGTAGCATAAAGCAGCATACACCGCGGTGTATCCAATTGCCGGATCCATGATCATCAGCTGCATTGGCCGCACAAGAGCTTCAAATGCAACTTCTCTGGCGGTCATTCTCGCCTGGATGAGTTCAGACAGCGACCGCAGTTCGGAATTTCCAGTCAACTTGCGCAGACGCTTTGCACGTCGGAGAAGGATGTTGTGTGAAGAGGTCTCGGGTAGGAAAAGGATCATGACGAGGAGAACCGGGCCGGCCAGCCACAGAATCTCCCACAAGCTCCAGCGCCAGCTTTCAGCTGGAACTGAAAACCCTGAGATGACGGGTCCGAGTGCGGGTCCGGAGGTAGCAGCCAGGGCCCATAAGCAAAGAGCGTATGGGAGGAACATCAGCGGGTAAATATCGGCCAGCGAGGCGGCGCCCGTAGCGAGAGCGGGCGACCCGAAGAAGCCCTGTAAGAATCGTAGGACGAGCAGGCCACCAATGTTATCGACGAGGGCGGTGGGTACACAGAGTACGACAAATATTATCATGGTAACAATGTATGGCCAGTTTCGACCGATTGCTGGGATCTCGCTCAGGGGCGAGAAAATCAACGGGCCCATGCCATAGGCAAGAACATAGAGCGACAGGCCAAGAGATGCGACCTGTTCTGACACGCCAAAATACTCCATGACACCGGGTGCTGATGGTGTGTAAATGGCAGACCCCATATAGACTGCTAGGGTGTAAATGCAAATTTGGAAAGTGACAAATCCCTTGCGCCAGCCAGACCAGTTCTGAGGATTCTCAACATCGTCATTGCCGTACCAATCAACGAGGAATGGCGAAGGCGCGGCTTCTTTTTCCGGTCTGCCCGATGTAGCCGCCTCGACATCGTGATTGGAGTATGTCAATGTAGCGACCGAAGGTGCTGAGCTAGTGTTTGCGATCGAGGGTGGGCATTGAAAGTCGGGTAGCTCGTCTGGGTAGAGAAGGACGCGATTGCGGGTCACAAAGCGAATCAATTGCCCAATCGGGGCATCTCGCATCAGAGACATCATTGATATGACTTCTAATTTGGCCGATTATGCGGATTTAGCAATGACGCGGCTTGCGAAAGTGATTGTAGGGTGAACGGCATAACTAACCGGACTACATCCTTTAAATACGGACCTGTCTGCGCGATTTGTGCGGATTTTGGATAGGATTTCTCAGTTTGATTGCCACAATACCAATCCGACTTCTAGCCTTGGCAGTGAAAGTTGTTGAGGTGCACACCCATGGACACCAGTACCTGGCGGTCATGTCCCGAAACGGAAAGTATTGTCTCCGTACCTAATGAGCTTGTAAAAATATTCGAATTCTTTGGGTCACCTCGAAAAATATCGAGAAGAGTACACATAAATGCTCGCAAATTGAAGGAGCCGCTTTCTTCCTAAAACAGTACAATCTCTCTCTAAGCCCCCCTCTCCCCCCCAAGTATAGTATATCTTTAGCCAGCATGATGTCAAGTCTTGCAACAATAGCTAGATTGAACAGCTCCCAAGGTTTCATACTGATTCATGCGCCTCGGGTTTAATTCTTGCCATTTATTATTGCCCTGAGGATGCCCAGGTGTTATTCGATTACTACAAAACCCCAAATTTGGGACCTACAGATTAGCTTCATGTCAAAATCAATTTAATTTACTCTGCCACAATAGGTGCACTCATATCCAATTCTTCGCAGCTCAATATTCGCCACTATCCACTATAGTTTGAGTGCCCAAACCCGAAATTTATTATTGAATTCGCTACCTGCCCTGTTTGACTTTCTGTGAACGACCGTTTCTTTCTAGGAATGTGTGCAGGGGGGTTAGCGGGATAGAAGATTCGCATATCATGAGAAGGTCAGGAACAGAGACGTTTGGAACCTGTTGAGGCTCACGTTGTGTTTACAGGAAACGTTCTGTGGTCTTTAGCGCATATGGCCTCGAATTTGATCACGCTCTAGTAAAAGCCGGTGCCGAATGGGACCGTCAACTCATCGAAGCCCCTGGAAGGTGATACAGTGACAACAATGGAGCAACCCGGTGACGAAACGAGCCCACAGCCAAACAATGAAATCATACGCCTAAGTGTCCACGGGTCTAGGCTCTTACAATCAGAGAATGGACTATCGGATCCGAGTTCAAGAGCCGGCTTTCGTTCTGGACATGTATATCCCAGAATAGGAAACTATTAAATCCGAGCTTCGCCCCACTTGCAGATGATTAGTTATATTGATTTACTTTGGACTGTCACGTCCAACTTCAAGATGTTTCCGTTTTTCATTGCACCGGTACGCAATATAGCGTGAGTCCACAGCTCAGGAGAATAACAAAATTAACATCAAAAACGTTCTAGCCAATCTGCCGCAGGTCTCTGAAATCAATGCTCGGATCTTCAAGATTGATTTGTAAAGCTGATACCGCTGACCGATCCATCCGATTCCTTTCGGAAAAAAGCCGGCTGGACATAGATCAAGCTGTGGCAGCGGCCCCGATTGTCGTCTTCATGAAAGGTACGCCCGAGATACCACAGTGTGGTTTCTCGCGCGCGATCATCCAAATCCTAGGACGAGAAGGAGTGGACCCCGGTAATTTCGTGGCGTTCGATGTTCTAAAGGAGCCGGGGCTACGAGAAGGTATTTGATGATGCACAGCCTTCCCCTTCAATTTACCAATGCTAATTCCCCTTTTGTGCAGACATTAAGATGTACTCTAATTGGCTGACTATCCCACAAATGTACCTGAATCAACAATTTATCGGAGGCTACGATACCTTGATCGAGATGCATAGGTCTGGCAATCTGAAAATGATGCTCCAAGAGAATGATGGAATATCGGATCGAGCAGTAAGGTGAGAAACAATTCCGTGGTCTTCATAACATAGAGTAACTCTGACGGTTGATAATTTTGCCAGGAGATCGCCCCTCATCATCTGTTGAAGTTGCTTCCTCCAGTGTAGTCTAAAGAAGTCTGTATAATATTAGTAATAATTCCATGAGCAATGTATATAAAATCAACTCCAAGCCTCACCAGTGATCACAGTTTCTCACAAACGTGGTTCTAGAATGAAATCACACTGCCTTCAATGGCAATTCGCCCTAGGAACAATACACACGACGAGAAGATGTGTAGTCAATTTTAGGAGAGCTTCTTGACAGCGCAGAAAGGATGCCGATTGTGATGCACGCTGCGAACGCAAAGTCAGTTATGAAGCCTCGGAGTCCACAGGATCTAGAGAGGCGAAACAGCAACTGCAGCCATTGTGAGCTGGTATCAGCACATATGGCGGTATTAAGTGTGCAGATATATCAAGTTTAAGTGCTGAGGGAGAGATATGTAAAAGTGTAAAGACTCTCTGGAATTCAATCTATGAGAAGCAGGGTATTTATACCCTGATAGAAATGACAAACAAGCGCTAAGTCTGACAAACAAAAAACTTAAGGACGGTCCGATATCCAACAAATATGGCGTGCAAATCACCAGGACAACAGGTCATACTTGGGTTTGTTACCAGTGGCCATATTCAAAATCCCCTAGTAGCGACTATACTTATTGGGAGTGGAAAGAAGGCAAGTTAGGAAAGGAGGCCTTGCTCGCCATCTCTATGCTGCAATTTACCACGGCATATAATAATTTGGTACCCGCCGACGACCCGCATTGCGCATAGACTGAGGAGTCGCCATCAGTCGCCATCAGTCGCCATCCTTGAGTCGCGTCCTTTGCAGCCACCGAGGGGAACGGCCCGGCAAGTATGATCAAGCAGCAATGCAACAACTCGGAAACCAAGATAAAGGCCATGCACCCAGCTCTGGTAGTCCAAGTATAACGTCGTCGTATTGGCACCTGTAGGTCTCCTGACAAGTGTGAAACACAGCATGCCCTGGGGCTCGTCTTCAGGTATTTTCAGCATCAATCTACGAGCCTTGCTTACATTAAAGGATCCATTGACGGCCAGAAAAAAGACTCGCCAAAACCCAGAGGATCAGCTTCGAAACCGGTACCGGAATTCAATGCCAACTCCTATTGCCGATATATGAGAGTTAGAATCCAATTAGAAGTCAAGATGGGCCCTGGCTTACGAGTAAATCAACGTCAGGGAGTGTCATTTGTCCCGGAGGTGATTTGGATGCTGGATTCTCCCTTCCTAATGATGACTCGGCTCGTATCGAGTGTCTGGGTGATGTTTGCTGCAGTAAGGCGGGATCCTTGATTTTACAAAATATCATCAGCTTTATGTTTTCAAGGATCGGGAGCTCTCGAGTTGGAAAGCATACACTTGAAATAGATGAACCATCGAGACGTCTTTCTTCTTCTCGGATTTGAGGGCAGAGATCGGAACCATCTGCCAATAATAGCTCTCGACAGCGCCGAGATGCAAGAGGACAAGCTTCTTCTAAGGTCATAGTGCTGTGGTCGCCAATATGTAATGAACGGTCATTGATTAACGATAATTGGTGCTTGGCAGAGGCAAATACCAAATGAAGGTACATAAATGCCTTACAGCCCTGCTTTTCCGTCCGGACTTTCAACTCAAAGTACTTGACAGTGCTTTCAATGCTTCGGATCAGCGCGAGGCGTTGGTAGAGTGTGGTCTGTTCCATAAATCCTAGAGCATTGCCCGAAAGTGGACGTAGCGACCTGTCTTGGGCCTGTAAACGAAGCTCAAAACAAATAGTCACAGCGGCATGGAATATGTCATCCCGAAACATACCACCCTTCAGGAATGGCAGAGAAAAATGAGCGTGGTGTTTCTCATGAACAGTTCCAGCTTGCCGATACTCGAGAAAGGAATCCAACGGAGCTAGCATAGCCATGCTCGCTTCAACACATATTTTTCTTGAATACAAGGATGATTCATTGCGGCTTTCTCCAAGATCGAGAAAGAATGGCCGGTGAAGTGCGAGCAGAGAACGGTATATAAGAAAAGTGAAAAGCGATTGTTGAAAGGTCGAATCACAACCACTGTTTTGGGTGTCGTGTTGCTCAGAGTAGTTGCCTTGAAGTGCTGGCAGAGTCTCTGCGAGAGTTGCGGTAAGAGCATCACTGAGATTGAGTATCTCCTTGTAATCCGAAGTCAATCGCACACGATTGATGACCTTTGCAATTTTGATCCGAGCAGATAGACTTTTGGCGAGAAGCACCTGAAAAGATGTCCTTGTAGAAACAGTGAGTGGCTTCGAGGGAGGCGTAGAAGATAAATCTGTCATTACATCCTCATCATCCACATTGGATGGCGGGGTGCAATCAAATTCATCTTCCGAAATCGCCACTGGTGTTCCGCTGGATATGGCTGCTTGAAGATCAAGTTCAACTATAGTCAACCAGAGTCTTCTGCGAATCTCGGCCCAGTAATGAGAAACTCTGGTGAAGTTCGAAGGGTCTCGATGAAGACCCATCGTGATGGCATCTCGCAGCAAGGACCCTGCTGATAGCCAAGCAAGATCTCCTTCATAGGCAATGGCTTGTCGAGCAATTAGCAGCAAGCATTTGATTTGGATGGTGTCCAGCCGGAGTCGATTGTAGCTGGTCATAGATTTGATCCATAGTACGACAGCTTGGATCCAGCTTTTGGCCTTTTGGTTCAACGATCGGTGGTCCATGTCCGCAGAAGTAACTGCCTCTCCATAGAAGCAGCTTGCGCATGACATCAGTACCAGAAGTTTTGCGGCAAAGACTTCCCCAGAAAATGCATCACCCGAGTGTTTCCCACCACAATTCCAATATTCGTCAAGTTCGGCCAGAAAATGAGGAACATGTAGTACACGGAATGTGCACTCGAATGTCGAGATGTACAGATTGACCAACTGATAAGTTATTTCACGTGGAGGGATCATTTCCTCTAGCCTGGTTGGTTGCAAGGGCTGATCAAGCTGAATGTGGAATATTTCGTCCCGCCTCATCGCTTGCTTCATCCGTTTTGTTGATATGTATTCTTGAAACTCTGGGTCTGAAATGTCCTGTTTCTTGCGTTGATATTCTTGTAAATGAGCGGTGAGATCCGGAAACTAATGTTTAGTTAACAGCTAGCACATTGACACCAGGCCAGTGCATCTCACCATATCAAGGGCCAAGGCCCAGTGACTCCGGCCAAAAAACCTAGTCCTATCATTTGCGCCCCCGAAAGAAGATTGATAGAGTGTTTGGACATGCGTTCCGCGATTTGATTCCTTCTTTTCTGGAAACTGACTACAAGAGGTTGTAACGTTGCTATGCCTTGGTTGAGTTTGTAACGGAGGCTGCGAAGGCTCGTCCACTGTGGCATCTTGGGCCGGAGATGTGCTAACATTTCCGCGTGAATGGCCCGAGATCACTGATGGGGATGGGGATTTCGAATAGTGGCAAGTATCGGCAACGTCCGACTTGATGCACTGCCCACAGGGCATGAGCCGGTCACACTTCACTTTGCGCCTCCTGCATGACGTACAAGAGAGCGGAGCTCTGTGTTTTCGGGGTTGGGTGTTATTCTGTCGGTTGACTCGCATTATGCTCCTCCGAGAATTATGCAATTCTTTCACGGAATCCATGATTGAGATTTATTACATGGGTTTGAAAAGATCTCCGAGGTTTTGCACCGGGAGAAGGCGGGCAATATTGTTTTCGGCCGATTCACCGCCACATGAGTTATGTTTTCAGTATTACACAATAAATTTATCTTTTCAACTTTAAATGAGTAGTTCGTTACTTTCACGTTGGTCGCATTATTTTGACAAACACAGCCTTAGATATAGCGAGGGACATAGCAACAAGGGATTAAGTATTCGCCCCCTCGGCCTAAGATCTGTCTCTACAAATGGTTCTCGTAGAGAAAACAGCACAGAAGAGAATGTGCCGAATGAGGTGTGGACTTCCAAAGTATACATCTCTGTGATCCCCAGGGCTAGGACGAAAAGGGATATAATTAACTCCGAAATTATGTCTCAGACCTCGGAAGAAGATATTACCCGATTAGGATTAGCTTTATTATGGGACACGCACTGACCTGTCTCCATACGAATAAGGAAGTTGAAATATCCGATATCTTTCTCCGTGATCTCCGGGAAGGTCTACGGAGTGTGCCACCTGGACATAACTATAAGGTATCAATTAAATACACTTAGAGTATACATATGGTAAATAAGTTAATAGAATTTTGACTGGGGACTTTAATTACTCCTAACCCTAGAAAGTGAGAGTGGACTAAATTACTGGCAATATAATCTAATGAAAGAGTTGTGTCCAGGCACAGTTAGTCGCCCGTAAAGGTGGACTAAAAAGGAATGTAAAAACTCCGAAAGTAATTTCCGACATTCCTATTCCACTTTTTGCTGAGATGCATACTAGCATATACACGCAAATGACGGTTCTAATCTATAGACATGGTCTTTGACTCTTTTTACTCATAGCGCCTGTTCCAAATACTATTTGACACCCCTATCAGCATATTCAGTGACAGGCCTTCCCATACTTTCGCAAACGGAGATAGTTATACGGCAACGGGGCTATATATCCCGCTGTGATCGACAGCGCAGCTGCAAGCCAGAATTGTGGGTCCCCTATAGCCACCACCCCTCCAGTGAGATGATAGTCAACCGTGTTCTCAGCAGCCTCCATAGCTACCATTGAAACCATACTCATGCTAGTTGCGGTACGGGCGGCCATGGACCATGAGAGTTTATCGGCTCCATGGCGGAGAAGAATCGTTTCAAGGATGATCGAAGTAGTGATTCCGGATGCCACTATGCTTGTTACTAACGATCTTCCCGTCTTGACAATAGAGAGGTGGAACTTACTGGACGCTGCCATGATTGTGCCCATTCCAAGCTCAGTATAGTACGTCTGGAGTATCCATAGTGCGGAAAAGTCACCCACCGTACAGCCAACAAGGCAGCGTAGAGTGTTAATCCGGGCCCGCCTCCAAGTAGACCGGCATGCCCAAAAGGAAAGTTGCCAGGTTGAAAAGGGCCTTGACGTCGCAGATATCGCAGTTGTGCCTTTGGTATTATGACGGTCGGAGTTTGGGTTCGGGGGAGCCTCCTTAGTTTCGTTGGAATGACAACTTCTCTCATGAGAGAGACGCGAAAAATGCCGGAAAGAAAGAGAGACCTTGCGAAAAGCAAAGGCTGGTCGCTGGGCCCAAATTATTCGGTTGGTGCTCATCATGTTGCGGATGTACTTCAGGAATGCGGGACTGCCCACCTTTTTAAACTACCGTACCTAGACCAAGACATTGGCGCAAAATCAGCGCACGAGTCTGTTAGAGCCGACTTATTTGAATTTGATATGGATTCGTCTCCACATGGACTGAGGGGACAGGGCCACTGGCAAAAAGCCCTCGTAGAGAAGTACACAACCATGAATCTGTTCTTGGATGTCGTCGTCATAACTAGTGGCAAATGCCATTCATCTAACGCTTGGCAGATGCTGTAGAGTGCGCTATTACTGCCATAGGATGAAAGTTCTCGTCGAGACTGGAATATACTATGAATTTGCAATCACTCCGCAATCGCTTCGAGATTTATAACAGGCAACATTCCCCTTAGATTCCATTTTTACTTCCGCCTTCCACACTCGTTCCAATCCATCAAATATGGCTCCGAATGATGGAATATTTCCGTCTCAGTCGAGGCTCACTACCATCCTGGTCAACAATTTACACTGTCCATCTTGTGTGTCGAATGTGAAGGAGACTCTTTCCACTCTAAATCCCGCTCCTTTCTGGGTCTCAACCTCCATTCTCTCACAAGAGATCAAGATCGCCCATCCTATTACACTGAAGAGTTCTCGGATTGCGCGCGCCCTTAAAGATGCTGCCTTTGATATTGACAGCGTCATAGCCGATGATTCCGATGAGGGCGACCTTGAGGCTCAGGAAACTGGACCTTCTACCACCGCCTGCCCACGAAGTCGTCGTGGCAAGACAGAGCATGATGCTCGTGTACAGTCAGAACTGCACATAAAAAAATGCGACGAATGCTCTAAAAAACTAGGTGCACTGTCACTGAGCTCTTATGATGCCCCTCAAGATGCACCAGCCACCAAAAAGATCATCCCAGCCGTCGCGGCCATCAGATCCAGCGAAGAGCATCTCACGTCTGTCATGGATGACCGCCTCCTTGATTCTCGGATCCGGATTACTCTGTCCATTAGTGGGATGTCATGCAGCTCGTGCGTGAGCAAGATCACTGGTGCTTTACAAACTCAGCCCTGGGTCCAATCGGCGGACGTCAACCTTCTGACCAGCAGTGCGGTCGTCGTGGTTCTGGATAAGTCCCATGTGGATGAAATACTCGAAACTGTCAGAGGATCTGGTTATACCGTTGAGCTGATCGACTGTGAAGAACTCCGACCCCAAAACCCATCAAAGCCGTCAGGGCTGGGAGATATATGGCGGGCCACGTACATTATAGGGGGCATGACTTGCAGCTCCTGCGTTGGAAAGGTGACGGACACACTCAATCACAACGCGTGGGTCACCAAGGTAGACGTGAACCTCGTCTCTGGCAGCGCAACAGTTGAATTCCAAGGAAAAGACCACTTGGAAGAGATTGTTGGTATCATCAAAGACCTTGGTTACACCGCCACTCTCAGCGACGTCGAGAGTAGAACCCCTTCCGATGAACGGAACTCAACCCGTTCAGTCACTATCGAGGTGGACGGAATGCATTGTATGCACTGTCCTCAACGGATCATGGATGCACTGGCTGTTTATTCAGACCGATTGGAGGTGACAGAGCCCCCGAGCAAGACACAATCAAAGCTCACGGTGAGCTATACGCCCGATGCGCCCAAATTCACCATCCGAAACATCATGCGCACCATCGCCGATGTGGACAAAGCCTTCAATGTTTCTATATATCATCCTCCCACTTTAGAGGAACGATCCCAGGCGATGCATCGCCGACAGCAGTGGCAAATCACTCGCCGTTTGATTTTAGCAGTACTGGCCGCCATCCCGACCTTTATCATTGGCATTGTATATATGTCACTGGTTTCCAAGGAGAACCCAGGTCGGAAGTACATTGAAGAGCCTATGTGGTCAGGCCAAGCCTCACGCTCTGAATGGGCGCTGTTTATAATCTCAACCCCCGTTTATTTCTTCGCTGCAGACATCTTCCATCGCCGGATGCTTACGGAGTTGAAGGCTTTATGGCGACCAGGAAGTAAAGTCCCGATGTTGAGACGATTCTACCGCTTCGGAAGCATGGATATGCTCATGTCGCTGGGAACCAGCATCGCCTACTTCTCCTCCATCGCCATCCTCGCCATGCATGCCACTCAGCCAAACGATAGCCCAATGGCTTCCAAAACCGACTCATTCTTCGATGCAGTCGTGTTCTTGACCATGTTCCTGATGATTGGCCGGTTACTCGAAGCCTATAGTAAGGCCAAAGCTGGAGACGCGGTGAGCCTGCTTGGAAAGTTGCGTCCGACAGAGGCCACACTGGTCCACCCTGCCGGAACGAATAGCGAATCGACATCTACAGATCCACGCACAATTCCAATCGATCAACTGGAGTTCGGAGATGTGGTGCGAGTGGCTAACGGTGCGTCGCCTCCGTACGACGGGATAGTGGTTAATGGAGAGTCGCAGTTCGACGAGTCCAGTCTGACTGGAGAATCAAAGCTGGTCGCCAAGACCAATGGAGATGGGGTATTTTCAGGAACGATCAATAAGGCAGGCCCAGTGCTTGTCCGCATCACCCGTCTTTCTGGGGACTCGATGCTGGACCAAATTATTGGCGCCGTGCGCGAAGGGCAGATTCGACGAGCACCAATCGAGCGCACGGCTGATTTAATTACTGGAATCTTTGTGCCCGTGATCACGCTCATCGCTGTGTTGGATTGGATCATTTGGTTGGCCCTAGGCGTTTCTGGCCGTTTACCCGAGTCCTGGATGAACAACAGTCCAGGAGGCTGGGAATTTTGGTCATTGCAGTTCGCCATTTCTGTTTTTGTCGTCGCTTGCCCTTGTGGCATTGGGCTAGCTGCCCCCACAGCCCTCTTTGTCGGCGGCGGGCTTGCGGCCCGACATGGGATCTTGGTCAAGGGTGGTGGTGAAGCGTTTCAAGAGGCCAGCCAGCTTGACTGTATTGTTTTCGACAAAACAGGCACCATAACCGAAGGCGGCGAGCCGTCAATCACCGATCACCAGATTGTCGACGAGCACAACATCGAGGAGATTTTGGGCGCCGTGTTGGAGCTCGAACAGAACAGCAGTCACCCGATTGCTAGGGCGATGGTGTCTTTCGCCACATCCAAGCAGGCGCCGACCCTGAAGGCCCAGACCATGGATGAGATCCCAGGTAAGGGTATGAAAGGCTCATTTCAAAGCAATCAAGGCTCGTCGGTTGTCGAAGTCATTGTGGGAAATGAGGCCTTGATGCACGCTCATGACATATCTATCCCGTCGGCCAGTGCTGAGGTCTTGAACACTTGGAAAAACCAGGCCAAGTCCGTTGTGCTTGTTGGGGCCAGGATCTCCCTGACAGCATCGGTCACTGAAGCAATCCCTTGGAAAGTCTCAATAATGCTGGCAGTGGCTGATCCCGTCCGGCCGGAGGCTAATGAGACTATTCGGGCCCTGCGAGATCGAGGTGTCGCGGTGTGGATGATATCCGGTGACAACCCTATGACCGCCCATGCCGTGGGAAAGATAGTGGGAATTCCAACAGAAAATATCATCGCCGGTGTACTACCTGAGCAAAAGGCCGAAAAGATCCAGTATCTCCAGAAAACGCTGCAAAAGCCCCCCAGCTCGAGTTGGCTCAGCCGAGATAAAACTCCCAGCTCCGCTCGAGCAATTGTCGCCATGGTTGGCGATGGAATCAATGACTCACCTGCTTTGACCGTGGCTGATGTCGGCATCGCTATTGGATCAGGCTCGGACATTGCAATTTCTTCTGCAGAGTTTGTCCTTGTCTCCTCTGGCCTTACCTCGCTCTTGACACTTATCGACCTGAGTCGTGTGGTTTTTCGAAGGATCAAATTCAACTTTGCCTGGGCATTGGTTTATAACTGCATTGCCGTCCCAGTCGCTGCAGGTGTCTTTTATCCAATTGTCAGTAATGGCACCCATATTCGATTGGATCCAATTTGGTCCAGTCTTGCCATGGCCTTGAGTAGTGTCAGCGTGATATGCAGTAGCCTTTTGATGAAGACTCGACTGCCACTGGTAGGCTTCAGGGCGAGGAAATGACAACTTTTGATATGGATGTATTCATTCTGTCGCCGAACCAAACTCGGCGGACTTGAAATTGCACGCAGTGCCCAATGGGTTTTTCAACCTACATGTTTCCCAAGGTTGTAATTTAATTTATGTAATTGGAGCTCCATACAAATTGTTAGGAGAGTGACACAGAAATACAGAGACTTCAACATTATTGATTAAACCCCTACGTTTTGCAATACGGTATACACCGACATGGGATAGATCCTATTTGATAGCTAGATAATCGATAATCTTTTCTCTCTCTATTTCCCTCTTCCTCCTCTCTCTCAGACCCGTTTCACGGGAATTATTATACTTTGTTTCTCCATCCAGATCTCCATCGTTCTGAGATTTCCAGAAAAAGTGATATATGGGCTGATCTCGCCTGGTATACTTATCAGCTGGGACCTTTGATGCAGCCGACTGAAGCGAATGTGTTTCCCCTAGTTACAACAGCCCATGTCTGTGCACAATGTTCCACAAACAATTTGGCATCCTTCGGAGACTGAACCGGCGAGATCTTGCTTTGCTTCCGTTGCTTCACGTCCCTCAGTGTTGACTCCCAATGTGTCGTCATCTGCAGTAACAGAGAACGGTTTGCCAGCCGGATACACTTCTGGTTGGAGCGTGACTGAATGGATTCCATAGGCATGGAAACACTCGTTGACCGTTTTTGCCAATGTGGTGAAATTAGACAAGGCATCATGAGATAGGATGACATGTGCAGAAGCCAGGGACTTCTTTTGGTTTAGACGCCAAATGTGCAGCTCGTGGACTGAAATGATACCCGGTATCTGTTAAGAGTCCGATTCAGTTAGAAGGTCCAAGACAGGGTGGAATATGTATCATTCAAGAATGAAACATGACGTAAACACTTACATGTTCCAAGTCGTACTGCACATCATCATGTTCGACTCCATTAGGAGCACTTTGCAGCAAGATAGCACCGGCTCTTTTAACTAAGGTATTGTCAGTACCTATGTCGAGGGCAATCACTGGGGCTTCTAGGGTCTTACTCAACGGTATCGATGATACGAAGATCATGATGGAAATTCCCATACTTGCGGCAGGATCTGCGTAGAACCGCCCACCGTAATGAGCAAGCCAAATAACCAAGGCAGCTGCCATTACCCCCAGATTATTGGCACAATCTCCAAGCACGTGAATTAAGACACCAGCCATGGCAAGATCTCGATAGGGGCTTTGAGAGCCGGCTTTGGCTGCATTCACAAAGTGTTTGTGTTGGGAGTGCTAACGACAGTTAACATTCGAATTGCACGCTAGGGAGGAAATCTGGAAAAGAAATACCTTTTCATCCACCGGGGTTGTAAAGTTCATTCCTTGCGTAGAAGATGTTTCATGTGTAGAACTATGATCGTGGCCCTCATTCCCGTGATCGTGGTCCTGACCGTGATCGTGGTTATGACCGTGATCGTGACCATGACCATGATCATGATCTACTAACGGTTATCGAACTCGTTAGCCCTGTAACCGATAGAGAAGGATCTCCAAATATCCAAATGAAAGGGTGCTCTGACCATGTAAGAAAAGAAGGCTGATTATATTCAGCCCGAAACCAATCCCACCCATGATAAGAACCAACTTCGGATTTTCAACATCTAGAAAAACACCAATAAGCCTCAATTGCTCAACACATGCAATTTATGACCTACTCTGCAGAGAAATAAATCTTTCAAGTGACTGTAAGAACACGCTGATCCCTAAACCGAAGAGCAATACTCCATTGAAAAATGCTCCTAACAACTGGGCTCGTTGCCAGCCGAATGTGAGACTTTTCGGGGCTGTGTCTTTTTCCGCAACCTAGGACTGGTGAGCTGATATCATATAGTAATCAAGAGCGAAACTTACTATCGCTGCGACTAGAGCAATGACGAAGCCAATAATATCGTTCAACTACCGGTTTGGCAATGTCAGTTCTTTCCTTTTCTCCGTGGCATATTGGGGGTTTCCACGAGTGAATCTCCACATACATAGTGAAAAGCATCTGCTACCAACACTAGCGAGTGTGTATAAAATCCGACTGATGAAAGTGTATATCAGCAGCTAATCGTAACATCGTGAATCAATGGAAGATGTCCTTCTTACCCGCTATCTCCGATATGAAAAAGCACATTGAAATAAAGATCACGGCGCTCAGCCTTTGGACGCGAGATAATTTGATCGCCATTGATTCGGCCTTTTGTAACAAACGAATATCAATCAACGATGGATTGTTCGCAATTCTTTCTGGAATAGATCAGAAGATTGTCCCTTTCTTTGTCAAAAGAACCAAAAGTATCGAGTATAGTGACAAGTCTGTTTAAAATTCTAGCAACAGATTCCTCAGCAGGCCCCTTTCTATTTATTTTAAACTTACATTATACAGTATAAATTTATCGCGAACTGATCGCTACTGTTCTTCGGTCCGCTCGGCCCTGGGATTACCTTTTACGGTATTAAGTGAAACCGACAAAAACTGCCCACTTTTCGGATATCAAGCAAGTTCTAACTACTCCGTAGGCATTGACAATTTCTGGATTGTAGACTTTGAAGGAACTATGTGGATCTGTATAATACTGTCAAAATAATACTTGAAAGGGAATGTGTTTTGTCCGACTCAGGAGTCCTTGAAGTGGACCAAAAGTTGTTTAGTTGCATCTGGATAGTCGGCTCCGATACCTTCCGAAAGAGGAAATATATAATTCCGAGACCAAGTCACTCATATGTTTCTGTAGTGGAATTAAAGATGTGGCGAGCAGCCGGTGGATGACTCTGTAGGAATTGGAAATGATATAAAATCCGCCATACGTCTACTGAAAATGCACCATTCAAAGTTCCAAAATCCCAAAACCACATCAACGGTTCCTCCCATTTTAAATTGAACATCAAAGTGATATCAAACACCCATGGCGAACGAAGTCAAAACCGAGCCTACAGATGTGGCCGACTATCCGTTTGATCTCGGATCTTTCGGACGAAAGGTTTCAACGTCGAGCACTGCAGCGCAGGCATGGTTCAACCGCGGCTTGACATGGACCTATGCTTTCAACCACATGGAAGCAGTCAATTGTTTCGAGAAGGCAATCGCTCATGACTCTCAGTGTGCCATGGCGTATTGGGGTATTGCGTTTGCCTCCGGTCCTAATTACAACAAACCATGGGAACTCTTCGACGAGCATGATCTCCGACACACCTTGCAAACCACCTCCGAGGCCGCCAGTACCGCTCAAGCCCTTGCATCCTCTGTGACGCCGATCGAACAGGGTCTCATCAAAAGCATCCAAATTCGTTTTCCGGGACCGCACCTAGTGTCCCTTGAGCAGCTGAAGTCTCAGAGCCGTGCTTATGCCGACGCGATGGCGGCTGTGTATAAAGAGTTCAGTAATGACCTGGACGTTGCTACATTCTACGCCGATGCGATGATGACCCTGACACCGTGGAAGCTCTATGATGTCTTTACAGGCGAGCCCACAGAAGAGGGTCGCGCAGTGGAGAGCCAGCAAGTACTGGAGCATGCATTGAAGCTGGATGGGGCGACCAAGCACCCAGGCCTCTTGCATATGTACATTCATCTTTCTGAGATGTCTCCTAACCCTGAGCGAGGACTTAGTGCTGCAGATTGTCTTCGGGATCTCATTCCTGATGCAGGCCACACGCACCATATGCCGGTTCATCTTGACATCCTGGTTGGAGACTACCGGCGAGCAATTTCCTCCAACACGCATTCAACTTTAGCCGATGAGAAATACCTAGCAGTTGCCGGACCAAACAACTTTTACACCCTGTATCGCATGCACAACTATCATTCATTGATCTATGCGGCTATGTTCGCTGGCAGGAAACAAGTTGCGATGGATACAGTGGATCGCATGGAGTCTTCCCTGCCGGAGGATGTTCTGCGCGTCAAGTCTCCCTCCATGGCAGATTGGCTAGAAAATTTCATGGCGGTTCGCCTCCATGTCATGGTTCGTTTCGGCCTATGGGAGGATATCATCCAGATGACCCCCCAGAGGATCAAGAGTTGTTTTGTGTCACAACAGCTACCACTCATTACGCCAAAGGCGTGGCATGGGCCTCTCTCAGAAATATGCAGGAAGCAGAGCGGGAACGAGACCTCTTTAGGGCTGCGGTTGAACGTGTTCCTCATACCCGTCGTATGCACCCGAACAAATCATTGGATATATTGCGGGTCGGTTCCGCCATGTTAGATGGAGAGATTGAATACCGCCAGGGCAACTACCAGCAAGCATTCGCTGATCTGCAGAAGGCAATCGAGTTTGAAGATAGCCTGACCTTCAGTGAACCCTGGGGTTGGATGCAGCCAGTTCGTCATGCGTTCGCTGCTCTTAAGCTGGAGCAGGGACATGTTGAGGAAGCGGCCGAAGCATACAAGGATGACCTGGGCCTGAATGATACTCGTGCACGTGCACATCATCACCCCAATAACGTGTGGGCTCTTCAGGGATACTATGAGTGCCTCGTGCGATTGGGCCGGACGGTGGAAGCAGTGCTGATTGCCCCTCAAGTCAAAATCGCCTTGGCCGTGGCCGATGTTCCCGTTCAGTCATCATGCTTCTGTCGACTGGACACCTCTTGTGTGCCGAACGTCTGTGAGCCAGAGTGCCCGAAAACCTCCAAGGAGTCCTGCTGTAGAGCTTAATACCTGAATAGTCTGTGGCTTTTTTTGTCCTTCATGGTCTTTCTCTCTTTCCCCATCTCCTGTTGATTTTGAAATCGAAATTCTGGTATGCACTGTGCCAATATATGAAGAATCCTCAGAGATCTCAGGATCATACTGTTCTTTTTATCTGCATGTCTCTGATTTTTGTTGTTCGGTGTGCCTCTGGCGAGAAGCCTACCTTTCATTCGTAGTCTTATCACGTTCTTTTTTTAAAACCAATCTATCTATATTAGTTACCGAAATTCCTCCGTGCATCTATAATAAACAGGATTTAACGCTACTCCAACGACATAAAATAAAAAGGAGATTTCTAGAATTTCGAAGTAATTTGAGTATATAATTTCAAGAATCACCCTCGTCCCGCTGTAGTTGTTTCCGTATTCACCACGTCCAGCCGTTGACATCTTCGATCCAATCTGCCGTTCTGGGTGGTGTTCCTTCCCAGTCGAATTGGCTATCGGATGGCTGGATGAGTCCGTATTGGAAATAGTTAATATCACCCCACTGTTGAGGTTCGTCAAACGGAGATGCACGTTTGAATCCGCAGATGTGCCTAGAGATAGTTAGATTATCATAGTCCACATGGATAACCCCATGGATAATCTCGAATAGACACACATTTGACCACTGGACTTGTCATAAATGATCTTTGATGGACCAGCCATACATGGCATGTACCCGCATATTAAAAACCTTCTATTCTTTATTAGCCTAGTGTTTCGCTGTGGTCACTAACCATACGTATAGACTTGGCGAAACTTATCGCGGATGGCCTGGCGATCGGCAAAGGGGAACCCCCAGAATTCGGTCAAATTAAGCGACTCGCCGGCAAATTTTTCCCATAGAATGTACGTGATATATCCCCCAGGAACACCCTCGTAGTCATCTTGCTGGCGCTGTTGATAGCCTAGTAGTCGAGGAACAACGTCGCAGTCTAGCTTTGTGAATGTCCGGAAAGCGATCAGTTCTGAGTGGTCAGGAGGGGTGTCGACGGCCTGGCTAGCCCGTATGGCAGCCTTCTTCGCTTCAGTTCCAGCTGTAGGAACCTGTTGGTAAATACGTAAAAATGCGCGCCTGCTATCGTCTTCCTCACTGGCAGGTCGGCATAGGAACTTCCCGGCGGTGTCTGAGGGCCCAAGCTCCGCGGCGATGTCTTCCTTTGTCAGGCGATTTGACTCTTCGCCGAGCTTCTCAAGTATTATCCATTTCTGGGCAGGGAAGTTGAACGGTGGTTCTGCAAAGGCATCAAACGTGACCTGTGTTCCTTCAAGATTGGTGAGATATTCCATTGATGAATCCATGGCAGGTAGCTTGGAGATGGGGACGAAAGGTAAAAGAAATGTGAGGGTTGAAGAGTAACTTGGACAGTGATCGCATGTTGACCAAGAAAGTTTAATTTCTCTGCGGCAGAATTTCTCTCCCACCTTTTCTCTTTCAGCTATGTGTACTGTTTGACAGTTTCCGATATCTCGTTCGAGCCCTCCATCCTCTGTCAGTTATGTTAGAAGTGTTCTAGGTTATACTTGCCTTATGCTTCTCTTGCTTCCAACGTCAACGATCTGTTGTCTCAACCGTACTGTTGCCTAAAAGAACTTACTGCAGGATAGGTCCTTTTGAGGTATCGAGGAACGATGCCAGGTAGAGCGCCGAGTAGGTCTATACCGAGGTATTGGTCTGCTCATGAATGTTATTAATGGTCACCACATGGCGTGGTCTGAAATCCCAAAGCCGTGGTATTTCCACTGCCATCTTAGCCAACTTATATATAGTATGTCAACATTGACAATACTAATTTGAGACTTAATGTTAGTGAGCGATAATCAAGCGTTCACCATGATGTCAGTTTATGACCATGAAGCACTTACTATGATATCGATTATGAAAACGTCAACTCCATATTATCAAGGAAATTTTAACGTTCTAATAACATTCTTTTCATTATGGTCCATCCATTTGCTTCTACTGAAGGTACTCTACCTTCCCCAGTTTGTCTTTTATGCGGGGTGCAGATCCATACCACGGACAATTTGGGAATACCCCGTTTAATCGAAGGAGCCTCGAGACTTGACAAACAACATTGGAAAAGACTCTGGAAGCTGGATCCGGGACATTTTACGATATCATCACATGAGGTAGAAAATGCTTACATCGACAGGTTCCCTCTGCTGTGGTCATGCCTATATCGAGCTCGTAAGCCCCTAACGAGTGAATTCTCATTCAATCAATTCCGATCTTCTAATTAGCTCAGTTATCAAGGATTCCGATACTAGGTACCACTTGACTGATATCAATTCGATACAACATTCACAAGGGCCTCTCTATGCTGTTAGTGACCCAACAAAAGCAAGAATAACTGGGAACATCAATCTCGGCCACCATACTCAGATATTTACCGAATTATATGCTGCAGATATCAATAGACAACCTAGAAGATTGAAAGGCAAGACAATCGGATTTGTGATCCATGCCCACTGTTGGACCCTGTTCGATCGATTCGAAGGCCTAGGGTTCAACAATACCAACCTCGCTGAACTTGTCCGAATTTCTCGAAAATACTGGCGGGAAATTGAATTGTGGGGGATATCCGCGAGAGACCCATTGGGTCTCTCTCAGAGTCCACTTATCGTGCCCGCAATTCAACAAGCCATGGCATCCACCAAGACTGATTACTATCACCCAACCTCTGGCCTCGGCATTCTTCCATTAGAGCTAAGGGTTTTGATCTCCGAATTCATCTGCCCCATCACAGATTATACAATTAGTGATGTTCAAAATTTGAAAAAAATGCTCTTAGGGTTTGGATGGGAGTTACCTAAGTGGTTCTGGCGAGTGCGGTTAGACGAACGTTTGTTTTTTGAGTCGAAATATAGCGAGGACCCGTCAGCGGATTGGAAACTGCGGCTTGAATTGATGAGTCTTGTTGCAGATCGAAGTAGGCTCGGTTCTAGTGGTCTAGCAAACCGTGAGCGGATTATTGGGATTATCCTTGCTCTTAGGAATGCCTATACGAAGTGATACCTAGTGTAGTGAGGGGGGGGTCCCTACTATGTTGAATGTCTTATCATATAATTAGCCTTTGTTTTGCTATTAGTATGCGAATCGCTTCAGACCGAAGATTGTGCACGTTTGCAAATATTCAAATTGAGCTTCCTGGATCCCCATTTTGCATGCTTTGCTCCGTCAATTTCTCCTAGATCTGGCATGTGTGGTAGATCGATCCTTACACCCAGAGTACACTGCCCTACACTGCCCAAGAACGTTCTCTTCTTCCCTGGGTACTTTATCTATTTGATATTACGAGGAGTGCGTAGCTTCTATTGGTTCGATGGATAACAATATATATATAATTCATGGATGTTATGGTTCTCTTGTTCCAAGGTTGGACATTCTTCTGTTTATCTTTTGTCTCGTCATTTATATATACCTAGATACCTAGGTAGGTATGATCTATGTTTTACCGTAGAACTCTCTGCACAAAGCAAAATAAAAGTGATACCTAGGTTACAAGGCAGCCAACAAAAGGTAACTAACTATGGCGGTCATCGTAAAACACGTATAAGTTCTACCTAACGCGAATAGCAGCCGAATCAGTCTGCTCCGTCAATTGAGTAGGGTGATTTAAGCTTCGTCATCTTCGGTTCCGACTCAAGGCGAGCATCCTTAGCCAAGGTCGTAGGGTTCTCGCGCGGTGTCGACCTATAGGCAGTTTACAGCCACGCTGTATATGCACAAGCTATATGCACAAGCATCCCGGGATAGTTTAGAGCGAGGAAAAAGCTGTCTTATCTCGGGCGCTATCGTCGGAGCTGAGGAAGGTAGGCAGCATAGATGGCAGTGGTGGGCTTATAGACGAGCTGACGAGTCACATGGGAAAGGGGTGGCGGAGCTTAGGAGCTCAGTGATCCGGATCAATGATAAAACTGGCTCACCTACAGAGCATGGACAAAGACGAGGAGAAAGGAAGAGCGGGCGGGTAAAATACAGCGAGAAGTCGAGGGGGCGATAGGAGGGATTATATAGAACCACGCCCGGGTACGCACAAGGACAAAGAGCGCTTACCTGTAAGTGATTCATGTAGGCTGAAAGGCGTGATTATCCCATCCAATATCCGATATGGTGTAGTGGCTAACATCGCCGTCTCTCACACGGCAGCCGGGGGTTCGATTCCCCCTATCGGAGTTTATTTTTACATTTTTGTCAATGCTCCATATTTTGACTGATCCTCTAGAGAAAAGCAGTATGTGGATGATGGTGGTGGTGATGGGTGGTGGGATGGCAAAAATTGCATAAACTCCAATTCCTTATGCTGCAGCCTCTCAGGTCATACATGATAACCCTATAGGTATATCCATCCCCCCTTGGGTTCACATCGCGATAGGAGAGCTGCAATCTGAACCTTGAGACATTCTAAAAGATATGGACGTAACACGACGCCAATTTGGATCGAGTGTTCCTAATCGGTGTTTCAATTGTACAGCGCCTACAGTCGTGACAATGGCCGGTCCCAAGACAAGGGTGTGCGATTGAGGAATGTCCGCGGTACCAGCTTTGCGCATGAAGAAATAATCCCGGACAAGGTGAGATGTATCATGAGAAAATTCCGGGAAATGATACGGGCAGGAATAACGGTGTAAATTCTGGATTGTTGGATGAAACGAAATAAGATAACAGAAGCTGAAAATCGAAAATTGAGAACAAAAAAATACAGAATAGGGCGAAATGAAGAAGTAAAATCGACAATATGGGGCTGGCTAAGAAGAAACAAGATCCGATGAAACAGAAACAGCAGAAAATCATTGCAGTGTGGATGGTGGGTACAATATCTCCCATGTCCTGAGGTCTTCAAAACGCCGAGCGCCAAAGATCAAGAAGTCATACCTTGTTCGTAGAATCATGCAAAGTCATTGTATCATAGTGTAGAGTATGTGGCATGGATGAGGTGGCAAAAACAGGTATTAAGAAAATAAGTTTGGTGTCCCGGCCATCGTGAAGTCGAGTGCTCCTCAAGGTGGCCAGCAGTAGGTAGAGAAGTGATGTGAATTGTGATGTGAGTTGTGTTAGCGTTTATGCTTGCAGCAGGAATGGCCATTTCGTAGTGTTAGTGACTCGTCCTTCCAATCCAATCGCGTGAATTGGGGACGGGCCTTAGAGCCCGAGGCTACTTTAGTGCCTCGAATATGGCTTGTTGAGCAGAGCTATCTCACGCGCAACAGTGGTCCATTCAAGCTCTCGCTTGATGGGGATGCCTCGTTTTTTCAGTTGGTATTCCTCCCATTGTAGGAGTTCATAGCTGCGGCTAAATATGAGCAAATATTCTTTGTTGGATGAGAGGGTAGAAAACACAAAGACTTACACAAAACGAAGATGAGGTTGGATTATGACATTAAGTCGCCTTGCGCGGACAAAGCAGCTATCATGAATTAGCATCGTCGGCCCAGCTAAACGACTTCAATGGAAATTAACTTACTATGCACGCGGGAAAGAAAGATTTTTGGACGCCATGACTTCAGCGATGCAAATACTTGCAGATCTAGAAACACCGACTCGACAATGAACCAAGGTGGCTATGCCCTGGCCCTTTCCTTTTTCTGTGCACAAATTAGCAAATTGAAACTGCAATAAAGTAAGAAATTTGGACTTACCAATGAAGTCCAGACAACGATCGTACTCCTGACACAAAGGATCAATCCCATTGTCTTGGACATTGTCAATGTACATCAAATTATCCGCTCCCCAGCTGGCGCGGTCCGCGTCGGACCAATTGACAGCCTCGCCAATACTAAGCACACGCTTGATCCCAAGCTTCCACAGAAGCTCTGGATTGTTCGCGTGAGTCAGATTGCCCAGATACAAATATGGCAGGACACGGCTGGGGAAGGAGCCATCCATGTTGTGGAACCAATTCGGGTCCCATATTTCCGAGAGATCCGTTGACTGAGTCGCGGGGCTTTCCTGCAATAGACGTCCTTGGATGTGGCTTAGGAAAGCAACGTCTGTCGAATATGCAAAGAAGTTGCGTTTCTTATCGCAATGCAGTCGGAGCCAAGCTTCATGAGCTGGCACGCCTTCTGCGAACATAAAGTACGCCACGGCCAACAGCGAGCTTTCGGTATAACCATCCGCACAGTGGATAAGGATCTTGCGGGGCTTTCCACTCGATTTGGTCATTGCGACGTCTCCATCAATTTCGAGCTCTTCCGATGAAGTGTCGGGATGCGCGAGGTAAAAGATCCACCTGATGGTGTTGACAATGTCCTCAACCTCTCGGGTGTTCCCCGATGGAAGCACAAGAGATCCCGATGAGGGGAACTCCAAACGCTGTGGACCAGTCTCGATCTGTTTGTCGAGCATGGCGAGGAACCGCGGACCAGGGATGTTGGCCAGGTCGCATGCTTCGATCAACAGGTCATAGCCCTCTTCCTTTTGTGCCTCCAGAGCTCCAGTCGTATGGAAGTAGTCCGGGGTAGACCCGAGCCAAACATTAGACGAAATCTCGGATGCCCGGGACATCGTTGTCATTTCCACTCGCTCCCATTGGACTACCAATTTGTTAGCAATAAGTTCGGGCACGCCAAGGTTTGTTTGAAGTTACCGAAATCCATGGTTTGGCCTGTCGGCTGACCTTCCGCATCGATAGCAATGATCTCTGGATGTTTTTCTGCCACGTTTGCAAATTTGTCTGGAGAAATATATCAATTAGGAAGCTCCGTGGATGGGAACAAGGTGAAGTAACGAACCGGCAAGAATAAATGTGTTGTACGTCGGTCGCTCCTCCAGGGGGTCCATTTTCTTTCGCCATAACTGCTGCGCCTTGGCAAACTGGTTGGCTAGCTCAACAAGTCCACAATGACTGTCATCATCTTCCGCATAAATAACAATATCCGACATCGCAGCCAGCTTGGCAGTTTGTATTTGGAAATTTCGAACGGAGAATCCCTCGGGAGGATCGGCCATCAGGAAGTGCGCGGAAGGTGCCAGCACCTCATGGGCGCTTACTGCACCCTTGATCCGTGACTTGGTCAAGTCACCTCCAAGCTTTACCACGGTGATGCCTCGCCAGCATTTCGGAGTGCGACGAGCATGGCGCTTGCGACTTGAAAAGAATCCTAACTGCAGATGGTTGTCATGATGTAGGCCATGGAGCCAAGGAAACATCTGAGATGCGTCGGGTAAAGGTTGTGATGCTTGATGGGCGAGCGCAGCTGCCAATTTGGCTCCGTCGATGGCGTACACAGCGGGGGAGGACAGTCGTCCAATGCGCATTTTCTCATCTGGAGGTGACAAAAGCGAGGATGGCTGCTCGCTAGGGCGGGGTGCGGAGGTAGGTTGAGGTGCTGGAATAGGGCCCGTGGGGCATACCGGAATATGTCTGTTGGGGATAGGGCTCGATCGTCGGTTTACGGTCAAGGCTGAGGGGATCGGAGATGGAGGAGGGGTCGAGCGGTGCAGCGCCTGCTGCTGAACTAGGACAGTGGCCATGATTGACAAGACGCGTGGTTGAAAAGTGGTAATATTGTGATGAAGGTAATAATGTCACTTGCAATTGCAACACTGGTGAGAGCTGAATCATAAGACGATTACATCATTTGCAGTTGAGATGTGGTGCAGAGTGCCCGAAGCAATGGCAATCTGAGTCGCGAGTGATCGCGAGCAGAACTGCACGGCAATTAGCAGGATTCCCTTGAGCGCGCGAGTGTGAACAGCGAAAGACAAAAAGCAAAGAAAGATGCAAGGTTAAGGGGGATCATACAATACCCAAAGATAAAGGCAAGGGGTGAAGGAATGAGAGATAAACAGTGATGAAAGAGAAAAGAGAAGTGAAGTGGAGAGGGGGGGAGATAACGTGGGACGAGAAGTGAATGTACATTGTACATTGTACATTACCTAAATGAGTTCAATGTTCTCATTGTACATTGTAAATACATGTATGCATTTTTATCTCTTTATCATCGTCATTGTCTTCCCGGTCCCAGATTCCCTACGTATCCACACGCTCCACCGCGGGTCTGATTATATTATCCGCCCTATAATTCTTGTATGATGTATACTCTCTGTATACTCTCTGTATACATCACAGACTCTAAACGACATCCCCCCCTCACAGACAGGGATTCTGACTACTTTTTTCTTCTCTTGCACCCCCTTAAAAGATCATTTCGGCCTAAAAATTGGCGACCACGGACTAGCATCTGATGTGACCAATCATTCAATCCCGATGACGATGAGATTTGATATTCTCGGCCCAGACCTCGGGACTACTTGTCTGTGCGTCTTGGGGGGGGGAGGTCTAAGTCTTGTCTTCTCCACGCCTTCAACCCCAATTATCGAACAAAGAACTTACCCCCGCTCTATCCACCTCGGATAAGAAAGCCCTGCCAGCCGGAGGTTGAGCCATTTCGTGTCCATGGAAACAAGAAAAGTCAATTTGCCATGGAACCATAGGATATATCATAAGTTACTTTATCTTTCAAATGTGATCTGGAAATACAATATTGTATACATGAAATCTAGGATATATTACTCTGTAATGTTCTCAATTTTCAGACTGAAATTTTCAGATACGTTTCAGTAAAAAGGAAATCCACATACTCCCATTTCGAGACAGTACATGAATTCAATGTATCATGTACAGGAAACTAACCCCGGATCGCCACTGCGATCCACTCGAGGTGGGGAGACAAACGTTGATATAGCGGAATATGTCCAATAGTAAACATATGTCTAAACCCGCCAATAGCCAATAACCAGTGCTGATGCAAAATGATCTTGTGATAAGCCTGTGTCAATGCAGGTGCCCAAGATTCAAATGTACCTAACACCATCTGCCTAACAAGCCTATGTATAAGGCAGGTATACCCAGGTCGAGGTGTCAGGGTGGCACAACAGGAATTTACTAGTATATTTCCCCTAGCGTATCTGACAGTTCAACCACCACAGGAGAACCTTTCCATGTCAACCCTCATTGGTCCCCCCCCTCATCTGCAATTCCCGACCCAATAGTCGCAAAAAAAAGTGGGCTGTGTCAGGCGGAGCGCGTCTTAAACGATCGGGCAACTTCCTGCAGATCTTGCCTCGATTTCTACCACGTCTGCAGATCCCGGCTATACCAAGACATCACGACTCGATGCATACCCCCCCTTTGGTCAAGTTGCTGAAGATTGTGTCTCTAACTCTCACTTGTGACTGGACATATAACCCGCCCTGTATGACCAGCGGGTTGGCATGGATATGACTGGTGGTGTGCCTGGAGTAGACGCGATCCAGCACCGGCATTTGGGGATATGGGTACTCTATGCGCCAGTCGGAACGTGCAGGAACTGCATATCATCAGGCGGAAACAAAATAGACTGTTTCTTGTCTTGGATCTGACACAACTCATTGGCTGTGACCGGCCCAGTTAGGACTTCTAGCTTGGCTGTTTGCTACCCAACTAGCGGGCTCATTCCCACATACTAGTATGCTGTAGAGCCACATGGTGACCGGTTCTGTGTCTATGTACTCCGTAGTGAGCTATGTGTATTGGCTATGATCTGCGCCACATTCTTCAGGTGATTGATAAGCCCGACAAGTATAGACAGATTGACCAACGGTCTTAACTGCTGCCTATCTGACTTAGACATAGTCCTGAACCGTCAAACGTCGTTGACTAGAAGCCCAATTTCTTCAATCGGGCGGCATGAACAGCGACCCAATCAGGATGATTTCAGTCCCGTGCATAAGGGACTCTGTCGGGTAGCTGCCGTACCTTGTTTTCCTCGCGCTTGCGAGGTATTCATTCCACAGGTTGGTACACGAGTCCAGATTGAAATTTTCGAGAACTGTCCAGTCTTTATTGGTGACGCGCGGCAGATTCAGTTCATGCCTAGGAAACCTAGCCGGTCCTTACATTTTCCCGGACGCTGGGCTACGGGTGTTGGAATATTGGGTGTTGGTGACTCTATCTGTGTGAGTGATTGGTCGGTGAGCTAGGGACAGACTGTGTCACTGGCGCTACATGGTCGAGCCCAACTGGTACAAATACCTCATGTGTGTTAGCCAAAATTAACATTATCAAGCTTCTTTGTTCTTTGTTCTTCACTGGGCTGGCAGCCACACATCGAGGAAGAATATACGTGACTCACTTGTTTATTAATAGTGTTTACCTGTTAAACTAACACTAGTCAGTACGAATATAGGCGGGTATGCCTACACTAGTCGTTGACTTCTTCTCATGAATATCATGGACGTTATATATATAACACCCCTGATGTCTTTTTTTTTCATTTTTGGATGTTCTCAGATCTCTTTTTATATATGCATTTTTCTGGATAATTTTTCTTCTTGATGTTATAGCTCGAATAATTAGCTGTAGAATGCTACTGGAGCGAGAATGATGAGAATACGGAGTAGACATGCCGGGCTTATCACTCTACGACAATATAAGGTGGTAAAAAGCATAGATTGTGCAGCAACCGCTTATGTATAACCAGACCAGAGTCACCTATTGCTTCGACTTGATAAAATAGCCAAATGGGTGGGGCTTAAGATAGTAGACGATCGCTACGTCACTTATGTTGGGTGAGGGTATATCGGCCGTCTTATGGAAGTAAGGAGTCAACCAAAGTTGACAACTCAAGCAACTTTCAAAGCTTCAGAATAAAATACCCCTTTCTATCATCTCAATCGTTTGGTCCTTGCGTGAAAAGCCCAAATAAACTAGAGAGTGAAGTAAAAGAAACCTTGAAAACGATGGGTTGATAAGATAAATCCGTAGGCGGTGGGCAATCAAGGTGTGGCCCAAGCGCAAACCTCTCGCTTGTGACGAGTTTCTCAAAGACTTCACAGATATCATATCCTCTCTTCTCCACGTCATCGCCTTTAAAGCATATCGCTTTGCCTCAAGTTCAAGATATGTTACGCAGTGGCCAGTGACGGGCAAAGAGTTGCTGGTTCGGCTCCCTCTCAATCTCGCCCTAAGCGGGGTATCTCCGACCTCCGAGAGGTCCAAGGTTGCCTTGTATCAATCTCATTGATTTCATTTATCCTGAAATTTTGCAAAAATGGCCATGAATTTCGTGACATTTAATCAGGACTACAGCTACCTGGCTGTGGGTGAGTCCTTTTCCGGAACTGTTTCTGTTCGTTGGATGTCCACTGACCGCATTTATAGCAACATCTAAGGGATTTCAGATCTTCACAACTGAACCATTTGCCAAGAGCTACGAAGCTAAAGAGGGGAATATTGCTGTCATTGAGATGCTATTCTCGACCTCTCTTGTAGCCCTTATCTTATCACCCAGACGCTTGCAGATTCAAAACACAAAGGTATCTTCATGTCATTATAGACACTTCATATAGACACGGAACTAACATTTGGAATAGCGACAATGCACAATATGTGAATTAACGTTTCCAACAACGGTTCTTGCAGTGAAGCTGAACCGCAAGCGACTTGTTATCGTCCTTGAGGATCAGATCTACCTTTATGATATCCAGACCATGAAGCTTTTGTCCACCATTGATACTTCACCAAACCCCAACGGTACAGAGCTCTTGCGCCTGATTTTTCTTCTTTCCTTTCAACGTGCTGTTTGCCCAGTTCTGACAAATCAACAGCAATTTGTGCCCTTGCACCATCCTCAGAGAATTGTTACATGGCATACCCTCTTCCACAAAAAGCCCCTGCAGCTGCAAACACACCAGCACATGCGCCACCTGGAACAACACATGTATCTCCCACAACCGGGGACGTTCTAATCTTTGATGCCGTAAAGCTAGAAGCTATCAACGTCATCGAAGCTCACCGCTCCCCTCTGGCACTCATTGCGTTGAATAGCGATGGGACTTTACTTGCTACTGCTTCAGATAAGGGAACTATCATCCGTATTTTCTCAGTCCCAGATGGCCACAAGCTGTACCAGTTCCGACGTGGCTCCATGCCATCACGAATTTACAGCATGTCCTTCAACACCACATCCACACTCCTATGCGTCTCTTCGTCCACCGAGACCGTCCACATCTTCAAGTTGACTCACCAAGGACCATCACCAGACGGCTCTTCATCGCATTCTCCAGGTCGGGACCATGGCTCTCCGCCAAATAACTATGGGTATTCACCCGAAGAGGACGAGACAGGCGGCGATGCTGGCTCAGATTCTTCCTTGCGGAAGCACAATGGCACTTTGATGGGGATGCTTCGTCGAACGTCTCAAAACGTCGGCGGCGCAGTTGCCGCTAGGGTGGGTGGATATCTTCCCAAGGGAGTCAGTGAGATGTGGGAGCCAGCGCGTGACTTTGCTTGGATCAAAATACCGCGATTGAATCCAGGTCCTGGTGGAAACACAGGCCCCGGACCGATGAGGAGTGTGGTTGCCATGAGTAGCAACACCCCTCAAGTCATGGTTGTCACTAGTGATGGCAACTTCTACGTTTTCAATATTGATCTGTCGAAGGGCGGAGAAGGGACGTTGACGAAACAATACTCGTAAGTTTGAGAACTCTCCTCAAGCTAGGCGGGTTAATTTTGATGCTAACACCTATACTACAGAGTCGTCGATTCAAACGATAGGCTGGGCTACACTGCGGAGTACTGAGAGCCAGTTCCCGGAAGACAAGTCAAAGTATAAAGGGATAGTTCAGCTCTTAGCAATTCCTTGTTCTCCCAATGCCTCTTTTCCATTCTTTCCCTGTGTTCGGCATTGGCGTTGACTGGCGCCTTTTGTCATGAATCATCTCTCTCCCTGAGCTTTAGCGTCTCAATACTCTCCTCCGGGGTCTTTAGTCATAAGTTCCCATCTCGTACATGGTGTATTGGTGGGTCTGCCTCATTTCATGGCTGGATATTCATCATTATATCCGCTGCTTCCAAATTCAAGGTCTTGAATAGCTGCTTTGGCTTCTGATATATTTCCTCTTGGAAGCATTATATGCATAGATATCTCGCAAGTTAGAGGGGGATGTGTTGGATGAACCGCGAGGCTCAAATTGATCAAAGCTGATATGTAAAGCGCGTATATACATAGAAACGAAGCATAGAACCGTCACCTCAACAGTCTAAAAATTCCGGCGGAACTTCTGAGGAATATTACCCTCGACAACTTGAATCTGCTCCAGCTTTTCGAGGGCAATAGCAGCATCCTCCTCCTCGTCATGCTTGCGGAAATGCTCAATATCTTCGGGGTGGGTCAAGTCCGCCTCCGTGGTATCATCGCCATGGTACTTTTCAAAGTGATGGATCTCGTACTCATATTCGAGGTCACCATGGTGTCCGGGGCCGTAGCCGAGATCGGGCAACCGTCTACCCGCAGCAATGCCCGCCAGCCAGTCCTCCCGGTCAATAGCCCCAGTGTTAGCAGGGTCGAAAAGGTCAAAAACGGCGCGCACAGCATCTTGTTTCTTTTCTTCACTGACACCGGCATTGGATTCGTCGTTGAGGCCGTATGTCTTGCGGACTTCGTCAGGTGTCCATGTCCCTGAGCCATCGTAGTCGTGGAGGATGAAGAATGAGGTCGGGTCAAAGGATTCAATGTGGTGTTCCTCTGGATATCACAAATTTAGCAAACGTCAACTTCTCCATTGGCGCATCAACATCGTGTCTTACCTATCATGTGTCTCGTGGCCCAATCATCTGAGGGAGCTTGGTCATTGGAATGCGAGCCATGGGCGTTGGCAAGCCCGCTCAACGCAAGCACCCCGGCAGCGAAACCGAACAATTTATTGACCATTGTATATCGTAAGAAAAGAAATTCGTTCGGGAAATTAAAACAGTAGATAGGTCTAAAGCTCTTGGTTCAATGGTGTCCAGGAGATATGGGGTCTTAGCTAGTTTGTAATGTTTGCATGATGACCCGAGCATTTGCGGAAGTGCAACCTTGGAAGATTATTTTGCTGCATTGCATGTTACCCCATCTATTTCCATACCCCTACTTGCGACGGGGCTCCGGGAGGAGTCCAATTGATTATTAGTTTGCAATATTACCCTTTGGATCACTGTGCGATAGCAATGCCCTGAGAATGCAGGGTTTATGGTCCCGTACTGTTTCGAAGCAGTCGTCCTGCCGCTGTGTCGGGTGTTTGAGCACTACTGCCAACGGCGTTACTTCACGTGCAGCAACCGCCAGTAAGAGACGACTTCGAATTGGAAACTCCGTTACCGCACTTTACGGCAGCATTTTCGCCGCCGCTGCTATTGCCGATGCAAGCGTGAAGGATCGCCGACGACATGACTGGGACGAAAAGATTGCCGCGGTGAAGGCCGAAGTGAGCGAATTGGTGGACGAAGAGGAGCGCATTTTGGCGTCATTACAATCACGAAGAGAAGACCGAGGACTCAATCGTCTAATACAAGGGAGGGGATTCGGCACTGTTCCTCGCTTCCCTCTCGGCATTCAATCCCCAACCGGCTTCAACAGAATAAGGGCTTTCCACACAGAAAGAACACGGTTCAACGCGGTCGCAGCTCGGATGGTGGAAAACCAGCCCGCCGAGGAGGACGAACACACAATTGATGAGCAGGATGAGAGCGAGATCTTCCTTCCGCAGGAGACGTTACCTAGCTGGGTCTTGGAGGATGATCTTCGTCTCAAGGCCATTCAGAAACTTGCCTTAAGGCAATTCGCTATCCGGATTTTGTTACGGCCGGCCATCGCACATCGTTACTCGGGCGTCTCAATGAATTACGCGGCAGATTTCGAGACTCCCCAGGTAAACGTCTCGCAGCTCCTGGAGGAGTTGAATCATCTTCGCCATCGAATGAACACCTTGAAAACGAACAGACACGCCACATACAGTGATATCACGCAGGACTATGCCGCGAGTCAATTGGGCGAGATGCAAAGAGAGCGCGAGACCCTCGATGCCGAGCTCACCAACGACATTTCAGTCTACACGAGCCAGCAGATGTCTCTCCAGGAACTGCTTATGCGGATATCCAACAACATCTTGAGCTCGAGGGACCCGGATCGACCAACAGCTTTCCGGCTCATGATCATGGCATTTGGCCAGACCCGCCAAAATGACCTCGTCGAGCTGCTTCTGCGGACATTATTGCCGAACCGGTTCTTCCTCAACCCTTCACTTGTGATCACAATCATCACCTTCTTCAGAAAATCGAAAAATCTCAAGGATTTCGATTTGTTCTTGAAGATGCTCGGTGGAGAAGGCTACTCTGTCAATCTAGGGAGCAGGGGAGTTTATAAGCACCGAACGGTCAATGGTATGGATCTCATCGTTCCATCTCTAAACAGCAGCAATCCGGTCATCTATGCTGCCTTGATAGGCGCCGCATTACGTTTCGACCAACCCGATCGAGCCGACGCTTGGCTCCAAGCTGCACGGGGTGGAGGTTTCTTTGATAGTTGGGAAACCCTGTTCACATATCTACGGTTCTACAGCCTCCGACGGGACTGGGATAAGGGTGTGAACGTTTTGAAACGAGCTGTCACATACCTCTTGTCGTCAACGGATCACCGTGTCGACTCCGTCGAGAGATTGCTTGGGCGAATGGTCGGCCTCTGCGACTCCTGTGACCGACTAGACGCATCGGATGCATTGGTGAGAGCCGCCGTGCACAGTGGCTTTGATCCAAGACTCTTATCACGACAGTCGGACTCAGGACCTTTCGTCCATGCCGATCCCAAGCGGTGGTCTAAGGCTGCCAAGCAAACACCAAAGGAGAACATTGACCGCCCCTTGTGGCAGAAGTGTTACGACTTTGGAAACACCTTCGGAGAATACCTGAGCCAAATTGAAGTGCCGGCAGAGAATACCTTCGCCCATCGCAATGCCAAGCTGGCCGATCAGCATGCAGATAATGCTCTTTTTACTGCCATTGGCCGAGGCCGAAAACCTGCCTCCGAGGGACAAACACCTTCTGGCAACACAGTAAATGAGGATATTTCCACGCTCAAGGGCGAAGTTGCCCAACTCCGCGAACTTATCTACGAGCTTCGCAAACACCACATCTCAGACCCCTCCACGAAAGACACCCACAACCCGACCACCGAAGAAACCATCCCTCCATCCGTCGAAACCATCACACCCCTCAAGACCTCTCAACCCCTAAATCCACAACTCAGTCGCAATTTCACTAGAACTTCTACTAGGATCAGCCTCGCCAGATCTACGTCAGCTTCGTCTCCACGGAAACCAAATAAGCGAAATAGGCGGCGAGAAACCAGTGCAGATCAACCATCACTGGAAAGCACAGCTCCTGTTGCCGAGTCCACATTATTTGCCAGCTGAGATGTGGATTCTGTTTTTTTTTTATCCCTCTAACCATGGGCACTGACTGTCCAGTCGAGACGGAGGAGATTTTTTGTATATTAAATGACTATATTTGTTTCCAATAGAGCATACAGAACACCTTGGGCAATCAGCCCTGTATGTATTAACGAGCCCAAGTCGTTGGCCGCGCACACAATTGATTTTTGGAAGAACATTTTATGATTTCGTTACTGTAGACTAGGCTGAGCCTATGTACATTGGATTTTGAATATGGAGATATCTGAATTTGTATGGAGTTTTGAACCCTGAGTCCTATAAGTCTTCGTACATAGTGTCAGACTTCATAGTCCAGAGCTTAGCTTTTCAACTCTTCAATCGATCTCACATTGAACCATACACTTCGACGTAGTCCCTTCTGACACATAGAAACAGACACGAAGAATGATATCCAGGAATCATAATTTCATTAATAATACTAATCCAGAATAAAACTCCAGCGGGGCCCGGGGGGATGGACCATGGGTATATAGATATAGAAACCCCAAAACAAAAGCCCCAAAGACAAGACCAAGACAGAACCAAAAGGAAACAAGACCAATCCAACACGAGCCCAACACCAAACCAAACCAAAAACAAATCCAAGTCCAAACAAAACCAAACCATAGTACATCCATGTGTACTATTTGAGCAGCAGGGGGGTCGGCCTGCGCGAGGAAGAATATGGGCGTATCCACCATCCCGGTCGGTTCCGGGGTAGGTAGTTAGAACAAAAAGACAGAAATCAACATGATCATTTCTTTTTCCTCCTCTTACCCAGTCCCCTTGCCCCTGAGGACTTCCCTGATGTCGGACAGGACGTCAGAGTCGACGTCCTCGGGCTGGTGGAGGAGGCGCAGGCCGCCCCGCAGCGCGATGAACTCCAGACGAGACCCGGAGTCTGTCCTTTGAACGTGGGGGACGTCCCCCCAACTGGGCAGCACGGCCAAGGGACTGTCGTTGCAATTGAAAAACTGAGTCCAACGCGAGCACCTTGGGATAAAGAGCGCGGACAAAACTTCATGTCACACAATTTTGTCAGGCGAGGGGAGAGGTTCTGCTTCTCCTCGGCTTCGCCAGCCTGGGAGGACTTCACGGCATCTTGCTCGGCCTTGCTTTTGTTGGCGCACGGGGGAGAGAGCTTCTTGGCTAGAGAGACGTTTTTGATTAGTATTGGCATACTTTCCAAGACCCACACTTCTCACAAGCGCTCCCCAAGTTACTCACCTTTCTTGGCCCACAACTTCCACCACGGACGCTGGTTCTTCTTCCTCCCTTCTTTCCTCTCCAGGAGGTACTCCTCGGTCTTCACACTCTGAGGGTTCCTCAACCGGGCTTGCTGGGCATTGAACCTACGCATATATCTATTAGAACGATGCATACAGCAAGAGAGAGCGAGTCAGACTATACATACCAGATAACCCACATCACTGTCCCCAAAACCAGAACCAGCCCACCCAGGCTACACATGCCAGCGGTAAGCTGGCCCTTCCAGGCGTTAGGGTCCCTGCAACGACAGACGGGATAAGTTGTGTTTGTAGCTATGATTATCTGTACCCGTATGAGATATTTTGTGATGTGCAGGCCTGTACTTTACGGAAGGTTAGTTTACTTATATACCTCAAGGCAGGTGCACCCAGTCCTTCAGATCACACCTGTAACTTCGCTTAAATTTAAATTGAGTATGGCTTAGTTTGATCTCACTCTTGCTTCAAATCGATAAATCCTTTGATCCCTAGTCAATTTTCATAGATCTTGAGTCTATGCATAGCAAGTATTTGTTGAATTTTCAAATTTCAGTCAAAATTTCGGTAAATCCTTCTATAACTTGAAAGATCAACAAGAGTGAATTAAAGCTGTTCTGATCATACCGTCGAGTTGTAAGCATTGAACCGTGGATGAGATAAACTGACAGCCTCAGGTTGTAGGTCCTGGCCAATAAAAATGAAGATATCTTCATACTTGATCTCCGCCGTTTCACGATGACTGGCGGGTTGTTGTTTGATATCCGACCTTATTTTGACCTCATCTCCACGGCAGTGCGATCTGTTTCACTTCGATCTAAAAAATGTGTGAAAGATCAAGAGAACACGAAATTGCTTTTAAGCTTGAGAGTGAATTAACTTTTCAGGCCGTTCCTTCCTCTTCGAACAGTGTGTACGAAGGGGTATAGCGCTCAGGGTATCAACCGTATATCAACTCTACCACCCACTATATGCCATTGGTCTTCTCTCACTTCTCTCACTTCTCATTTTCCCCTCACAACTATTACATGAACGAAACCATATGTCTTTCAAAATATAACCTACACTAGCAATCCTACATATGCTTTCTCATACTTCCATATCAATCTGGATTCCCAACCATGCCCAGGTGGAACCCTTATTTTGTTATATAATCTATGTAATCTGACTGGGCATGTACCTATGTAATTTTTCCATCGTTTCCATCCCTGTAATCCCTTAACTGATCTGTTTTTCTGCTTCTCATCCTTCGGAGTGCATGATATATCTGAGGTCTTCGGTTCTCATATTTGCGTCATGATTGGATATACTACGTCCACATGTAAACGTCCACTAATCTATTTTGGGCGTCGGCCTAGTGACGAAAGAAACTTCATTTCTACGTACCCGACTCACATTCCTTCTGCTTTAATATCTTTACCTAGATTTCCATATTTCATTCCTACTTCCTACCCCAGAGGTACGTACCGCTGAATCTTCCTTGCCTTCTACTCATACCAATCTTGTAGATCCACACACGATAGGATTATGGCGCTCTTCGATAGACCTGACGATAAAATCTTTTGCTTCGACCTGAATAGTAAAGAATTGCTGCGATACGGGTCAACTCCCGTCCTTCGGTTCAAACTCACGGAGTTATTTCTTGCCGAGCACGAGCTACGTGAACTAACGCAGCGTGAGGAATACTTACACCACAAGGTTATGGCCTTAGAAAAGGCTATGGCCATCGAATCTGATGGGAGGTCTGATGGGACTCAATTACAAAACACAAAGACCCAGCTTGAAAGGACTCAGTTGCAATATCCAAGAAAGGAGTACGCCCTTTACAAAGCAGAGTACAATTTTCATTCTGAGGTCAAAGAGCGCTATGATAGCCTAAGGCGTGATGCTAATTGGTATATGCGAGAAGAAATGGTTCAGGATTGCTCCGATCGAGGTGGATGTTGTAGTCGGGAATGTGGATGCTGTGAGCAGAGGCATCTGTCCAAAAGGAAGAAAGGCAGAGGCCATTGCACTGTCGAGTGTGGGTGCTGTATCGGCTTTCGAGGGTTTGAGCTCCCAGACAAACAAAAACAGGAGATGAGCAAAGATTTTGAGACTACGGTGAAAGAGCATAATTCGGCGTGTGCTCTGTATTTGGCAAATTGCTTTTTTTGCCCGTTGGAATCGAAGCTCCAGCTGTCCCGGTGGCAGCGAATGAAGGGGGTTCTCACTCCAAAAAAAAGTGAAAATACCCTCCAGTTTGCTTGAGAATCATTTGCTAAAATAATGGATTGCTTCACTACGCAATATAGTATCTGGCGTTTGAAGCCACTAATTCTGACGGCGGTTAGAAACTTATATTGCTTGAGGTTCTATCTAGGGGATTGGGTATGCTATCAATTGAATTAGTATTTGAGAGCTTTATATGTATATGTAATTTGTAATGACAGTTAGAAATTACAATATGGGCACTGACTGTCCAGTCGAGACGGAGGATATTCTTTTGTATGTTAAATGGCGACATTTGTTTCCAATAGAGCATACAGAACATCTTAGGCAATCAGCCTTGTGTGTATTAATGAGCCCAAGGTATTGGCTGTGCACACAATTGATCCTTGGAAGAATATTTCATGGATTTGTTACCGTAGACTAGGCTGAGCCTCTCGAGTACATTGAGTTTTAAGATATCTCATGGATTTTGATAAAATCTTTCAAATAAGGCAGGTCTTGATAGACCAGCCCAACATAATGACAGAAAAGGAGTATCCGGGAAGTATGGTATGGCACAGAAAAGCAAGAAAGAAAAAGTTCTATTCGATGTATTGACATCGTCATGAAAAGGAAGCAGTGCGAATAAACAAGCGTATCATGCGTAATTTTTAGGCTGAACAGAAACAAATGGTCTAGCGACGCTTCTCGGCACGGATCTTCTCCCTGTGCGCGAGACGATCAGCGGCCCGAGTAAGGGCAGAGCGGATGTCACCCTTGGGGAAGCTGTTGATATCGTAGTATGTAGGGGCGATATCCTGGAATAGGGTTAGTAAAATGTATAGTGATTATAAGAGAATGGGAGAACATACCAAAAGCCATTCTGGCTTGACGGCAGTGACGGTACGGATGTAGTTCTTGGTAGTGAGAACGAATTCGTTATACAAGACCCACTCGGCCTCATGAGCCAAGACGGTGGACGGGTGCAGGAGCACATTCTGGTTATCCTTGATGGTAAGGTATTGGCTCTTGCCACCTGTGTCCTTCTTGGCGACTTGCATGAAGAAACCGGCGCAGAGGGCACGGCGGATATTCTCGTAGTACTTCTTGTCCTCGAAGGGAGTGGAGACCATTTCGAGATCCTGGCGTTCCATGATGCGGAGCAGCTGGGAGCGGACGTTATCGGCGGACTGGAGAGCACGCTGGGAGAGGAAGTGGTCGTGGCACCACTGCTTGGGGTTTGCCTGGGCGTCACTGCCTCGGTAGGCGTGGTAGACGTTCAGCATTGTCAAGTGGTCTCCGTCGGGGTGGGCAAACAGGTTCTTCATCTCGTCGGCACGCTTGCGCTGGGCAGGAGGACGAACAAAGACCTGTGGCACAGACAGAAGGGCGGTGATGGAAAGGATTTCATTAGAGCAGTAGAATTCGGGAGAGCTGATCAACATAACAGCGAGGGCAGGGTCGAGAGGGAAGTCAGAGGCCAGACGACCAAGCTGAGTAAGGTTTCCATCATCGTCCAGACAGGCCAAATAGTTCAGTTCTTCCAATGCTCTCATCAGCGTCTCTGGCGCAGGGGGGTCCATCAAATCGAAGTGGACGAGATCGTCAACGCCAAGCTTCTTCAATTCCAGCACGGTTGATGACAAGTTTGACCGAAGAATCTCAGGGTAAGTCGACTCGATCAATTCCTTCTTGAATGCGCCCTCGGTGTAGAGGCGGAAGCACTTTCCGGGACGTGTACGACCGGCACGACCAGCTCGCTGCTGCGCGGAGGCCTTGGAGATGGGGGACACGAGGAGTGACTCGACACGAATGCGGGGGTTGTAAATCTTTTGCTTGGAGAATCCGGGGTCCACAACGTACACGATACCATCGATGGTTAGAGATGTTTCGGCGATGTTGGTGGACACGATGACCTTGCGGCCAGGGCGGCCACCTGGTCGGCGAGGAGGTGGTGCAGGGTCGAAAATGCGCTGTTGCATGTGAGGAGGAAGACTACCGTAAAGAGGGTAGACCTTGAGAGGACCAGCGTCAGCCTCGCGAACCATCTCATCTCCCTCGAGTGCGATTTTCCGCGAAGCATCCTCAATCTCTTCCTCACCAGTCAAGAAGAGAAGAATATCTCCCTCACCCTCGGTGGCGTGGATTTGCAGCACAGTCCGAACTGCGGCCTCGACGTAATCTTGCTCAGGCTCGGGGGTGTAGAAGATCTCGACAGGGTGGGTACGACCGGGGACTGCGAGAAGGGGAGCATCCATGAAGTAGCGCTGGAACTTTTGCGCATCCAGAGTAGCCGACATGATAATAATCTTCAAGTCAGGCCGACGCACCACAACTTCCTTCAAAAGACCCATCAGGATATCAGTCGCCATGGTTCTCTCGTGAGCCTCATCGAGCATGATTGTGCTGTAACGATTGAGGTTGGGATCGTTCATAGCCTCACGAAGAAGCATACCATCAGTCATGTACTTCATGATGGTCTTCGGGCCGGTCATATCTTCGAAACGGATACTGTAACCGACTTCCTCTCCAAGCTTGACATCCATCTCAGCAGCCACACGTTGGGCGACGGACATGGCAGCCACACGTCGGGGCTGTGTACAAGCGACCATTTTGCCCTGGGTTTGGGGGAGATCATCGTAGAGGACGAATTGCGGGATCTGCGTAGTCTTTCCGGAACCAGTCTCACCAACAAAGACAAGAATCTGGGACTGTTGGTAGAGTTGCAGGAACTCATCACTAGAATAAAGTAGTTAGTACATCTTTCTTTCCAAAATGGCTGTCAGGCAACACTCACCGTTGCGTGTGGACGGGCAAATCGCGACGGGTCTTCAGGATTGAGAAGTATTTGCTGGAAAAAGGTCTGCCACTGAAAGGGTTTATATCGCCATCTTCGGCCTTCTTCGCCATCGCTGAGGTTGTCTGGTGTCGCTTGAACTTGGCCAGGGCCCCGTTGTCGGAGGCATTGTCGTTCTCGTACATGTGAGCGAGGTAGGGGTTATTCTTTGGGTCTCCGCCGTCCATCTTCTGGCGCTTGGCGCGCGCGCCACCTTCGGAGTCAGATCGGTTATCGGACATGGTGGAGGTGAAAGGGGAGAGTGTGTTGAAGGGCAAACTCGGCGGAGAGAAGATGCTGAGATACCGAAGAAAAAAAATATGAGATAAGGCAGGTCGCCCGAGCGCCACAGCTGCCTATCAGGTTCACCGCCACTCTATTCTGCCGCTCTCCACAAAGGGATCGATAATCTTCAAGCTTGTTGACGCCCTGTGTGTTTTTGTCTGGACTACTCTGAGCTCATCTGAGGCGTGTGGCTTCTTCGGATAGAACTGCCTGATACCAAGTTTATTAGCTCTTCTGTTGCTCAAGAGGTTTTATCCACATCCCTAGTTCCAGACCACCCCCACCATTACGCCAGACTTCTCCGTCAATATGGAGAGCTACAATCCTTCCGATGATCCAGGGCCATCGTTCTGCATTGGGCACCATGAGCACAACAGACTGGTTACTGTGACCCCTCGGGTCATCCAAAACGTACATGAGAGCAATGTTGGTTCTTTCTCTCACCTGTAACATCTACCTTCGTAAATGCTAACTTGATTATAGTATGATATGATGACTGTCCCGATCACGACATCCCACTTCCACTCGCGGGTTCTTGGCCTGTTGTCCTCCTATTTGGCCAATCTGGAATCCCCAACTTACGATGTTGTTGGAACCATGGGTACTACCCAGAACACTCGGCCTATGGTCGTTCCGCCGCTCTCAAAGGCAGACTCATATCTCACCCCGAATGATGCAACCAGTCAACTGGTTGGTGTGATCAGCAGCTGGATTGATCTATGCTCACCCGACCCGTTGATTGCAGACTTGTCCCGGCAAGTTCTGATGTTGGAAGTTGCGTATGCTGCGTTTTGCGGGATTGGATATCTTTTGATTCCTGGCCCAAAGTTGCACCACGGCTCCTTGCATGCTGAGGGTGTTATATATTATGCGCGCGCGATCCAAGATGCCTTAGACCTCGGTCCCTACATCCAGTTTCATATTTGGCAGCAGATGGTTGACAACCCAGAGACCGAAGTTGATACAATGGGCGACTTGGCCCCGCTTGCTCGGGCAGAATACCTGGTGCCAGATGAGGGAACTCCACTCAAGGTTGATCCGTTTGGAAGCTGGGAAGCTTGGGATTCAATTAGAAAGACTTGCAAATACCACACAAGACTCCTCGTTGGTATGAGATCACCCCTCCTTTCAATGGCCTATCGCCATTGTAACAATATCTTGAACTAAAGCTAATATGAACCGCAGCCCTTTCTATGCCGAAGCAACTGCCGTCTCTGTATGTGCAATCCCGATGGCATTCGGAACCAGTGCGTTTATTGACGATTGATGGCTCGACGTTCCTCAAGAACCAGAAAGGATACCCAGTCTTGTCCAAGGCACACCAAGGTTTGATTGCAAAGATGATGCGTCTCCGGACTGCGCCGTGGATTATCCTTTGTGGCGTTGGTCCTATTCCTGGACTTGAAAATATCGAGGACCCTGATACCAACCAGGCTTCGCTGTCTGGATCTGACTATCCAAGCCTATCACAGGCTGGCAAGAAGCAGCACCACGATCCCACTCCACACCTCTCGTATATTCGCAATTTGCAGCTGCGCCAGCCCCCACGGACAGCGATTGAGAGGTTCGGTGTGGGATACCAAGACTATTTGCAGGCACCTCTACAGCCGCTGACAGTCAATCTGGAGAGCATCACATATGAAGTATTTGAAAAGGACCCCATCAAATACGAGTGGTATGAGAAGGCAATCTGCAAGGCGTTGAAAGACTGGGCGGAGCAGAAGAAGGCCACGTCCCACCCGGACGGAAAGGTGATTCTCGCAGTTGTGGGAGCTGGTCGTGGCCCGCTAGTCACTCGTGCACTGAAGGCTAGCGCAGATGCTGGAGTGGAGATTGATCTCTGGGCCGTGGAGAAGAACCAGAACGCGTTTGTGTTGCTACAGCGACACAACGACACAATCTGGGGTGGCAAGGTCACCCTGGTCCAGTCAGACATGCGAAGCTGGAAAGGACCTCTGGTCCGACAGCAGTCGACTACCGCTGCTACGGGCTCGGTCGGCGAACCCCAAGACTCGGCTATGTGCCACACCCATGTTGATATCATTGTCTCGGAACTGTTGGGCTCCTTTGCGGACAATGAGCTTTCTCCAGAATGTCTGGATGGTGTGAACGACGTGATCCACCCCGCCCACGGCATCTCTATTCCTGCCTCATACTCGGCACATTTCACTCCGGTTTCCGCACCCAAATTGCACGCCGATGTTGTGCACCAGACGGTGTCCAACCCGGCCGCCCCAGAGACCCCATACGTCGTGATGCTTCACGCCATTGACTTCCTCTCCACTACTGATACGCCTGCCAGTGTTGAAAGCTCCAACCCCAACAATGGAAACCGGGCATCCACCCCGTCGTCGTCATTCTCCACTACTGAATTCCCTACTCCCTTTGTGCAGACCGCCTGGTCTTTCTCTCACCCGAACCGACACATCCCTACTCAGTCCCCCATGCAGTCGACTATCTCGAACGCCCACAATGTGCGCCAAACACGTCTTGCCTTCCCCTCCCAGAACCGAGGTGTGTGTCACGGTCTGGCCGGCTACTTTGAAACCGTGCTCTACGACGATGTGGAGTTGTCTACCAACCCGGTGACCATGGACGCCAAGAGCGCAAGCATGATCAGCTGGTTCCCCATCTACTTCCCCTTGAAGGTCAGTTTTCTGAAATATCCGACTTTATCTCTCGCTTCTTTTCTTTCCATCATACTGACATTTCTTCCCTAGACCCCTCTTAGTGTCCCCGAAAATGGTGAGATTGTCGCCACGATGTACCGTCAAACCGACGACCGCAAGGTCTGGTATGAATGGATGGTCGAGGTCTATGCCCTTGAACCTACTGCGGCATCTGCCAAACCCACTCCTATGAGCTATGCGCGGGCTGGGTCTCCCGGCATGGAAAGCCTGAAATCCAAGGAAAACGCCACGAAGCAAACTCCCCGTACTGGCTATCGCCGCGTGCGGGTGGGCATGAGCGACTTGCACTCTAGCATCAAGGATGGCTGTTTAATGTGAAATCTATTAGCCAGAGTTGAATAAAAGTTCAAGCCATTAGTTCTAGTATTGCTGACGATTCAAAGTTCATTTCATTTCAGCGAAAAAAAGCCGAAAATCCCTCAGACTAACGTCTGAATCCACATGGAGTATATTGCAATAGCCAAAAGATCTACATAGTAGCCCAATAAATCCCAATGCTACTCCGTACCGTATATGGCAATTGGTGTAAAAATATTTCCCCAGACATGTTCGGGCCGAGCAGGTCAAGCTTCTGCCGATTTATCGGTTTGCATGTGATCGGAATTAAACCGATTTCGACAGACATATATCATCCCATATTATTGTCCGGAGTACGGAGTTCTTTAGTCCCCCGCGATCTGCATCTTACTGCAGGGCCGGGCTGACCGGAACGAGACAATTCAGCTCCACCGCCCCACGGTTTACGACCGATTGGATACAACAAGGGGCGTGATCTATATTTCGTCGATCATAGTATGAATCGGGAATATCCTCCGTAAGCTGAACTGTGCCAAATTTTCTCACATGGAACATGGACCGGACATTGTGATATCTTGGTACATCATGGGAACAAGGCTTGCGCAATTGCGGACCCAAGTCAAGAACTATATGGATCCCTCAGCTGTAAGCATATAAAGCCGTGGATTCCCCGCGGTTGATGTCTCCAGTCTCGACAGGATACCGACATTGACCACAAGCCATCATGCGTTTCTCTTTCTTCACGGCTCTATCCGCAGTGGCTTCGTTGAGTCATGCCCTACCCGGTAAACTGCAGGCTCGAGGTATATCACACATGTTTTCCAGTGTACATTGACTGCATTACTCACATATCATTAGATGTTTCGACCAACGAGCTGAACCAGTTCGACTTTTGGGTCCAGTATGCCGCCGCGTCATACTATCTTGATGTCTATACGGCTCAAGTGGGCGCCAAGATTGTTTGTTCGAAAGGCAACTGTCCCGACGTGGAGAAAACGGGGGCGACTGTATTCTATGACTTCTCGGAGTAAGCAACCCCAAATGGAATCCATACCCGTGACAAGATACTCACACAAACACAGCACCACCATCACCGATACTGCTGGCTTCATCGCAGTAGATCACACTAACGCAGCGGTTGTTCTTTCCTTCCGCGGGTCGTACTCAATCCGTAACTGGATCACCGATGCTTCATTCCTATACACAAACCCCGATCTCTGCAAGGGATGTTTCGCCGAACTCGGCTTCTGGAGTTCCTGGAAACTCGTCCGTGACGACGTCATCAAAGAACTGAAAGAAGCCATATCCCAGAACCCAAACTACGAGCTGGTCGTAGTGGGCCACAGTCTCGGTGCCGCCATTGCAACCCTTGCTGCTGCTGATCTCCGGGGTAAAGGATACCCGTCGGCTAAGTTGTATGCGTATGCCTCTCCTCGCGTGGCGAACGCGGCTTTGGCGAAGTATATCACGGCTCAGGGAAACAACTACCGCTTCACTCACACCAATGACCCGGTCCCTAAGCTGCCGTTGTTGACTATGGGCTATGTTCATGTCAGTCCTGAGTATTGGATCACGTCACCTAACAATGCTACCGTCAGTACTTCTGATATTGATGTTATTCAGGGGGATGTCTCATTTGCCGGGAATACTGGAACTGGCTTGCCGTTGCTGACGGACTTTGAGGCGCACATATGGTACTTTGTGCAGGTTGATGCTGGTAAGGGCGATGGACTGCCATTCAAGAGGGTTTAATTTTGATCAAGTGCCCTTAACTTTGATAGATTATATAATAACTAGGCAACGATGATATAAAGAATAATGATGGGTTTCCAAGTTATGCATGGCATGGTAGCATGTAATACATGTAATTGTGCCGAGTGCAGTAAGGGGTAGAAAACAAAAATTTCCAACTTGATTCGAAGCTCAAAGAACAAATAAGGTTGAAAGATAAGCAATTCGCTCACCTCCGGACCTCAGGAGACGTCCAGTCGGAGATCCGTCGGCTTTGGACTAAAAAGGCGAGATTAGGACGATCTTAGTGGTTTCTGGGCTGTCGCGTTTAAGCCCAGCAATATATATAGTGGATATCCCTTGTGCGGGGTTATCTAAGTCAATGATATAAAAACCCCCCGACGTGAACTTTTGGAGATATTTTCATCCAAAATGGTGTTATATACCAAGCTTTTATTGGCAACATTGGCGCACTTGGCCACGGCACAATTTGTGCCCGCGCCAACCGACTTGATTACCAAGAAAGGACATGCCGGTATCAATGTGCGATATAAGGAAGTGCCTGCTGGAATTTGTGAACAAGATCCCAATGTGAAGAGTTACTCTGGTTACGCTGATGTTGGTGAAAACGAGCATATTTTCTGGTAAGCATGCCTGATATAGATGAGCTTGAGGCAGCGACTGACTAGCACAGGTGGTTCTTCGAGGCTAGAAATGGTGACCCTAAAGATGTATGTTGCGACGGTATTTGAGTATTCACAAAATGTACTGACAATCAATAAGGCACCACTTACGGTTTGGATCAATGGAGGGCCGGGATCGTCTTCGATGATTGGTCTATTCCAGGAATTAGGGCCATGTGGAGTTGATTACGACGGAACTGTATACAACAACCCGTATTCTTGGAGCAACGTGAGCAATATGGTAAGTTTGCTTTTTTTTCCCCAATATTGTTTGTCGTGATTCTAACTAAACCGTCGATAGCTCTTCGTTGACCAGCCTGCCACGGTTGGACTGTCATATACAACTCCCATTCCAGCCTACGAGGATAACGACGGCAACATCGTCCAGCTGCCCAGCGAGGAATGTCCCGACTACGCGCAGCAACTTGGAACATGCGGTACATACTCCAAACCAGACATCGGCCTAGTCCCCAATACAACCGCAGGTGCGGCCCCGAATATGTGGAAGACACTACAAGGGTTCATGGGAGCATTCCCCAAGTACTCGAGAAACGGCATCAACTTCGCGACTGAGAGTTACGGGGGGCACTATGGCCCAATCTTCAACGGTAAGGACCCCAGGTATGCATGCACACGACCGGCGCTAACTTCAGACCAGAGTACTTTGTCAAACAAAATGCCAAAAAGTCACACGACAAGCCCCACGACTCAATCAAGATCGACCTTGAGAACGTCCTCATTGGAAATGGCTGGTTCGATCCGTTGATTCAATATCAGGCCTACTACAATTTCTCCATCTCCCCCGGAAACTCATACGACTACAACCCATACAACGAGTCCGTGCAGGCAGAGTGGTACAACAATCTTTATGGTGAAGGAAACTGCGTCGATCGGACTAGAGAATGCTACGCGACCGGCCGGGATGATATTTGCACTGCTGCGGATAACTTCTGCGCTTCGAAGGTTGAGTCAATGTTTGATATCTACTCTGGACGTGACGAGTATGATATGCGAGAGTTGACGCCCGATCCGTTCCCGTACGCCTTTTACGTCGAATATCTCAACAGTCCTAAAGTCCAAGCTGCGATTGGAGCATACCAGAACTACTCAGAGTCCTCAGGAACTGTGGGTAATGCGTTCGGAAGTACAGGTGACGACGACCGCGAGTCTGGGACACTCGAGGCTGTGAGGAAGTTGCTTCAAGCTGGAGTACAGGTTTCGCTGTATTTCGGAGATGCGTGAGCTTTCCAACGTCGTGAGGTTAATAGAGAGACCATGCTAATTTGTGCTCTAGTGATTACAATTGCAACTGGCTCGGTGGACAAGTTGTGGCTGAGGAGACCAATGCCCGAGGGTATGAACATGCAGGTTTTGTGGACATCACCACTTCGGATGGTATTGTCCATGGACAGGTTCGTCAAAGTGACTTGTTCAGCTTTGTGCGGATCTACGAGTCCGGTCATGAAGTACCTTTCTACCAGCCGTTGGCTTCGTTGGAGATGTTCGAGCGAATTCTTTTGAGAAAGGACATCGCGACTGGCAAGAAAAATCTGAAGCCACAAGGCGGTTACCGCACACATGGAACACCGACGAGCGACTACCGAGAGGGTAACAGCACGGTGGTTATGGAAGTTCTTGATAGCAGTGCGACTTACAACACCACTCTCAACGGACCGAACCCACCGAAACCATCTAGCTCAGCCTCAGTCAGATTACGCAGACAGGGTAACTGAGAAGTGCGTGAAGAGCAAAACATGTACGACTAGTCTAGCAAGTGAAGAGTGATTTACCGTGCAATGTTTACTTCTGAGTACTTATGCTTGAGTTTGTTTGTGAAATTTGAATTTGAAGTTAAAGACAAATGTGAAAGCCCACCCTTTCCATGTCTGAGTACATTGACGCCGCGTAAAACAATTCCAAGATTCAGTTCCTCCGTTTGATTCATTCCATCTGATATCCCTCTTGGAAAGGTTAAAAGTAAGGCGGCGTGGTGACACAAGTAGTGATCTACTCGGTCAGGTTGGCGGTGTCGTCGGCATTGTCGGTCTGAGCAGACTCCTCAGTGGGCTCAGACTCAGCCTTGACAGCTGCCTTGCGGCGCTTGGCAGGCACGGTCTTGGTAGAGGCATTTTTGTCGACACCAGGATTACGAGTGCGCGACTTCTTGACTGGGGAACCAGTGTTTTGGTCCTCAGACTTGACAGCGGTGTCAGACTTGGCGGCGGGATCAGACTTGGTAGCAGTTTCGGGCTTGGAAGCGGTAGAGTTGATAGGCGATCCCTCACCAAGAATGGCTTGAAGGCGACCTCTGGCACGATAGTAGTTGGTGGATGCCGAGGTCTTCTTCATACCAAGGAGACCAGCGAGTTTCTCCATATCGATCTATAAAATGGATAATATTATTAGACAGAGCTAGAAAGATGTCAGATAAATGACGAAGACCCACCTTTCCTTCATGACACAGGCTAGCATAAACAAGCAGCCGGGCATCCGCCTGTTTCATCTCAGACAGCGAGCCCTCCAGCTTGATAGGAGATGACATATTGTTGATAGAAGTGATGAATAGTAGATGAAAACGATGTATGGTAGTGCGTGTGGATGAGTTTGGGAATGCGTGTGGATGAGATTGGAAGAAGAGGAAGAGTGAACAGGAGGTCAGGGAGCAGAAAGTTAAGGCACAATGTCGAAAGAGGAAGGGGCACAAGTGACGGTGGAATTTGCGACAGGGTGCGCTGAGAATATTCGTTCGGAATTCGTTCACAGGACAGTTACAACACTAAAGTTATGTATCCAGGCTAGAGGTCATTCCTTCCCTCACTAAACCTCTTTTTAGATCAAGTGATATACCTGTACCTGTTGTTATTTTATTTGCTCTGTTTATTAATGATACTTTCACTGCATATAACATTCTGATTGTTCTGATATTTAGAACTCGCGACTGACCCATGTGCCCTCCACGCCTTGTAAAACAATGTATCTGTACGTACAGTTGGATCTCCATATATTAGACAAACATACAGAGGAACCTACACAGCAAATCCATCATGGAGTAATATCAAGAGGCAGTCTTGCCGCCGCAGTCGGGGGTCTTGAGACCCTTCTCGAGCTTGCGTCCGGACTCCATCAGACCCCATACATCCTCCCATTCCTCTTTCCCGGGCGTGTTGAATTGGATTTTCCATGGTTCGTCGAAAGCCTCGAACCTGTAGAGGGTGTGAGTAATTTCAATAGACCGAGAGGTTGATGAATAAAAAGACATACCAGAAATAATCAGGTCCATTTTCCAATGCCGGACAGATCCAGTCAGCCATAAAAATGTTCATGTTATCGACACTGGCGATAGAGCTAGGCATGTCGTCGTGGAGTATACAACGTAATCCAATTTTGACTGTATACTCTGCAAGTGAGGGTGAATGACTAAATTACTGGCAATATTATCTAATGGGAGAGTTGTGCACACTTAGTCGCCCGTACCATGCGGAAAGACACAAAACCAGAAGACAGTAGCTGCATACGTGGATTTGTATACAGACCAAAAGCTTGATTTTTGACTTGCAAAACCGTCCAAAAACATGGAGATACTCCTATTTGTATGAGATGAAAAGTTTCATTTTTGACTTGCAAAACCGCCCAAAAACATGGAGATACTCCCATTTGTATGAAATGAAAAGTTTCATTTTTGATAGCTACAGTATAATAAATTTACCATACACTGTAGTTATAAGTCTGCGTAGATACCCCCAGCCGGTCAGGCGGACACCCCTGACATGTGTTCTGCCTTTTCCACTGTATATGATTTTATGCCTGAATGCCTGACTTTAGAACGGCAGAAAAGTTAAAATACCTGAAGTTCTACCTACCTAGGTAGGTATTAACGTATTCGGTAGTTAAGCGAGCTGCGCGCGCAAGCCAGCTGCGCAGCCCAAAACACATAGTAAAAGTGATGCACTTGTCATTTCTATTTCAACAACCAACGTTTTTATCATATTGAATTTCTTGCCGATAGCAACCGATAAGCATTTTAAGTGTTATCTAACAGTTTCGCCTAAATCAAAAGCCTGCATTGTCATGGTATCAAAAAATACATCGCTACACCCGAGAAATATATATATCTCTATCAAAACCCTATCAAATTCCTATAAAGTCTATATGATAGCTAGATATCATATAAAATGTGTTAGGCTATAAGGAAAAGTTCATATACACAACCGTTGTTGCAATATCATGTTGTAATTTATCGCTTTTACTATGTGTCTTGGGCTGCGCAGCTGGCTTGCGCGCGCAGCTCGCTTACCGAATACGTTATATGTGCCTTAGTAATCAACATAGCCTGATTTCGCAGGCGTTTACAAGCGTCAAAATTGAAGCTTTTGATCTCATACGACCATCATTTTTGACAAATGTATTCTAAAAGTAATGATGTCTACTCTTTGTGGATCATTCTGGGAACTTGAAGGTCCGTGTAATCTCGTCGCCCCCTGGCTGCATCCGCTTTTCAATGAGATACTAGATGAAACATCTCCCACTGTTGACCATGAGTATGAAACACTCGCTTTAATCGGCGCAATACGCCGACCAAATTTAGGTGCTCTTGGATTGGAGCGGTTGCAGGTGGGCTAGCCCCAACAATCGTTGCGAACGTCAAGACAGCCTGTCCTCCTCTCGATGCACTTTCTTTTCCCTGGACTGGCTGTCTTCAAACATTCATGGACAGTGCAGGTTCGGGTCCATCCACACATGGAAATCCCGAATAAATCTCAAGGCCAGAAATATGGCGCCTACTACATCTTCTTCAAATCGAGACTCGAAAGGGCTGGTTGATCAACTTGAAGATCGAGTGAAAAACTGGCTCAATTCAGTCGACTAACGAAATTCTAGTCTGTCAAGTGTGGATTTTAACTGATATAAATAGCGCGGCACGGATGGAAGAGGCTATAGCTTGTGTGTTACTGATGGCCTAGTAGACATAAACGAATACTTAAACAACTTTTGAAAATAGATGCCACGGAACCCTACTGCCCCCCATGATCCTGAGTCAGGCCACTGAGCTCCAACCAACATTGCGTTGCTTTGACTATAGGCCACCAAAACAAGTCTTCTCCAATCATGAAGGGATAATGCAGTCGTTCCACTCTCAGCCTCAAGGATAAGCAGGTCAGTGCGGTAAAATAGGCGAAATAAACCAGGGCCCATGAAAGATTATAGCTCCGCTGATTTTGCCGTTCTGGCGCTTACGTTAGCATGTGATTTCTGGTAGTTCTGTAGTCCATCTCGGTTGGTTTCAGGTTGCCCTTGCGGGTTTGACTTAATCGCCAGGGGATGTTACACTGGCCCTGTCGGGTCTGCATCATATGACCTGCTCTAGCAATGGGTTGATACTAAGCACCTTGTCACATCGGGGGATGCTAGAAACAGGGGAATTCACCACAAAGCAAATCAGATTAAGTCACGGATGTCATTATGCCGTTATCATCTAGGGTTTAGACTAGAACTAGGTCCAGACCTGCCCTCGCTGTAATCTGGCTATTCTATAGTGCTTCATGGTTATGGAAATTCAAAATCGGCAAGTTGAATGGACACACGCTTTTGGTACGGAGTAGAAGTTCCTGAAATTGAAAGGTAGACTTTGGTCTATTATAAATTGCAGGACACCGATGAGCTTGAACGCAATAGCAAAGCAAATATTGTAAGACATGTTAATTTAATTAACTCTGCATAAAGCTGCAGATAGGAATTAATTAATAAACAAGGTACGGAGTACTCCGTACTGAATATAATATAGACCGAAGCTAAGAAGGCAACAGTTCCGAACATAGTAGGACAAGGGGCTAGATTTCGACATTCTAGAAAAGAAGATTAACAGGGATTAATAATAAATTGCTCAAAGTGGCGTTTGCCGATGAACAGGTTATGCGAGTTGATAGCTTCATAGTAAGTGGAGAGTGATTCATTTTTAAACGAATCCCAAGACCTCTTGGCAAGTAAACTTTTAACATCCCTGCAAGTGTAATGTAATTTGCTTTTTATGAATTTCTGACCACAAATGGACTGAGTTTCAAACCAATCATCTCTATTAGTCCGGCAATCTCGCCTTCACCTTCAGCCACGACTATGAACGCCTAAAGTTAACCTGATACCACGTACACAACATGCGATACCCGCCCATTACCCGCCACGCACATGGCTTTAAGCCTCTTGGTGCATCTTTTCTGATTCACTATCGCCGTCATGCGTCCGGAGTTGAAAAACACCTGGACTCCTGCGATCAATGTCTTGACCTGGTTTATGCTGGTGACGGCTATTCTAAGTGTCTTGACACGTCTAGGGACGAAGTACTTCATTTTTCGGAAGTGGACATTTGACGATGGCCTCGCTACTGCTTCGCTGGTGCTCTGTATTGCGCAGTCCATTGTGGTCTCGGTAGCGACGGCGCATGGACTGGGACAGCACCGTGATATGCTGTCAGATCACTCACTTGAAACCATGATGAAGGTAAGAATAGAATTATGCCTTTCTTGAATCCTTCCTAATGAGTTTCAATCACTCCAGGCTGAATACGCGGCGACCATTCTATTCATTGTCAGCATTTGCTGCTCGAAACTATCGCTCTTGGTCTTCATTCGCAACTTGACACCCGCGTCCTTGGATCGCCGTTTTGCACTCGTGCTGGGAATATTGATCGGATTGTGGACTGTTGTTAGCATTTTCACGGCCGCCTTCCAATGCGGTGTACCAGAGACATGGAATTATCTATACGGGAGTTGTTTCCACCGGGTGAGTGATTTGTCTCTATACATAACCACGGCAGTCGCTGACTTTATAGGCTGCGTGGTGGAATTACCTCGGCATCACGAATATATTGACGGAGGCCGGGATAATGGGTCAAGCGCTGCTAGTTATCGTTCGTATCCAGACCGATTTCAGCAGAAAGGCTAGTTTGTCTAGTGTATTCTTGATCCGAGTTATGTACGTGCTGAATCCATTCCATATTGCGAGAATTCACTAACGAAGATGGCACAGTGTAATTATCGCGATTATTTGCCAACTTGCTTACGCCAGTCAAAAGAATTCCACCGATTCTACTTTTGATGGCTGGGCCGTCGCAATTTCAACGCAAGTGGCTCAAACCTTAAGCATTGTCACTGCCTGTTCTCCCCAATTCAAGCCTTTCTTGGATAACCTTCGGTCATCGGGAATGGGGTTGGGAATGACGAGCTCCAACTATGCCAGCAAACATAGGACATATGCTATGAGCACGTACAAGCACTCCCGTCGCACCCAAGGCACCCAGGGAAGTGAAACTCACGAGCTAGTCTCAATGCCCCAAGGGACCCAGACTGTGGTGACTGCTCGGGACGACGACAATGAAAGCCAGTCCAGTCGATCTAACATAATTATGGAGACGCGGACCTGGACCGTGACTGGAGAGTTACAAAATTGAATTTCAGCTAAAATCATGAGATTTGAAAAATTGAGAAATCCTTCGATCCACTTTTGTGCATATTTCTATATTGTTTCTAGACATTGCGCTTTTTCCTTTTATAACCATCCACGAATCACAATGTACGATAGGGTGTGATTGTACACCCCACTTCAATGTAACAAAAAAAGTCCAATCAACTTCATACAAAGGACCGCTAAGGACACTAAGGACCACTAACGGAATATCCGATAAACTTAAAAAAATTCCAGCCATTTGCCGTTCGGCTGCCGGGAGTGATTAGCGTACCCGGATTCGCATCGCTTACAAGACAACCTTGGAACTTTGGAAGTCAAGCCACATAATTTCAGACAATGCCTAGGTTCATTAGCCGGCCTCGTGCTACCCCTGCTGCATTAGCGTCTAACAATCTCCCCAACCACATGTAACTATGTGCAGAATTGATTGCGCTAGTTTCAAACCTTTTGCCCCTTGAACCTTCGACGTCCATGGCAAAAGCCTGCATTATTCTCCTCTGATCTGGGGATTTTGCTTTTTTTTCTTGCAATCATACGGCAATCATTCATTATGCTGTCTAAATATTCGAAACAGATGTCTTCGGGGGCACAGGAGATGGACAATCTATCAAGGAAGGAGCTTGATGATGCCAATCTCGCCCGTATGGGCAAACGCCCTGTCTTGAAGGTAGATGATCTGGAAGAATGCAAATCGGATACGGACTAACCGAAACAGCGCAACTTTGGTTTGATGTCAATGCTGGGTTTCAGTTGTACAATTCTGATTACCTGGGAGGGAATTGTCGTGTAAGTGCCGGGAAAGATTAAGCCTGAGAAAACGTTAGCTGACACTGTGAATAGGCTATTCTTGCAAGCATATCAAAAGTAAGGGGCCTGGATGAGATATTGACCCCGCAGTGCTAACAGTTACACAGTGGAGGTCCAGCTGGAGCTGTATATGGATTTCTTTTCGTTTGGGCTGGTGTCGCAGCTACCTTTGTCGTTCTATCAGAATTGGCTTCTATGTACGGAATTATCTCCCTGCTATCTGGATTGAAGCTAACTGGTTAATAGGGCACCCACATCTGGAGGACAGTACCATTGGACATCCATGTTAGCCCCGCGATCGTGCATGAAACTCATGAGTTACATCACAGGTCAGTAGAAGATCAACAGAGCCATGCAAAACTAATGTTAACACATTTCATAGGTTGGCTTACTGTCATTGGGTGGCAAGCAACATTCGCAACCTCGTGTTATTTGGTTGGCACCTTGATTCAAGGCTTGATCTTACTCACAGACAATACATATGTGCCGAAGAACTGGCACCCGACTCTCCTATTCTGGGCCGTCGTGGCATTTTCCGTCGCCATCAACAGTGTTGGAGGAAAGGTTCTTCCTCGATTCGAGGGCATGATCTTGATCCTCCATATCCTTGGCTTCTTCGCTATTCTCATCCCCTTGACTTACATGGCTGATCATGGAACCTCCAAGGAGGTCTTTACCCAATTCCTCAACATGGGCGAATTCCCGTCTCAAGGACTGTCGTTCTTCGTCGGAACCGTCGGCTGTATCTTTGCGTTTGCCGGTGGTGATGCCGCGGTTCATGTGCGTCTCTCCATCGAAACTATTCAAACATTTAGGCCGTGACTAACCGCAACTCTCCATCTAGATGTCCGAAGAAATCACAAATGCCGCCGTCGCAGTCCCCACCTCGATCATGCTGAGTGTTTTGATCAACGGATCCTTGGGCTTCGGCATGTTGCTCGCCATGCTGTTCTGCAGCGGTGATCTTGGATCCTCCCTCCAATCACCGACTGGATGGCCCTTTATGGCCATTTTCCTAGAGGCAACAGGTTCCGTAGCCGGAACCGCCGTAATGGCCTCAATCGTTACTACCATGGGTGCCACCACCTCCGTCGGCATGTTGGCGTCGACTTCGCGCCAATTTTGGTCCTTTGCTAGAGATCGCGGCATTCCCGGCTGGCGATTGTGGAGCCAGGTAAGATTCATTTTCTAACCCCCTACGCGCTGGTCTGGATCATCAAGCTGATTTGAATACCCACAGGTCACCGAGGGCTCTGCCATCCCCCTCTACTCTGTTTTAATAACATCCGTGATCGCCTGCCTCCTCGCACTCATCAGCATCGGCTCCCCCGTCGCCTTCAACGATCTCTGCTCAATGTCCATCTCCGGCCTGTACCTTTCATACATGATAGTTGGTAGTCTTCTCCTCTGGCGCCGTTGCACGGGCGGCATCAGCTCTGCTCGCAGCAGCAATTCCGACGTCGTCAATACCGCCGGCGCGAAGCTCGTCTGGGGCCCGTTCCATCTCCCCGGCATCTGGGGTATTCTCATCAACGCCTGGGCTTTGATTTACATGACCATCGCTGTGTTCTTCACCTTCTGGCCTACGTCTTGGGTGGTGAGTGTTGAGACTATGAACTACAGTGTTGTTGGAACTTTCGGAACCATCATCCTCAGTCTCATCTACTACTATGCTCGGGCGAGAAATGTCTATACCGGACCTATCATGGAGCATATTCAGTAAATCAATGTCTACGGACTTGGGAGGGATTTTGTGATTTTGTGACTTGTACTTGACATTGTATATAATTTTGTATAATTTTGGATATATTGTTGAGTTTCGCGGCCTTTTGGTTTGAGCAAGAGATAAAAAGCTTATTGAATATATTCGCGAATCAAAGTACACATTCAACTTTTTTTCAGATCAAGCCCACAGTGTAATGACTTGTGCAACGTGGATCGGGAAATCTGTCTCGTGTACACAAGAATAAAATGTCCAAGCTCAGTGAAGCACCATGTTTTCGGATGTGAACCGAAACGTGGAACTTAAAAGTTACCCGTGGGGCCATTCGATTTCATGCGGGTGATCGTCTCTACGGCTATCGAAACCAGGTATCCCGATGAGTACCAGTATCATAGCCAATCAGCATATTGGGTCGAGTTATTTTTCTTCTTCCATAAAGCATGTAATGAGACTATTTCGATATATATTCTTTGGCATATAATTAGAAGCATGCACCTCAAAAAAGTCGAGAGTCTCAACAAGACTCGGATACCCACATACCCGAGATCACAAGACATCTATTTCCGAAAACGAAGAAAAAGCAGATATATTCCCATTTCCAACAAAGCGGTGTGCTAAGAGGCAACTCAGTAGGCGCTGTTGGTATCGGCATTTCGCCTTGTTGCCTTTTCGAGGCACCAAAACCAACACTATCAGCCACATGCAAGGGATATCACAAACGGCGCGTGAAGGATTCGGCGCAATTAAAAAAAATATCATGTGACGCCGTGGCGTCGGAAATCCCGTTTGTAGATCTCGATAGATCCAATCTGCAAGGTTCCACGCCTTGCAGATCGTTTAACGGGACGCCTAACACGTGGAGTGGATCTTTGAGCGGACTACTTAATTTACTCCATACATAGTACACATTATAAAGACAGGTGTTGTAAGGGATGTGTGAATGTGTGAATTGTCAGATTCTTGTGGGTATCGTAAATAATTAATAATAACGTAGTCTGCGCAGACCGACCGATCTATGAATAACATGCAGGTAGTGCGGTATGCGCAGAATCTTCAAAGTAGCTCGAATTAAAATCAAATCCAATTTGTCTCAAACGACGCATTGTCATGGTATCATAGTAGTAAAAGAATGGTGTAAACGCCTGCCGAAAATGGAGCCCAGGTATCGAGGAATCATGACTCAAAGAGTAGGGAGTTTACGAGAAGCAAGATGGAAAGAGTGGGACAGGAACGCTAAAGCAAATCAAAAGCCCAGGGCGTATCAACTGATGAATAATTCTCAGCGATTGCCGGATGGCTGGTTCATCTGTACTGGATGATCCTCGTATTGCAACTGGTGTGGGGGAGGCCATAGGTAGAGTGGTAGTTGGTCCTGAAAAAAAGCATTAGCATTTGCTTTTTGCTGGTAACAATTTCCTGGCACTTACTGTGCTCTCGATCTTCGTCAACGTAGGATCGATATCAATTTCCGAGCTCCAAATCGCCGGGTCCATTTGCTGGGGCGAGGAAAAGGCTTCAGGTTTTAGAATGCTCCGGAGATATTGATCGATGGCAGTTACCATCTCTACTGGCATGCCCGAAGTGGGATATTGGGGGTTCGTAAAAGAGTCGCTCGCGACGGGTGAGCTGCAGATCTCGTTCGTGTAGGTTTCGTTCGTATAGGAGTACGGGGATGGGTGGTCATCAACAGATGTGGAAGACTGGCTCTGGCCCCTAGAGTACTGGGGACATGACATTGAAGAATCCATGCTTCCCCACACGCCGGAATAATTGGTGTCGGGTTGAAATGGAATTGGGGCTGAGTTGGTTGGTTGCGACTGCATTTGCTGTCGCGGGCTTGAGCGACGAGGCGATGGGTTGTGGGTGTATGATGTGTTTTCCTTTAGCGCTGAGGTCGCACTTTTATTCAGTCAGTTCATGGATTCGACTTTTCCAATGGGTTGGGGCGTTACTCACTGCCGACCCAAATGTTGAGTCAAGTAATCTGGGCGATGGAATGCTTTTTGGCATCCTTTGTACGTGCATGGATACTGCTTTTTAGGCTCGTGGCTGAGCTCATGTCGTCTGCGGTGTTCGGCTCTGGTGAAAACCTGTATGGTGATAAGCGAAATGATTCATCGGTGACATTCCGAGGATACGCACCTTTGAACACCCAGGGCGCTCGCACGCATGAACTCGCTTTCCCTTCATGGCCTTGCTGACTCGGTGGGAGTTTGTTTGGGGAGAAGACATATTCATAGGCGGAGTGGGATAAATTTCCGTTTGACGGGTGTTGTTTGGGGCCAGTGTTGGGGGCATGCGAGTTGCGCAGTCAAGGTCGAATGGCGACGGAATGGAAGTGGTATATTGGGTGTTGAATGTAGACATGTTGTAGACGTAACGGGAATAGACTGTCGTACGGCGGATGCGGCTCAATATGCCATTCGGGTCAAGGTTACACGGCACGTTTAGATGTTGTGAAAGTGATGGGAGCTCGAGTGGGGAGAGACAAAGTGATACAACCTTGGAAGATTAAGAGAGAAAGGGAAAGAGAAAAGGGGGGGTTAATAAGACTTTTAGTGTCAACAGCTCTATGGGTGGGTATGCCGGACGGTCTCGGTCGTATCTCCAAACCCTCCTGCATACACGCCGATCTGGTGCCTCATTAATAAAATCAAGAACCAAGCTAGTACCGAATAGTCAATTAAAAAAACGCCTGAAACGACCCCAAAGAACGCCTTATAATTTTTTTACCTAGGGTGCTAAAAGGGAAGGATTTTGGACAATGACGGGGGATCTTCCTGGTCAGAGCCTCAGCCTTGATCGGGTTACCCACGTAGCTCAATACGAAAATTTATCCTATTGGGTGATTGCGCCCCACTTAGTCGTCTAGTCAATGCTCGAATTTCTCTGAATATCGAGTGTTTCTTTATCCTGGAGTTTCACGCATTATCCAAATGAAAATTCTGACAAAATTCCGTTCCAATCTTACAGGGAATGAAGCGTTTGGTTTCGACAGTGGGGCGATCGGTAGCCCTGATGATAGATTTGATGCCGATCAATGGTCCTAGGGACATTTGTCCTTCGTTTCCCCCATCGGGTATAAGGGAGGGTTCATCACGGTCAGGTTAAAGATGTCAGGCTATGTAAGTATTTTTGGCAGATTACACGTGGATCATTACGATGTAGGGTGGCATGTTGCAAAAATCCGGCTGAGTCGAAATGCATAACCAACACCAAGATATATTTATGATTGGTTGCTATTTTATGTAGGCTAAAAAGGGAAAAAAAAAGGAAAGGTGCAGGTTCACACATTCCGAGGTCGATCTAAACCCGAATGATCGACTCCTTTGGACTAAAGAGGCTCAACACGCCCGGGTGAGGTCCACTTGTCTTGGCGTTCATGCATATACGCTCTGGCCAATCATCTGTCTTGTGTGGATCCACGAGCTTGCCCGGGTGCAACAATCCGCACCTTCATACTTCCTGCAGAACTCTTTTCTTTTGGCAGAACCCCGGGCGTAATTACTTCACTTTTTTCCTTTCATTTTCTTTCAATGGGTGGACCCTTATAGCCCTTCAATAAGGCCCACAGAAATACAACCTGGAATGTTACATCGCCGAGAAGCCGGGGTCTTAGTACGTGGGGGCCAAGACAATACAGATGCCTATTATTCCCCAACTGCAACACCAATATAATTTATTGGACATAGCCACTGTATTTATCAAAGAGCATCCACGTTGTAATGCTCGGGAGTCGGCAAAATTATTTGGAATTGGGAATATTTTGAATTTTGCTCGGGCGTTCTTGCTAATTAAGCCAAGTCTCCCGAGGTCTCTCCACTTCCCCATCTGAAGGTTTCAAGCAATGGTCAGTGCACATGCATTTGATCGTTCTCCCTTAAATACATTTCTCCGATATATTTTTATGGAGTGGTCAAACTAGCCTATTCATTGAAATCTTAGAAAAGACAGCACGGAGTAGCTCATCCGAGATTAAAGGATGAGATTTGCCCTGTTCTCCATTTTTGGGTTGAGAACCCTTAGCCCCGATAAAACCCGATAGTAAACCAATGATGTCAATGTACAACATAAACACCCCGGCAAAGTCTAACAGGTTAGATTTCGACATTACATGCTTACGGGGTACATGCTCTAGCCCTTGGCAGGGGTTGATCATTTTCGTATTCCATAGCCACGTTGCTTCGCCCATGCTAATTCGGGACTCGAGGGTCCGAGATCGGCATCTAGAACTGTGACGTGGGCATCAAGTGGGACTGGATATATTCTCTAGGTGACTCTCCTCCCGTCATACATCGTAGACCCTTGTCACTTAGACGTGTTAAAATTCCACCTCGCAGCTAGTGTCGAGTGTGAGGCTGTGAATAACCTCCTAGCCTTACCTGCCCTAGATAATATCCATTAATATACGGGTAAACGACGCCTTCTCGGTACGGAATACGGAGTAAGCACCTTGATCGTAGAATATATAGGCTACCCGCTGTTTCATCCCCTCATTTTTGTGCTTGGCATTAAAATATATTCGTTTAATCGATTAGTATAATAACAAAACCAAGTTTTCTTTTCAATTCAAACTTTCGAACCACCCTATGGGGCTGAAGGGTCCCGTGGATGCGCGCGGGTATACCCGAGATTTCCCCGGGTAAGATAAGCAAGTACACTTGGGCAACAAAGAGCCCTGGAGTGGCGAAACGGGCAGCCCTGAAGAGCATGTGTAAGCAGATAATCAGGTTATTGGTAGGGTGTTGCGGTGGTTTTATTGGCGGAGGCGATATACGGTGTGTACTTCCAATGATACTTTTAGCTAATAATGGTAGCAGACCTAAAATAGTAGCGCTCACCTCCAACCAGCTCGAGTTGCACTTGCCGATAAGATGGTACAGTGTGTACAAATGTTGGGGCTCGGCATTGGAACCCTCCCAATTATGTGCATATTATTGCATCATACATGCATTATTGAAAACATGCAGAAGTAGACCAATAATCCAATTTCTAATTATCACCGCTCAACAAGGGTTCTGCCTCCCCTGGATATCGGACTCCATTGATACTACGCCTCCAAACAATAAAGCAAAGATGCGCGGCGCTGGGTCCGAGCCTATATTCATCATAGACTGTTCACAAACCTCCAACTTCCACGATCCAGTCTCTCTCATACACGGCTTGAATGTCGTGTAGTGAGTTAAAAAGGACAACGAGGAATCCACTAACGAAAACATGGGCCCCTACTTCCGCGGGGAAAAGCTCGCGCAAGCCATCAATCTTCTCGGGGGATAGGAGTTTTCTTGGATTGATACCATCTTTAAAAAGGCATTCCTCGTTCCATGGTGAACGTGGGGTCAAAACTCTCCTAAACGCTTGAATGTCCAATCTGTCTTCAGGATAAGGATGCACCGGTCGCCCTCCCACTTCAATATCTTCACACGCGCCCTTCACAAGCCAGACCTCGGGGCCGTACTAGGGATGTGATACGTAAGCTAGATCATGTAGTCGCAATGCCGAATGATGAGTTCGAACCAGCGGTTCATTATCTGACGAAGTCTCGAGAGCGTGAACAGCGCGTGTTACTGCTGACTCATGAAGTCCCCACCTGGGCACACTTGCGAATCCGTTCCTGTTGCACGTTAGCGACTCAAGTCTAAAGACAGCATGATAGAAAAGGGAAATTCATCTTACTTGGCATAAGCCTAGGAGATAAAGTCTGATGATAGAGGAAGGAGGTATTGAGGTTAGTTTCTGGGATGGGTAGGTGATTGTAGCATACCGGAGGGGCGAGTCTGGGGCGTTTCGCTGACATGTCGAGATGGGGATCGGGTTCAGGCACCAGTGGATTCAGCAGTAGTATCAATCAAGTTTCCCAGGCTTGAAGAAGGGACAAGGGTCCTTAATCTTCAAATTTCAGGATTTGAGTGGGAAGGGGAAGAGGGTTCTAGTTCCGGATTTGACCTGAAGCCCAGGAGATTCTTGAAGCAGGGTGTTGAACTGAGTGATGCGTTCTCGAAGGTTGAGAGTTTCTCGGCTTAAAGTGGTCATCACCGACATGAATGTGGTGGACAAGATCGGTAAGCCTTTCCTTCCAACTCAGTTTTTCGTAGCTTCCTTGTGAATTTAAATAAAGTCTCTGGTCAAAATTCTATTCATTTGTTTACCATATGTGCACTCTACCTAGGTAAGTGTATTTCATAATTATATACTCAATGGTAATTCCATACTATAAGCTAATTCTATTCCCTTTTTAGAAAGAAACCACAAAAGCGTAGTATAAAAGACCATTAAAAAAACCAGAAAAGAAGTAGTATTAACCCTACATACATCACCTTGTTAAACTAGTGTATATAGTCTAGGCTGCCTTAGCACCCTACCCTTCCTTGGCTTCTCGGGCCTTAACTTCTTAGGTACCCCTTTTCTTAGTATACAAATACAAATCGAATGGCATATATACTCCGAGAAGGCGGTGATAGCTTATGGCCAGGCATTATCCAAGAGAGTTATGTCCAGCTGGCACACTTTGTCGCCCGTACACGTGGGCGAATGATTCCCCCGAACCCACTTCCACGTCGATCTTCGTCACCTATTAAACCTCGGGCATGTACATAGATCAACCGTAAAGTTATTCTGAAGTCACCTCATTAGTAATTTTTCACACGTCCTAACACCTATTCTACCACGACCATCATGCCCCAGCTTGGCAGTGTCACTCGATCACCTGTGAGTTTGCTACATTCCACTAATCCAGGTCACGCCGCTTATGTTTCCTTAGCCTCTAACACCTCCAAAATCCACCTTGCCCGCTCGTTCGCCCGCCAAGTCTACCACTGAAGTTCCTCTCGTGCCACCAATAAGACATTCTTGAAATACTACTAGCTCAAGTCGAGTCACTTCTCTTTACCGAGACGCAGTGACGGATATGATGTTGAGCTCGGGGCAATTCCCTGGGTGAAATTGAGGCTGAAAGAGTATTGACGTAGAAGACTGGCATCAGACTCCACAAAAAGATAGACGCCCTACGGCATAACTTAAATTTCTTGTATTGTATTTAGAATCCAACTTTATAATGCGAATTCGTGTCATATTTAGTGCCCTGCATAATATTTTCTTTGTAAATTTCGCTCGAGCTCGAGACTCTCAGTATCGCGACTTCAGAATTACATGTATCTTTGGATTCACAGCTCGCTCCACCCCAATCTTTCAGTCATTCACTTCCAATGCATTCCCATCTCGCTCATGTCTTGTGGTAGACCATATATAAAACACTCATTTGGCCATTCATCCACCTAGGAAACTATCATACTCGTCGTCATCGGACTCCGATGATGCTGCCGTCCCCTTCGCATTGAGAACAGGATGAATGCCTCTCCTATCCGAGCATCCCCCCGGATACTCCGCACCCATGAAACTATCAAACTCATCAATCTCCGGAAATGCTGTTAACACCTTGAGATAGCGGATCGAATGAATACCCCTATTCGACTCCCACTTTTCTGTCGGCTGAGCATCCAAAAATGCTTGTAGTGACTCATCGTCAATCACTATGCATGTGGTATGATTTCGCCTCTCCCGCGAATTGACCCAAGACTCAAAATGAGAACGAATCGAGTCTATTGAGGCTTCGTCGAACTGCACCGGATCGGCCATGATGACTGGGCGGTGTTGGGCCCATATCTCATGATATGGAGTAGGTTCTGCGCTGTGTAGTTTACTCTTCGGTGTTGAATCGTATTCAGAAAATAATTCTTGTTTGATGTATGAGTTGAGTAGATCGACGATCTGGGAGAAGGCAGTGTCGGATTGAGGAGTGTAGGTTGTGCGATAAATGACATAACCCCATGTCGCTTTGCTTCTCACGGCTGCGTGAAGGCGTTGGGTGCGCCAAGGTAGCCAACTGAGATTCATTCTGATATATTTATGTGAAGGGGGAGCAAAATATTAAGATTCAAGTATTGGAGAAGAGAGAAGAAAGAAAATGAGCTGCACAGAATAATGTTGGCGGTGACTTCGACTATTTCGTATTCTTTGGAGCTAAGAAGCGCGGCTGATGCCAAGAAATGCAGTATGATATCCAGGGATATTATTGGTGTTATCCAGGTCGGTTCTAAGGTTGTTCCAGTTAAATTAACGATTCACCTCCGCGGAAGGCGCCCCGGACAGCCAAACTCGCCAAGATAGAGAAATACCAGTAATATATACAATAAAATACAGTGTTATAAATACATGATGCGGTATTATACACAGTATTACAGAGATAATCCCGTATACATCCCCATGCGTTCTGATTGTGGATAACCCCTGCCTACTTATTTACCCCAAAAAGGAAGTTGGCGATGTCTAGTCCGACTCGAAGAGTGCTAGGGAAAAAAAAGAGGGAATGTGCTCCGTATGGAGTAAATGGACCATCTTTGGAACAAACTAGTCGGGTGTGACAGCGATGACTTGCACTGGATCATTATCATATATTTGTCACCAAGTCTACCAAAGCGTTTATTTCGATCTATAAATGCTAAGAAGGGGCACCTTGAAGAATAAAATTTACATGGCCGTGCTGTGTGGGACTCGAATTCGAGAAATCAATCTTCGCACGCGACTACACACGCGACCAAGACATTCCGCCCCGGGCCGGGTGGGGCGGAGGGTGGGGGAGGAAGGGTTCTAACAGGTCAAGTATAAATAGAGCGGCTCGTCTACTTTGTACTCCATTGTGTAGAAATATCATGTGATGATCCTGGACTCGAGTACGCTTATGTCACGAATGAGATTGCTCGTGTCCTCCATGTTTCATACGATCCTAGGACATTGGATTACTTTTTCTGTGACTGGTCCGCTAACAAAGTCCGTATTCCCGCCGGGGCGAATTCCTGGTAGACGGAAGGCGGAAGCAGACCAAGATAGAGGAGATTCACGGATATCGCCCAGCAGCGGCTTCATAAGCCTATTTTCCGCTGGCAAAATCACCCAGCCAGTAGACGAGTCCCATGTTTGCAGAATCCTCCCATACGGGTCATTTGGATATGTCAGCACTACCAGAAGAAACAACTTGAGATTGGAAACAGGTAATCATTTTAAATTCATAAATCATAGGGTTGGAATTTCATCTGTTAAACCCCAATATGATGCAATTCAAGTCAAACACATGGACAACTACACTACTTGGACATAAATATACCTACATTGCTTAATGTGGCGTGAACTCAATCTGACACTCGTGTTCCTGTTTCCATGATTAGTGGGTCTTCAAGAGAAAGATGTTGGCTGAACATACCCGCATTCGGCTACAAGAGTCATCATAAAACACCTCATAGCGACCTGTGATACCAGGAGAGACGGCACCGAAATCTCCCATTGGCGTGGTTTTGTATTTTCGATAAATGGTTGCGACCAGAGTAGTCATTTCTGCCATTGCCAAACTATTATTTGTTAGCCATCTCTCATAGTCACAGGGTGACGTCGTTCTATAGAGAACAAGGAACATACTGCATGCCAATACACATCCTTCCTCCGCTGGAAAATGCCCAGAACCATTTCTTCATATCTGCCAAGTTTTCAGAAGGATCCAACCAGCGATCAGGGTTGAACCTCGTGGGGTTTGTGAAAACCTCAGGGTTCCGATGGAGCGAGTATGGGGCCATAGAAACCACCGTCTTGGGCGGGATCGTGTAGCCATCAATTGTGGTTGCCGCGGGAAGTGAACGGGGCTCTGATCCCGGGAGAGGTGCGTAGAGCCGAAGGGTCTCTTTGATAATTGCATCGAGATAGGAGAGCTTGTCGGTGCTTTCTACTTTGGGGATGCCATTCAAATTGAGCGAGTCTTCGGAGATACTACAAACTTCCTCGATGAGCTTGTCTTGGAATTCCTTGTTTTCTGGTCGAGAAAGTGCCCAAATCAGGAACATCAGTGTATCACTGGTGGTGTCAATGCCTGCCAGAAGGTGGTCTGCACATTCCGACGCAATATCGAGATCGTCGATTCCATTTGGCTTTTGGGAATGGTGGTGGCTCCACAGTCTGGAAATCAGGGCTGATGTGCTCGCTCTCGCGCTAGCAGAAGCACTGGCATATTTCTGAGTGGCTTTCATCGCGTGGAGTCTGATGCCGCTGTAAGTCGTGGGAAGTTGCATGGGATACAACCATTTCGCAATACAGCCACTAAACCCGGTTCGCGAGTAAAGCCATTCCGTGAAGTGAGGGAAATGAACTGCATACCACGACAGCTTGCGGCGGGCCGTATCGATGATATCCCCAATGAGCTCGCGATCTTGCCCCAGTCCCTCAAGACATGAAGTCTTGCCGAAAGATCCGTAAAGGAAGTCTGTGATCGTGTCCAGGGAGAAATAATGCAAGGTAGAAAATATTTCGCTTTTCCCTCCATCTCGTTCCAAAAGGTCCATGTATAGCTTGACCTTTTGCTCGACCATTTCTGCATTTTGTCCTTTGAGCATCACAGATTTGGCATAGGCGTGGGCAAAGAGCTTCTTCCTTTCTCCGTGCTGCTTCGCGGTCGCGAAAGAAAACATGTTTTTTCGGCCATAGACCTCAAACATGTGGTAGAAGCCGGTTCGCTCAAAGCCACTTCCCGCACCGTAGATCGCACGCAAAGCCGTAGTACTGTTGAAGGTCACCTCACTAGGGCCGATACGCACAACGGGTCCATATTGCTGATGGAGAGCATTGATCTTGCGCGTGCGAGTTCCTTTGTAGTCCTCATAGGCTAATTTGACTTTGGTCAACGCGAAAGACTTTGGACCGGGGATTCGCGCAAGAGGGCTAAACAAAGTGGAAATAGCGAGGTGGTAGACAAGGAAGGCTGCTATGAAAGCAACGATCAGGATCCACGTCATTGTTCAATTTGTCACACAGAAGGTAGAATAAGAAATGGTATTTCACAATGCATCACGGTTGTCTTTATAATGAGCTTGTGTGTATTCTTGAATCCGATAAGTAACCAAGTGAGTCACTATCTGAGAGTCTTCAGCGAAAGCGGCAACTGGCAGCGAGACTTGGAGAGCGGGGTCTGATTTTCTTCGGAGTTGGAGATTTTGTGGAGACACTTCGAGATATTGTTAGCACATTCAATTTGTATTTATATGTCCAATTAGACCATGTAGATTACCTATACCAAGTTAACCTACCAAAATTTCCCATCTCCAGAGTCATCTTGACTAATTATCACCACACAATGTCAAAGTTATCTGCACTGCTGCAATCAAACCTGACGACACGACTGTCAATGCGATGGGCATCGGAAACACCGTTCGAAACCACTGATACACTGGTGATCACAGTGGACGAATGGTACGTTGATCTGCGAGTCGATAAAAAAACCGGTAAAATCGATTGGGCCCTCGCCGGAGAATGTATTGAGGAAGGCAAAGACCCACGTATGACCCAATCAATTTTTCCGACCATCGATGGTACATCACGCAATGACTAACTGACTTGACACAGGACGCGTGGTGTTCACTCATGAGATTGACTCCCACCACAATTTCAACGTGAGCAATCCATGCCCATTCATTCCGCTTCCCGATGGAAATGTTCTAGAGACTGGGACCATGGCTCGACCAGATGTACCCGGAGCGCCGATGACGGATTATGAAGAGGTGTGGAGGTATCTTCCGATTCGCGAATGTCCGGAAGGGTCAGGGCGTGGTCTCTCGTGGATCTTAGAGTCTGATGAGGGTATTCTGGAAGAGGGTCAGCACCAAGTTACCAAGGTGTTTTTAGCACAAATTGGGGGTTCGTATTTGGTCCTTCATCAGAAGCAAACCCACGTGGTTAGGCAAACAGCCCTTGGAGAACGGGTTGTTCAACTCACTGGGGAGGATGTTAGCGCGCGAAGGGAAGAGTGGACGGATGATCACTGGGAGATCAAATATGCGTTGGGATCAAGCTGTGATGCTCTGCCTTCAATGGCGAACGGGTTGGATGTTGAAATGAGAGGGCGTCAGAGTGGTGAGAAGGTCACCGTTGGAGGTTGCGACTTCATTGTGCGGGCACATGTGGAAGCCCCAAGGAAAATCCGAAATTCTCGTCTCTAGGTCAGCAAAAGGCCGGAGAGAAATATAAAGTCTCTATTTTCAATTATAATCATACAAGAATGCAGCATACAATAGTTCAAGTACAATGGGCGCAACTACAATCCGGTTAAATAATAGCATTTCTGTTCGGGTTTATTGAAGGAGGAAAATAGAGGGAAAATATTCATTGAATAGAATTCACATCTCAAATGGACATACTATGCATTGACATCTTCTATATATCCTTCGGATATCTCACACGCTGTCCTAACCACGATGTGATTGAAAGAGAATATAGAGATCGCAGGATACAAACGCTGGAGGACGCTGTTGGGAGCGCCTCCTATGTCGCACCAGGAATGTGTTTCTGGTATTCAAACACTCTCACTATGCTTGCTGGCCGTGAACCACGGCCACACGATCAAAATTGGTCAGATCAGTGCTACTAAACTTCCAGGCTGGTGTCTTCCGCTCGAAGAGAATATCAAGCTCCTCGAACGTCCTGCCCTTGGTTTCTGGTAGGCACAAACACGCCCAAACAATCACCGCAATGCTGAGTCCACCGAACAAAAATCCAATCTTGCCACCCCAGTTTGCCTCAAGAGGGCTCATTGCATAGGGAAGAGCAGCTGTAATAACAAGGGAGAAGATATGGGCAAAGGAACAAGCCACACCCATTGTCTTTCCGCGGATCGTTGTGCTCGGGATCTCAGCAATCAAAGCATAAACAAGAGGACCAAGACCGAAGTTGTAAATGAGGTAAAACACGAGCAGCATTGATGACTTGGCGTAAAGAGCGCCTTTATTGGAAGATGGTGCGAGATCCAAAAATCCAATCAAAAACATCAGGGTTGCAGTCGCGCAACAAGTCAAAATGTAGGGGAGTCTCCTACCCCAGATTGACAATAAAGGCCATGAAATGACGTTGCCAACAATACCAAGCGCAAACAGACCAAGAGAGAGGTCAAAGGCCTGATCTGTCGACACACCCGCCAGCTGGAAAAAGTAGGTACAATAGGAAGACACAACGTTGACTCCGCAGAAGAATTGCCCACTGTAACAGATTGAACAGATCACAGTACGGCGGAAATTTATGCCCTTGAAGCAATCAAGGTAGGTGGTTGTGGATACACACTGCTCGCCCATGAGAATGGTTTCCTTCATATGAGCCAGGGTATCGTCGAGATCCTCGGTATATCCAGTACGCCTCAGGGACTTTGCGGCTTCTTCGTATCGCTCCTTCTTCACCAAGAACCAGGGCGTTTCGGGGGCAAAGAATGCTCCAAGGATGAAGAGTACAGGGAAAGCGTATTCTGTGATGAAAGGGATCTTGTACGCCCATTTGTCGGGCCGTGTTTCCGTTCCGCGCAGGATACCGATTGCAATAAATGACCCAGCCACCTGAGCAAAGTTGTTGGCTGCCAGTCCAACACCCCGAAGACTAACAGGGAGGATTTCTGAGATGTATGCCGGTCCAAGAACGGGGAAGCCACCAGTGAGGAGGCCAGTAAGGAGGTCGCCGGCGAAAATGATGCCGGCAGTGTTACCCAGAACTTCCATCAAGAGAGTTCCCAGAGACAGAGTAGTGCAGCATAAAAGTGTCTTCCTGGGTCCGAAGCGATCGACACACCATCCTGCCCAAATTGGAGCCACCAAGAAACCGATGATAGGTGCGTAGGGGAATGCGGATGTCCAGGAAGAAGAGAGAACGTAAGTGCCTGATCCAGCAGGGTGTTCGTAACCAAAGTCTTTTCGGAATTGTGGCACGCCGACCAAACTTCCGAGGATTGTTGGGTCGTAGCCAATAACGAAGCCAGGGAGAATGAAGTAGGCTGCCCAGAAGATAGCACTCTTGTGTTTGGAAAGGGCTTGTCGTACGGTCAAATCATGTTCTCGTTGAGTAGCTCTTTGAGAACTCTCAATTAGGTCATGTTTCGGATCTGGTGAGATATCTGTAGAGGTTTGTGCTTCAGAGGGTGCCATTTTGGGTGGTTTCTGTCAAACCACTTGAGACAAGGGGGTCCATGTATATACTCACCGTTCTTATCCGAAACCCCCGTGTTACGTCGTCATTTGGATAAGGCCGCCTGCCTAATCAAGCATATCTTGTGACTTTCTATGTAGATACGCGTGCTAAGTGGGTACTGACCCCGCGTTGTAGCAATATAGCGCTCCTTCAGATGTATACGACAAATGATAGTAGCCGACCAGGTACGCTACCCCACAACCTTAGGATATTCCTAAACCTGCCCGAGAATACCCTCGTCGTTCATTGCTTCAAATAAAGCAGACAGTCGTATTAAATGAATGTTGAGCTGGCGGAGTCGCGAAGACATTACACCTAGGGTCGATAAGTCTTTGCGTCTCTTTTGGTATTGGAATGGAGATGATTGGCTTGCCGCGCGAAAAGCGTTTACGTTTATCTACTCCGTAGAGAAGCTCATAGAAAAAGAGGATGTTAAGGTGCTTATCTCCAGCCCTCGATGGTTGGCTCACTTGCTTATTTAGCTCACCTGCCTATTTGGGTAATATCTTGTTATCCGAGATCCGAGAGCCTATCTGTACATGTGGTCGCCTTGGCAGCGGACTTCCGACCATCCAAGTCGGTTCAATGTTTTCAGGTCCATTTCAAGCTTTCTTGAGCAGAATTATGAGTTACCCTCGCCTTATCTCCCTTATCCCATATTGCTCGATCCGTGGAAGACCCTACCATGGAGCATCTTCCAGAGCATCATGAGCATGATGATGTACCTGGAACTATCCTCCTCGTCGATATAGCTCATGACAACAATATATCTACTCAACGGAAAGGAATAGTTCTACAACCACAACCCAGCACAGATCCAAATGATCCCCTCAATCGATCGCAACGATGGAAAAATCTCAACATCGGCATGGTATGTTTGTACACCTTTGCTATTGGAATTTGCACGGCTGCGCAATTCTCGATCATGACACAAATATCCGAATCGCAACGAGTGAGTCTTGCAGATCTCAATTTGGGCACTGGATTGATGCAGTTGATGCAAGGATGGGCAAATCTTTTATGGCAGCCTGTAGCCATGACCTATGGCCGCAGGTTGGTATACCTTGTCACGATTGTATTCTCGATAGGACCAGTTCTATGGGTGCCGCTGGCTCACGGCGCTAGCCAATGGTACGCACACCGTGTTCTTCTGGGACTATTCTGTTCATCCGTGGAATCTCTACCGGAATTGTCCGTCCAGGATCTCTTCTTCGCTCATGAACGAGGAAACTATATGGCGCTGTATACTTTTGTATTGTTCGGATCGAACTTTATCGCTCCCTTTCTCGCGGGGTTCATAGCGGATGGTATGGGCTGGCAATGGGTTATGTACCTTGCTACAATATTTTTGGGCATCTGCGCACTGATCCTATTCTTTTTCATGGAGGACACAATCTACTTTCGAAAAACAACCGAGAGCGGGGCCCAGCGATATGAGATTATCCCGCCGGATGACAATGGGGAGCCAGGGTCCACCACTACCGAGCGAGCCGACAATGGACCAGCCACAATTCTGGGTGGGCCTGGAGTGTCTACAGATCTGAAGCCCCGTCGGCAGAGGCTGGCGTTGGTTACTATGTTACCTGGTCGTCCAAGTCACAAGCAAATGGCATTGAAGAGCTGGCAAGCCTTAAAAATCCCTTTCTTCTTTCCTAATATTCTCTGGTGCGGTCTCTTATACGGATCAAACCTAGCCCTTTACAGCGTCATTAATGCGACGATTTCGAGTATCCTGGGATCCAGTCCCTACAATTTCCCTCCAACAATGGTCGGCGTTGCTTATCTGTCCCCTTTTGTCTTCGGTGGCGCTGCATCCGTTTGGGCAGGAAAGATTTCAGATTCCCTCGCAATCAAACTGGCCAAGCGCAATGGAGGTGTCCGGGAACCAGAACATCGACTGTGGGGCCTTCTGGTATCCGCACCTATCGCTGCAGGGGGGCTACTCATGTGGGGGGTAGGGGCCAGTCAAGGGGCTCACTACATGGTTTTGGTCCTCGGAATTGGCATCACCACCTTTGGAGTTGTTTGCGCAAGTGCGATATCCTTAGCGTACGCTGTTGACTGTTTCAAAGAAATGGCTGGTGAATCCTTTGTTTCCATCAATATCATCCGGAATACAATAGGATTTAGCTTCAGCTATGCCATCACGCCGTGGATCGAAGCCGTGGGTCTTCGAAACTGCTTTATTTCAGTGTCGCTAATCTCATTTTTTTGTACTTATACATTCCTTGGTGTGATTGTTTGGGGAAAGTCATGGAGGAGGACGTCCGCAAAGCGATATTGGCAATTTGTTGCTACGGAGAGAGAGATGGCCCACACTTAGTAGCGGTTCCCTATTTCCAGTTTCATACAGTGGATATATATTCTAGTCATTGCCAGATGGACCAGTGGAAAATATGGTAGTATAGAGAATGCATATGCACAGGGGAAAACAAGGTCGAATCTGCATCTCGGCAGAAATGCCTACAATAAAATCGAACTATCAACGACATTTCTCAAATCGATATCCCTGGAAATTCAGTCCTGAATCTGATTTCCAGATCAGGAAAATGATTTTTACTGTATTAGGAAACCGAGGCCCGTGCTGAACCCGACCGGCTCGGTTCCCCAGAGTGGATCCATGGGTCGCGAACCCAAGCCGAGGAATAATCTTGGAACTGTAAACATTCAATATGAGGTCAAATATACCCTGTTTATATATTGCTATCTATCTACTCATTGGATTGCTTCGCAAGTATTCTTTACTCAGTCCTGCTGTAAGAATTGCGGCTTTCTCCCAATAGACCAAATAGAAGAAACACTACGAGGTAGTCGAATTATATATGTTATGAAGCTAAGGCGACCAGGATTCTCATGATATAGTATACCATGCAAGGCAAAACAGCGTAGGTACTTGTGAATCGTGTTTGGAGACAAGAATTTTCATTAAAATGCATCGCGGGAAGACTAATCTTTCCAAGGGGACTATGCAAAAAACACCTATTCGGTCTTAGCGAGCGCCTCCCGTCTTCCAATGCTCTTGGGGTCCAGGTATGGCCTCTCTCCAAGGCCGACGGCACGGTGTCCAGTGCGTGGGCCAAGCCCCTCATAATCATAAGTCGCGGCATGGTATACCGATCGGTTATCCCAGATAGCTATGAGAACAGTCAGATAAAGCAGTGACATAGTTTGATGAGGGAACATACCAAGATCGTTAGGGTTTTGCCAGCGGTTGCGCACCTGCAGGTCGTGGTTCTCAACAATGAGAGTCACGAACCAGTCGAGAAGATGACGGCTCTCCTCATCGGAAACACCATTGACCTTCTGCACGTGCGTGCCAACAGCGAAGACACTCTTCCAACCGGTGACGGGGTTGGTACGGATGACGGGGTGCTCAGCTCGGAGCTCTTCTCCAACGTTCTCAGGCGCGCCACGAGGACCAGGGTGGACGGAGAAATCGTTGCGCTTGGCGACCTCGTTGAAGCCAGGCTGAGCATAGGTTGCGGTCAAACCCTCTAGGAACTTCTGGTAGGGCTCAGAGATACGGTCATAAACTTCGTAGCCTGAGGCCCATAGGGTGTCTAGAAGAGGATTAGTGTCTCTGGGCCATTTTATAGTGAGTATATAAAGGGGTCTTACCACCACCTGTCTTAGGGAGCTCGGTGAGACGCAGGAGGGTGTAATCACTAGGAATGGGCTCAAAGGTGATATCGCTGTGCCACTCTCTACGCGCAGTTTGCTTTAGCACGGTTCTCTCCTTGTACAGCCTTCCCAAGCTGGCGGAACTGATCACACTAATCTCATCGTCCTTGACCGCGTGGTCCCGGGCTGAGTTTGCTATCGGGTGGATATGGAGTCCAGATGTGCTTGGCTTGCCGGTGAGTTCACCCAGTCGTTGGACAAGCTCCTTTTGCAGGTCGTTGTCAAGACTATCCTGCTTGCGGAAGAAGACTACCCCGCGTTGCGAGACTAAGATGTCATATCAGCCCTCAGCCCTGTCTCTCATTTATAACCACGGATATAACTGACTGGTCAGAGCAAGCTCCCGAAGCAGATCATCGGAGTTGGGGGCGCGCAGGAAGTCCTTCAAGTTGGCATTGGGGAATTCGCGTCCAATAACAGGAGTGACATCGAAGGACTCGAAAGCATCGAGGGTTCCATTGGACTTGATAGGCTCACGTGCGAGACCTGTGAGTGTGATCTTGTCCTCGACGATGGGAACCACCGTAGGTGCGGTCTCAGTAACAGCGGATGCCATGGTGATAGTGTTGGATGGAGTAGTGATTGTTGGTTCGCCTTGCTTGTTGATACTGAAAGGTCACAGCTGGGACTAGGACGTCCATCTTATACTCTGCGACGTTCAGGATGTTGCCGATTATCCGCTTGCGACATCTGTTTGTTGCAGTGCCCAGCCCTTGCTGTCACAACCCCGCAGATCTGGAACGTGGTTGTCGCACAGTTAGGATGAAAGCACGTCTTACATGTTGATCGTCTTAATAGATAACAGGCGATCTGTGTTGTGAAAGTGGATATTCGTCATTTTCCCCGGACATTGGTTGACATCCCGCCATCTGGAGTTGTCACCGTGATGGGATCATATTCACTGGAGGTTGCGCAACATAGTTGATTACGAACGACACTATACCTATAGGAGATAGGGCCATAAGCTTCGTTCAATCAGATCAATTCAAATCAAATTGCATCGATCGCTTAGTTTAAATTAACTATTCGTTGGCGAGATGTACTTTACATTACATGCATCTACTCAAGCACGCCATGTATGGTCCGACCAATAGCACCAAAAATAAGAGTGTCTTGTTTTAGATCTGACACTTCGCTTAAATGAATCAAAAGTCATAGCTGGAGCTTTATTGGATTATGTAGCATAAGCCAAGTCATAATTTCGTTCATTGCTCTAATATCAAAACTGTACGGAGTGACCTCCTTGCATTAATGGACCAACTCGGGCTCTTCCCGTCTCTTCACATGTAATTCTGTCAAATGTCAAATTCTAAGCGAGATGATCAATGGGCAAATCTAAAATCTAGTCGCTTATTTCCTTCATCCTTAGTGGTTGCCACGTAATGCATCTTTTCATTGTCCGTCATGGCGTTCCATTTCTTGTCGCGGCTTTGATTGCGCCAGACATAGTATACCTTTGTCAACAAATATATGAAGATATTGGAGACACCAAGTCCCACTAGAGTACGATTGCCTCTTCGGTAGCGGGGGGCGTCATCTGAGCCAGATTAGAATACGGACAATCTCAGACAAGGAAACCGTTTTTATGACCAACCAGCGCGATAGATATTGGAAGCAATGACTGCTGATGCTTGGACACACATGTTATACATGGCAGCCGAGACCGTCCGGGATCGGACAGTGTTCGAGTTGCGGGAGTTCCAGTTAACTTGAATAGCGTGCGCTGTGATTTTGTGAGCAATTATATCAAGCATGCAACATGTGTGAATATGAGGGGTTACCGTTTGGAAACGACAGTAGCAGTGTCATCACGGCCCACACAGACCACTTGTTTGCGGTATTGATGTCGACTATGTATAGATAGACCAAGAAGGGAAGTAACCATATTTGCCCAATCATAGATACCAAAGTTAACTGGCTGCTAACTTCCGAGACGTATGTGAGGACTAGAATGAATGTAATAGATAGTGCCTCGCTAGGAATGACCAGGAGATTGGTCACAAAAGTGTCGAAGCCGAGGCCCCTCAGAGTAAGAGTCAGATATTGCTTAGGGGTCGTTCCTGGTGTTTGGAAGGTAAGTCCGATAATGTATATCGGCCAGAGATCATAGTCTTTGAGACTCTTCCAAAGTAGTTTGGGAGTAATTGGTTCTCGATTGTGCATGGATCCTTTGCTTGGGTCATCACGAATTATTCGATTGACAATGATGGTTTCCTCCCTGTGAATACTATCAGTAACAATGCAAAGAATGTGCGAAAAACGAGAAGGAGATAGCTTACCGGGCAGTGAACCAGCCTGATTTACCCCGAGACCAATTGGCAGTCTCACATGGTCCAGGTGGCATCAAAACATATGCAGCTAGACCAAATAGAAGTGTCAGAAGGCCCTGTTTTTGATGTGAGTAATGCGCCTTCTGCTCGAAATGACATCAGTTGCCTACTTACCTCAAGCAAGAACAGCCAACGCCATCCCGATTGACCTTGCACACCACGAAGATGCAAAAGTCCGAAAGCTAGGAATCCAGCAAGAATATCCGCAATGTGCATGGCCGTCCAAAAGAAACCGAGTCGCAAGGACAGTTCATGATGTTTGTAGAAGTAAGAAAGATACAATATCACCTTCGAGTGTGTTAGAAGTGACTCATAAAAATGGACGAGAGTAACTTACATCTGGGATGAATCCGCCTTGCAAAATACCAAGCAGGGCACGGCACAAGAGGAATGTTGTTTTTCCATTCAGTCCATACTGTGCCATAGCAACTGCAGACCAAAGAACCATTTGGGTAGGAATCCACCGATCAGGTCCAACCCATTTACTGAGGAGCTGGGAGGGAAGTTCGGAACAAAGGAATGAGAGCCTAAACACCGTATTCCCAAGATTGTAGTCTGCAGATCGAACGTATTGGTTAGCCCTGAGATATAATGAGATGAGAATTAATAAAATTGATTATTTATTTACCATTTGTGGTCATATTCAACTCGGGAAGCATGTTGTCAGTTAAAGCTTGTGATAGATTACTGCGATCTAACTCCAAACACACGAACATGACGCAAGTAAACACCATGATACGAAGATCAATCTTGCGAATCAACCTGTATTCTTCGCTCCATGTCCACCGAGCAGATGGGTCGAATCGGTGAAGATTCTCCCAGTCGGCTCGGGGTTGAAATTCCTTTGCAGTGTCAGGGTTGTCGTAGACAGATGGTTGAGTCGCAACTGCTTCGGAATTGTAGCCTTTGCCTCGCTGGAACCAAAACCGACGTTCTTCTCCTGGTTCACCCAAGGGCGCGATGTCAAGACTGGTAGATGAGTCTGTTTCTGTCCCTTTGAGTACCGAGATGGACTCATTCGGGCTTTTCTTTGCGGTATATACAGTGGACATCTTGGCGAGCCAAAGCTATTACAACCAAATTGTGAGATTTATTGGCTCTGCCTTTCGACCTAGGAAAAATTTGCATCATCTGGGCTCTTCTTATACATCCTACAGCGACGATCTCGTCGGGGTATCTTGCCTTGAATAAGATTTTACTGATAAAAGACCACTTGGCACTGGCTCGCATCATTGAGCCAAGTATTGAACAATTCTTCTGTTGTGATGTGAGGGGTTCAGAGTCAACAAGGGGCAACAAGGGTCAACACGGATCGATGGTTAGTGGGAATGGCATCTTGGTGGCTGAATATCACATCATTCCGTCGAAATACACCACATCTCCAATTCAAAAATAAACTAGAATTATACACGAGTCAACTACCGAGGACAAGTGCACAATTAAGTTTGCCGGCAAAAGCGCAAATCGTCAAATGCCTATCGGTGAGATCATCTGCCACCATTCGTCTTGTTTCTCTAGAATCATCAGCAGCACGGCACCATCGTGCAAGATATACGTCTGGTGAACTTGAATCCTGAAACAGTTGTTCAGCAATTAAGAGTTCCCGCTGAATATTGTCGGTACTTTTGTGAGCTTGCCAACATCGCCGCTAATCCCTTGACACAAGCCATAGGAGTATTTTGAATGCTCATTCTCGATAGAACAATGCTCTACATACGAGATTCGAAAAGTGAGACCGTTGATCATTATTAAAGAAACTCATTTGAAATTAGCAATTTTAATCCGCACCTATCAGCGTTGTGGCATGGAGCAATTGGGACTGAACAGTCCAAAACTAGCCTAAATGAGCTCATCCTAAAACCCCCCCCCCCCCCCCCAATGTTTATGTGTGTTTTATTTTGCTTTATTTTGCTTTATTTTGCCTTGAAGAGTGTGATATTGATATTCACCGCCCAGTTGGGTGACAATCAAGCACATTTAGAAGATAGGCCTTCAAATAATATATCATGTTCGCAACGTGGAAGCCTGAGGCAAAGACCTTCCACTTTTGGAAGTGGCCTTAGGACCTCCTATCCAAGTCGTTCATAGTGCTTTCTACCTTTATGCTGCATAGCTGACCTGATTTTATTCCTCTTGTTCAAGGCACTCATGAATTATCAATATGCTACTTCTGCTTCGCTGATATAGCTTCACTCACCACATTTGTGCTCTTAATATCCCTACCCCTATCCCACCCGCGCACACAGCATCTCACACATACATGTTGCACGTCTATATATCACCGCCATCACCTCGTGCACCCTCGTACATTCACTACCATTGACAGGTCATATCTCACACTGCTCCTCATTAGCCACCATTTCACGCCATTCTTCAGGGGGCATATGCATGTCACATCTCACACTAGACAGCATCCAGGCAGGTAGCCATTCTTGAGGTTATGAATTTCCCTCGAGTTTGAGATGTTTGAATCACTGTTCGTGTGCATTGTACAACAGTACATGGTTTTAGCGCCCTGCAGGGATCCTGAAACGCCCCCACCCTATTTAGGGAACCACCACGAATGGTCGCAAATATACCCACTTGTTTGGAAGCAACAGTAAGTAGTTCGGGTTGAAAGAAATCTCTCTGACTGGTCAGAAATTAATCATCCCCGAGAACTCTAGGGCAACCATCGAATCAAGGTTTCCTTTAACCGCCAGGATGGATGGGGACAGCCTCGGCGGCTAGAAGAGAATGGGGCAAAAAAGGACCCTTCTATTACCTGAACCTTTCAGACATACATATGGGAGAAGAATCCGATGAAATAGTTTTTGAGCGGGTTTCGCTCCTTGTGGTTTCAATCCTATCCCTCTTTGGCGGAAAAGAGCAATCGGCCATGAAAATGACACCGAGAACAAATACTGGGTCAGAAAAGAAGAGTTCATCGTCGGAGGAATACCACATCCAAGAGCAAACACCGGGATGGCGACCATGCTATCTCCGAAGGCGAGTGTTGGTTGTTTTTGCGATCGTCTTCTGCCTAATAATAGCCGCCCTGGAGACACTCAACCAAATCTCTCAAGCTCACAATGGCATCGCATCTTCAATTGAAAGTCGTCACTACTTTTGGACCTATGGGCCTACCGCAATCCTCACTATCGTTGCCTTATTTTGGTCACGCGTCGAGTTCCAAGCGAAGCAGAGTGCACCTTGGTACTCTATACTTCATGAACCCCAAGACGCGGAGAAGAGTGTGCTCTTAGATTACATATCCGAGATGCAACCTGTGTCCATATGGGGAGCCTTGAAGAATAAGCATTTTACCGTCGCTGCTGGCGTGACTTTGTCGATACTTCTCCGCCTCCTCGTCATCTTCTCTACTGGCCTTTTTTCGCTGCAACAAGTCCAAGTTCAAAAGAACAATTTTCCGATCCAGATTCATAGTAATTTCAACATCAAAAACTCTACACTTCAGGACTTCGGGTTGCAGGCATACGACATTCTCAATGGTGTGCTTTTCCAAGACCTCCCCTTTCCCGAAGGCTCAACTGCAAATTTTGCATTTCAGAAATTCTCTGCCTCGGCTCTTCCGTCTGATGCAAATATTACCGTACCCATTGAAGGTCTAATGTCAGACCTGCACTGCGAGGTTGCTGATGTGACGGTTAAGGGTTGGCCGGCAGCCAGGTCAGGCTATATATCATGTCTTGTCGACCTAACCACCCCATCATGCAAGATCTCGAACGTAACTCTCGAGTTTATAACCGACGACGTTCCATTTGGAGCGGACTTGCAAATAGGGCACTGCGACAATACAAATGGTTCTGGGGGCAGGCGCGTTGTAGCAACCAGCCAAGAGAACAAAGCCGACGATTCTATGCCGTCCAATAGAACATTGGCTCGCTCTGCTGCACTGATATGCAAACCGTCACTCCTTTCTTTGAGCCTCAAGGCGCAAGTCAAGGCATCTGGATTGTCTTCGAATGCTCAGTTCAAAACTGTTGGCTTTCAAAATGCGACTCTGCCCGGTCTAACAGCTGGTGACCTGATTTACCCGGTTATTGATGGCTTTAGCAACACTAATGGCTTCAGAGCCATTGAACAGCACCGGGAAGTCGCAGTAAAATATTCTGCTCAATCACAAGTGACACGATATGCTGCTCAATCACAGGTGGCACTTGGAATGTGGCTGACAGGAGCAGCCCCAAAGCTTGAACCTCTCTTTAAGCTTGACGTGCTTGAAAATGTGACTGTGTCATATTATCGCGCAATGGCCGCGCAGCTTCTGCATTTGGGCTCTCAACAAGAGAAAGCGACATCATATGGCCAGGCAACTGTACATGAGAATAGAGTGCTGGTGTCGCAACTACCCCTTCGAGTGATGGAAGCCTCTCTCTCATTGGGGGTCCTACTGCTGGGTTGGATGATTTTTCTCGTGTCGCGGGAGACATTGACTCAGTGGAACCCGAGTTACATCGCTTCCATTGTAGCAATCCTAGCCAATAGTGAGGATCTCCGACAGTCTCTCCGCGGCACTGGGGCAGCAAGCATGGAGGATATTCATACGCGTCTAGCTGGTCGACGCTACTATTTGCAAAGCACACCTCGGGGCACTGCAATTCTAGACATAAGCGAGGATTCCAATGAGCTAGAATTCGAGCCTACAACTGAATACGTCGCATGGAAGCCATTCCCGAGTTTCGCCTCTCGGGCTTCTGGCTTTGTCGTAATTGCCATGATCATTGCAGCTTTGGAGATTGTCCTGCACCTCTCTCAGACAGGGAATGGTATAGGAGATATTGCCTTCAATGAATACGTGCACTACCTGTGGACAATCATCCCCGCGTTGATTATGGTGTTGATAAGTATGTTCTACTCAACCATGGACTTCAATACAAGGTGTCTTGCACCATACGCTCGCATGAAACAATCTAACGGTGCCACGATCAAAGACTCTTTGGAACTGAGCTTTATGGACACCCTCGGACTGCATAATATTGTCATTTCAATTCGGTCGAGGCATTTTGCGGTGCTAGCAACAACATTGGCGACTGGGGCTGCCTTCTTTCTGACCATCGTCACCAGCGGTTTATACTCAGCCACCGATATTCCTCGGCATATCGTTTCAAACTTTACACAGAATGGCAGCTTTCCAAATCCCAAAGCCATTGCTCCAGTTGCTTTGAACATAGACGAATATGCCGAGGTTACGGGAATTGTGACAGCTAAATACATTCTCCAAGACAACCTCACATTTCCAAGATGGACATGGGATGGCCTTGCGCTCCCGGAAATATTACCACACGCTCTTTTGGGTCCGAGTTGGGCAATAGAAAGCTCTTATGTGGACCTACGAGTGTCTGCACTGAGAGCTGCTCCTTCCTGTCGGCTCCGAACGAGCGCAGAGCTGAATCCAAACATCACCTTGGAAGATGGTTCAGCCGACAAATTTAGACTGACTGTTAATTTGCCCCGTCTATCTTGCTCATATAACACCCCAAAAATAAATTTTACGCAGGAACTGTTCAGCAAGAAGCCGCTTCAATCCCAACACTTCGGATACTCGGTACAATACCCATGTTCTAAGGAAGACCCCATGCGTCCTTCGCCCACTCTCTGGACAAACTCGTACATCTGGGGACAGTTAAGCAATACCTCTGTCAAGAGTATCATGGCCCTCACGTGCATGCAATACGCCGAAACAGTCGAGTCTTCAGTACGCTTGAAGTTTCCAGGATTAGAAATTGCCGAAGACCACCCCCCAGTACCCGACGAGTCGAGCGCAAAATTCGTTCCAGATGTCTACGTGCCAATTTCTGAGTGGTGGGTGCTGGGCGATCGTGAATCATATCCCATGACAGACGCTTTCTTCTATTTCTTGACAGCTGGAAAGTACGGTATTCCAATCGAAGATCTTGGAGCTCCAGGGAAGAGCGAAAAGGTTATCAAAGCAATCAAGCGCCAGATACGACTCATTACCGCCCAGCAATTCAACTCTTACTCTCGCGGCACATCGAATGAAACAAAATCTCGAACAAGACTGGTCGGGAATATCACGATGCCCAATCGACTGCGGTTGATTCAAGATGCAACTTCAACGCGGATACTGGAAGGAATCCTTGGAGTGATGCTTGTATTGGGTATACTTGGCTCCGTGATCATGAACACGGATCATGTTCTGCCGAAGAACCCATGCAGTATCGCGGCTGTTGCGAGTCTCTTGGCAGATTCAAACCTCATAGATCGACGTGCGTTGGAGATGACTGTCCCAAGCGCTAAACCTCTCCAGTCTAGCCTTTTTAGCCAATGTTGTGCTTATTTAGGCTGGAGGGATGGGAAACCTAGCCCTGAGTTGTTGGCTGTAGGCGAGGAAATGGGAAGTCGCGGCAAGTTCACGATATATCTTGACTCGGAAGACGAATCTAGCGGATGGAACATGTTTTAAAGTGAGAGGGACGTTCGGAAGATATAAACCGATCGTCACCTCCATAGAAGCATCAGATATATTATCCAACATATGTGCCACTTACCTTTAGCCTCATGAATTGATGATTCCTATACACACAAGTGTCTAGATTACTTCGGATCCAGGGTCAACGTCTGATACTCCGTGACCAACTAGGCTGCTAGATATACACACACAACCAACACAAAGAGACCCAAATGCACATTATGAGACAAGGGAAAGATCATCGGAAGTACTCACCGGATAACGCTTGTGCCAATAAAACCGATGCAAGAGCCCAGCGATATGCCGATCAACCTCCCAAATCCACACATCCTTCTCTGCCTGTTTCAGTACTTCCTCTAGTTCACCAAAACCCAATTTCCTCTCATCAAACACCTTCAAAAGCATCTTAACAGCACCCAAATTACTCTCCTTAACTGCAATCGACAACACGTTCACGCCCAAGCAATCAAGCAGCGGATCTGCCCTTCGGTCCAAGAGCCGTCGCATAACGCTTTCATCGTTATCATACGCAGACAGGAACAACGCAGTGCGACCCACAAAATTAGTATCATCGATGCTACACCCATTCTGCAAGAGGAAATCAAGCAATCCCTCAGGATCTTCCTTGGCTGTCGCGGCCTGATGAATTAGGTCTCCCGTATCACCACCTGCATGGACATCACATCCTATATCCAGAATCAGACGCATAAGCGAGACGCTACCTTGCCCTGCCGCAAGATGGAGGTATCGGATCATGGTGCGATCGTCAAGTTCGGTCGGCGACGCCAGCAAGCCCCGATCAAGGAGGAGACGGAGGACCCCCTCGCCGCCTATTAGGGCGGCATGGAAGAGCGGGATCAATCGTGATCCGGTTTCGTTTCCTACCGGTAGCGGGTCGACGACTAGCTCTGGGCCCTTAGGGTGGTCGAGGAGGATGCGGAGCGTCTCTACGTTTCTCGAGTAGAGGATCTCGGCGAGGAGACATGAGTTTGGGAGAGGGGTGGTTGGGTCGGCATTGTGGGAGAGCAGAAGGGAGAAGATGGTTGGGTTGGTGACAGCGATGGAGAGGGCTTTTCCTGGGGGATCGTTTGGGTTGGCGCCATGGGCGAGGAGGGTTGCGGTGGCTTCTTTGTGGCCTTTTTGGATTGAGCGAAGGAGAACGGGAGGTCCTTCAGTTGGTAGGGTCATGCTTGCGCCATGGGAGAAGAGGATGTCGATTATGGCGGGCTGGTTGCACTCTGCGGCCCAGGCGAGGGCTGTTTGTGGGGGCATGTAGGAGAATGAATAGGGGTGGAAGATGCGTTCGTCGGTGACGCGCAGGTTGGGGTCGCAGTTGTGTTTTGTGAAAACGTCAGTGATGAGGGTGGTGCGGCCGGTTATTGCAGCGACGCAGAGGAGGATCGCCTGTTGGTATGGCTCTGTCGAGGATTTGACGTAGTCAAATCGGGTGAGGAGGAGGTCGAGGATGTCATTGTGCCCTCCTAGTGCTGCGCGGGATAGTTGGAAGAGGGGTTTCCGGCCGTCTGGACAGGATGGGTTGGGAGTTGCCCCGTGATCAAGTAGACATTGCACGATATTGATGTTACCGGAAGAGGATGCCCTACAGAGCGAGGTCCCATAGTATTCGGTGGCAATGTTAGGGTCTGCTCCACGGGAGAGCAGGAACTCCACGATATCAAGGTGGTCTTTTTGCGCCGCAAATGCAAGAGGGGTTTCGCCGTTCTTGTCTTGCGCATCTATAGAACACCCCGCGTCGGCTAATGCGCGGACAACATCGAGATGGCCCTGTTCGGCTGCGAAATGGAGGGCGGTACGCCTCTCGTAGTTGCCTATGTGGATATCCGGACGCACGCCGTATTCAAGTAGTATATTGACGACGGTTACATGGCCATGCGATGCTGCCATAGAAAGCGGGTGCCCCTCTGCCCTATCTTCAGGGTCTTCTCCATGACTAAGAGGATTCTTCCAGTCGTTAAGGGTGGATAATGGATTGATGCCCTGTTCGTATAGCAGTTCCATTATCTCACTGTGTCCGTGAAGGGCGGCCAAGGCAAATGGCTGCCAGGGCTCGCTTCCGCAGGCGTCTGGCGGGGCAGCTGCTTCCAGGATGAGTCTGACAGTTGAGGTTGACCCGTTAATGGCGGCCCATTCGAGCGTGTATCCCCCGTCTCGCTGGTAGCTGGCACTACGGTCGTACAGAATGGTGTTCAGTAGTCCATGCAGCCACCGGGTGGTGCGACATAGGGCGTTGATATCACTCTCGTACTCAAAATGAGGGACCAGGAGCAAAATAACCTCGTTGGGGAGATTGGAGAAACTCATCTTGAAGTATTACCCTATTCTGTTTTAGATTTTGCACTAGGCCTTGGGGTCTAACAAGGGCTGTATGTTGTAAAAGAAATGGTCCGGTCATCCAGCTTGTCTTTAGCTGTACTGCATGTCAAGCATGTCAATGTTGACATGAAATATTGACATGATCCACCCTGGTCTAGTTAAGTGTCGGGTGGGTCCCCTTAGCCTTACATAAGCCCCCTGCCCCCCAGTCGGGGCCGGCTACTCAGCCTCGAGATACACGTGACGCCACAGCCTTATTGTTATGTGGAGTTTCTCATCTAATAGGAAATACTATAACATAAATATTAGATCTGTGAGTACGGAATAGCTAACGGAATAGAAAGAATAAGCGGTAAGTCAAATTAACCAATCATCTCATTATCGCGGTATGGCACCGGTAACGGCGTTGGGGTCATTATCTTAGCGTCAAGCAAGAGTCCCCGCATGATAGTTGTGGAAAGAGTCTGCGAGACAACATTTTTCATTGATCAAATTGCTAGTATTTGCACAGTTATTTTATCTCGTAATAAGATAGTCTCCAGCTGGCTCTTTAGAGGTAAAGCTATAAAGAGCAATGGCTACCCCAATTCCACCATTGATGTACAACTTGTCGAAACAATCTTCAAAATGCGCTTCATAACTTCCACACTATCTCTTCTCTTGCAGGGTGCTGTTGCTTTAAATGTTGGCCCAGAATATAGTCATCCGATAGAAGGTCAGTAACGAAAAACAATCCTTAAATCAACATACTAAACAGACAATAGATCTCGATGTCGATCTCCCATTCTCTCAGCCGGTCACATTCGCCCACTTGGAATGGCAAAGATGTCTCGCAGCATCTCATAATAAGGTATGTTGTACCCGAATATATGTTTAACCAATGATTCCATCAAGAGCTAACCGAGGCAAAAGCCCCTCGACATCGCCATTCTCGGCTTCCCTTACGACACCTCAACCTCATACCGTCCCGGCGCAAGATTCGGCCCTCGAGGCATCCGCGCAGGATCAGCGCGTGAAAAGAAGGGTCGAAGCTATAACACTGTCTGGGGGGTTGACCCATATGATGAGGGACTTGAAATTGTGAGTGCAGCGCATTTACATACAACTATAAGATGTGATTTCTAGATCGCTAATCCACCACCAGATCGACTGTGGAGATATCCCCATCACCCCCTTCGACGCCGCGCACGCTTTCAAGCAAATGGAACAGGGTTATAGACAGGTTCTCTACCACCCCACATCCGAGGGTAATTCATGGGAACACCCGCGCATAGTGAGTCTGGGTGGAGACCACTCGATTGTCTTGCCTATCTTGCGCTCGTTGAAACACGTGTATGGACCGATCTCTGTTATTCACTTAGACTCGCACCTCGATACTTGGGACCCTTATGAGGGCTACACTGGAATTGCGTCGAACCAGTCGGCTATCACGCATGGAACTTTCTTCTGGCATGCCAGTCGGGAGGGATGCATTGCGAAGGGGACGAGTGTGCATGGAGGATTGAGGACGAAGCTTTTCGTGAGTGATGTCTGGCAATTCTCTTGTCGGAAATTAATACTAATTGAATATTATCAACAGAGTCCTAAGGATTATGAGATCGATCAGAATGTTGGATTCACCATCATCGAGGCCCACGAGATTGATGATATTGGCATGTCCGGGATCATTGATAAGGTCCGGAGTGTTGTCGGAGACACTCCGACTTATCTTTCTATTGACATTGACGGTGAGATCGTTTTTCCCCTGTGCAAGACACAACAGATACTAATTTCTTCAATTAGTCCTCGATCCCAGCATCGCCCCTGCGACCGGAACTCCCGAATCGGGCGGTTGGACTACTCGTGAGCTGAAGCGGTTCATCAAAGGCCTCGAGGGTGTGAATCTTGTTGGTGCCGATGTGGTTGAAGTCAGCCCTCCTTATGACACCGTTGCTGAGACGACTTCTATCGCTGCTGCGGATTTGATCGTTGATATTCTCGCATCTATGGCGAAGTTGAAGACAGGTCCCAAGTCTAAGGCGCCGGCTTCAAAGGATGAGTTGTAAGCAGAGCCTGACGCATGTTTCGAAATTTGAGATTTCAATTATGTATGAATCACGCTATATGAAATTTCAAATAGGCAAGACCAACTTGCCTGATTGTTTGAGGGCATCCCTCCAGTTAACCACATTCTCATCTAAATTCATGATGCTCCAAATTTCTTGTATCACTTTCCATTGCCTCTTGAAATTACCCATTGAGTACCCCTGTACTCGCTCCCACCATTCAACCCAAGGCTGTCGATCGTTCGCCTCACATGCAGCGATAAATGCAGGCCAGGACATGGGAGCTGCGCGTTTTTCGCCAAATGAGTATGCATCTTTGAGATCTTCGGCTAGCGAAAGGTTCGTCCAGATTGCTGCTATTCGCTGTTGGAGGTCCACCGGGTTAGAGTTCTCGATTGCTCGATAATAGAAAATCGCGATCGCGCTATGGAATGCTAGAGCTTGGCAATGTATTATCTCAAGCATCGTGGGGTCCTCCAATGCAATGAGGTCGAAAGACTCGGATTCTATATCCCATGAAAAGATCTCATCGTACAATGCCGAACATCCGTCGAGCAGAATTATTGGCATTTCAGCATCCTGGTAGAAAGCCAGATACTCGGCCAGCTGACAGGTCCTTTGTAACAGATTTCCCAGATATGGAGTGATGCCATACATGTATTGGATGTTGGTGTCGTCGTCGTGAAAGTAAGGTTCCTCGAAAAACGGACCCTCTGTTTTCCAGGGTCTAGGTTCTAGCTCGTGTGCTGTCGTTCGAGCTAGGAGACTTAGAAAATGGCAAATACTGCTCACCTGGCGACTGGAGTCATCAAGTATTTCGGAGCCATAGTCTGGTCTTTGCAGCTGACGGCACCCCTTTAGATGGATTGGGAAATCTGAATCTTCGCCCGTCATGGTCTAGTTTGTTAGATGCAGTCATATTTTATATCATGGAGCGAAGGCCACCTACATCGATCGTGACTAAAGATAGCATCGCCGTCAGATAAACGGTATATTGCTGGGAGTCTTTGGGCGCTACGAGTGCAAACTTGAGTGCCCGTAAAGCTTTGGCACGGTGCTGGAGACCGAGATTGTGGTATTCTCTTGAGCCACCCATGACGTTCCGGAGATGGAATGCAGCCGACGATAATATACTGTGGAATAGTGAAATTGAGACGCCCGAGGTGGGCCCTGTATTTTGGACAAGACATAAATCAGGGCATCCCTCGAGAGCGAATGGGAGATATGTTGTTCGCCAAGGGTTCCTCGGGTGGAAGACTGGCTGTAGGAGCTCGGCGACATGGTTTTTGTAGTGATACATAAGCATTGATGTGTTGGAATCTTTGAATAAGGGCATCGAAAGCTCGATGTGTGGTGAGGGATGCATTGTGAGCGACATCTTTCTCGAGTATGATAACCTTGGCGAATTTGGTGTATCGATCATGGCTAACAAGGACTCCCAGTTTGGGGAGAAATCCATTTCATGTATTTCCGCATTCGGAATTACATTATCATCCGGGATTGTTTCAAACAGTTCGTTGGACAGCTCGGGGTCCAACTGACTAGGAGTGATCTCAGGGCTCCAGTCCTGGGTGTGATGAACATTCTCCAATAAAGCCGGGGGTTCGACATGTTCAGTGTCGCCGTGTTCCCATTTAGAGAATATTGCAAAGGGCCCTATAGTTACGGTGCATGATGGTGTTGAAATTGAGTCAAGAGAGGATATAATTCGGTTGATCTCGTCCTCCGAGATGCTAGGAGAGGTGGATTGTTCTGATTAAGAATGGTATCAGCCAATGTGCTTTTGAAAGATTGCCGGGACTCACCTAGTCTGATCTGTCTGCGCCGCAGGCCTTGAAAATCCCGCTTCTTATCTGTCATCCAGCACAGATTCACATCGTATCCGGCACATTCCAGGCCGGATTTCTGGCAGACTCCACATCCATTTTGTTGACGCTCATCACATTTGACCTTCCGAGACCTGCAGGTCCAGCACCTGTTTTTGTCAGCTCCAACAGTGTGTGGATGTTTAGATATAGTTGAGTATTACCCTGTGAACGTCACTGACTTCTGCTTCGCCTGGCGAACACGCTTGGTTTGTTTCCTAGGAGCTTGAACCGAGCCAACCATGATATCGTTGATATAGGGCTAGTTCTCAATCTGAGCAATGATTGTCACCTTTGATGGTCGTGAGGGGGAGTATCAAGTAGACCAGCGTTATGACACAGCGTGCAGTTGGAGTAAACGCCAAGTGGTCGAGAGCTCCAAGTCAAGCTTAACGGTGTCAATGGTGGATCTAGCTTGAGATATATGCGGGGTCAGTCAGGACCAATAGGTACACATGATAGCCGAGGAAATTTGGCCATTCTGCAGAGATCTCTTCAATATTCTCTTCTAATGCGGGGTTCTATAGGATTTGATTCCATGACACAATATAATTGGGGATATCTTATCTATGTCTTATCGATATGCCTTATCTTATCTCGATAAGTGGGTCGGGCTTGGCAGTTGAAAAGGGAAGGAGCCAGCGACAGACCCTAGTACAATGGATGTATGTTTATCCGGGAGATATCATGAATTATTGTCTGAGGATATTTTATTTGCAGTAAAGTTAATGGCCAAAGATCAGTGAATGTTCCAATCTATCTCATTGCAAGTGTAAGTCCACCTGTGGTCCCGTATAGTTCCCTCTTCCGTGCAATACCCACCACAGTGCCACTAGCAATGTCAATCCACATGTGATCACACTAGTATAGTTCATTTCCTCCGGAGACGTGGGCAGAGTGTAAGGGAAGCAGTAAATCACAAACGAGACAGCAATGTACATGCATGCGACAGCATTGACAACAGAGCCAACTTTCCCCATCCAAAATGGACCAGGACGGATGTTCTTGCGCCCGGTTATCAAATGTGGGAATATAGCGAGGAAGTAAGATAGTGTTGTCAACAGCACAAACGAGCCAATAAAAGCCTCGAAGGCAGTATAAGATCCCACATAAATTGCCCCGATACATGTCAGAAACACGCCGCATGCCAAAGTTGCATAAAGTGGGCTATGCCATGTTGGACTGATGGCCCCAATGTGCTTGGAAAATGGTGTTGCATCGTCGCGACCCAGGACATAGAATGTTCTTCCTGCGGTAATATAGCATCCAATCGTTGCACAGAAGATGGGTGCGATTGTGAGCGTGAGAAGCCCCACAGCACCGGCTCGAGAGCCGGTTGCTTGCAGATAGATATCACCCAATGGAGAGATCGAATTGGCGTTCACAATAAGAGGCAGGTCTGTGACAGCGTAGAACATAGAGATCAAATAACAAAAGCCAGTCGCGAAGCCGATGGTCACTTGACAAGCAAGGGCTCTTGGGATATTCCGTCTTGCGCTAGTTGATGTATCAGCAATAGAACCGTCTGCAACGAAGCAATGTTACATACTCGGGAATTTCTTCTGCGATATGTGTGACGCAGTCGATGGCACCGATCGCGAATGCTCCGTTCAACATGCCTGCAAGGAATGTGAATCCGTTCGAGTAACCAGTGACGTTGCTCCAGTCTTTCCAGACAAAGTCATTTGATGCATATCCGGCCCCATTCCTGCTTGGCATAATAGCGCAGACCAAGACTGTAATACCGAAGCCAGCAACAATAAAGAAAGACCCGATTCTGCTGATGAGCGGGAGAGCCCGTTGGCAGAACATCACTGTAAGACAGCATAGCCAGGAGATGATTAAATAGCAAACGAAAACATGCCAGCGCTGTGGCTCTACCTCTGGATGGTAGAGTGCGTATGAATAGACAATCATGCTTCCAGTCATAGAACAGTTTCCTGCTACGGCGAATGTCCACGCAAGACCATTCAGCCATCCTGCGAACCAGCCGCACAATCTGCCATAACGAGGACCAGCGGTGATAGTAGCCCAGTGGTAGACTCCTCCGGATGCTGGAATAGCAGAGGCAAGCTCGGCGATTGATGCGGCAATGAAGCAGTAGAAAAAGGAGGCGGTTGCGCTATTCTAGGTGTTAGCATTAAGTTTTAAGGAAGTTCCGTCGCTTGTGGCAACCCACAACTCGTATATGATGCCAGGTGGTCCGCCATTGTAGAGAGAAGCAATCTATGATGTGTTAGTAGTGCGCAATGTGGACAAAAGATTTGGGCTTTACAATTCCGCCTCCCAGAACCGCCCAAGCATTTCCAGTAGTTATTCCAGTCGCGCACGCACTCAAGAGGTTGAAGCTCTTTGCAAGTACAGGCGTGACGCCAGTCTCGGTATCTTCTTTTGTGGAGCCTTGGATAGAAGACTCGATGTCACCAACATCTTCTTTAATTTCGAACTGTGCCATGACAGTGGATATGAATTGCAATGCAATCAAAAATGTGTATGACTCACATTCGACGGAAATAGCTTTAGATATTTATGATCTTTGTTTATCTTTACATTTGCCTTGGTCTAATACAAGAGCCGCTTTATCCCTTCAAGATACAAGATATGTGAGAACAGGTCGCTGGCTCTTACTAAAAAACCAAGAATCGATTGAACTCGACGATAGTATTGGCTTAGAGATACTATTATCTTTGGTCTTTTTTAGGTTTGCTATGTTGTAAATCAAAGCATCATAAAAGCTGATATCTATTCGCTTGCTCTTGCCATATAAATTCATTTCTGATAACGCATAAGAAGTAGTCCATAGGTACCGGGGGAGGATTTCAGTCTTACTACAACATTTCAGTGGCAACAACCTCGCTACTATCAAGACAAAGATACTATCCTGATAGCCCCGCTCTACTTAGTCAGATAATCGAGTCTCGGAATAAGCATTCTCTGCTCGCTGGCTGTTACCGCATCTGCATATGCTCATGGGCCTTGCATATTTCCCCGCAAAACCAAGCTAGTATGCCCAGTCAAGTTTATATATTCCAAACTATTCACAAATAAAGCATGCATCTTACGCTTCTCTGAAAGAATCTGAGACTTGCTATATTTCAAAATTCTACAAACATGACATCCTGTCTCAGCAACCAGTCTGTCATCATTACAGGCGCCTCTGCACCATTGGCAGAGGCGTTTCGCGTTTGTTCCTCAGGTAAGCTTTCCTAGTTGATAAAGAAAAGATATATCCTGACATCTATAAAGACTCCAAGAAGACTATCGCGCTCAACCTGGATCATCTGATATCTACCAACTTAACTGAAGCACAGGCTCAGATAAACACTGCTTTCGGTGCTCTTGACCAGATCGATGTTTTCATTATCGATACCAGAACTCAGGAACCCTCTGGGCAAGAGGCAATCTGGGAGATCCCGTTGAGTGAATGGGATCAGGGACATACATCCATGAGCTGTCAGAAAAAAATGTTGCTGCAGGCAAAATTATTCCTCCAGCATCAATTCCAGGTCAACGAGACAAATTCTCTTGAGAACCAACCAGGGAACAGTTTCTCTATTGTTGTCCTCGGGCATCAAGATCTCTTCGATATTTCACTCGATCACGTTATTTCCAAGCTTCAAAGAGACATCTCACGACTTCATCCAGATGCTTCCGTCAACTTCCTTGATCTCAGTGCTTCGCGCGAGGCCTCTACCCAGTCAGTTGTCGCAGCAACAGCGATACTGGTCTCAGCGAAGCCCGCCCGTGGAATCATTTCACTCGCCGACATCTCTAATGTAAAAATCACGGAGAAAAACGAAAATCATAATTCCATTGCTCAGAATACCCAACTTTGTCGAAGCCTCCCTCTCCATCAGAAGCACCCAAAGGTCAAAATCGCTTTGTCGTTTGACTTCGACGCAGTCTCCGCCTTCCTGGGAACAGGACACCATCCAGACAACAACATGGCAGACTACAGCACCGGCATATTTTCCGGTCGAGTCGGTGCCAATAGGATACTACGAATGTTACAAAAACACCAAGTAGCCGATAAAGTCACCTGGTTTATACCCGGCCACACAATGGAAACCTTCGAACCAACCGTCAAAGAGATTATCCAGTCCGGCGCCGAGATCGGACTTCATGGGTATTCGCACGAAGGCGCCTACCAAATGACACCAGCTCAAGAGCGCGACGTGCTAGTCAAGTGCATGGAAGTGTCGCAACGACTAACAGGCAAAAGAGTGCGAGGCTACCGCGCGCCCATGTACCAACTCCGCGAGACGACAATCGAGCTTCTGAGAGAATTTGAATTTCTATACGACTCCTCTCTGAGCCACCATGACTCACAACCATATTTCACACCCAGCGACCCGCCAATCGAAAAGGTGGATTTCTCCAAGCCGGCTAGTGCTTGGTTGCGCCCCACGCCGCTTGCTGCGACGAATGCCCGCCCTGTCGGCCACCCACTCGTGGAAATTCCCACTGGGTGGAATAATGAGGATATGATGGCCTTGCAGTACTTTCCACATCTCGATAACAGCCATGGACATGTTGATGCGCGAGTTGTTGAGCAGAGATGGAAGGATATGTTTTTGTGGCTGTGGGAGAATGCCCATGTTGATGGAGGGGATGGTAGCTTTGTCTTCCCTATCTTGATGCATCCCGATACTAGTGGAATGTCCCATGTGATAGGCATGGTTGATCGTTTTGTGGGGTGGCTTCGGGGATGGGGGGATTCGGTTCAGTTTCACACTTTCGAGAGTATCACACAGGAGTGGTTAGAGGACCAACTGAAGACCAAGTAAATAGGAGATTGATTTATGCCTAATGAATATATTTTTTCCAAGAGATTCAAGCAATACTCTATTTCATTTAGGGGAAGCCATATTTTATTCACATCCCGACCCACTATAACTCCACTGTTCTTTCGTTATAATTTTACGTATAGATGAAGTTGATCAACTTGTATAGAATCAAAGGTGTAGGATAAGATTCTATCATTATAAAAAATCCTCTGATTGGCTGATAAGCACCTGGCTCGCTGGCTGTTGCCTCATTCAAGATAAGCATAAACATGCCACTCCTGAGCTGTTTATATAAATCTGTCGGGTGAACCCCATAAGTACAAGCATACAAACACTCCAACTCGAGAAACCAGACATATCACACATAATGCATCTTGCTATTCCTCCCCCGCCTATTCGCAATCCCGAAAAGGGGTTCAAAACACACCTAAAGAAGACACGAACCGAGTCAATCTCAACAAATGAGACCGAATCTTTACAAACATCCCCCGAGGGCTCATTAAAGAGGTCATTTCGGAGATCCATTATCAATGGTAAGTCATAGAAATATCATTTCTCTACCCGCGCTTACAATATTAAAGCCTTTGCCTCTCGCACTAGAACGTGAAGACAGCGCAAACGCGGTCATTGATTCATTTGCTTTTTTTGTTATATACCTGGGCTGCTACTGGAAGTATGCCCATCTCGATCTTGCGGCGTTTTCATTGGTACCTGTTGCTATTATGTTTCTATTTAAACTACGATCTTCTCTATCTCAAACAAGATCTATGTTCTAGCATTAGTGCTTGTGAATGATTCCATTTTCAATAATGAACTTACCTTTTCAATATATCGCACGCCGACTAGAATCCCGTCCTCATCCTCGAATTCACTTTCGTCTTGGAAAAGCAGACTGTCGGAGTCCAGGCAAGTCAAACAATTAATGACTGTATCCGTATAGATTCTACCCATTATACGGGGTAAATGGGATTTCGCCAAGTCAATAAGAACAGACTTGATTCCCACTGCGCCCTTCCGCTTGTTTTTGGCAGTCAACAAATTCGTGATCGGTAGCTCTGAACTGGGGACTGTCTGATCGTCCAAGTAGTACACAAATGAGCTCCACAATCCAATTTCTAGCAGACACACCCCGATGCTGTAGATATCATGTCGCATGTTATAGATTTCTTCTGGGTGAAGACCCTGCCGTGCGGGGTGGCGATATAGATTCCTTTCCCAGAGATTATCGCCTAACAGATTTGTGCGCTGCTCGTCAAAACGGAAGCGTTCAAATCCCACCAGTACCGAAGTTCCAAGCACACCCGCACCCGGGTGAAGTATGATGATATTCTCTGGGGATATGTTTTTGTGTACAATCCGAGAAGCATGAAGAAAAACCACGGATCGAGCCAGTGAGACAGCCAGATGCACTCGCTCGTTGAGAGGGTATGCTTCGGCCCGGTTCAACAGCATAGATCGAAGGCTGCAAGGCTCGTAAAAGCTCATCTCGCGGGGTATGGTAAATATCATGCGAAAGTGCGATTCATCTTTTGCTATGATGACACCTTGACAAGGCAGCAGAGAAGAAAAAGTCGGGTTGACCTTTGACAGAATTACGGCCAGATTTCGGATGTCCTTTTTGACAACCTTTTGGTCGACATCCCCGCGTAACGTATACTTGTCAACAATCACCATCTTTCCGGTCGGTGCTAAACCGGTTAACGCCGTAGTGAATTGGATTCCCTTTGCATTCTTTATGAGATAATCGGCATCGAGAAAGATTGACGTCGTCGAGGTTTCATCTGCAGGTAATTTGCTTTTGCCATGTGCCTCGCGGAGCTGTAGAATAGGTACTATGGCTTTGTTACCACGTTCTCCTTTTTCTGCAAGCTGTTGCTGAATAACGGGCACCGAAAGACGCGATAGCAAAATCCACGAGGGGTCAAAGTGTCGATGCCACTGCTCAAGTTGCTCGACGATACGCTCTAGCGATTTTTTTCCGTAGGCCGCATACTTCAGTCGCTGGATCTTCCCCTGCTTTGCCATGTTTCCGGACCATTGGGTATCCTCAGGCTCCCCAAAAAGATCGCCGAGCGTGTTATACGCGCTTTGCAAAATTTGTAGGAGCGTTTGCAGAACCTGATTGTGGTGGATTTGAAGACGACCGTCTAGTCCATGCCAAATATCGCGTAGGGTGGTGACTTCATCCTCAATCTTCAGCCAATAACCCTCAATACGAAGAAGGGCATTAGCCATTTCAGCTTCGGCCTGTATATACGCCTGACATCGCGCATGAAGACCCCGCCCACACCTGTTCAGCGAATAAATTAGACGGAATGGCCTGTGGGAATTTGAGGGTTCTGCTAGAAATAAACACGTACTTGATGCAGAGCTCCACCATGGAACAAGCAGCAAATGCTAGAGAAACGGGCTCCATCTTTCTCCGTGTCAAGGCCTTTTGTGTGATGTTCGAAGTAAAATAATTGGGAGAATTAGGGGACTATGGCTGAAGAAAGGCACAGCGTTGGAAGTGGCCCCGCAATTCCTGGGATTCAGCCTCATCTCCCAAAATCTTGGGCTCACTTGAATGCCTTGGGGAGTGGAACTTGCCTATATGAATATTTCCACCCTATTCTCCCCGACAGGCTCGTTCACTCCAGCGGTCAAACCCGATCCAGCTATCGCCTGTTTCTACCAAAAGTTGCCGGGAAGCTGCGGTGGCTTTCGCGTAAGATTAGCGCACAGCCTACCACATTGTGAATTAGAACATTACTTGCCAGCTGCTCATCTTGGCTCTTATCACCGGAAATACTGCTCTCTTGCGTATTCCCAACGGGGCTCTTTCTGCTTTGCAGATTTGTCACATGATGGGTTAATATATACTGAGAACTTGTTTAAGAGCCTCGTTCATGTCAGAAGCGACTTGGTTGCTAGCCGTCCTTTACCCCTCAACGAACAAACAGCAATAGGCTAGGCACGAGATGCAGTCGACTACAGCTGATTTGGTGACCGACACTAAATTTCGAGTCGAGTTTTATTCAGATTTAGTCCATCGCTTCACATTTCAGTCAAGCAACACCCCTGGTCAATATGTGAGGCGACAAGAGAGACTCGATGTGTGGAAGAAAGAGAAAGCAGTGGGCAGTGGATCTTATGGAAGCGTCTGGGTACACCGATGCTTGACAAGCGAGAACCAAGGCGAGCTACAGGCGGTAAAGATGGTCAACAAATCACAACTATCTTCTGGGGGCATCGACTTCTGCACAGAACTAGAGGCCATTGCAAAGTTTTCACAAAAAAAGGTTAGATCTTCGGGCTATTATATCAAGTTTTCAGAGCGCGTTTGTTGACTATTCATAGTATCTTGGTCTGTTTGTTGAGTACTTTGGTTGGTATGAAAATGAGGAATCTATGTTTATTGCCATGGAGTACATCCAACATGGTGATCTAGGCGCTCATTTAACGATACCATTGCCTGAGAAAGATGCTCGAGAGATCATTTTCCAAATCGCAGAAGGTCTAGAACACCTGCACAGAAATGGATTTGTTCATCGAGACCTAAAACCCGAGGTGAGTAGACAACCACAGGATGAAATAAACACCTTGAGCTAATACTAGTAGAATGTATTTGTCGTTGCCAAAGGGCCTCAATGGTGGGTTAAAATAGGCGATTTTGGCTTCAGCAAACGAATCAAGGAAGATAGCAGCCTCCGATCGATGGTGGGCACACGACTTTTTCTTGCACCAGAAGTGCAAATGATTTACCCACCTGGAACAGATGAGACGAGCGCCGTCTTTCATTATACGGAAAAGGTTGATATATGGTCTCTCGGGGTGATGACATTCTATATCCTTTTCCACGAATTTCCATTTACCTCGAACACCCCATATGCGCTGCCGAAGTATGTTCGTGGCGGACCCTTCCCATTCCCTGTATCTCCACCGGTGCAGATGCCCAGCGAGGAGTCTTACCGTTTTATGATTGCTGCGATGGCCCCAGATGCCAATACGAGATTATCTGCCCGGGGAGTTCTCGAGAGCAACTGGTTGAAGCAACGCGCTTTTGACTGTGTGTCTGGTATGGAAAGTCTGCAAATATCTGGAAAGACATCGTCCTCAATTTCACGACGAGTGACTCAGGCTCAGACTACACAATCACGGGAATCTCAAGGCACCATCACACCTTCCAATTACGGGAAGACATCGTCTACATCAATTTCTCCATCCAATCGAATTGTTTCAACCTTAATGGCCACGAACGTTTCGCTGAATCCAGCGAATCCCATTCCGCCGCAATCCAATGCCATATACAGCGGATATCACGAGCGAGGAGAAGATCCCCTGGCCGGACAAAAATACAAAACTACCCAAGCCATGTTCAACCAGGCTTCTGGCGGGCAAAAGATGAACGTAGGCACGCTGTTTTCCCTTCGTAGTGCAGGACATGCACTCTTCCGTCAAAAAAGTATCCCGAAGCCGAAGTCAAATATCAACTCGCCTTCGACGGATTCAAGGCAGCCATTGGATGGCAAAATGAAGAGACACTCTCGTGTCTTAACGATCTAGGCAATGCTCTTTACTATCAAACCAGATTCGCTGAAGCAGAATGCACGTGGAGACAAGCCTTCCAGGGATTCGACGAAGCCTTTGGATCGCACCACCCAAAGACACTCTCATGTCTTCAGCACGTAGGCATCGCTCTTTACGGGCAAGCCAGGTACATCGAAACCGAATCAACATGCCGGCTGGTCTATTGGGGACGCAAAAGCACTCTTGGGCCACATCATAAAGACACTCTATCGACGCTACAGGACATCGGCGATGCGCTTTTTTGTCAGAACAAATACATCGAAGCCGAGGCAGAATACCGGCAGGTTTATAGGGCACGCCAAAGGGCTTTGGGAGAACGTCATCAGGATACTCGCTTGGTCCTCCATAAAATTGGCAAAGCTCTTGAATTTCAAACGAAGTGTGCTGAATATCAAGCAACAATCTGATAGTCTTGGGAACAACCTTTTGCCTGTATATTCCTTGGGTCCTTTTATCGCGATTGAGTTGAAAGATAGATAGGCTGGGCGTTATTGAATTATGAGGTTATGATCCCTTGAATTGTTCGAAATGATAAACTGAATTTCAACTGCGCGCGATTCTCACGGTTTTTCGATAATAGCTAGATCAATAAACCAGCTCAGCTTGAAAAATCACTGTTCATCCACGAAAAACGGGTGCGTGACGCTTCATCAGGTTCAACCACCCGTCTATCTTCCAAGTCACCGGTCCCAGCAATAGTTGTCTCGATCCCAGTAATACAGTTCGTACAATCCATACTCGCAATCGCGTGACACTGCCGTAGAATTCTAAACACCTTGAGGCTCGGCATTTGTTTTGCAATTTTAGTACCTTCCGACGCCATTGCGTGGTACAGGAGCCTTCGCCCGTTACAATACTCGGGATCCTTTTTGGACATTCGCTGGGAATCTTGGGGACTGAGGTTGATGATGATACTCTCAATTCGTGACGGCGTGGCACTGTCGCCCCGCGGAAATTCAAGAACCTCTGTGCAGATCGAATACATGCGTAGACAAAGAGATTTCAGCGAAGGGAGTTGAAGCGCTAGTCGAGGACAGATATGTACAGAGGAGGTCATATTAGATCCCCAAGTATCAATGACAAGATGTGAGATCTTGGAGGCACCCAGAACGTTGAAAAATGGAGTTGGGTTCCATGTTGAAGCATAATGCGGGCGAGGTCGCGGATTGTAGTTTCTGCGGACAAGCAAAGTGAACGATGTTAAATGATCGCTCTTTTCAGTCACTGAAATGAGTGCGTGGTTCAATCTCTCGATGTCCTGCTCGGCGGGCCAATCCTCGGGGCCATGTATATCAAGTATGAGTCGTCGCAGGGATGTCCTCAGCGTCGGGTACTGATTGTCGGGAGCTTGTACCAACTGTATCGCACTGATTCGGAGGTCTTCTAGCAGGATGCGCTTTGCAATCTGATACCAAACCTTGAAAACTGCCAAGCAGCAGGATTCCTGCTTGCGAAGCTGGTCGCTGCCTATATAACGAATGATCATACATAGGATTTCAACCGGTAGGGTTTGTAGTGACATTGGAACGTGAGAAATAGAGGGGCTTGGGAGGAGAGAGACGGTAGAAAGGATAGGTTATGGTAGAGAGAAGCCTAATAGACGATACTGTACGCCTTAATTTAGGGAATCTGAAATCCCAAAGTGAACCCCTCAATTCGTATATGAACATGGGTATCACTTTATTCTCTCACCTCCATTTCCCTCAGATATCCGAGTCTCCCCTTTTCTCCTGTTACAAACCCCAGGCCAAATCAAAACATTTTTAAAATGGAGTCTATCGATGAATACTGGAATTCATTCCAGAACATGAACCTCGACAGCGACCATGCAAAGAAGATAAAAACAGTCCTCGAAAAAGCAAATTTCACTCATCTCTGCTCTGAAGCCACAAAGATTCGCCGAGAAAAGTCCATAGATGGATTAACCTGTTCTGTGAACATAGCAAAGTTCACCTACGGAACATACAACCTCGTGATAGCCCTGACCTTCTCCGACAAAATCCAATGGATAGCAAGAATCATGCTTCCCCAAGACGAAGATGACTTAGTATCCGAAGACCCGACAAACGAAGACGTTACAAAATCACTTTTGAGCGAAATAGCATCTATGAACTATATCCGCTCCAAAACAACCATCCCCATCCCCCGCGTTTTCGGGCATAGCGTCACAAAGAACGCCTTCGGTCATCCCTATATCCTAATGGAAGCACTCCAAGGAACCGTCCTCGAGAACCGAATGGCCCTCTCAATACCCGACACCCACAAAAGGAAATTCGCCGCCCAATTCGCCGGCTATATCTACGAACTAGGCACCCTCCAATTCCCCAAAATCGGCTCTCTATCATACGAGTCCAACGAACTCGAAATCACCCCATTCCAAATATCCAGTTCCTGGATTAACCCTCTATCATCCTCACTAGAATATTCCTATCTCTTCCGAAAAGCGGAAACAAAAGAAATCCACTCCGAACACCCCGATGTAACAGACTGGGCAGCTGCAGCATGGTTCCTTGAAAAATCACTAACGTCAATGGTAACCGAAGAACATCTCTACGGTCCATTCCCATTATGTCATTTGGATCTGGATTACAATAATATACTCGTTGACGAGGAGTTTAATATCACTGCTGTGCTTGACTGGAGTAATACACAGACTGTGCCAATTGAGAGGTTTGTCGTGAATCCGGAATTTGTTGCGCCTCCTGCTGCACCGGAGGAGTATAAACGGGCAGTTTTTGAGTTTCGGGATATTTTTGTGCAGGAGTTGGGGAGGATTGAAGGGAGGAAGGATGAGGATAGGGGATTGTCGTTGTCAGGTCTGTTTGGGTCGTCTTTGGCTGAGGTTGTTTTTCGGTGTACTTGTAGTCCTGCGCGGAGGGCTGTTTTTGATGCTCAGCTTACGCTTGCTCTGACTTTTGGTAGAGATGCTAAGTGGGAGGATTTTAAGAAGTTCTTTAATGGGCGGTTGGCGTGAAGTATATTGTATGTACTATGAGATGGGTTTGATGTCAAAGATTCGCCAGTTGAGGAAAGTGCAGTCAAAGTACACATAGGAAACTATGTTCGAGACAATCATGGTTTATTTCTTCTCAAATAAAACCCAGAGCCTAGTCATAAGAATATCAAAAACAACTGGTATTGATAGCTGTTGAAGCTGGCATAAGCCGAATGTAGACTATTGACATCAAATGCCGATAAATCACAATTCCCAGACGAGAATGCAATGATACATGACAATGCAATTCCTAAAGAAGAGTAGGAGGATTGATATCCGGTGAGAGGTTAGTTTGTTTCACCCGCTCAAGAGTCGGGACCGTGATAGCGCCCTTGGAAGAGTCAGCCGCCTGATCACTGACAGCCGAGGGATTGGGCGACGGGCCGGGTGTGCGCTCGCCCTTGTTTTGGCGCTGGATCAGGCCGTTGGTGATGCCAAGCACGGAGTCCACGATGACGGCGTCGATGCCTTCGGCGACTTGGTACTATACGGATAACATGGTTAGATGGTTGTTTGGGGTATGGAAAGTGGATGAAGAGGAATGGAAAGAAACTTACGTCGACGTTGTTGCCGTCATTGTTGAGCGTTCCGTAGGAGACACACACAAGACCGGATTCCTTGACGATACGGACCAGCCGCGGGCAGAGGACTAGTGGTTCAGCCTGAGTAACGATTCCGAGGAGGTTCCACCGCGAGGCGAATCGAATGGCCTCTTGCAAGCTGCTGGCGCGGATGTCACCGACCGGGGAGGCGCCTGCGTCGCTCAGGAAGAGAACCGGGATGGATGGTTGCTTGAAAGACAACAGTAGACAGATATCCGGGTTGAAGCTGGAGAACAACATGTCGCGGCCGCCTCCCAGATCGTAGACCTTGGTCAGGATGGTGTCGACGAAGGAGTTCAGTTCAATGGCGTAGGTGTCCATTTCTTCCTCCTCGCTCTCGTGGAGCATGGGATATTCTGGCGATCTCGGTTAGATCAACGGAATAGCTGTTCTTAGGGAAGCGGTAGTAACTCACTTAGTTCAATGTTAAATCCTACAGGTTTCGGGATCTTTGTGAATAACTCCTCCAATGTGGCGAATGGTGCCTGGATGTGCTCGCCGCGAGTGTTACCCTTGAAACCCTTCTTCTTGAAGTCGCGTGTGTGCTTGATCTTCTCGGTCAATTCGGCGGGGTTGTACTCGGAGCCGCCCACGGACATTGAGCGCTGGCGCGGACCATACTCTGATGCCTCGCCGACTTTCACGGATCCAGGTAGGGCATGACGGTAACGTCCGATGCCCAACTCGAGGAATTGATCGAGGGTCATGGTATGAACAGGCGCATCGATACCCGTCTCGCTGACCAGGAAGTCGTGGTAGATGACAGGCACGTGGTCTTTTGTGAGTTGTACGTCAAACTCAACGTAGGAGGCGCCCAGGTTGGCTGCAGCGATGAAGGACTCCACGGTATTCTCGCCCAACTGCAATGAATTGCGGCCGGCCATATTCTTACCCAGCCCACGGTGTCCAATGACCATGGTTGAGGTCATCGAGCGCCAGTAGGTCTGGTTGCCAGTGATAGACATCTTTGGGTGCTTGAAGGGGGTGATGACAAGGAAGTTGAAAGTCACAGACCCGATCACCTCAAGGGTATTCGCGGCAACAATTGGAACAGTAGAGTCACCCTTGAGGTTAATTCGGTGCGACCCCACAGTGGGCTTGATGCTAGAAAGCAGAGCGACGCCTCGGCCAACGATCTTCTCCTTCGATCCTGCGTAGGTGGGGACAAGGTCGAAAAGTAGACGCACCTTGCTAGGATCAGTAGTGTGGAAGACGATTGGCTCGGTTGAGATATTTTCCTGCACAGGCAAGTCAATCACCTCCGGCTCACCGTGAGCACCGCTAGCTGTTATCACCATCGACAAAGACGTGTCCAGCTGGGTGGCGTGGGCATTCTCCATCGGGATGCGGTCAAGGCTGACTGTCTCGAGCGGCTTGCGCATGTCCATAGTTCCCAGACTAACCAAGATCATGCTCTCATCGGTAAGATACCTGTGTCCAAAAGTCTTGATAGGTTCAGTAGTCCGTAAGCCAGGGGTCCCAGAAGTTGGGCCTGGCGCATTCGACCGGCGATCAGTGAGGGACGACTGAGTCGGAGGCGAGGAGGACTCGGAACCGGGGAGGTTTGGAGTGGACGATGAAAAATCGAGCTCAGTGGTAGGAGGGCCGGGGCTGACTTCCGCCAAGCACCGGGCAATGTCGAGATGGCCTCGCAGGGCCGCGTGCTCCTTAGCCGTCCAGCCAGAGGTATCGAAACGCTCCACGTCTGCACCGGCGGAAACTAGCATTTTGGCCACACTCAAACATCCATCCACACAGGCAATAAAGAGCGGCGTCCAACCATATGTGTTTTCGGCTAATTCTGTGTCTGCCTTCTGATCAACACTGCCATCCAGGAGAATTCGTGCACACTTGTCATGGCAAAATCGGGCGGCAACGTGCAATGCAGTCTCTCCCTGCTCATCCTGGTAATTGATATCCACGCCGGCATCCACCAGAAGCTGGACAATATCAATAAAGTTGGCCTTGGTCGCTAGTGCCAATACTGCACTAGACTTGGAGACCTGCTTTCTGATGATGCTCCGTTTCCGCGAGGGATACTGGTTTTCGGAATCCAAGAGACACCGGGTGGTTTGTGGGTGGCCGCCTACAACACTCAAATGGAGCGGGGCCCAGCCGTCATTGTCCTGCCAGAGAGGACCGTCGATGCCATCGCTGACATCGAACATGCCCCATTCCCTGAGGTGCTCGATGATGACTTCACACACGACCTTGAAACCATACTGCGCCGCGTAGTGCAATGGAGTGCGCCCAGAAAGGTCTTTGGCCATCAACGACTCGCGCTGATCAGGGCGTAGCGCGTCCAATAGGAACTGAAGGTGAGTAACAGCTGTATCATCGCGGCTCAGCTGCTGAGGCATGTGCTCCTCTTTGACTATAGCACGCGGCGGTTGGAGGGTCGGAGGCGCCGCGGGTGTAATATAGCGGGTAGTCTCCGGAGGGAAGTCAAGCACCATCGACGCCGCCGGCTCGGAGTCATTCGTGGGCTGTTCACGGCCAATGGAGATGACTAGACGGTGAAGGCAGTTACGTTTGTTGATATCATCGTCCTCCTCTAGAGTATCCACGCGGTTCAACAGAAGAGTCAGAACAGCGCGGGAACGATGAAGGATAGAGCGCTGAATCAGGGTTCTGAGAACCCTAGGATAAACCGTGTCTCCAGCTTCATCTGCGGAGGCCTTCAAAGTCTCGAGTAACTCAAGCAAGACGTGAGTGTCATCCTTGCGCAGTGCGTCATCGACGGCAGTGAGAATGCTGGTAGGCAGATTAAGAAAAGGCCTAGATGAGCCACGCTTCAATGAAAGGGAAGAATGGGTGGAGCTCGCGTCATCGGATGCCTTGTCGTCGGCCTTGGACTGGTCGGTGATGATGGCCATCCAAGCATTGATGCGCTCCTGGGATTGGAACACGCGTTCGTTGGAGGCGAACGGAGTGGGATCGACCTTGGTCTCTAGATAACGCTTCTGGGCCTGCGCACCGACCTTCTTGTCCAGCTTCTTGGTGATCTTGACGAAACCACGTCGATTGACTTCACCATACCATTGTAAGCGGCGCAAGTGGTACCGCAGATCCAACAGGGCCTCGCGCAGGTCATGTCGATCCTCGGGCTCGAGAGGATGGCGACCCTCCATGGAATAACCATAGCGCTCCTCGAGTAGCTTCAAACGGCGGGCGAACTCGGCATATTTCTTGTTGTAGAAATAATCGACATCTTCAACATTTCGGTCGAGGTTATAGAAGAACCCTATAAGCACCGAGGTCTGGTTAGAAAGGCGCTCGATTGAAACCAATAAATTCCAGGCAAGCTCTGTACGTACCAGCCAAATCCGGATCTTGTCCCGCTTTGATCTGCTCGGCCGCAGACTTGATAAGCTTCTTCAGGGCCTTGTACTTGATATAGGAGGTGCTCCACTCAGGAACGGTGAATTGGGATAAATTGCGGCCGAATTTCATATTGGCGAGATCAGCAATTCCACTAGAATTCAGTTCACCACACTTCCAACTCCACACTTTATCTTCTTTCGATTGTGTCGGGGGGGTTCCAATCGGAGGGAATTCGGAAGTCGACCTGAGTGTCACGAGGAAGCGATCAGGTGAGCGGGCGAACGCAGGTAGGGGAAATGAACCGCGCCATTGGAATGAGGAAAAGGAAGAGGGAAGGTAAAAGGGTAGAACAAAGAGACAAAGCTAGATGCACCTGACCCTGCCTTTGGGGAATGTCGGGGATATGGAAGGGATACTTTGCACACCTAGAGAGAGAGGATGGGGATAGGTTGAGAGAAGAAAGAGCGTGGGGTTAAGGAGTTTGTAAAAGAAGAGAAGAGCTGTCTGGGGTTGAAGGCGAACGGGTTGGAGGTGTGCGCACTGGACTGACGATGATTTGTCGACTCACGGGGGTTATCTCCACGGTACGGGTCTTATATACACGTACATCATACAAAGTACTATATAGTAGAGTACAATACTATTCCGTATACTGCGTATAGTACTTCGTATTATTTCAGCCACTATATTTTACAATTGCGGTGTGGAATTCCTATCTCCGACTTTTTGGGACTTTTGGTCCCACGTCATACAAATGGGGAATCGGTCTTGGCACATGCGAGATCGGCAGACTATATTGTAATTAATATTCAATTGATATTGGCAGACCTAATATTCAGACAGATATTTATCTTTGGTTTTCAAAGGGTCAAATACCCCAAAGTGCCCAGGAATGTAAAAGTTCTTAGAAGCTTGAATGGTGGAGACCGGAGACCCCGTGACCCTCGAACTATAGAAGGAGGAATATCAGTTCTTGTTGGGGGGTTAAGCCATTGATAATTCTAAAAAAAGCCAAACTCTGCGAATTCCATCCCGCCTTAGGCGTAAGAAAAAAGCAATCGCTAAAATCCGTCGCTCATCAGGTCATCTCGGAAACATTAAAAAAAGCAAATCTCAAAAACTCCATTGGATCAGTCCATCCGAGAGCCACATGCAAATGTAAAATATAAAAAAAAGAGCTAGAAAAAGAAAACGGTCATGTCGGCTATCAAACCAGCGGCTTCAATGCCTGTACCCCAGCCTGTAAGACCGCTTGGTTCTTTGTCTTCTTGAGACACGCGGTGAGAATATCGATTCCTCCCGCGGCACGAATAGCGGCTTTGGCGCGGGTGCCGATATCACCGGTCGCGACGCAAGTGAAGTTGCGAACACAGACCACACCTCGGTGAACCAATGCATCGTCATCTTCCTGGCACAATCCCAAGAGCAGTTCAACTCCCCGTGGTCGGTCCAGGACAGCGGCTATGGCGGCATCGAACTCGGTCAACATCGCAAGAGCTCCGCCCGCTGCCCGTCGGGTCGGAGCGTCATCGGCATCGGTCAGGGCTAGCAAAATGTGAAGGCGCTGGGCCGCTTGCTTGGAGCCATCTGCGAACTTGATAACACCGGATTCGCAGGTCATCAGATTACAGACCAGCTCGCAGGAAGCTCGTTGAACCCGAGCATTGCTAGACAGCAAGAGATCTTCCACTGCAGACCAGCCTTCCCGGACCATTAGTTCGGGTGCGGAGTCGTCATGCGGGTATGAAGCCAGGTTCGTCAGGGCTAGGAGACTTTCAAACACTGGGAGTAAGTCGCGAGGTTGGTCGGCAGATAACGAGGCCGTCTCGGGCGAGGAGAGTAGAGAGAGAAGGGGCCGGACGGCGGATGTAACCTGGGGAAATCCGGATGACGGGAAAACATGTGAAGGGTCAACGGAAATAAGGATGCGAGCCAGCGCATGGGATGCAATGCGTGTCGTTTCGTTCGTCACGGGGCCAGAGCTACTCTGCTTCGGGGCTGCAAGGCCAAGTAACAGTTTCACCGCACCTTGCTGGGCCAGTGTTCCACGGGACTTTTGAGGCCTAGTCAAGTTTTGTAGAATCTTTGCCGTGAGCTCATTGGTAGAAGGCAACGAAATTCGGCCGCACTCAACAAGCAGAGCCATGATGCCTGCATCGATAACGGCGCCACATCGTCTCAGGACAGCTTCCTCTTCATCCCGAATATCAATTTCTGGTGCTGCTTTCACCTTTCCGGTAGACGGGTCCGCGTAGTCTTTTAGCTGTGCCATCTTCTTTTGCTCTTCGGATAGGTTGGATAAGAATTTGGTGAGGTTTAAAACGACCATCAAGCCGCCATAGAGCGCGGATGAGTCGCCGGTGTTTTGTTTCATAGCCGCAATGAAGTTTCGTAGGAAAACCGGATCATTGGCAAGTTGATCCTTGACGGACGGCTTCACGGAAGTATAAGCCAATCCTTCGATTGCGTGGGAGTTGTGTTCAACCTTTTGTTCAGACATCAGTCCCATGAATCGATGAACCAGTTCAGACTCGCTGTCTTGTTCCAAGACCTTACCGTTGCCAGCCGAGGGTTTCTCAGGCTCGGATGCCCGGATCTTTGCCAGGGCCACTGCAGCTAATTCCGAGCAATCATCACTTCCATTGGTCAGGACATGTGACAACCAGTCCCCAAATTTCTTTGAAACAGCCTCGCGGCACGGACGGTTAATGCAAGCCGCATTAAGAAGTTCCAGAACGGGAACTTCCACCTTCTTGCTCTTGGGGTCTCGCGATGCCATCGGGAGGAGGAAGCTCATGAATTCATCCGATAAGAAGAGGTTGGCAGCTGCAGATGGAGCCACGGGGAAGACGGCGGCCACCGCAGAGAAAGCAACGATGAGATCGCTGACACGGCCTTTGCCAAGAATATTCATAATCAATGTCGAAAACCTCTTCTCGCCCGTCTCCTTGGCGACCTCGAGATATTTCGCAGTAGCTAAGGTGGCCTGGCTCCGAACTTCTAGTGGCAACCGATTGTCCAAGGAGGAGAGGATCACCTCAAGTCCTTCATCGTCAATCAAATGTTCGAGTTCAACGGCGTGGACAGCGAGTAGTCGAGTAATTCCCTTTAGAGAGCGACCATCGAGATCATGGCCCGATTCCATCAACTTGGCAATGAACAGCTGGAATAGTTCACTCTCGCAGTGGGATCGCGTTTCCTCCGATGTCCACACAGTGGGGTCTAACACCACCGTGTCCAGACACACCGCCGCCCGATCACCTCGGTCGTAGATTTCATCGAAGAATGTTGTGACAGATGTCTGGAGCTCTGTAGAGAAGTATTGTCGAACACTGACGTTCTGTCGCACCAACCCAGATATGATCTCATCTTGTGTCGTCGATAGAGAGTGGGGTCGCTGTGCGAGCAACAATTTGAGGCATTCCAAAGCAACGGTTTCCGGGGATTTCAGGCCATCGGTCCGGAGATAAATAGCAGCTTCCTTTCCTGCATTTTCATCTTTCTGTGTGGTGTATCGGCGGCAAAGATCGAGAAGCTGGTGACCGTCTTTGTCTTCATGCTGAACTTTCAGGAATGCGGCTTTCACTTGAGAATTTTCGGGGGCGATTGAGAGGGCTTCTCTAAGATTCCGAGAAGCAGCCTATGAAATGAGCCTCATATCAGTATTTTGCTAGCTTCCTCCGTTAGAGAGATAGGTGACATACCTCTCGGTGACCCGCGTCGACCAGTTCGACAGCCTCTCGGGCCAAGTTTACAGCGCGCTCTTCACCCGTTGCTTGAACCATTGCAGGGTTGAGCAAGAGACCGGAAATGTAGATTCCGGTTGTGGTTTGGAAGGTGAAGGGAGAGGCTTTCCAAGGGTTTTTTTTTTTGGAGGGGAGCGGAGAGATAAGGTGGGAACAGACAGCCGCTTTTTATGGGGAAAGGAAAAGGAAGAAAATGGTATATATATATATATATTTGATTTTCGGATTGCCGCGTTGGCCCGTTTGAATTCATAAAATGACACCTTATACTTTCCCCCGGACATATATGTAATAATAGACCGAGGGGATCTCCAAGGCTTACACTTCCATTTCCTTCACGAATCGCCATTATCAATTGGCCTGATAAGACACCAACCACAACGCCGAACGTCGTCACGTTGCGGATAAGCATATACTCAGCTTATTTTGCAGTTGCCTTGGTGTTACAATATTTGTGTTCCCAAGGCTTCCGGTGTTGAGATCCTATTAACTCTGCCGGAATCCTATTGATAGTATACGGTGTAGAAAGGCAACCATCCGTCTTGGTACTAGATAATACAGGTAGATGGTATGCAATAGTTTGATCTTGGCGCGCCCAAGGGATATGCCAAGAGAAACACTATGTCCTGTCTTTCAAACCGACCGGAAACAGAACATCTCTCAACAAAAGATGCTCATAAATTCGAGGTACTTTCAGTCACCCAAGCCATCACGGTGTGGAGGTAAATCCGATTGGAGTGTTAGCTCCGGTCGAGGTTCCGAAGTGCTTGTGAGTCAGTCGGACATCTCGAGGGGTCAAATCTATGTTAGGATGTAAAAAAAATATGATATACAAGTCTTGACGTAGGTGAGAGTCCTAGATTGGAACCTCATATGGGAAACAGCTATAGCAGTTGTTATCACCCCGTGACTAGCTTATCGCTTCGCCCTCAATTAACGTGCCGAATACTGGTAGAGCTTGGACTTCAAATTTAAATTCTAGCTGTATATACTCCATCCAGCCTCGGGATTCCAGTCTAAACGGCCTGATACCAGTCCGAGAGAGCCCCAGCTCACAATAATGAACACCAGCCTCGACTAATCCCCCACCTCACCACAATGAATTCCGTGGATGCTTCGGAGCATTATGAGTTGGGAGCTACCGGTCCGTATTGCCTACTCCCTACAAGAGCCGAACAACTAGCTGACCAGATCACCATACAGACCTCTCCCCTTCCCTACTCACCATCGTCATCGACACAAACCCACACGCCTGGGCCCTCCTCGAAGACTCCCTCCCCCTCTCCAAAGCAATCGCCAACATCCTAGTCTTCCTCAACGCCCACCTAGCCTGCAACTACGCCAACGAAGTCGCCGTGGTCGCATCACACACCCAAAAAGCAGCATGGCTCTACCCATCCCACAGCGCACCCCGAAACCGCTCCGATCATGACGGCGACGTCGCAATGAACGGCGCAACCGACACCACAACCCCCGAAACAAACAAATACCGCCCCTTCCGCCTCGTCGAAGAACAAGTCACCCGCAACCTCAAAGAACTAATGGACTCAACCACCGGCGACGATCTGCGTGGCAACATGTCCACAATGCTAGCGGGCGCATTAACCCTCGCCCTGAGCCACACGAACCGACGCACACTCGCCTGGGCAGAAGAGCACGGCGGCGCGAATACCGAAGACGCAGCGGCCGATAACAGCGGGAACGGGAGCACGGCGACGAATCGGTACTCAGCCTCGAATGAGGACGAGCGTCTGCAGAGTCGCATCTTGGTTGTTTCCGTGAGTGGGTCTACCGACGCTGCACACCAGTATATCCCTGTCATGAACAGTATCTTTGCCTGTCAGCGCTTGAGCATTCCCATCGATGTGTGTAAGCTCAGCGGTGATGCGGTCTTCTTGCAGCAGGCGTCTGATGCTACCAAGGGTGTTTATATGGCTCTTTCCGAGCCACGCGGTCTGCTTCAGTATCTGATGATGGCGTTTTTGCCTGATCAGCGCTCGCGCCGACATTTGGTTCTTCCAACGCGGGTGGATGTCGATTTCCGGGCTGCTTGCTTTTGTCATCGCCGGGTGGTTGATGTTGGCTTTGTGTGCTCTATTTGCCTTAGTATCTTCTGTGAGCCGCCACCTGGTAATGACTGCATGACTTGTGGCACGCATCTGGATATCGGGGATAATGCCAAGCCTGCTTTGTTGCCAAGGAGAAAGAAGAAGAAGAAGCGTGTTAATGGGGTATCCGGGGCGGGGACGCCTATGTCGACGCCTACGCCAGGTCCATGATATCTCTTGCACACAAGGTCATATCGTAGGGGAAAAAATAACCATATGGTGGGACCTGACTCTATCAATCCCGGGCTGGCATTACTCCTGGAACATACATGGGCTTGTTTTATGAGCAACATTACAAGTAGCTGGTTTACAAGGAAATAATTTGGGACAGCTCTCAATTTACTACTGTGAAACGAATAGGTACACACAGGGATGGAGGCCGGGACTTGTTGAAACATACTCTGATCACATTGTTGGTGCCCGGTCTCAAAGGAGACAGTCCAGGGGGGCAAAAAAGAGCCAGTGAAAAAATCGCTCGTGTTGTCAGCCTGTCACCATGTAGGTAAAACATTGGTGTCATAAGCCCAGGGAACACAATGGGGCATTTGGTACACCAACGCGGAGAACGCGAAGGAGATGAGACGGACTGAAGCAGATCGAGGTTGTGGGCGAAAACTATCTCGTCCATTGATGAGTACCAACAGACCAGAAGTCGGCAGGGCAAAGGGGCTTCGCTACAACATAGTTGTAGTTCTCATCGAGGGTGCATTGCAAATCCTGATTAAATCATCTGTGTTCAGCACTCACAACTTATATTTTCAACTTAATAAAACTTACAGTAATCTGGAAACCTGATTCGGCAACCTCCCTGGGCAATGGTTCCTCGTGTGCCTCGCGACATTAGACACGATGGCCTGTTCGAATTGCTGGACATGGAAGCGATGGCCTGTAAAATATGTTTAGCAACCAGTTCTGCATAGTGACAATAGTGAAAGACTCACGAAAGAGTCGGTGTTGTGAGCAAAGTAGAGTTCGACGCCATAATTGTTCTTCTTCACAATGACCACTCCGAGGGCCCCAAAGAGAATGCTGTTACTCACAGCAGTGTGTTCTAACAGACAAAAGCAAACCAATGTCAGTATTTGGGAAATGTCAGCAGTGAAAAGAAGAGAACGCACCATTAAACTCCCTTTTCATCCACCCCCTGAGAGCTTCTTCCTCCATGACCTGGGTAAAAACACCGTTGTCGCCCATCTTCTGGCTGTAATACATCCTTTGCGCGCATGTGCTTGCCGCCAGTGTTGAAGCAATGAGCTCTCCAGTCCCAGATGTAACGACCGCACAAGTGGTTCCATCTGGATCAGTTGGGTCTTGTGGAATAACATGGGTGCCAATGCCAATTAGGGCAGCAGGTCCAATTCGACCTCGGTGCTTCATACCAATGCCACCAGAAGAAGATCCTGCCGCAATATTTCCATACTTGTCAATAGCAATCGCGCCAACAGTGTCTGTGATGCTGTCCTCCCCGTCTTGTTCACTGCCGGCGGCATCGGGGCTGTGTGTGATACTGTCCTTTCCGTCTTCTTCAATATCGGCGGCATCAGGGCTCTCTGTTGTCATGTCCTCCCGGTCTTGTTCACTATCAGCGGAATCAGGGCTACCATTCCGAGATGAGGATAAAGGTGAGGTAGGCGGCTGCACAGGTAGGTGGGAATTTGAAAGCCTGGCCTTTTTCTGAGTTTCATGCTCCAGTGATGATGCCGGGCGCCCCTTCACATCTGCAAGAATGTTTGGATTGGGCAGAGTTCTGATTTCTTCATCCGCTGCATGGCTGGTAGGACGGGTTTCGGGTTGAGAAGCACGCTCGAGACGGTTAAGGCGAGTGTCAAGGGGAGTCATGGGCCGGCGAATCCAGGGATCGATCACTTCACCGGTAGTTTCATTTTCATAATCATCGACCTCTGCGGCCCATACCTGATAACGCTCTAGGGCGACGGGCGAGATCAAGGCTTCCGCGGGCATGATAACCATGCCATTCTCCCATGCAAAGTCCTTGGCACCTTCTCCGACCAAGAAGTTCGGGGGCACCCTCGACATGCCCATCTGCACATTGGACTTGTCATAGATCTTCCGAGCAAGCATGATCGGATTCCTGATGTCTAGCAGGCTCACATGTTAGGCAAGACTTTCTAAAGAGACACAACAAACTTACTGGGTACAGCTCCAACCGCTCCACTTAACCCGTGATGATCGACAATCGAGGCATCGCCCTCGACCACCCCCTTTGCGTTCAAGTTGCTCCCAAACCCTGCATTTGTAATTGGATTGTCTTCAAGCACCATCAGGGCTGCTTCAACGGCGTCAACGGCGGTGCCACCACCCTTTAAGAATGCCATGGCCTTGAGCGCAGCTCTAGTTCACTTGTTAGATTTTGTAACCATCAAATTTATTAAATACTCAGACTGACACTTCACAGGCCTTCAAATGTTTGTGCTCATTCTCATGGCTGTGGAACCCCGCTCCGGCATGAATGAAGATGGCACAAACGCCCTCATTTCCGGACGGTTGTGACATATTAAGAGGGATTCGACAGGTGCAAGGTCCGGATCTACCCAATATTGTGCAAGATTGGCCGAGGTATCAGGCCAAGGTCAAGGAAACGATGTGCGTAAACTCTCGGCGCAAGAGAAGCGTCACCGGTTGGGCCCAAATATCAAAGATGATATATCGAATCAGGTATGTTGGGAATATGCGGTTTGCCACGAGATCAGGCTGAAGTGAAGATATGGATGCAGCGCGTGAGCTGGCAAATCTTCGACGCGTCCGTGATGGGCTGCCAGATTGTTGATCAAAATGCGGTAGCTCTTTGTGAGTTCTGCACTTGAAATTGTAATGAGTGACCGCCTGGACTTTCAGGTTAAAAGACCACTGGAAACCAATGCTCTAATGCTATGGCAGCTATGGCAGACTGAGGCACGGGGAGTGAAGCGAGAGAAGACAAGAGTCTACGGCGAGACCATCCGTGTCAGAGTGAGAGAAGAATACGCAGAATGAAGGGCAGCACTGCACGTGCACCACTCATCAGAAATGATATTGTTGGAATAATAAAAGAGTGAGAAATAACGAGGGTCTTAGGGATTGAGGATGTGCGAATGGATAGTCAGACAAGATTGTAAATTGATTGTCTCTCTCATGGCACTGGTCGTTCTTGCCATTTTGGTGTAGTTTCAGTTTTCACCTGAAAAGTTGGCGGTAAAATTGGCATTACCTAGGCAGCATATCTTCAGCGGTTGCTTGTTTTCTTATGAGCTTGAGGATCTTTTTGATACTTCCCGGCACATGATGTTGACGTGTGACCCCTTAGGTAATCTGACCTCCGGCACTGCATCTCCCCCCGCCTTGTCTGCCTGTCCTCTTGGTCTCTTGAAGTCAGGGCGATTTCGGCTATCAATTGAGATTCGGCCGATTCCCTCGTTATTGCCTCGTTCTATACATCGCCTACACTTCTTTCAGCTCCTTACTACATTGTGATCGTGCCCAGACCCAACCACCCGCCATGGCGTCCCAAACCCCAGCCGTTGTCATGGACAAGTAAGTTCACAACTATAAGTTTTAAAAGAATATTTGGTGCTGATTCTATACTTTTCTCTAGCGGAACTGGCTATTCCAAGCTTGGTATGTACTCTTTGTAGTGGTTAGGGAGCTCGCGATCACAGATTAGGCTGACATGCTACCTCCACTATTCCAGGTTTCGCCGGTAACGACTCCCCCTCATTTGTATTTCCCACCGCAATTGCAACCAGGGCAGCTGGAAGTGCCGGAAGCTCCGGGGGCCGGCCCCCAGTCGCAAACAAGCCCTCGTTCCTAGGTGCTGGCGGTGGTAGCTCCAACCTGTCTGCGAAGCGTGGCACGGAAGATCTGGATTTCTTTATCGGCGATGAAGCGCTGGCTGCGGGCAATGGCCCAGGATATGGTGTTAACTACCCGATCCGGCACGGACAGATCGAGAACTGGGACCACATGGAACGATTCTGGTCGAACTCGATCTTCAAATATCTGCGCGTGGAGCCTGAGGACCACTACTTCCTACTCACCGAACCTGTAAGGCGACTGTGCATGCTGCCAGCGGGCTGTGTTTGACATGATGAGACCTAACATTGCTGAATTATAGCCTCTGAACCCTCCCGAGAACCGCGAGAACACCGCCGAAATTATGTTCGAGTCGTTCAACTGTGCTGGTCTTTACATTGCTGTGCAAGCAGTTCTTGCCCTTGCCGCATCATGGACATCCTCCAAGGTGACAGACCGATCCCTGACCGGAACGGTCATCGACTCGGGTGACGGTGTTACCCACGTTATTCCCGTCGCCGAGGGCTACGTCATCGGGTCCTCCATCAAGAGTATCCCGATTGCTGGACGAGACATCACATATTTCGTGCAGAGCTTGCTACGTGACCGTGGAGAGCCCGACAGCAGCTTGAAGACAGCAGAGAAAGTGAAGGAGGAGTACTGTTACGTCAGCCCCGATATTGTCAAGGAGTTCGCACGTTACGACCGCGAGCCAGATCGCTTCCTGAAGCACACCGTCACTGCGCCGAACGGGCGCAGTGTTAACATCGACATTGGATACGAACGTTTCCTCGCCCCGGAGATCTTCTTCAACCCCGAAATCTACTCGTCCGACTTCCTCACCCCGCTCCCCAATGTTGTTGACGGCGTCATCCAGTCCTCTCCCATTGACGTCCGGAGAGGTCTCTATAAGAACATTGTGCTCTCTGGTGGTTCTACTCTGTACAAGGACTTTGGCCGTCGCCTACAGCGTGACATTCGTCACCTGGTTGATGCGCGAATCCGTGCCTCCGAGGCTCGTAGCGGTGGCGCACGGAGTGGTGGTCTTGATGTCGCTGTTGTCACCCACAAGCGCCAGCGCCACGGTCCCTGGTTCGGAGGTAGTCTGCTGGGCCAGACTCCTGAGTTCCGGAGCTACTGCCACACTAAGGCAGAGTATGACGAGATAGGTCCCAGCATTGTGCGGCGGTTCGCGCTGCTTGGTGGACCCGGAAGCTCGTAGGGGGAAAATGAGTGAACCTTATCATTAGATACTTGTCAATCGATGTAGCTCAGCCTTTTGTTCATAGTTTGTTGTTTTATCTCTTTTCTTTCTTCCTCCGGTGGTGCTCTCTATTTTCGTTTTACCCAAACCGGCTTGGCGCCGGTGTTCATCGGCAATTTCTACAGTGGACTCAAAGCCGAATTTACGACGTAAGAGAAAATTAGCAGTCTATAGCCTGGATATTTCAAAACGAACACCAAAATGAAATGAAAGTGTATTAAACAGCGTACATATCCACCATCGCCATCATGCATTTTTGGTTTTTCCTCCCAGAACGCCATGAAATATGCAATATCAGGCAAATATATAGCCTACGAAGGCTCAAAACTATTACTTTTCAGGCATCTCATCACTCAAACGGTTTCAGTCTGAGGGAAAGAGGTGCGGTTCAGGATAGCCACACCCTCCACATGACCGGTCTGAGGGAAGAAATCAAAGCCGCGGACGCTCTCAATCTCATAGCGAACATTCTGCTTCTCATCACCCTGCACCATAACAGCAACGTCACGGGCCTGGGTATGGACGTTACAGCTGACATAGACAACACGACGGGGCTTGAAATCAAGCATCTGGCGCAGGAAGTCTTCTGAACAACCCTTGCGAGGCGGGTCAATAACCAGCAGTGTCTGATCTGATGGGTATGGAACGTCCTTGAAGAGAGTGGCGGCATCGGCAGCAGCGAAGCCGGTATTGGGGAGATTGTTTGCACGAGCGTTCTCACGTGCTGAAACGATGGAATCGCCTCCGATATCAACACCAAGACTGGACTTGAACAATGGGGAGAGGGTAATTGTGAACAGGCCGGAGCCGGAGTATGCGTCCAAGAGGTACTTGATTGGCTTTGCGTCTTGGTCGTTGCCTGCAGGGATGGCCTGCGAGCGGATGTACTCTGTGAAGCCGGACAGAATTGAGTTGTTGTTTTGGAAGAAGGCACCTGCTTTGTTGCTAAAGATATAGTCGTCGACGTACTCGAAGGACGTAGCGTTGTTGTCTGTGACGCAACGCTTTTCTTCGATGTAGTTTTCGCGCTCAATGCGGATCACATCGCCCGTGTCTGCGTTAGGAGTGGCAGCAATCCCGCCAACAGTGGGAGTCTCTCCTTCGGCGGTAGGCGCGGCGTCTTTGGGGATTCGTGCGGTAGACTCCCGCATCAGGAGAGTGGCACCTCGCTTGTAAGAACGGATGTTCTCCGCAACTCGTTTCCTCTCACTGGTGAGTCCGCGACGCACAATATCTGTTCCAAGGGGACAATCTTCGATGTCCATATCCAGTCGTCGGTTCTTGTATGTGAATCCAATCGGGGGGACCTGCGGTTCTTCGCCGTCCTGCTTAGAACCTTTGCCGCAGCCACCATGTGCGAAATGGGGCGTGAGTTTTGTGCGATATCCATATTGCATTGGCGAAGCAAATGTTTCTCCAACGGTAGGAACAAGCTCCGGGATCAACCCGGAGAAATTGGCATAGGCTTTCTCCACGATGCGCCGCTTGTGAGCAAGCTGGTCATCATAGGACATCATCTGAAGCTGACACCCAGAACACTCGCCGAAGTATTTGCATCCAATCAGCGCATCGTTTCTCTGGGGACCCGGTTCAATGACTTTGACAAAATCAGTCAGGCTGTAGGACAATGACTCGAAATGCTTGACCAATTTGACGCGCACGGTGTCTCCGGGGACCGTGAACGGAACAACGTAGACATATTTCCCATTTTCAGCGAGCGCTAGACCATCGCCTGTTGAGGAAAGCTCGACAATCTTGACATCAATCTCGGTGAACTTCTCGGGAAGGGACAGAGGCTCGCTGTCGCCAGCCTGCTCGGTTTCGTTGCGCTTGATGAGTTGGTTGATATCGCAAAGCAGGACCTCGTCGTGGCCACTGCTCTTATTGTTCTTGTCGACTCTCGGCTTCTTGCGCTTGCCATCGAAGTGTTTCTTAGGACCGTTCTGCATTATTGCGGGGAATGGCGCATTCGTTGAACGGCGGTGGTAATATAAATTGGAGGCTGGTCGCACTTGAAGAGCAGTTAGAGTCTGGGAAGACAAAGAAGAAGTCAACCGCCAAACAGATGACCGTACTGCAAACATATAAGTTGAAAAGCGACAGTGAAATAATTTCTGGAACGAAAATCATCAAAAGGGAAATTTATTAGAAACGCATCTAACGCGTCGCTGATTGGTTGAAGACTGACCGCCCGCAAGAAAGAAATTCATCCCGACGCTTCACCTCCGACTGGCCTCTTCTGCCTTTGCGTCCCCCAATTGTCTCCGCATTTCGCGTTTTTCTTTATTTTCAAAGCTCTTGACCGGCCTACCTTCGGCTGGGGAGCCCATCGAACCGTAATCATGAACATCACACGGCCGGCACGATGCCTTTTATGCAGCTTCACCCGTGCTGCCACCCCGAGCACGCGGGTCCCTCGACGCCAATTCCATCCTACTCCCGCGCCTCTCTCGAACCGGAAACCCAAGTTTCCCAATGTCAAGGCTCCTCGAGTGGATGACTACCAGCCTTACACGGAAGAGCAGAAGGCTAAGCTCGCTAAGGAGTACTCGGAGGCACAGATGGCCGCCATCGAAGCCGGCGAAGCTGCTATCGACCCGAAGGATCTGGCAGAACAGTTGAACGAACGCAATGACCCCATGGCATTCAAATACATCGACGACTTCTCAGTGATTGAGCCCGGCATTGATCGACACCAGCGCGCCCCGGAGTCGAACTCGGATTACAATTTCAAGCTGAAAAGCGAGGACGATTTCGTGAACGACTTCGGCAAGTTCTTTGCCGAGATGCCTGATAACGCAACAGGTAAAGACTTCGTTCGGTTCGCGGACAACCTGCGCCTTACCCACGGCAAGGAGGAGAGCGAGTTGGCCCCACACAGCGCACTTGTTCCGGATCTCTTCGGACCCGGGGAGACCATCGATGAGCCCCGCGTGGAAGAGCAGAAGACAGCCGCCGAGAAGGGCGAGAAGGAGCGGTCAGCGGAGGCCGAGGAAATGACCGATGCCCTCAAGAGCCTGCTCCTGGCCACGGGATACACGGAGAGCCAGGTCAAGGGCCTCCGCACCAAGACCCTTGTTTCACACAGTGTCACCAACCAGACTCGACTAGGAAAGGTCCGCCGTGCATACCGTCTTTCCATTGCCGGCAACGGAAATGGTCTGCTGGGCATCGGTGAGGCCAAGTCTGATGAAGCCTCCGACGCAAAGATTCAGTCGCAATACCGTGCAATCCGAAACATGCAGCCCATTCCCCGCTACGAGAAGCGAACCATCTATGGCGATGTCAAGGGCAAGGTTGGAGCCACAGAGTTGCAGCTGATGCACCGTCCACCAGGTATGTTTAGTTTCATCCGCCCAGCCATGTTCATTTTTACTAATAATAATAGGGTTCGGACTCCGTGTCCAATACCTTATCTACGAGATGTGCCGCGCTGGCGGCATCTACGATCTGTCCGCCCGAGTTGGCCGCTCAAGGAACCAGATGAACACCGTCAAGGCCGCCTACGAGGCACTCATGAGCCAGCGTAACCCCGAGCAAATTGCTCACGCACTCGGCAAGAAGATTGTCGATGTGCGCAAGGTGTACTACGCAGGTAAGATTTAGGGCCCTCCATAGCCTTAACTTGCTGTTTCGTCCCAGCGTGTATATAATGCTTCTCCTTTTCTTCCTCTTCTTCTTGTGTCTTTTGCATGTACTTGTATAAGTTGGTTAAACATGGAACGGTCATCAATTCTCCAGTATTCTGGGCTATTCACAGCATATCTGGAAAATCATATATCAACAAAGTTCTTTTGCATAAACACCATCTGACTCGCGCCAAAATGAAAACTTGGAAACAACACCCCGGGTATAATACGCGAGTAAACAAAAAAAAGATCCAAACGCAATAGACAATTTTGATGCCTTCCTTACTGGAAGGTCATGTCTCCCTCCCCCTCATACCCATGCTGATACTGGTGGTCCTGGAAATGCCGATCCTCGTTCTGCTGTTGTTGCTGCTGCTCTTCATTCTCATTCCAGATCTGCTGCTGCAAGACAATGCTATACACACTGGCCTTGAGCAAAGTGCATACAGTCGCAGTCTTGCGCTCAAGGAGACGAAGACCATCGAGGGGCATAGAGGCGGGGGAGCCGGCGAGATCAGCTAGTTTATCGGAAAGCTGCAAGGCATTGATCAGTAACCAGTACATCCAACCTTTATACTTCATATAGTTTCCAATGGGACATTGTTTGTATGCCTTTCCTGCGAAGAGATTGACCCCAGTAAAGTCTTCTCCACGTACCTGATTGACATTCCGCAGCAAGCGAGCGTATTCTTCCAGCACTTCCTGCTCCAAATCTGAAACAAGGGGGTTATCTCCCAATAGGGGGTTATTCGAGTGGCCCCGGCCGTGCGAGGCGTCTGCGTCGCCGATTGATTGGGGGATTGGAGGGGTGGATGTTTCCGCGGGGTCGACCTCGGCGTACGAGTAATCGTTATCAGGGTCTTCGGGCGCGAAGGCTGACATTGCAGAGGATTCTTGGGGTTATTTGCAGTCTTGGGGGTTGTGGGTGTTGAGCTGCCAAAGCCGTGAAAGCTGTGTGTTGGTGTTTTTGTGTTTTCTGGGGTTCCGCTGAGACGCGTTCCCCAAGCTTACGATATCTACTGGGGTGGATTTTATTTGCTGGAACTTATTTCAACGTCATTCAATACAATATAGGGCCATATAAAGATGGCCCTCGCAAAAGTTCTCCCAGAAAGATTTTTGGTGTATACTGGGAACCTAATTACATAGGTGCTATAAAACATGCCGTGCTATCAATAACATTCCTTCGATATGGTCTGACCACAAAGCATTGTCTCGTATCCTATGAATACCCAAACCGAGATTTTTCTCTTTTTATCCAAGGGGGAAAAAAAAGTGTCTGACCGCGCGCTGTAATAAGAACCCTGTCTCAGTTCCTTGGTGTTGCGAAAGCCCGTCCTACGGTTGATATTACCCAGCTGGGGCTGATAGCAAGCCCACTTACTTTTTTTAATGGAAATATGACTTCCATTAGAAGTTAGTTTTATGGGACTTTGATAGGTCTTAAAACAGTTATTGATGTGGGTAAGGTCTTTAGGATTCCCGGCAATATATATGGTTTATCTTTCAGTTGCATTGATCTCCATACGGAGTACGGAGTCCGTAGAGAGCATCATTTAGCCTACAATATGGGATCTAAAGCTAGCTACCTTACAAGCCAAGAGCCAACCACGCCACCCTGATTATTGGACAACCTGTGCGGCCTTACAAGGTTGTATCCACGCGTTAGCGTTGCTCTCCCAGTCGCGGTAGCCTCTCCACACGTTATACTCCGTGCTCCGTATCCGTACCTATATCTAAAGAAAGATCTCGGCGAAAATTCAGCGCTCGGGAAAACGCCCCTTTTCAGAAACTGCCAAAGTCGGACTGCAAACCACTATAACGGGATATTGTGCGCTATTCGCCCCTATTACCTTCCCCATCCTGACCACTGAGAAGGAAAATGAGACCCCTATAAAATATATACTATATATCTAGCAGATGCATAGAGGTGGGGAGCTCCGCTGGAGGCGCAAATTGCATGCAATCAGCTACATGTGGATTGTCGTTGACAAGTGACTAGTAAACTAGAAGCATTTAGAACCCCATCGAGGGATTGGCTCCTGAAACACCATTGTTCTGTTATATCAAAGAAGATCATACTGTTGAATGCTATTTTGGAGCCTTGAGATTGTTGACACGGTTGCAACAGAGTCCCTTATGAGGAACTACGTAGCTATGACTGGATTGGTTGTAGATATCCACATATGAAGTATTTGGCTGAAGGATTCTGAGGACTGAGCCAAATGGGCGCCCGTTGCGATTCAATCGTTTGCCCAGCTATCAACGATGATCCCATGAAAAGAGAGGGCCAATCTTTGATTGGCGGAGTATTCCCACGGGTTAATAAAATTGGTCGGAAGAAGCTAGAGAGACTAAGCTCGCAATTCGGCCCTAGTGACCCCATTGTCGACTAGGATGCAAGCCTTCTCGAATCGACTGGGGCGGGCTAGTGAAGTGCTCGAGTGGATCAAATCAATTTATATTTCTGCCTCAGGTTAGGTAGCTTTTCCAATTGATATTTTCGAGATCATTTCCCTAATTAGTTGATATGGGAAAGTTTCACTTCGAATGACACGGTTGACTGTGGAAATTGCAGATCCTTTACAGATAGAAATACTATGTGGGAATATGAACTGATATGAGGTCAGAAATAATATCGTGTCTCATGCACGATCCAAAATTCCCCATTTAGAAGTGGATATTCTTTATCGCAGACGCCTCGTGGTGGCCTCCTATCCTGTGGTACCACACACGCTTTTAGGATAAGTTTCCCCTGAGAAAAGGCAGCGCCAAGAGTCTAGAGGTATTATCAGAATGCAACGTTCTCCAGAAACTGTACGGAGTATTGCCCCGCGAAATGCGCAGGAGGCCTTTTACCGCGCGGCGTCCCCGTCATACGAGCCACCTGCGCCTCTACTTTATTTAAATGGAAGCCTGGATCTATAAAGTTTCTGATGTGACATGGTCGCCTCGAATAACTGATTTAAAAATGCCAACTAATATGGGCTTTTGATAAATTTGCCCCTAACAACGGATTGACTCTAGTGTATGAAAGGAGCCTTGGCTTTGTATTGTCCACTTTTAAAATCATATTCCTCCCGAGGTATGAAATGGTCTTGATCATTATCTGTGGATCATTGACACCGAAAAAAGAAAGACATGCAAGTCAAGTGGCGACCTTTACGTAGACCTCGGAAGAAGGTCAAATACGTAAGTGTCCTTAACTAGGAAGTTGGCGATATTATCCAGTCCTAGATGCGGGGCTCGAGCGGCGATAGAGGGGCAGAAAAAGGGAAGATCAGTTTTCTCGACAGTTCACAGACGTTTCATTTCTAAAGTTATGGGGCCTGGTCCCTTAACCCGAAATATAATAAAGTTGCCCCCCAAGATATCCCAAAGATATGTTTTCCTAGGGTTTGGGGTGGACACGTGTCAAGGTTTTTCCAAAAATGGTTAGTTTCCTGGAGGCTTTCCATTCTGAGCCAAGGTTGGCCAAGATTGGTTAACCCAATGAGGTTAGTCAATATCTATATCTCGTTTGCGAATACGAATCGCCACTTTTGAATACAATTGTTCGACTTTTTCAGGGGGTAAAACATTTCATATTTTAGGGGAAATGGAGAACGTTCTTTGTGGATTAGTGGAATATTTAGAAACGTGCCATCTTGAGTGGAGTAAACTTTGCGACATGGGATAGGGGGAGGCTAAATTTCTAAGAGATCTAATTCAATTTCCGACAGGGGCACCCAAGGTTTAAGCTTGTTTTAGCTCAACTTATCAAACGGGATATGTAAAAAGTATGGTATAGACCTGATACGCGTATGGGCCATCCATGGATATTTTATCTTCGCCACAGTGCCCACAGCCTTGTCACACTGCTTTATCCCGAGGTCCAATAATACATCAACACACCTAGACCTCTCCACTTCATTCCCCATGGAGTTCTCCCGTGTCCACATCTCGGTTGGACAGACCACTTTACACTGCCCCTTTGTGTCTGTCCCCTGGGTCAAGAGGAACGGGATGTCTTGCGCTACGCCGCTACGCTATGCAAGACTAGGTAACTTAATAGATTAATGGATTCATCATGTGGGCGAGTAAAAAAGCAAAGAGAAAGGTCCCCAAGGAATTGTTTCTTATAATTGTCCTAACGCCATATCCTTCTTTCATGCCAAACCTTTTGACCTAAAAAACTAACGGTCATATCTCATTTCTTTGGTTAACCATACCAAATGAGCAAGATGTCCACCCCAGCTAAGGCTAGGGACAATGTCTTCTCAAGACGTGAGATCGAAGGCATGCTTGCTGAAAACAAGTTGATTGTCATTGTCGACGGCAATGTCCTCAGACTAGATGCCTGGATCAAATATCATCCCGGAGGTGATATGGCTATCAAGCATATGATTGGAAAAGATGCCACAGACGAAGTGAATGCGTGAGTCTGAAATCTCCCCAATTTTGTTTAATTCTATTGGCGCATTATACTAATACCCTTCTCAAAGACTGCATTCACAGGAAGCCCGTGACCGCATGATCAAATTCAAAATTGGCCGAGTCGAAGGCTACTGGACCAACTTCCTTCCTCCTATCCAAGGTGGCAAATTCCGCCCATTGATCGAAAATGAGATAGACGAAGAGGATCTAGAGAGCCCAGAGCTATCAAGTGAGGAGATTTCAGCACCACCATCTCCCATCTTCGAAGCCGAAGATGAAAAATTGGGCCTCAGACGCAGACTATCAGTATCAACAATCTCCTCAGCAGTCAGCGCCGTCCCTCCACCAACAGAAGACAAACCACGAGCCTACGTGATTGATGCTCGCACTCGAGAGGAGATTGAGATGGATTCAGCCGACTACCCTGCTCTCGACGCAGAACACCAAGCCTACGTTGTTAAGAGATATCGCGAGCTGCACGTGCGCATCCGCGAAGCAGGCTTGTTCAACTGCAACTACAGAGCCTACGCTATCGAGATCAGTCGCTACGCCCTCTTCTTCGGACTGTTCGTCTTCTTCCTCAAACATTCCTGGTACTGCCTGTCAGCTTTCTTCCTCGGCTGTTTCTGGCACCAACTTGTCTTCTCCGCCCATGATGCCGGCCACATGGGTATCACGCATAACTATCAGATTGACACCACCATCGGCATGATCATTGCCGACTACCTGGGCGGCCTAAGCCTGGGCTGGTGGAAGCGCAGCCACAACGTGCACCACATCGTAACCAACGCCCCCGAGCACGATCCCGATATCGAACTGATGCCCTTTTTCGCGCTCTCGCACCGCTTCTTCAGCTCGCTCTACAGTACCTACTACGACCGCGTCATGACATACGACGCCGTGGCCCAGGTCACCGTCAAATACCAGCACTATCTGTACTACCCCATCCTCCTCTTCGGCCGCTTCAACCTCTACTTCCTCAGCTGGGAGCACATCATTGTCGGACGCGGACCGAAGCACGGCGCCGGCTGGTGGCACCGTTGGTTCGAGTTCGCTGGCCACATATTCTTCTGGATTTGGTTCGGCTACGGCGTTGTCTGGTGTAGCATTCCGACCTGGTTCAACCGTGTCGTCTTCGTTCTGATTTCGCACATGGTTACTTCACCTCTGCATGTGCAGATTACCCTGTCGCACTACGCTATGTCTACTGCTGATCTCGGCCCGCTGGAATCTTTCCCCCAGAAGATGCTCCGCACTACTATGGATGTCGACTGCCCGCCTTGGTTGGACTTCTTCCATGGTGGTCTCCAGTTCCAGGCGATTCACCATTTGTATCCTCGTATCCCGCGACACAATCTGCGCAAGACGCAGCAGTTTGTTCGGGAGTTCTGTGAGGATGTGAAGATTCCGTATGCGGTCTTTACCTTCTATGATGGTAACAAGGAGGTCATTAGTCGTCTTGCACACGTTTCCAGACAGGCGAGACTCTTGGAGGAGTGTCGCAAGGCTTGTGCGGCGGATCCCCATATGCATTGAAGACGTTCGCTCTTTTGGAGTTGAGCTTTGGAGATACCCATTATGTAGTTTGTATAATTTTGCAAATTGGGATCGCTCGGAATTGTGAAATTATATTGTACCGTTCAAGCGAAACATCCACATTTTATGTACATCCCCTGTTTTTCTGCTTCCAATAATACTGTTCTAAACTCCAACTACACTACTTTATTCTATGGAGACTTCCCTTTCATCTTGTAATCAGCTAGGTTTGACATCACCTTGTCTTTGGGAATGAATACCTTTTGGATAACCGTCTCTGCTTTGTAAACTCTTCTTTCCATGTATTAATGGCTATCTACAAGGTACAAAATGATAGGCGTATTTGTTTTGGATAGGAAAATTAGACGACACAGAAAGACCATCAAATGGATTGAAATAAAACAAATGCAGAAATAACTTTGAGTCTCGTAGTATGGATTAACAGCAGAGATGATCTTGAAAAACGTACATTTGAGGTTGGAAACAGCACGCAGTAATCAGTTGGCTCATACAAATGTCTCGCTGAAGACGTAACCCGAAAAAGTGAATCCATGACGCCGTTCCGCTGCAAAGTAGGATGAAAGAGCAAATGTATAGCACAGTTTTCAGGTAGACGCGCAAAGAAAAGAAAGCTAACAGCTCAGAGAGCTGACACCATGTGGCAATGCCAACGAACGGTTCAGTGTCAATGCTATGTCGTGCCTGAATTGGAGGCGCAACCAAGAGTAATCCAAGACCTTAGGATATGAAGAAAATGCAATATGCAAAGCAAGGGACGAGCAATAAGTCATATCAATGGGACAAAAAGAAAAAAAAAGAGCTTGAATAGATCCACCAAGAAAAAAGTCCCGAAACACTCCATACACCCAGCGAGGATTGCAATGGAAGAATAATAGCATCTAAATACAGTCGTTAATGCATCATGGTCGTCAGCGAGCCGACGCACATCCGTCTGTTTTCCTCGTGTATCGGATAAAAGAAACAAGTGACAAAAAAGGAAGAACCCGGGCTTTACTAATCCCCCTCATGGTGAAGGGTGACACTGTTGAACTCCTCAAAGGGATCGTTGAGTTCGCCATTCGGTGTCGCGAGGCCCGAATCCATTGGGACACCCTTCATCCTGGTAGAATCGGTGCCGCCAATATCTACGCTGGCGCTCTCCTTGACATTGCGGAAGTTCACTGTATCTGTGCCGGCACGACCCTGGTGGGGAATCATAGGCGGCTTCATGTGACGAATGAGCGCCCATTGGGTTTGACGGAAGAAGGGGTGAGTCTTAACATCAGAAGCACCAGCGCGGGCTCCTAGGCGTTTAGTTTCGTCCTTGATCAGCAGTTTGCGGATCAGGGACTTGCACAGATTTGATGTCTGCTGCGCACCCGAGTGCTCTGGGAAGTTCACCTCATCCCGCAGAATGCTGGCAAATGTCGCGTTTCGATTCTTGCCTTTGAATGGAGTAGTGCCATACAGCATTTCGTAAATCAAAATGCCCAGGGTCCACCAATCAACGGCGCTGGTGTGACCGCATCCCTTGATCACCTCAGGTGCAATATACTCCTCCGTCCCAACAAAAGAATTTGTCCGGAAATCGGCAATACATGACTTGGTATCAATCGTCGGCAAGCCCGTGGTGGAGTTGCCACCACTGCGTGCGGGAATCATCGTCGGGGCACCTCCGGGTCCAGATTGCTTCGACAGATCGAAATCAGAAAGCATGATATGACCAGACTGGTGAAGGAGAATATTTTCTGGTTTCAAGTCACGGTAGATGAATCCCATGAGATGGAGATATTCTAACGCAGCAATAACCTCTGCGGCGTAAAAGCGAGCTGCATCCTCGGATATACTCTTGCCGGGGCGGGTTTGCAGAGCTAGATGCACAAGTCAGCAAGAAATTCTAGATATGTCGAATATAGGATCAAAAGGTAAACGCACTCCTGAAAAACTCGCCGCCACTGCAATATTCCATGCAGAGATACAAATAATCCTCCGACTGGAAAGAGTGATACAAGGTAACAATGAACGGGTGGTTGCTCGTAGCCAGAATCTCTTGTTCAGCCAAAGCTCGTTTAATCTTGTTCCGTTTGATCATCTCCTTCTTGCTCAAAACTAGCCGCAAGTCAGTATATGGCATCGGAAAGTCGCCGGTATAGAAGAAAAACGTACCTTTCATGGCATACAGACGGCTCGATTTCTTCTCGCGCACCAGATAAACTTTGCCAACATCACCTTTGCCAATCATCTTTATCTTGTCAAAGCTAGCGGGTCCGACCTCCACATTTCGAACTTTAATGGAGTTTGAACTATAAGTGCGACGGAAAGCAGCGTTACTGCCGAAATCTGAGCTGACTGAAGAAGGTACCGCCAGATTGTACTCCTCGCTGCTTGGATCTGCGAGGCCCATTGATCCGCCCGATTGTTCCACTAGGGGCTCCTTGCCTAGTTCCGCTGTTTGAGGACGGCCGCCCTGACCACTTGTAAATAGGCCTTGGGCATTCGGGGCAGAAGCCACACGTCGTAACTTGCGCGCTAATTCTTCTTTATTTGTAGTGTTCGCTTGTTCTACTGCCGAGACTCCCGTGACTTGCAGCTCAGGGGTGTCAGGAGGAGAGGAGGGCACTGACCCATCATTGCGGTGTCGCAATGCTGGCTGGCCCTGGTGAGCAAAGTATGGGTTGGCTGTTGCGGTAGGCGACATCGAATCGTCAAGTGGGTTGCCTTCACTAGCAACGGTTGTTGATCGATTGCGGCCTATGCCTGGCAGGAATCGAGACTGCCGGAAAGCAGACTTCTCATTCTTGACCGACCCATGGCTATCCCGTTCCCGTTCGGTACTTCCAGAGGCGCTGGGAGGGGAATGGCTGCTTGAACTGTTGATACGGAAAAAATTCTTGATTCTCGTAGGCAAGTGGCCAGACTCGTTGGAGTGTTTTCGTGAAGGAAGGGAGAGAGCGGGGAAATTCCCGCGCTTCTCATTATTTGTCACTGCGGACGGACTGGAGGCGAAGAGCTGCGTCATATTGGGTGGGTCGATATCAAAATCGAGACCAAGATGAAATTTCACTCAGGACCTGTCGAAAAGATGATCCAAAGGATGTAAAAGCAAGGCGTGAGGGCGAAAGGGCGGTAATCTTCCAAATGCCAAGTACCGGCTGGGGATATAATCGCGGGGGGCAATTGTTAGTAAGAAGCGGTACGACGGGGGATGTCCACCCAAAGAACTGGAATGACAAAAGCCACGAAAACTAGGCTCATGGATAAGGCGACATGTCAGAGTAAGTAAAGAATGAAGATCGAGAATTGAGAAACCAGTGGGAAAAGAGGAGGCAAGGAGGAATTGGAGTGGAGAAGGACGCGGAGGCCAAGGCTTAGTCATCTAAAATCTGGGCAGCGCTGGGGCAGTGCTACGTCAGTGTTAAGACTTGAGAAAAAAAGTCATAGTGCTTATAAATATTATAAATATCATATAGAGTCATCCTATGAGTCTATATCTATTATAGTCGATAGATTCTAAATATAGAGAAATTAGGAAATTAGGAAATTAGGAACTGTCTAAGACAACGGGGGAATTGTGCCATCGGGGCATAACTCTCCCATTGGACACTGCCTAAACACCATCACTTTCTCGAAGCCTAGATACATTTGGTTTAACATGGCGGCTTTTTTTACTACTTTTTGTATAAATTGTATGACTTGTATAAATTGTATGACTTGTATAAATTGTATGACCTGTATAAATTGTATGACTTGTATAAATTGTATAACTTGTATAACTTGTATAACTTGTTGTCTGGTTTCTGTACGTTTGTTTTCATGGCTTTTTCAAAAGGGACATTGAACTAGTTTAATACTACAGAATTACCATGAAGTATACAATTGTAAAGGATCAATTTAATGGAGCATACAATTGTAAATTATTAACTAAATGCACATGTCGTATGCAAGTTGGTATACTTTATTTACTCCTAAACTTGCCCGAGTGCTACCGCAAAACTCTCTCATTGGATAATATGTGTATCCATTGCCAGGCAGTAGTTTCCAAGATCATCCGCCTCCCACTTTCCACCTGGACACTTCGTCGCCCGTACAAGATCTAATGGTAGGACCCCAAATCAATCTCGACAGGAGCGTATGGATTGGCGACAGCTTCAAGTCCCGCGGTGGGCTGACAGCACTGCTTCCACTCTCCGCTGCGATCCGTGAGACAGTTGTCCTTGAAGTCCAGATCACCCCAGACGCTAGGCCATGCTGCCGTGAGCTGGCAATCAGGAACCGATGTTGCATCAGTGCTACCAATGAACCCGGCATAAATGCTAACGGTGCTAACACCTTGTTGTTGATCGGCGACATCTAGACCTGTTAACTCATCCTTCCCCCGATAATGGACAATGGTACTACTTACGGTAGGCGTCATTTAAATCCCCGTTATCGTATTTTGGCATCATGCCCAGGGGCTCGCAGCGGTTGGAACCATTGATCACGATACAGTCGCCTTTGACATGCTATTATCTGCATTAGTCGTGGGCAGGAGGGATAGAACGCCCTTTAGGAAAACTTACAATCAAGGTACCCTTGCTAGTGTTTTCAGTCGGACAAGTTTTCTCAGTGGGCCAAGGGCTGAGATTCACCCATTCACTCGCGGAGGTGCTACCATCCAAGGCCTCGCATGCATCTCCAACAACCGGTTCATCGCGAGCGTGGACTAGCTTGTTCCCGCCATTTGCGATAGCAAGACCGCTCACCGAGGCGGCAAGATGAGCCAAAACGACAAGTTCAAGATGCATGTTGAAGTGAAGCTCGGATAGAAGGACGAATGTTGGTAAAACAGGAGAGATGAACGATACTGAGTTAGCATGCTGAGGATGTCCTTTATATATGATTGCTTATCTTGATATTGATATCACCAAGACGGAAGGTTGATCCCTCTGACCAGAACGGGTGAATGGTAAACGAGCGGTTCTACCTGCACGAGCCAGGCGCCCAACACCACCATACCTTTACAGAGATCGTTCACCAGAGGGCGTGTACAGATTCTTAATACAATAAGGGCTGCGGGATCTTCTTGGGCATTTTAGATTACTTTATCTCGTATATAATCTCATCTCAGGGGTTGAAAGGGAAGGACTATGGCCAACCATCCTCGGCTAGTTAGATCAACTGTTACCTGAGAATACCTGGAAAGGCCTGGAATTTCAACAGTCTCTTCCCGATTGCGACCAAAAAACTCTGTGATAAAATTCAATGGCAGTGAGGAAGGCAGGCATAAACAGGTGTCAAGGTAGGGGCGATAGTGAGTACCCGTGAACATGTAGTTATCTAATTACCTAATTAGGAAAGTGGCTGAAATCCTGGGGGATGTACGGAGTAGCATTATCCTATTTAAAATGGGCAGAGTCCTGACAGCATAGTCAGCCCTTTAGGCGGCCTTGTGGTGTCTGTTTGGTAACCTTCTCAGATAGTCCTTTTGAATGTCATTTTTCAAGATATCTTCTTTCCCCTGATTTCTAGGTAGACGTGGGTGGCGACATCCCGAGTATAAATAAATGTCTACAAAGTACAGGTCCACGTGATAATAATACTTCATTGAAGAATAATCTCAATACATAATAATATCGTACAGATTCGTGTTTCCTCAATATCGTCTCCTCCTTCGGATTGAACTTCATCCATTGAATTCCATCCTTTTTTTGTGCTTTTCTCTGCCTTTTCTGCTTTCATCATCTGAAACTTCGGGAACTTCGGGAACACTGGGGTGGGCTCCACTCCCTAGTACGCAACGCCATGGTTGCATAGTATCAACGGTAACCATGAGCGTTGATTCTGCTGGTATTCACAATGGGGGGTGCGGTATGTCTGAGAGTGGCATCAATCAACCGCGGATACACAGGCAAGTAATTGATGTTTTGCTGACTGTCTGGCGCATCGAAACCGAGAACTGTTGTTGCAGGCACTTCGTCCCTCAAATCTTCAATCAATCTCGATGAACTTGTGAGCGAGCGACGGGCATTTCGGACATTTTCACGTGCATCATGTCTTCGGCGGGCATTCAGACTCGATGAAATCATACGAGACCCAACGCTACTGAGACCACCCACAGGGACATTGTACCTCCGGCGGACACTGGACCTCGAGATTACCCTGCTCGGGCTATTTCGGGACAATGGGTTGTTCAGGTCAAATGGGCTGTATCTGCCGTATGGGCTATTCCGAGACAATAGGGGTGTATCCGACATGTCATCTGGGTAATCCCCTCCGAAGCCGTTCATTGTCAGGGTGATGCTTCCACTGCGGCTAATATGCGTCAAAGCCGGTCCATCACATACGCAAGTTAATTTAGATGGGACTTACCTGTCGCTCATGCCGCTCTCTAACTGTTCGGCGAGAGACCGTCCTCTCCGTTCACCGGATCCTTCCGCTTCCCAATCACCGTGCACATCTACCACAAACATATCGAAGGAGTTCTCCAATACGTCAGTACTTCTGCGCTGTTGATCAAATGAAAGTCCTGAGAGCATCTCTTCAGTCAATCCAGGCGCGGGGCTAGAATCTCTTGTCATCAGTTGCTCGTCGTCTGAACCAGCCGAAACTGATGCGCCGCGAGGCTTATTCTGAAGAAACCGAAGCCCATTCTGAGGAGCCTCGTCTTCAGTTGGACGGCTCACTTCATCTGCATTACTGCGGCTCTATGAGTTAGTATTCTTCAAGTGCTAGTCGGGGGCCAAGAACTTACGGGCTAAACATGAGGCTTGGTGTTGGACTCCCATTATCTGCAGCGGTGCTAGCCAATTCGATGGCATGCTCCTCGTGGTTGACTTCAGTAATGGACCGCAATGGTGATCGATAATTGAAGGCGTTGTTTCGGCCGAAGTTCCGAGGCACAGTTCCGCTGATACGATTTCCGTTTCTTGGACGACGTTCTGTCCATGTCTCATAAGGGATCGATGATATGATTCCATCGGTTTCCCCCTCAGAACTCATTTCGGGAGAAAAGTGAATGCCCATTCGGCTATCAGCGTCAAACGGCGGGTCATTGCTTCCCGTAGGCACATTGCCGCTCGCGTTCACATCACGAACCCACAAGTCCGACCTTCTATCAACCTGGATTTCATTGCAGAGTGAGGTTCTTTTGCTTTTGTTGTCATTTTCCTGATCACGAATGAGCAAGTCTGAGTTTCCATCGACCTGCATATTATCAAAGTCGGAATTGTTCCCGTTTGTGCGCCCTGTTCCATTGCTGCAGCTGCTGTTTGTTGCTGCCAATGATTGCCTCTGGAATACGATGGGGTGGCCAGTGTCCGGGTCAATAATATCGATTCCACGATTGGTGTTAACACGCACAACCTCATTGGTACCATCGGTTGACAGATTATCATGGGAACCATCTGCGATCATTGTTTCGAGTTGCGCTTGAATGTAGGTGGGGTTATGATGCTCTGGATCAATGACAATGCCTTCTGGGTCACTTGCATTGTCCATTTCAATTGCCTCTGCATATTCCAGGAGCATATCATGTTCATCAAGTGCTCTGAGCACTCTTGCCCGTTCGTTGATGTTATAAACACGCAAATTATAACGAGCATCGCTGGGTGAAATGTGTGGATCCAATGCGATAGCTTCGTTAACTTCCCGGAGATATCCTTCATGGCACCCGAGTTTGTGTCTGAGTTGTGCCATTGCCAATGCCATGGTATCAGGGCCGCACATCCACGCCACTCTTACATATCGAAGGTAATCATCGCAAACAGGGAACATATCAAACTGGGGCATGCATGTGAGCATCTGCGCAATTGCAGTATCATCTGCGTTGATCTGGTTCTCGATTAAAGCCCATCGTGCCTGGAACTCCTCAGCCTGAAGAGTGGGCTCAGGGTGCTGCACTCCTTGAACGAACTCTGGATCGTCTTCGTCTGGGGGTGCGTGTTCAATATCTTCAATATGTGAACTTGTACCCATTGTTTGGGAAACAGTCAAGCCTCGTGAATGGACGGGAGCTGTGAACTGGGGCGTGCTTGCCAGCAAAGGTGACGGCAATATCTCATGCAAGTTATGATCGGAATCTGTGGATGAACGGATGATTGCCAAGTTCTCTTGTGCTGCCCTGTTGTGGCCACCAGTCACAAGTTGACCATCAACAAAACCATGTGCAACAATGGATTCGTCGTCATTCGTTACAGCCATCGGCGCGGTTGATGAGCTATCAAGACGAGGTGGTCTTGGCGGCTCCATTGGAACAATTCTTCCCCCAGCCGTGACTCGCTGGTGTTTCGGGGAAGTGTGCTTTTTGAGAAATTGAGCAAACCCTGCGTCACTCGTGGAGAACACGGGCTCAGAGGGTTTCTTGCTGGTACGATTCGGGCGATTCTTGGAAGTTTTCGATGCTGGGTTTTTGTTCGGTCGCGATGACCTGGCTGGCTCTCTGATCGGCCGATTTCTTGGATTTTCTGAAAGAATAGGCTTCTTGTTTCGACCAGCACGCGCTATTCTGCCTATATTGATGGTCAGCAAGGCTCTTCTCATTGGGCTGTGCAGAGACAATGAATCCTGAGACCCATGGCAGCTCTGATCGATCTACTGGAGCCCAGTTCACACCAGCAACACATTACGATCTTCGTCCCTTTGGGAAGGATTATGGAAGATCAAAAGCATCATCAAAGGGAAACTCACAGTGTTTTGCTTGACTGGTCCACTTGCAGTGTACACCTGTGTCCTGGCACAACGCTAACAGTGTTGGTAAGTTATACCTCATTTTGTTCATGGGAATGGAATATTTACCTGTCGAGAACAATGGAAACGATGAAACTCGATGAAAAAGAAGGTTTCGGATGATTCGGGTGGAAGGTACAGGGTCAATGGAGAAGGAACGAGGGCTCGAAGCTATTCAGAGATTATGGATGGTCACGAGATATAGTCGACACTGGACGCGTCTGTTGCAGTTCAGCACGCGTCTATGTTGACCATAATAGCTCTAAACAGGAAGGATGCTCGAGAGAAAAGAGTCAGAAGATATCAAGTTCGGAAAAAAGAAACAAGGTCATTCAAAAATACGGCGACGAATCAATACGATCTATACGCCTGGCAGGTGGTCAACGACGACATAATTCAATTCTCGGCGACGAGATAATACGTTTTATACACTCTCCCTGATTTCCACAGCTTGCTCACCACTGTGTACACGCCAATCTTCTTCGTTATCCTCAAAAGGCGACCTCACTTCCATGCCATCGGGCTTGTTATTCTCATTATCTTTCTTGCCCTGTCCCATCTCCCAGCTTCCAGTGCGTTCTTGGCCCTGTACAGCAACTCCAACTTCTGCGGCAACACCACTGGATGGCTGAGTATCGTCGGTCTTAGAGTTTCCCCAGATGGGTTCACCAAACGACACATCGGTATCACTGGCAAGTTTACCAGACCCTTTGAAACCCCCAAGACTTCCTTTACTGGCTTTGCCCTTGCGCGCTCCACACATAAGGAACGCAACAATTGCTGTGAATCCAACAACAGCGAGCGTTGTAACAGCACCAATGACTCCGGCGACAGCGGGGGCCATCTCTTTGTTCTTCTTCCATGGCTGTGATCCACTCTGGTCTAATACTCCATTGCAGAACACAGTTTCAGCGTTACAGCGGAGGCACCATTCTTGTGTTGAGGCCACGGCAAATGTCTCCAATTCGGAGCGAAACTCAGTGTATGGGATTGAGGCTTGGCTGGGACTGTGCCCAAAGAGGGAATACAGTTGGAAGTCGGTAGCGTTGTCGGTCCCATTGTGAAGCAAGAATCTCACATACAAGTTGTCGATACCAGGGTATGATGGATACAAGTTGCTTCGGTTCTCGAAGCTGTACAGCTCGAAAACAAACGAGCCACCTCGTACCAGGCGGGAGGAGAAGTTGGGCTGATGCTGGCTTGCGAGTCCCATCACAGACGATAGGGCAACAGCTGGCTCATCACCACCGAACAACAGGGTCATCTTCTGGCGGGTGCCGCTTTCATGAATATTCAGGTCAAAGGCTTCTAAAATGCTTGATGCCAATGTCTGACCCGCAATCGGACTGGCTAGTCCGATCACAGAGCCACTGGAGGATGATTGTTCACTGTTTGTGCTCCATAGGTACTGGTCCGCCAACGAGTGGGCACGAAGGATGTCGGCGTGATTCAGACTTTCGAACAAACTGTCATTGTGCACAGCTTCATAATCCAAATATTCCGAGATTGGAACGGCATTCGTGTAAGTTGCGAATGATTCATCGTAGACTTCAGACAATGCCAATTTCCACAGTTTCCTGTAAAAGGCTTCTGTATCTCGCGTGATATCCTGGACTTCGTCGCTGAAACGGTATTCACCTTCGGCGGCATGATACATGTCACACTTCGCGTGCCCTTCAACCAAAACAGACTGAGGGTCTGCCTCACCAACCGTGACAATCCGAGGATATTGATATCCGTTCAATGGCGCCTGCGCAAATGATCCATTCGCAATCTGGCTACCCGGTATGTTCATTGAGCCGAGTGGTGGGTATAGGCCTTGCATGAATGCTTGGGCTGATCCAACAATGTTCTGACCCGTTGTCGAGAGCACATCCACGTCATTTGAGTCCAAAATGATTGGGGAGATATTCTGGATTCCAGTCTCAGAGCCTGCAGGTGCTGATACATAACGGTACCGGAAATCCGATGCTGCCGCGGCGAGTTCGTTGGCTCCGTAGTCGGTCAAGGTCCGAGAGCTGGTGAGCGCACCGGGCTTGCTGTCTCCATAGACGGTAAATGCAAAGACCCCCCACACTTTCTCGGTGGAGTCGGAACCTTGAGCTGAAACCATTGCCGGGCCCTGCAGGGCCAGGAGAGCGATAGGTAGGCCGTACATCAACATCTTCCAAGCATCGAAGAACAGCAAACCTTGACTGGATTGATTGACTTGTTCTACAAACTACGGGGGTAACCTCTGTAATAAAGAAACTTAGGCCTCCATGGTCCAGACCTAAATGGTAATGTTAGGGCTACCCAGATATCAAGGATCCAGACGATGAGATATCCGCTTTCGGGTACGGGTACTACCTAGGTACCTACTAGAAGTCAACATACTGGCTTTCTATTCGTGGAAGTCAAAACTGAAGGCACTGTAACTTTCGGGTGCCTCGGATGGTGGGGATAAGTCGAATCTTGACGACATTAAGCATACATTTCGAAGTTTTTAACAGAAAGGAAACATATAAGTGATCAAAGGATGTTTGAGACTCCCTGGGAGATAAAACTACCTAGTGGATGTCGGCAAGACTCAATCTCGCAAGTCAGACCTTGGAATATGTAGGATATATATATTACTTAACAGGATAACTTCCTTCGATTTATAGTTTCAGAAAAGTATCATGACCGAATCTTCCACGGTTGGATTTTTGTGTGAATATTCATCATGGCTCAATTTGTCACCAAAGTGACATTTCCCCTAAGGTTGGGTTGGTAGATTCAAGGTTGCACGCGATTTATTCCTAGGTGAGATAGGATGACGCGCACAAACTATCCTAGAGTCGATGGAGTTTTCTATGCGATCAAAATACCTATATTCTCTATGTAGTAAAACTGAATTGGATATATCAGTATAATGATAGAATACCTACAAAACAAAATCTACCCTACATGTAGGCATCATCAGTGGAGAGATTGCCAGGTACCTGATACGCTAGTCTTAAAACGGCAGCCTACCCCTGTACCTGTCGACCATACAGGTACCATAGGTTGAATATGTGATGATATTTTACATACGTAGGTAGTATTTTCTTCCACAAAAGCCAATTCAAAGGAGATCGCATGAAAGTTTACAGTCTGAAATCTGACCCACCCTGAGTGACCTCGGATACCGATCCTCATGTTCTGTCAGGACAGGGGCGATGATGCTGTCAAGTGGAGACACAAGTGAGGTTACTACACATGTAGAGAGTTCACTACAGTAAAATCAATGGAGACACAGCCAAATATTCGTTAAACCGAGGTTTTCGCAAAGTCCAGGTCATCTGGTTTATATGTAGAATTATATACTAAAAAAACTCTCTAATATTGCTCTGCGTGTATACCTATAGCTGTCATACCTGTGACAACTTCTTCTACTTCTACAAAAGCTTTATAATTGACTGATTTTTACCTCGAGAGGAGGGCCGCTACTCCTGGGGAGCGCGACCTCTAGGAGGTGGACCGAGCTTTTAAGAAGTGGATATCAATCAGCGGAACATTCTAATTGGTCATGAGCGGATTAAGCCTCGATATAACGAATTTTGTATGGGAGGAAGAGTAAAATACTGAACTTCGCAGTAAGCAGGGAAATTCGTTATTATTACTATGGTGAATTAATTGAAGCACCAGCTTTCGATCGTAAAAACTAGGTATTCGTTATATGCGGATTCGTTATAGACCGGTTTTACTGTACTTAATTGGACAATTGTTGGATCGATAATGGTGTGATTCTCCTAGGACTATTTCAATCCTCTGTTAGTATGGATGTTTCTTCCGAAAGGCTGTCTTTGTATCACACTATGCTTTGGCAGAACACCGGAAAATCTCCCGAGTCACGGGTTATCGTAGATCTGATAAATGATAAGAAATAAGATTTCCCCGGATTCAACAGCCAAAGGACTTAGAGATGGGTTTCATGCTAGGTAAAACAAGTTGTAGAAGGATGAACAGTAGCTATACTACATAATTTAATGGTAGTGCCTTTCTACTGGTGTGCGAGACCAAAATAGGTTCAAATTATGTACCTTTTGTATGGTACACACACAGAAAGGATACGTGTGCACTGACAACGTAAGGACACGCACAACTCAAAAGTCAGTCACGCACTCCTGACCAAAATTTCATTCCCTCTCCTCCATCTACCTCTCTACCTACTTCTCCCCCACGCACCATTTCTTCCAGCCCACGCTTCCACCCATCTTCTTCGAAATTCCACCGCCCGGCAGAAAAATCATCTTTTCGCTCCTCCATCCTTCTTCCGCAAGCCCTACAAATGCGCCCTACCCCTAAGCCCTCATTTCTGCTCTCGGAAGTTGATACCCCGACCCTAGGCAGGCGCTTTGTCCAAATGGTCGAGACTCGAGGCACGCGGCCATCATTCGATGGCCAGGAAACATCTGACTTTCCTCCCTTCCCTTCCGACGGAGGTGACATTGGTAAGTGTTCTCTTCAAACGCCTCATCCGATCGTCCCGTTCACCAGCCTTGACCACTCCCCACCCATACATATCACCCTCACCGCCAATGAACCTCAATGTAACCTTGGAATCAATACTCACCATTTAAATCTGTATCATAGACCAAAAAGTGCCTCATTCCCTCGATGATGCGGAACATGGCTCGCCTCCGGCTGCCAAAAAGCGCCGTACAGACGATGGCCCCGACGGTGATATTTCTCTGCCCAACGAAGTCATCTTGATGGCCGATCAGCATGGCCCTGGTCACAAAATCGAAGAAGAATTGGCCTCGGCTCTCGGCGAAGGCGTTATTGACACCGTCGAGCAAACCGATCCTAATGTAAACCAAACTCTTCAGCATGCTACCCATGACACCCATGATACCCCCGGAGTCGCGACCACCCAGGACGGTACATCTGACCTCAACAACGACGTGGCCACAATCATTTCCGAGATCATGGATCACACAGAGCGCCAGGAACAAACTGTCGCAATGGGACCTCAAGAACTACCGCCGTCGAACGATTTCCCGGGAGCTAGAGGTTTTGCTTTCCTCAAGGCTAACTCTCACCTCAAGATTCAGAGTCTCCCTATCTTGGATAATCTTGTGAGTGGAATTGATATTATTTACGTGATCTCAGTCTCCTAACATTTTCCCAATCACTTCTTAGTCTACGCAAATCTTGTCGTTCCTTTCCAAGAACACCTACCAAGACCTCACTGCTATGGTGTCCGAACCTGACTCCGAAAATGGACAAGCATATGCCACCATGCGCTCCTTGTTCGATCACACAAAGCGCGTCTACACCGTCAAGCACTCATTCCTTCAGCCTACAGACCTTGAAATCACAGACCCTTCTCAAGTTGATGTCATTCGCAAAGCGAACCTGGCGTCTTTTGTCTCGAGTATCTTCGGATCTCAGGAAATTGGATTTGCGGACCTCAACGATCATTTCCTAGACGTGTTTGTTCCTGAAGGTGGTCGTTTACTGAAGGTCCAAGGTGCTTTGTACCTCGAACTCAAGACGCAGGCTTTCATCGCAGCCATGCATAACAAATCCCTCACCCGCACACAGCTCCTCTATAATCTGTTCCCGGACGATATGGAACAGCGGTTGCTGGCGAGACGTCCTGGCACCAGACAGCTGGCACCATCTGAGACGGATTTCGTAAATCGCCTAACCTCTCGCCGTGACATCCTTCTCAATGAGATCAACAACGAGGAAGCGCTGAATGCCCTGCCGGACAAGTACCACTGGGAAGATTTCCTCCGAGATCTTAGCTCGTACATTTCGAAGAACTTTGATGCCATTAATACTCAACAGGTTCGTTTGTTGCCTTCATGTTTTCTCAAATGTTGTCCTTGTGCTAATATGATCTAGGGAAAGAAAGCTGTCAAGGGACGTCAACCTTCGAGTTCCAATGGCGATGCTCACGAGTCACCCAACACCACTCACCAGGGTCAGTTCTCACTCAACCAACAAGTTGAAGTCCCGGTGGACCGAAACATGCATGGTGACCTTGTTGCGCGTGCTGCCCGAGCTGCCCAGATTGCCCTACAGGGCCATGGCCTCCGACGCTCTCAGCAGCAGTCGCAACAACAGCATCAACAACAGCCCCAACAGACTCAGTCTCAGGCTAGTCCGTCGCCTCTGCCGCAGCAACCCCAGCACCAGCAGCCGCCGCCTCCACAACAGCATCAACCGCAGCAGCAACAGCAACAGCAACAGCAGCAGACGAGCCAAACAGAGAACCAGTATCTTCATGGCTACACCGCTGCCCAACAACCGCAGCCAGCTCACCAACAATATCATCATAGTCCCACCCCCCTGGAGGCTATCAAACACAGCAGGCCTCGCCCTTGACTTTCCAACAGAGCCCGTTGCAGGCCACCTTCCAGCAATACAACCCCAATGCTGCGCAAGCTATGCAAGCGAGGGCAAATGGCATGTCCTCCAACCATGGATATATGCCGGGGATCCCCCATTACTCTCAGTCACAGCCCACTCAGGTTCTCTACGAGCGTGCGCGAATGGCCGCATCCGCCAAGTCTTCTCCAACTAGCCGCAAATCTGGCCTTCCCAGCCAACGTCGACCCTGGACCACCGAAGAAGAGAATGCGTTGATGGCCGGCCTGGACCGCGTTAAGGGTCCCCACTGGAGTCAAATTCTTGCCATGTTTGGACCTGGTGGAACGATCAGTGAAGCCCTCAAAGATCGCAACCAGGTGCAGCTGAAGGACAAGGCTCGCAACTTGAAGCTCTTCTTCTTGAAGAGTGGGATTGAAGTACCATACTACCTGAAGTTCGTCACTGGTGAACTGAAAACCCGCGCTCCTGCCCAGGCAGCCAAGCGGGAAGCCCGCGAGAGACAGAAGAAGCAGGGCGAAGAAGACAAGGCTCATGTGGAAGGAATCAAGGGTATGATGGCCCTTGCTGGAGCTCATGGGGCACCCGTGTCGGGACATGATATGTCCGCCTCGCCTAGCCTTCCACCGGATGCCAACAGCCAATCCGTGTTTGATCAAACCGCGGAACAAAACCTCATGCAGACTCTGAGCCAGGAGGTACACGGAAGTCAGTACCCTCAGCATGCTCAGCAAACTCCTGACCACATCGATCCTCACATGCAGTTGGGTCAGTAGAGGATTGTCATATGCAACCATTTATTTGAATTAGCTTTTCGTCCGCAAGCTTCTGAGCTTCGGATTTGCAGTTTCGTTTCGGAGTCTAGGGCTGGATTGAGATTTGTTCCTTCGGGAACCACATTTGTTTTACTATGGGGATTGCCACATTGCGCCGGATTGGGTTGCTTTTATTGCATTCCACGTGTATGAGTACATAGTTGATAGGTTCAAAATGAATAATGAAAAAAAGAAGCACCCTTATAGATGTACAAAGTAGCCCTGTAAAAAAAAAGCACCCCGAGGTCCACCTAGAGATGGTCCGTGCACTACCCGTGTGACTTTGAATCTCCCTATAAACGAACGTATAACCGCCATTGATTGGCCTTGTACTTGGAAGTCTGCAGCCCAATCTCAATTGAAGGATACTTGCAGGGGTTTTCCGCCGATATTTGCCCATCATGGCCGACTCTCAAACATCGCAACCTCCCCAACCTACACCTCAGAACGGATCACAAGAACATCCCCCTCCGTCCGAATCAGAAGATCACATCAAAACCGAACCTGATCTTGATGCTTCCATCGAAAAAGACGTCGAGATGAACACAGACAACCAGACCGGAGCGAACGCGAATGCGGCGCCTGGCCAAGATCCCATGGCCCCTGCGCCAGAACCCTCCAAGAAGGAAACAAGCTTGCGCGAGTTCCTTGGTAAGATGGACGACTATGCACCAATTGTAAGTCATCTCTGAAACAAGCCTGTAATCTCTCTGAGCTTCCCCTGATCCCTCGGTCACACACGGCGGACTACGTCCCCGCCACCATGCCATCTACCCTAAGATTCCGCCCGAGCATGTGAAAGCAAGACCCAGACACGAGATCTATCAGATAACCCAAGGAAAAGTAAAAGAAAACTAACCCTCGATATCCAGATCCCCGACGCAGTTACAGCCCACTACCTCACCCTCGCCGGTCTCCCACCACCAGGCACAGGGCCCGGCCAAACTCCACCGCACCTCGCGCGCCTCCTGGCACTCGCCGCGCAAAAGTTCGTCTCAGACATCGCAGCGGACTCGTACCAGTTTGCACGCATCCGCGCCTCAAACAGCTCCTCCGCAAACAACCCTATCGGCAGTCTAGCAGCTGCAGCTGGTATCGGTGCTCCAGCCGGCGCAGGTGCCCCAGCTCCTGGCGGTGATGGCGGCAAGGGTAACAAAGCCGGCACTCATCTCGGTATCCAGCGGCCTGGATTTGGAGGCGGTGGCTCTGGTGGTTCTGGTCAAGGACGCACGGTGTTGACCATGGAGGACCTTGGAATGGCTGTTTCGGAATATGGGGTCAGCGTGAAGCGAGGCGAGTTTTACAGGTAGTACGGTGGTGGAAACTGGGGGGTTGTTGTCTGTGCCCTTTTTTATTTGCACTTTTCCCCATCATTTGTCTTTTGCGTTTTGAGGGATGGCGTTTAGGTGTGCAAATGGTCTTGAGTGACCTGGGATCATGACTGCATTGTTAGTCTGGGCTGGTGGCTGGGCGGATCCAATGGATGGCGTTTTCTCTTTACAATTGCGATTTGTTACTAGAATCTATGTATGCAATGCTTTAGATACTAGTTATGGAATAATATGAACATTTCCCATGTGTTGTTGGCTTGGAAATGTGCTATACGGTTTGTAAGAACAGAGTATATTGAACTAGGAGCAGTGATTAACAGGGCATTGACATATTTGCCTTTCTGTGTAGATTCTATATTTGGGAACTGTATACTCGTCACATTGCACTTTACGATTTGCAGCATGCATCTAGGAAAAAGAAGAATGTATATTGAACTCCGACCCAAAAGCAGCTAATGTCACATGGACCCCAACGATATATCTGTACATAGTGTGGCAAAATAAAGAGATGCAATGCAGCTCTCCCAGCGCAAAGAGATATCTGCACTAGGCAATTATGCGAATCGTTTATTTGTTCTTAGACTGCTTGTATGTGAAGCGCTTGCGGGTCCTATAGAGCAAATGCAAGGTTAGCAACTAACCACATCACCCCGAACCTGCTCATCATGCTCATGCTGAGTAGGCGTAGAAAGATGTATACATACGCAACATATTCTCCAAGCTTGCGTCCGACCATCTCCTCTGTCACCTGGATCTCAACGTATGTCTTGCCATTGTGCACAGCAAAGCGCAGGCCGACAAAGTTGGGGAGGATGGTTGCGGCGCGTTTCGTGGTGCGAATCGGGGGTGTGTTTGCTGGAGGAGGGAGGGTGCGTGGGAGAGGGAGGCTGTTTGGGATTATCGAGTCAGCTTTTTGTTTCAGTATGAGATAGTCCCATTGTGAGAAGGTTTTCTAAGTTCTAAGGGCGGGTTTGGTTTCTATTCGGCATTGGATGTCACGTACGGGACAATGTTTGGGCCTGTTGCAAGTGTTAGCGTGTGGTCTCTAAGGAATTGATCTTGGAATAGAGATCTCTAAGATCTGACGAGACTCACCTTTCCAGACCGACCGGCCGAAAAGGGCGCGTGTGGGGAACATTTTGACTTGAGGGTTTCCGCAGCTGCGATTCCGCGATGTTGAAGATCGATGTCGAAGTCTCGGCGGGATTATGTCAGCAATTTCATATGGCGTTCAAATACTACAAGAATGAACACAATAAATTGGCTGATAAATGAAGATATGTTCTAGCTAATTGAAAAACGAAATCAAATAAAAACTGTAAGATAGCAGTGCGCCCAACGGCTGCCAGCAACTGTGGGCACATGCAATTCTATACTCCATTTCACTCTGCCAGCTCCTCAAAGACCTTGACAAGGCTGCGCACACCCCTGAGAAGATTCTCATCCGGGCCCTGTCCAGGGGTCCAAGTGGCATGTGCGAAATCAATCACGCGGAGGGCATGGACTTTGGGAATTTCCTCCTCCTCGTCATCGTCCTCTTCGGGCATCTGCATGGTTGCGGGATCAATGTTGATATTGATAGCCTGTTGGGGCATTCCATCACCAAGCTGGACATTGACCATCTCCAAGGCTTCTTGAGGAAGTTCAAATTCCTCATCCTCTTCTTCTTCTTCATCCCAAGAACGGGGTGCTGGGGCTTTCTGCTCCTCTTCAATCGCATGCTCCATCGCTTCGATATCTCCTTCGTAGACCACCAGCACACTCGCAGAGTACATCCGACTCTCTTCAGATTCGAGGACCCGCTGGAGATTTTTCAATTCTTCCGCCAAGCGCTGGGCGACCATCTTTGATCGGTCTATCTTGCCCGCCTTTGCGCCAGCAAGGAAAGTTTCAAACCCTTGCTTGACAGTATCCTCATTGAAAGAGCGGCCGTACCACTTGTCAAACCGCCGGTAGCCATCCTTCTCGATAACCTCGCCCTTCTCACCCTCTGCGCCCTCGTATTTCGTAGCGTACGGATCTGTCCGTTCGCCCTCATCGGTCTCCCCATCGTGGCCAGTCCAGACTTTCATGCCCGCAATGCGATATCCAAGGCTAGAGCTGGTAGTTTCCTTAGAGACATCATCAAGCTTCTTCCGCTTCTCGAGCGGGGAATCGTCGGCCCATAAACGCGCGCCGAGCTTAACGTCCAGCACGTTCGGCCGACGGAACCCACAGGCGATGTTCTCCAGCACGATCGACAAGCCAGTATCAATTTTCTTGCCTCCGGAGGGTACCCATGCTGCTTCCTCCTTGGCAGGGGCGCCGTCTTCGGGGGTGGAGGCTGTGTGGGATGGAGGTTGGCTAGGGAGGGAGGAATCGGTTACGTCGCCAGATTCGGGGAGTGGAAGGGCGCCAGATTCTCGGGCGGCAGCGATCGCGAGCGGTTGCTGTTGCTCGGAGGATGAGAGCGATCCGACGTAGAGTGGCATAAACTCCTGGAATGCGGGGTGGAGCGCGCTAGATTCGTAGAATTCTACCTCCTGTCGCGTGCATGGTTTCGCGATCAAGGCGCCGGAGGGCGTACAGCGAACGCCCTCGCTGGAGAGAAATACCTTGTTAGTATGGACATAGATTTGATATCGTGCTCAGGTCCGCCGGGGTTGGTTTTCTTCTGCGCACCCGGTTGGGTAATGCGGGATGTTGCGCTAGGAACAGAGCGGGAGTGTGAAACTTACTGTCCCGCAGCAGCATGATCAAAAGGGACTAGGTCCTCGCTGCCTAGCTGTGTCTTTCGACTTTCTGGTTTCGAAGGCATTTTGATACTCGGCTTGACTTGATGTCTGTATTTCGGACCCAAACAATTGGAATAGACCTGAGACGAGGACCTTCCCAGATAGTTTACAGCTTTAAGCTTGGCAATTAGACGAGGTGAATTTGAATAAATGTCAATATGAAGTGAGATAGGTGAAGAAGCCAACATCTCCGAAACGGAGATGAGGGGGGCGATGTCATTTTCGGCCCTAACTCCATATCTATACCCGCGATCTATACTTGTTTTCAATATTCAATTAATTTGATTCTCTTTTCTATTTAAGAGAGTATGAGTTAGTTGCTGTACATTAATATGTAAATTCTGATCAAGTGAAAGAGACATAAATTATGAGTTTTGTTTGATCTCATCGCCATCCCCGGCCAACAACATCACTAAGCATCACGACTAAGCAACCCATCCATTGATTCCAAGGTTGCCCATGGGCCCTCCAAGATTGCCTATTTAGTCTTTTCTCTGCTTTGATCTTTGCTTTCTCCTTCATTGCTTCCATTGCTTCAACGACGCAGAATCACCATTCTTTCAAACATCACCTTCATCATTCATCATGGATGATAATCCTGATCCCGCGCGGGAAGGCAATTTGTCTATTGAAACTACTCAGTCACTGGAGTCTAGTGCCTCCCTGGAGCTTATGAAGCCCACTGAAGCCATGTCGACTGGTGACGGTGCCACTGTTCACCTTGGCCCCGTCAACCCCGACCAAGAGCATACCGAAGCTACCAAGGGAGAATCTTCTGCTCTGCAGTCGGCTTCCAAGCTTCATAAAGCGTCTTCTAGGCCTAAGGTTGCTCATGTTCATTTCCTTAACCCGGCTGAGCTTGAAAGGTTGAAGGTTGCATCCAATGATGTGAGTGTCCCGACTCGGTCTAACCAGGTCCTAATCACTTTAGTGTCCCAGATAAAATATTATGCTAACAGCAATTTAAAGACCAGGGAGCCTTACAAAAATATCTCGGAGGTTCTAGCTGAAGCTGGGGCCCTTCCCGAAGCAACTGGTCGTTCCGCCGCTGCTAAACAGCCAGAGAGAAATACTAACATCTCGGATGTGAACGATGATGCAGACTTGGAGAAAGTGTCCAAGGTTGGATTCAAGCATGATCCAGACGAGGAAAGGGCTCTCGCAAATGTGGAACTGGACGTTGGTCGTTCGAATAAAAAGAAGAATAAGAGACGCCCCAAGAGTCAGAGGGGAGAGGTAAGACTGCGACACTGATGCGTACCCGGCCAGGTTTTGTCTAACAGTCTCTATAGAACGCGCCCACCGGATTCGAACCTTTCTATGCCGATGCACCAATTACTCCAGCGGAATTTGAGGAGAACAAAACGATCTATGATCCGTACGTACATTTATACCCCCCAAATGAGACAGTTTCTAACTCTTAATGACAGTGCTTTGCCAATTCTTGAGTAAGATTCTTGAAGCTTATCCATCACATACTACTTACTAATGTGACCCATATAGTCGAATTGACGAGGGCATCAAGCGCTTCTTGTACAAGCGACGTCTTGAGCCCTACAGACGCAAGGTTTTTCTCAAGTATCTGCAGTATGGCGGTGTCAGCGTGGGCCCCAATCATTCCCAAGGAGTGACTCCTTCAGAATTGAAGGAAATGACCAAAGAAGAGGCAATGCAAGCTCGCTGCACCACGGCCATCTTTCCCAAGAGAGGAAAGCCATACCCGATCGACTTTAACGCTGTTGCCACTGGCTACCTGTGAGTATCGAGCCATCTAAACATCTATTTGTGGTCACATATGCTAACTTGTTGATAGGACCGGGTACTACATGGGTTATTACAACCCTGATACTGAGGAGGAGATCAAGGTCTGCACTGATACAATGAAGAATTTCTTCTCTTACCTGCTCTATCACGATGTTTGCCCCGAGCAAACTGAAGATCTTCAGGAAGCCCGAAGGACTTGCGATCGGTCTGCCAAGGAGCTGTGGATGAACCAGCAACTTGTCCACCATTCAGGCCCCGGAGACTTCAACCGCGGTTGCTCCATGCTGTTTGGCGGATACTACTTCGAGGATGTGGATGACCCCGATGCTTGGACCAATGTTCGACACGCTGATCAAAAGGCCTTCACCAGTGACATCGCTCGCAAGGTCGTCAAATATGCCATTGCGATTGCCGGAAATGATCGGACTGCTCGCAAATTCAAGATTCTCGCCGACATGGACCTAATCGAAGCCAAGCAGGTCGAAGACATCGATGGATTCGAGGTGATCTCAGTGGAGGCCCCTACCGAGGAAACCATCGCATACTACAAGGAGCTGGGTCCCGATCTCATTCCAGTGGGCAAGGTTCGAGCTAAGGAATTCCGTGATCCCGCCAGAGGTCCCTTTGACCTCGCTCCCTGGGAAAAGGTCGACTGGGATGCTGGTTTTGCCCCGGCCTTTGAGTTCGAATTCCTCCTCGAAGCCGATTTCTTCGTCAATCTCTTGCCCGGCATGAAGATCATCACGACCGTCTATGAGACCAACTTCGGACAGTACTACTTCGACGAAATCCTCTCAGTCCTGCCAACCTTTTACAAGTTCTTGTACAATGACTGGATGATGGACTACGTGGAGCCTATGCCTATTAACTTCATCCCCGACGAGGAGGAAGTTGCACGCCGCCGCGCAAAGGACTCTATCATTGAGCCTCCCGAGCCCACCCCGGCCGAGTGGGCTATGCACATCTTGACCCACGAGCTGAACCATCATGTCACGCCGGATGATCATCCCATGAGAGCCATTTGGGAAGTGGTCCATGCCCTTCAATGTTTCGGCTGGGACATGGAGGAAATCAAATGGTTGATGAACATGCCCAAGGATCCGTATCCGGAGAGAGGCAGGCGACACATGGCCCAGGGAGAACCGCGCCCAGTTCGCCTTAGCAACGAGGATCGCGGTGTTCCATTTGACGAGACTCCTTTCCAGCGCCTTAATCGGATTATCGGATATTACAAAAATCCCGAAAGAACCAAGCCTGTTTTCGACCCGGAGATCATGGCAAAGGCTCTTAGCGGCAGAAAGAAGCAGGTTGAAAAACAGATCATACAAGCTGGCCAGGCTGCAAAGGCTCTCCAAGAGCACAAGAAGGATATTGAAAAGGAACAGGAAAAGGTAGCAGCCCACATTGCGAAGCTTCGTAAGGAGCAAAAAGAGCAGATGGAAATGCAGATCAAGCAAGCCGCCGAGGATGCAAAGGAACAAGCCCAGCTAGCAGCCCAGATTGCGAAGGAGCAGGGGCCCGAGGTACAGCCCTGTCAAGGACCGACAGACAGCCTGGCAACCCAGACTTTGAAGGAGGCCATTGATAAGAACAAGGAAATCAAGGGTGAACTGGAGGGAGAGGATCAGTGACTGAAATGTCGTTGAGTGCAGCCATCTGGTTACTACGTGATCATTCTGCTGCGAATCTGCCGGGACTTTTTCCAAATAGTTTTTTACTCAAATGCTGAACCAGAAATGAAACCCATATGAATATCCAGAAATATTCACACCCTTGAATCGTAATCTTACTTTATCTATAGATCATATTGTGTTTGTATTGTTTAAGAGGTCACGTCCTGCTTCAAGGCTTCACGAGTGGCTTTCCCATGGTCTTCCGTCCTTCAAGGTCCTGTCGAACGGGTTAGACTACTACAATCTCACGCAAAGAACAAAGACTACATACCTTGTGCACCTGAGCAATCTCCTCTAGCGGATAGATTTTGTGGATCTTGGTCTTGAGTTGACCTGATTTCAGCAGGCCGAACAGCTCGTTACTGTAGGACTCGAACTCTTCACGGGTCTGAATGTATCCGAAAAGCGACGGGCGAGCAATCTTGACACACTTGGGGGTAAGTTTTCTATTGAGATATCATTAGTATCACCAATCAAGACCAATATAGAGAGGAAAGAGCCATACGCAAGAGGAATCGGGGGCACAGGTCCGCTAGCATTGCCAAACCAAACGATGGTACCCTTGCGCTTGACAGCTTCCAAGCTTCCTTCCCAGGTATCTTTGCCGACAGAATCATAGACAACATCGACACCGCGACCACCAGTAACCTCCTTAACCTTCTTAACCCAGTCCTTATCCTCCTCACTGCGGTAATCAATCACTACATCAGCACCGAGGCTCTTCACAAGCGCACACTTCTCCGCGCCGCCAGCGGTACCAATAACCTTGGCACCCATAGTCTTCAAAATCTGCGTCATAAGGAAGCCAGCACCACCAGCTGCAGCGTGAAGAAGAACCCAATCGCCCTTCTGCACGGGATAAGTCTCCTTTGCGAAAGCAAGTACCGTCATACCGCTCAGGAACGACGCCATGACATCCTCATCACTGATCCCCTCGGGGATCTTCACAGTGTAGGCCGCCGGCGCTGCGGTGTACTCCGCATACCCACCATTAGCCAACCATGCAACCCGATCGCCGACCTCAAAGCCGGAAGTCTCGGGACCGACAGCAGCGACGGTACCAGCGCCTTCGCGACCCAGGATCTCGGGCTTGGGTGAGGCGTATAGGCCTGTTCGGAAGTAGGTATCGATATAGTTTATGCCAGAAATGTTGTTGCGCACTAGCAGCTGTCCTGCTTGTGGGGTAGGAACTGGGTATGAGGTCTTGTATTGCAGTACTTCGGGGCCGCCGGTCTGCTCGACCACTACGGCCTTCATGGTTGTTGGGACGGACATGCTGCGAATTGTAATAAATTGGTTCAATGGAGCAATATGATTGCGAAGTACTGTGAATCGACTACTGCGAAGAGATCGAAACATATTAAGTAGGTGGGGGATGTAGAGATAGGAAGGTCTTCACATTTGTCATCGATCCCCGCAATCCATCTCCACAACCCGGCGGAATTGTTGCGCTTCTCTTCTCTTCTCTTCTCTTTGTTAATCACCAATTCCAATAGTTTCTATACAGAGACAGTTTGAAATTTCATGTGATTTATACAGGTTCACTCCCAAAAAAATCCAACATGATTGATATCTCGACTATTCAAACATCTCACAGGGATATGACGCCATTTCCGTCGGGCCGTCGGAACAAGGGTATACTTGCTATATTATACCCAACACAGCCTTGCAGCACAGACTTTCCAGGGACGATGATATCCAACAGATTCAATGCCGCTATATTTTCAAAGACAGGAAACTCACAGTGCTCACCAGAACTCCTGGTTTGATTTGCCGCCATATTGACGCTTCAGTTCTCCGTACTCCGTACGAGATGCAAGCCACCCGGAGCCCCATGAGGGGCCAATCTCCCACGACCCACGTCGGCATGTTGGCCTGCATGACAAGGGCGACATAGCGCCGACTTTGTATCATCTGCCGCCTGACTGCATCATGAAACTTTGGAAGACGAGAGATCTCCCCCGCTCCATACACTTGAGACAACACGCAGGCCATTAGCCTCGGATCGGTTCGAAGTTTCCTAACCCCAGGAAGGAAGATTTCCATTTGTTGCCTAATGATCTAGTGGTCTGATCTCTAAATAAATCGACCTGAAACGCGACGGCAGTACCCGGGAGGTTCCACTTCGTGCCCAATGATCAACAGGTCATAGCCACACACCCCTTTGTGATGATGACTCGACCATATGTTTCACGGGTTTTGCCTCGTGACTTCTCAGCCTGAAGCTATTCCTGTATTTTTGCTCTCGCCCAATCACTAAAATGGCCTATCAGATGTCCTTTTCCTCAGGGTGGTGCCCGATGCCCTCCACCATTGCTTATATACCCTTGTCCTCCCGGCTCGCGCACGCACTTTAAAGCGTGCACCTTTGTCTACTCTGAAATTTTTTCTCTCTGTTTCATACGTGACTTAGTTTCCTGCCCTGCAACATTTTTACTTTCCAAGTCCGACTATTTATACTATGAGCCATATTTCCCGAGCTATTCCTCGAGACGTCAACGCACCAGGTTAACGTCATAAAACAAACATATTCCACACTCTCTGCGTGGCCAAACCAATTTTCTTAGAAATGACTTTCTCTCGAAGCTCTCGACGGGCGCGATCGCAATGGCCTCCAGCGCCCTGCGTCGAGGAAGAACCCCAGTCCCTCTCGAAGGAGCTAAACGGCCTCTCCAAGCTTGGTGATAAGCCCGGGGTCGACGGTGTCCATAAGAGAGGGGCTGTCGATCAGTATCCCATCATAGTCTCTGCCGCCTCGCCCCCTCCATCATCTACCTCCCGTGAGAGTGTTCCCAGTGTGCCTGGGCTTGGGAGTGTGTCTTCGGATGAAAGTGCAGGGCCAATGACGCCGCCCGCTCAAGAGCCGATCTTTCGGAATACCGTCAGATTTGAGACAGATGAGAGGCCAAAACGTGCGCCGCCGTCAACCGCAAGTCAACCACGCGGCCCGCCATCTCGGCCTCCGGCCCAGCAACAGCCCACCCGTGAGCTTAATACACAGCGGGAACCCCAACCGCCCTCTCATAGCCGGGATGGCAATTCCAGCAGACGGCCGCCAATGCAAAATACGTCTCATGGCTCCCGTGGACCGAGCGTGCCGGATCGCAGTGGTGCTCGAGCTCCCGTGCACGACAAGGCCCATCTACAACCACTCAAGTCTTCCATTGGCCGATCCAACAGTGCAAGGCATGCACCTTCAGCAACACGTCCAATGCAAGAGCGGTTTCGACGGGAGCCTAGCTTGGGGTATTTGTCAGATTCGGCCACCACGTACAACAGACCGCCCTCACAACAGCCCCAGGCACCTGTGCCCACGGTTCCTGTATCAGCTCTGGCAAATGGGCCTACCCTCGCGGAACGCATAGACGAGAAGCTTCGCCAGCGACAAGAACAGCGGGATCCGGGGTCTATGTCGGATCCGGAGGTGCGACAGATTCCCACAACTGTGAAGCCTGTCAAACCAGTTCCTCTCGACATCTCTCTGCCCCCTCCGCCTCCTGCTCCTGCTACAGCATCACACTCACCTTCACGTGGGCCTTCGCATGTCCCAGCGCAACGAGCACAGCAGGAACTGTCCCCAGCTTCGCGTGCTCGCGCGGCCTCAGTGACAATGCCACCCACCCGGTCGATGTCTGGATCTCGCCATCCCTCGCGGCCAGCACCCGAGATAGCCAAGCCTACATCAACCCAACTCACAACCCAACTCAACCCTGAGAGGCCGCTAGCTCCTACTGCACCGACTCGACCCCAAGGCACATCACCACAGCGCCCCGGCTCAGTGGGCCTGGGGCTCTCTCCGTGCCCGCGAACCATCGCCGTAGCAGGCTACCAAGATTGGTATACGCTCAAAGGCCTCACCCACTTGGACATCTGCCCGTCCTGCATGAGTCAAATTGCACACTCCCGCTACCGCGACTACTTCATCCCCAGCATCTCAAAGCCAGCCGGGCAAAAGACACGCTGCGCCTTCGCCAACGCATGGACCCGTCTCGCCTGGGCTCAGATGATAAAAAAGCAACACGACAGCCTAGAGCTCCTGTACCAAATGACACGCCCACCACCGGGCACGCGCCCCTGTCCCGGCCGCATCGTCGCCGAACAATCCTGGCACCGCATCTACGACCCCGAAACCGGCGGCGACCTGGCCGGCTTCAACGTCTGCAACAACTGCGCGCGTAACATCCGCATCCTAATGCCCAGCCACCGCGAGACCTTCCAGCTAAACCCAGACCCCGCCGAGCGGGTATGCGACTTCGTAACCTCCAGTCCGCGATTCGTGAAATTCATCGATCTCCTCGACGGATCAGCTTCGCGCGCTGAATCAGACTCCTCACGCACCCGCCGCCCAGATACGCGCGAGTTCCTCAACTATGCGCGGCGCAAGGTCGTGCTGCGTGATTGTCGTCGTGATAGGCCTACTCTTAGTACGTGGCACTTTATCCCGTCGCTTCCGGAGATGTGTGTTTGCGAAGACTGTTACGATGAAGTTGTTTGGCCGCTGGCTAGATCAAACCATGCTATTGCGTGCATGGTTACGACGAAGATGCGCATCTTGCCTGGTGATGGGCCTGGTCGGACTCGGGAGGCGAGTTGTCAGCTTTACTCCCCACGTATGCGAGCGAAGTTCCGGGAGGCGGTTGTTCGGGATGATTTTGGGTTGCTGAGGTCTGTTGCGCAGAGGAGGGTTGAGGCTGAGAGGCGGTTCCTTGATCGGAGGGAAGAGTTGTTGGTTGCTCAGTCGAAGGGGTATGATTGTGATGAGGAGATGAGGAAGGCTGTTGATGAGTGGAGGAGGTGGGAATGATTATGGCTGGTTGTCTGTCTAGTTCGGGTTTGATTTCTGGAAAAGCATGTATACTTGGGAGCATTGTGTACAATGATTGGAGGGAGTTTTGTTTTGTATTGTACCAGCATAGCATAGCATAGCATATATAGCATATATAAAAGTCTACCTAGGTAGAACATAGCCCTGATATTACCCCCCATACCAGATTAATGCCGGAATCCGCCAAATTCCGTAACTAGTCCGTGTTCACACAATGAAGCGAGGGTAAGAGCTGTCAAGTCCTTTTGGGAAGGAGCGTCTGTTGACATGTGTAAGGTAGTATATGAGGGTGATGAACATCATCACATCTGAAAAGACACCTGAAAAGCTGAAAAGACAAATGAAAAGACAAAAGCCGATGACTAGTTCCATCTAGTAGTATGTCGCCATGAGAGACACTTACGAAGCAAACTGGCCCGAGAAAACCAACAAGTCGGCGACATGCTATTATACAAGCTTATAAACTACAATGAACAGACACTCGTAGAATGATTGATTGTATGTAATAACGAGCCACAACCCCATGCTAAGTGAAATCTAGATTCCCAACTCCATATCCGAAGAAAATATGCGAATATCTAATGCAAGCAAGAAAAGAAATGCGATGAAAAGAGAACCCCTAACCAACCAATCCGACCAACTCCCCAGGCCAACGCTTCGCCCATATAATAGCACGCGGAGGCATTCTCCCACCAACCGGCGCAAGGACACGGATCGTTCCCTTGTTCACGTCGACGTCGGCAACATATAAGAAGCCCATGATGCTTGCGTCACGGACTTCAGCGGGGGATGCCGTGGTAGGCGCATGTGTGATGGCGAGGAGGGTATTTGCCAGAGTGGAGGGAGCGGGTGGAAGGACCTTCTTCAGCGGGACGCTGCTGCCGCTGTTGGCATTGGCGTTTGAATTCGCGTTGTCGGTGGACTCGGAGAATGAGCCCACAACACCGGGGAGGGGGCGGCGCGGTCTGGGTCTTGTTTTGTTCCTTGTGAGGCGTAGTCATCCATGCCGCCACCGCCAGGGAGGAAGGAGTCGCCTGTTCCCAGCTGGGAAGGGTCGTATTCATCTTCGTCTTCGTCGTCTGCTGAGGAGACGGTGTAGTTGTATACAGGGAGGGAGACGAAGTCAAGTTGCTGTGCGTGGGGAGAAAGAGTGATGGCAGAAGAGGGTGAAGAGGAGGGGATGGGGTTTCCGAAGAAGTAGGAACGGATTTGGGATTCCCGTGTTGCCTTGCGGAAGGCATCGTCACGGTCAACACAGCCACCTGATTTGGACAGCTTGACGACAGAGATGTGCTCGTCAAAGACAGCGGCTGTTGCGCTAGAGCTGGGCTTGTTGTCGTATTGTCTGGCAACGGTGCTGTACAGGCGCTCCGAACCTAGGACCAGGATTGTTGTGATTGAGAACTCGGTGACAATATGATTAATGAGTTCCATGGTGCCTGGCTTGTCTGTGCCAAGGATTCCCGGTGTATCGACGATAATTCCCGTTTCCCGCGCATCCTCGTCTTCGGCCATCCGGCCCGTGACAGACAGTGCAAGACGTGAGACGACTGGTCGGTACACGACGCCTTCGCCATCCAGTGGGCTTTGCATCGGGTAACTGTATACAAGCGGCAGCTTGACGGGTACAGGGCTGGGCCCGGACATAGGGCTGCTTCCCCAGCCATCTTCGACATCCAAGATGGTACGGAAGGCAGTCGCAGTCAGTGTGCCAGGGACGCCAAGCATACCCTCCGTGGGGTCGAGGTTCACGACCAACGGCTGACGGCCGATCTTTGTCGCATAGGCGGTCAAGATCTTAGCCAAACTGGTCTTTCCGGTGTTTTCAGAGCCGAGAAGGAGCACGCGCGGGCCGTCCTTGCCTATTGACTGGGCTTCTTCGCGCATTGTCTCGAGCGCAAAGTGAACGTTGGCATATTCTACCATCGGCGTCTCCTCAGCCGTGTATTCGCTCTGGCAGCCTCCTGCGCCGTGGCCCACCGTCGGGGTAACTCCATCAGAGGTAGTTGTCACTGTCTCGACCGCCGTGACTTCAAGTGCACAGCCATGCCATGTGAAGATTGCCGCTTTCGTGCCGGTGAATGTGTAGGTTTGGGATTCGGCAAGCTCTGTGCCGAAGAGTTCCGCGGTTCCGTTGAGGAGCTGCACAACTTGAATCAGAAGGATGACAATCAGATCAGAGAATTAACATACCTTGACTTTGATAATATGCCCAAAGGCAACCTCAAATCGCCATTCCGAGCCTGGGGTCAGGCTGATCTGTGACGGTGGCGCAGGTGCCTGTGATCTTTCCTCCGATGGCTGGGTTAGCTCGAGACCCGGGAGCGACATGTTACTTGTCAATTTGAGAAGCCTCAAGATATGTGCAAATACGGAGCGGAGTGAAAGAAGTATTGGAATTGTTATCGGGGTGCGGAGCTTGAGATGTTTTACATGTTTGCATTCATTTCCTTGGCCGTCATTGGCTGTGAATAACTACAGCTAGATGTGGCTCGAGTCACATCTACACCAGTTTCCAAGGTTTGTTCTCAGTGATGCCTTCAATCTATAAACCTCACTTCAGCCTTAGAGTAGCAAAATAGCACAAACATTACATTAAAAGTTTTTAATACCCGAACTATGCCAAGATTGCATTAAATCAGTATTCTGGTTATACCCTACAAGAAACATGAACTGGTAACATCAAAGCATATCACTGTCATTAAGCGAATCCTCCTTGACTACTTGGAAGGCTGCCACAGGGCAGTAGAAGGCGGGAGAGGGGGAGGTTGGTATCAGGAGAGCAAGGGTAAGGGTCATGAAATGAGCTAAGAGGCAATCCAAATAACCAAGTCTGGTGCAAAACACAGGGAGAGGAAAAGGGGGGGGGCAAGATATTAGAAATGGTGTCAATAACAGGCACAGGGCATTCAGGATCGCCGGCGAGGAATATATTTATGATAACGACAAGGGGAATTGGGCATCAGAAGCGAATATTTGGGTAGCTGGGCTGTCGCAAGCGACAGGCGCTCCGAAAAGAAGAGACCAAAATTTCAAACAGACTGGACTTTGTCAAGCAAAACCTCATTCTGTTTAGAAAAAGTATGGAATGGAAGCCCTAGATAGGATGTTAGCGTTGGTTCAATCTTCATAGCATAGAATGACTTACGCAAGGGCAAATGCCACGGAGACACCGAAGATAGAGCGGTTGCGGACACGCTCCTGCTTGAGCTTGTTCTCAAGCACCTTGGCCTTCTTGGCTCTCTGGGAAGATTCGGCCGATGTCTCTTCATCATCGTCATCCTCGGGCTTGCGCTTCTTGGTCACCTTGACAGATGTGGACTCTGCAGGAGCGCCCTCGGCTTGCGCCTTGATGGCCTCCTCCACCATGTCCTTAGCCTGAGCAATCATCTCTGCGGTCTCGGCAGCAGAGGGCACTTCTGGCAGACTGATAGGCATATCGAGGGAAACGGTGGTGTGAGTAGACTTGACAACATCGGTGGCATCGTCGGCCACTGCAACCTTAACTGTCTCCTCCTGTTCCTCCTTGATTTCTTCTTTTTTCTTCTCTTGCTTCTCGGCCTTCTTCTTTTCCTTCTTCTCCTCCTTTGTTTCTTCGGGCTCTGCGGTAGCAGATCTCGTTGACTTGCGCAATCTGATATTCTTTCCAGGAGATCCGCTTGGCTTCGCTTCCGTTTCGGCATCCGCAACTACCAACTCAGGAATCGGGTTCGAGAACAGGGCTGAGGCTGTGTCTAATGCCGACTGAAGGCTAGCGTTTGCAGCCGTTGTAGAGGGGGTGCTAGTGACATCCTTGGTGATGCGGGTGGTGCGGGACTTCCGTGGAGACGTCTTGCTCGGAGAAGCGGACCGACCTCTGCGGTAGCGTTGGCGAATAGCCGGCTCATCGGCGGGAATTTCGAATTTCGGCGGGGGAGTGATCTGTTTCTTTGCGCTGGAAGGACTTTGGACAATGTCCGTTGGGTCCAAAAGTGCTCGCACCCACTCGTACATTTGGTATTCCTTGGAAAGCTCAAGGGCTAGGTATAAAAGTCAGGACTTGTTTGATAGAGAGAATATCCCGGGCAGAACATACCAAATGTGGGAGAGATCCACACATTGCCAGCAACTTCCTCTTCACTTGTGTACTCGCGAGCCTTCAGATACTCACGCTCTGTGCGCTCTTCATCGGCCTTGGCCCAGGGGAATGCAATTTTGAACATTCCAGTGGCACTGACAAACCCATCTTTGCTACGGCGCTGTAATGACGAGGCCCGAAATTAGTGACTGTTGGCTTCCAAATTAGATCAAACGGGCGGTCTCACCATCAAAAAGTAGCTTTCTGGGTGCTGCTGGGGGCTGTGGGAAGGGAAGATCTCAGAGCCCTCGAGGTCCTTGGGCAGCGGAGCACGAAGGTGGGCGTACTCGAACACGCCTAGGTTCTCCGGCTTGGTTGCATTTGAGGTACCAATCTGGGCAGGCTTGACGGAGAGGTTTGTCTTCCCAAGACGACGGCGTGAAAGGAGCTCCTCATCTGTAACGAAATTGTTAGCGATGGCCTCGAGGCATTGAGGGAGCACGAGGCGGCTAGATAGCCGATGCGCGCGGTCGCGCGTCCACGCCCCAGTGTTCGAACTTACAGCAGGGAGCAGCGTCGGGCAGGACATGCGGATTAAACTGTTTTGGGAGTGTTCGCGACATGGTGGGGGGATGTCGAATGAAGTGGAAATGAAGATCTTGAGACTTGGGGAAAGTTGCGCCAACGATGGCCACGTAGCAGGCGCGTCAAGCGACAAAAATCAAGGATCAAATATTACCAACAGATCTTTAAATGTTGGCAGAGAGAAGTGCGCAGCCAAAGTGACGATAAGCAAAAAAAAAAAAAAAAAGGACCAAAACCCAAAGATAAAGAAGAGACAATCAGGAGAGATGAGAAGATGCGAGTCGCGAATAATTGCGTCGTTCTGAAGCTTGACTACTTCCGGTAAGGTCCGGAAAACACCTCGTCATGTGGGGTATTTGAGGGCTTTAATTGGCCAATCATTCAATACAGTGTATTTGATCTACCTCAATGTATTTTATTCGTTGAACCCGTGACATCTACACATTCCTGGCTCCACCTTCTCTACAACTGTATTTGTCTATAAACTTGTTTTTGGCTTTATATACGCTTCTATAATTGAGTTGCATGTGTGTTGTACGGAGTAGCGAAAATCCATTGTCGGTGTATGGGCATGTGCAACATATATAGTTCACCCCTATATATTTTTTCCAATATGTCATATGTACCCTTGACGTTTTCCCCAGGTTATATGTAGAAAAGTCGCTTTCCTTCTGCCGTCTACCAATAAAAGTGAGAAGGGGGAAAAAATACATTAAGAAAAGAAAATTGAAAAGAATATCTAGCACTTCTAAACTACTGAAAATATATCAAAAGGCATAAGCGGACATCTACTCTTGTTTATATGTGCCTATACGTACCGGATTTTCCCTGGCGGGTGGGGCTTTCCTATTTGAGCTGCCGCCGCTTTTATGAGGGTCGCAGTTTCAAACCGCCAAATACCCGTATCCAATCAGCCTCCCGGAGAACCATAAGTTCCCCATCGTGTGTGGCCGAGGGCTACTTGGGGTTCAAGATATATTCACATGACGATAAGGTCTAGATCGCTTGAAGACGCCAGTTCAAGGTGCACTCTGAGTCAATTGTTGGGAAGGTTGTTCATTTGCCGTGTACTTAAAACTCCCTCATTCTTGCTTGCCTTCCCTTCTTTCCCTCCTCAGTCTTGATACCTTGGTTGAATGGCACAGTTCAATCCATGATCTTTCTCTTGACCCGTAACACAGGGGACCTTCATTGTAGTGGATTGAGAAAAGGCCTCGGGGAAAGGACGTTGATTTATACTCTCCTAATGCCCCTGGCGACTCATTCTGGGGATGGTCCTCAGCGCTGTCGATTTTTGGATCATCAATAAGGCGGACACTTCCAGGACGGAACGCGTCCAGGATCCCGATGGCATTGTTTTAACTCGCTCTAGATACTATTTCGGCTCAATCATTGTACGGCAAAGCGTGCACTGGAGACAGGAATTCATAGATTGCTGCATAATATGGTCTCGGCCAAACCTAGATCTCCCTCGAAGGGACATGACGGTTGCGATCTGAGCCCGCAGGCCTATTGTGATGTTAGACTTGCCAACGAGCACACAAATGTTGCTCACTTACAGGCCAATTCTACGCGCAACAGTGGCCAATTCGGCGTCGTTGGCAGCCTCCAGTTCAGCACGCTCCAGAGCCGCGCGAATATACTCTTCGCTTCGCTTGGCGACTTCTTCCTGGGTAGGCGGTAGATGCTCGTTCTGCAGATCGACCTTTCGGGCCTCCTCAAAGTTGTGGATGGCTTGCTGAATGCCTTCAGCACCCAACATGAGAGTACCGGGGGGCAGACGGCCAGCGGCTGCTTCTTTCAGCTCAGTGATACCTTCAGATTGTTCACGGAGCACCCGGAAGACACGGGAGAGACGACCGATTGCAAGGATCTTGTTCCTGATGGCTCGTCCCTTGATTTCATTGGAGTCGACTGTGGGATTGGTATCCATGGGCAAGGAATCTGAGACGGGACTGGTATCCATAGGCAAGGCAGCTGAGACGGGACTGGCCGTAGCAGTTGAAGGAGTGTTGTCCTCCTCCAATTCTTCTTTCGAGCAGGTGTTAAGAATGGCGATCAGCATATCGGTGATTTTCTCACTAACAAACGGCAGGGACCAGGTGAAGACGTCCATGAAGTTAGACAGCCAGAACGGGTGCTGAGTGCAGTTGAATTGCCGGATGTTCATCACGTTATTCTCGTATTTAAGGATGGCGGCCTTATTATTATATCTATCGAGGTAGTTAGGCGCACTAAAAATGGTCATGACACTAGGGAAGCCGGTTGTCTGTGTCTTCCTATACATGCGGTATCCAGCATCTTGGGCTTCGTGTGCTCGGATAATAGAAAGTAGGTTGTTCTTCTCGAGGAATGCGCATACGGCGGGATAGGTGAAGGAATAAGAGCAACCGCGAACGCTGTTGTGCAGGAAGAAATCGTCTGTTTTTTCTTGACCGAACTCCTCTAAAGGATCGGCCCAGAGAATATCGCACATAAGACCGTGGCTTGGGGGTTCGCGGAATCGATCGATCTACTAACTGTTAGAGGCCATTAGGACCTGAAGAACTCATCGCTACATACCGCCTTAATATCCTCGAGGGTGTGCAGCCCTGGGCCGATACCACCGTGGACGCAGAGAAACTGCTTGTTCATGACCGCCGCTAGCGGTAGAGAACAGAAAGATTCGATACAGGCCTCATAGATCCGCTCGTTATACTTATGTTTACACTCCAGCTTAAATGTAAAGTAGTCTGTCAGGTGACTAGATTCATGGTTACCGCGTAGCAGCCAAAGCGTATTCGGATACCAGATCTTCAATGCCCAGAGATATAGAACGCACTACAGTAGATTGTTAGAAACCACCCCTCTTAGCCAAAGGTTATACGCACTTCAATGCTAAAGTAGCCTCGATCGACGTAGTCACCCAAGAATAAGTATCGTGTCTCGGAAGGGTCGCCGCCAACTTCAAACAACTTCATTAAGTCGTAGTACTGGCCGTGGATGTCGCCGCAAACTGTTAAAGGGGCATCCATCTCTAGAAGATTTGGCTCAGAGCGCAGGATCTCGGTGCCGGCGTGGATTATCCATAGCGCCTGGTCTTCGCTGAGACGACCCTCCCGATACAGGTGCTGCTTAAGGAACTGGAGGTCCGGCTTCGAAGGGTCTTCGAGCGACCAAAACGACTCATCAGGTGGGGTGGTCAGGGCCGGCGCTTGAACCTCTAGCTTCACACATTCTCATCAATTATCCCATAGTCGTGAAACCAGAGCGAGCGGCGCGTCTGTGTAATTACCTTTTACCACCCGTTCGAGGGTCGACACCTGCGTGCCATCCTCCATCATGTGCAATGAGAAATCAATTTCAGGGATCGGCTTCTTGTCGGCTACCGGACGTACGGTTTTGCGATCCATCTCGAGCAGTTATTGAGAATAAATTACCAGGGCTCGGAGATCAGAGTAAGGAGGGGGAAGGCGGCAAGCACAGCGCGGCCAGGATGTGGTGACGGATCATGAGGCGGGTGCCAAGGCGGTTAATTTAGGGAAATTAACGATTACGGCAACCTCCAGGCAGCAGTCCTCTACGCAGCGGTATAGTACTAGGCGCTAGCTGCCAAAACCCCATTTCTAGTAACTAAATATTGAAGTCTTAATGCCTGATTTGATTTGGTTATCCCTATACAATGTAATGTAAATCATTTATGCTAAATGAGGCTTTTGGCCTCCATACAAAGTGAGATATCTCGATATTCTTGGACGGTTTACAAGTGTCAAAAATGAAGCTTCTCATCTCATACAAATAGGGATCTCTCGACTTTTTTGGACGGTTTGCAAGTGTCAAAAATACAAATGAAGGCATTTTTACAGTAGGAAGAGCAAAATCTCAGGTCGTAATGATCTTGCCTTAACCTAATGTTGTAGATCTACCCCAGCTGATCTGTGATGGTCCCAAGGTCGAGAGCAAGTTTAATGATTATATAATAGGGACGTGCTCAGTTTTACTCAGTGATCAAAAAGCGGCACGGGGTGAGTGCTAAAAAAGGGAAAGGCCTAAAATCTATCAAGACAAGGCTACATACCGCTAGTTGTATGATCCTCGGCCCACCCAAAATTGGGGCATAGTTGGGGTCAACATAAAATGTAAGATTCCAAATTATCTACATCTACACGCTAGAAAGTAGAACTTGATCCATACGTAAATGAAAACGGTCAATATAACCGTGCAGGATCAACGGTGCGTAAACATGTGCATACGAAAGTGGAAATCCGAATAGCCTCGCCCCTCTCCCACCGCCTTTCCACCCCCACCAGGTCTCAGGAGACGATTCGATCTTTAGCCCTTTTTCTTTATCATTTCGAGTTTAGAATTTGATTCTTCTTTTCCTCTTTCTCCCCCCTTTTTCTCGAAATCCTTCCCCGAACTCCAATCCCTACCAACTCCTGAATCTGTAAGCAATGGCCGACCACCACGAGGATGAGCTCGCCGCCAGTGCGACTGAGGGTTTCAAGGTCGGAGAGAAGAAGACCCTCGATGAGTACAACAAGCTCGGTATGTTGATTTAGTTACAATTGATTGGCAAATTCTAGTCGGTGATTTCCCAGCTAACCGTCTATCTCTCCCCTGCACTAGACGCCGACGATGAAGCTATGAACCGCTGGAAGGCCTCTTTGGGTCTCAACTCCGGTGATCCAATTGCTGATCCCAACGACCCTCGCAAGTGTATTATCAAGTCCCTGGCTCTGCAAGTCGAAGGGCGTGAGGATGTTGTTATCGACCTGTCCCCCCCCGGCTCTGTTGACAGCCTCAAGGATAAGCCTTTCAAGATCAAGGAGGGTTCCAAGTTCCACATCAAGGTTACCTTCCAGGTCCACCATGAAGTCCTGAGTGGTCTCAAGTACCTGCAGGTCGTCAAGCGCAAGGGAATCCGGGTCAGCAAGGATGAGGAGATGCTGGGCAGTTACGCACCTAACACCACCTCCAAGGTTTCCTACTCCAAGGAATGTGAGTATTTAAACCTAGTTTATTTTCAATCTATCTTTTACTGACATTATCCTTTTTTAGTCAACGAGGAGGAGGCCCCTTCTGGCATGATCGCCCGTGGCCACTACAATGCCGTTTCGAAGTTCATTGATGATGACCAGCACACTCACCTGCTGTTCGAGTGGTCCTTTGACATTGCCAAGGACTGGTAAACATGAGTTGAGAGAGCTATCTCGTTGAGTTATTAAGCGACCGTTTGTTTTCAAAGCGTGATGAGTTTCTTTCTTTGACAAAAACTGTTAGAGATGCGTCCCACTGGGCCGATGCTTTGGACCCCAGTTTTATTGTTTATGCGTCATACTGAGTGTCCATTATTGGTGTGTGATATTTTCATTTCAGATGCCAAGTAGCACATCTAGCTGTTTGTGAATGCACAGCTTTATCCCGAACTCCTGTCTAGTGCGGGGGTTAAAAAAAAGGAAATTGAAATACATGAACATTAACATCAAACAAAACATTAACAGTAACCAATGGGTATCATGAGAAGATTCAGAGATTCACAAGAAGTAGTCGACCATTGGACTAGAGCCATCCTTGATCTGCTGCTGCTGCTGGCCCAGCTGCTCAAGGCGGTGGGCATCATTTTCCGGTGCTGCGTCAAAAATGTTGAAAAATCGCTCACCAGTGTCGCTTACTTCAAGCACACTGGCAAGGTTTCCACAACGGTAACAGTAGTTGGGTGCACTCCAGACCGTGCTCAGTCGATCATCGTAAAGAACCTGGTAGCCTTCTTGGCAGAGTTGGTGTGCACGTAGGATATGGGACATGCTGTTCACCTCTAGGAACTTCCGCACAACCTGTGCTCCAAAAGTATATCCAGCGCCGCGGGGTGAAAGTGAAAATTCGTCGCGTTCCGTATCGGGGTCTGACCAGACCAGATCGGCCATAGGGCCTTCGTGTGGGATTTCGCGGAAACGGTCGATGATCTTGATCTGGTCGATTGAATGGATAGAAGGTGACAAGCCGCCATGTACACAAAATATCTCATCATTAATCACAACGCTCAGCGTCAAAAAGTCGAACATGTCGGTGAAGTAATGCCAGACATTGGCATTGCCGTATTTGCGGGCACACTCGGTGTAGAAGCCATATGATTGGGTGACGCCGCGCGACTCGTGGTTACCGCGGATAAGGTGTACTCGTTGAGGGTATCGTAGCTTGAGACACACCAGAAGTGAGATGGTCTCCACACTAAACAGGCCGCGGTCGACATAATCGCCTGTCGAGTATCTTATCAGCAACACTCTAAAAGCGAGTAATAGATGTGTTTAAGCCCGAGGCCTGCTTTCATCCTCGAACAGAGCGTTCTCCAATGTGTGACTAACCAAGGAATAGGTAGTTTGTATCGGGGCAGAAGCCACCAATCTTGAAGATCTCGATCATATCAAAAAATTGGCCGTGGATATCGCCGACCACAGTGACCGGAGCAGCAATATGTACCACATTGCTTTCCTTCATCAAAAGTTCCTTTGCCTTGAGGCAGATTGCCTCAATCACTGAATCCGCGAGCAGCTCTTTTCGGTAGAGGCGGGCGATGCACTCATCGAGATCGATATTCGCTGTGAGGCGACAGGTCAGCATAACCTCGGAGATAACATCGGGGAATCAAAAAAACATGCACATACTTGGTAGACCAGGCATTGTGGCGAGATGCAGATATAGTGACTTCAAGTCAAATGAGTGGCAATGAATTCTTCGGGATATGGTCCTTCTTATTAAAGATGGAGAGCTGTCTGTACTTCGTCACTGTGTCCAGCTAGACGAGGGCGGAGAGCTAAAGGAAAGTAATATTCAAGAGGACGAGGTCGAGGTCGAGATGCAAGATTAAAAGGACAACAATAGAGTAGATGGGCGCGTCAATCTAGCAAGCATCCTGAGTGCAGCCGATCCTCGTTTCCAGTGCGGAGGGCAAGGCTCTGGAATTAAAGATCGATGCATCAGGGCCGAACTGCGGGACGAGCTCAGGCACAGCGCGGTTAGATCTACACCGCCTTTACACGTAGTATACGCCTGAATTACAAGGCCACAATCAACCAACTGGCCAACTACTACGATATACACTTTTCTCTGCCTCCCTTCGGCCAGCAATTCGCAGTTTACCAGTAATTGCATCCAATATTCGGTAAGTCCATTGGCCACAGGTAGTGTTTCTATATATTTCAGACCGATCAAGATGATGGAAATATTAGCGCGCAACATAGCAGCTCGAGGCCAAAATGCTCCAGAAACTCCCCCAGTTGGCAAACAGTGCCCCAGAAATTGTTTATGCTTGGAACATGAGTACTTGGTTCAGATCACCATTCATATCGCGATCAGCAATAGCCCTTTCTTGGATTTACCATCGGTCTACTTCACCCCATCAATAGTATGGTTGTCCGTTTATCGACTCGGAGGTTTTTGCGGCTCCGGAATTAGTGGAAGAGGAAATATGCACTCGCCTGGTTGATGATGCGAAGACGCTTTGAGAATGTCCCGCGAACGACTCTCTTTCGGATCAGTATTGCTGACAGAAACGAACAATTCCGGCTTAGCTGGTTCTAACTTAAGAGTACCTTTCATTAATATATATATAATGCCTGGCAGATCCTCTGCTATTCTTCCCTATCGTGCCCAGACCCGAAACTAATGGCAGTCAGAAGCCTCTCACTAAAGTGATCTTCTTGAAATAATAGACTAGCAAATCCTAATGGTCTTAGATAAAACCCTGCCGATGCCTAGCCTAGTAACCAGGTACGGTCATCATCTACCTAGATATTGCTAATGGTTAGAATATTTATATCTAGCTAGAGTAGACTAATCGACGGGTCACCACCTAGTCTACTAGCACCATCGGTGATAGAGCGAAAATCTTTAAGAACGTTAGCGAGTCTTTGAATGTGAGAGTCCGGAAGAGGATCAATAGTTTCACTAGGAATGAAATCCGATACCATGTAGCCCTAACCCCCATCGTCCATAAAGATATCATGAGCCTAAGGGTCTATGACGATGTTTGGATCAATTATCTTATACGCTTTTTGCTGATTCTTTGCCTCGTAGGAGGAGATATAACGGCCGAACTTGACCACTAAATCACAATCTGGTAGCTTAACGACCTGGTTTCTATAATTCGAGCCGTAAATAAGTTGATATTCCGTATATGAGCGGTAATAGTCAATGATTGACTTGGGATTGTCTAATTGAACATCATGGTATCAGACATTAAAAGGAGCCCTGGGGTAGATGGAAAGAGTAAGAGATAAGGTTCTTTTTAGGCCCGGGAAGCGCCCCGCCCCGAACCCGAACTGGATTAGCCTGGTTCTTACATAAACTCACTATGAGAATAGATTACTTCGACATTTGTCCTCTCATCCATGCCTTCTAGGCAGAGCAGCTTTGGCAATCTAATCAGGTCTCTAGCCATCCAACGTTCATGCCTCGGGGCTATCATTCAAGAAGCCATTAAACACCCGAAATGCATCTAGGATGACAAATTGGCCATCATTCTGCGGGGTTTAGGTGATTCCCAATGGGATGTCAATTACCAACATCGCACCTTTATAGAGAGACACACAACCCGTAGTGGAGTAGCCCGACATTTTCATAGTTTAAAGTGGAGAGAATAACAGGCCCTAGTTGAGGCTCAAAGTTCAAACTTCACCGTTCATGAAGTTCAGAACGATCTTGGATCATACATACACATGTATTTACACAGTAGTGGTAGTCCTTCTGCTACCAGAGCAGACCCATTCTGTCTAACGCTTCTTCCTAATCTGGCTATTCGGCCCACCCATGGTCATCCATAACACCATTCTCAAGACTCTTTATTTTCCCGTCTCTCTTTCCGCACGGCCATATACTCGTCAACAACACCAGTGTAATCATCTGGACTATGTGGCCCAAACAAATTTGCAAACATCCCCTTCTTGCGCCGACACTTGACGCCAAGGCCATGAAGGAGTCGGTCCAGATACGGAATCCAGTCAAAGAGGGCGTACGGGTACCTCTCACCAACACCTAAATATCTCTTGCGAGTCCAGCCATTCCATTCGGTCACCTCCCGAGTAATAACCTCCTTGCTAGGGGCATCGACCTCCCCTAGAAGATAGGCGATGGCCCAAAGCGATTGGACTGCTGCAATTGTTGGAGTCTGGGTCGTATGTATCTGGCCAAGCACGACAACCGACCGATCCACGTCATTTGTCGTGGAGATAGGAACACATCTGTTGTAGAGTCGCCAACGCCGCTGTATCAAAATGCGATTGGGATCTGGTTTCTCGAAGTCCTTCGGACCTGCTGCCAAAAGCGGTAATTTTCTGGCGACGACAGCATCCGCTAACTGGTCATGGGCCTCCCAGCCTGAATCGGATTCAGAATTCCCTTGCAAAATCACATCGCCATATTGTGGGATTCCAAGCTCTTGTTTAAGCTCTGGGGAAAAGAAGCTGAAATGGTCGCCCCACCCGGTGCAGTATATCATATACTGGGCCACAACCACTTCTCTAGACCGCAAGGTGGCCCCTGCTGAGTCTACGTAGTCGATATTATCGCGTAGGATGGTAATATCGCCTTCGGGTCGGATGATCCTTGATCAAAGTCAGTCCTATACAAGGGAAGCATCTTTCTTATAGTTACTATGTCACCTTTTTATTAAGAGTGCAAAGATGATGCACCACATCGTATGCTGATTTGGCCGCACCCACGACTATAAAGTGATGTGCTTGATTCGAAAATTTGGTCATATTCGATGCGATATCAACGGTATGTACCACTGGAATCGAGCCAATTGTGAGTTCAAATGGTGGTGAGTCTTTGACTGAGGTCGTCCCGCTCGCAACAATGAGCTTTCTGGAGATTAGATTATTGCCATTGACTGTTAATTTTCACCCTAGAGGACAACGCTCGATGCTCGAAACCCAACTTTCACAGCGGATACGTCTCTTGAGATCATTGTCATCTGCATATTTATCCATATATTCGAAGATCATCTCCCTCGAGACCATGTTGTTGTCTGTTACCCCATCTTTAGGCATTGGAGCGTCCGGGTAGTTCTATCTCGGTCAATAAAATCCACCATCACTTTTGCCATCCCGTTTCACTTAGAAAATATTCATACTCAGCCTGAGCCACTAGATCGGAGTAAATCCGACCCTGAATTCACGTACCGCCAATAGAGCGTTCTCATTTGGAGATCACAAGGTTAACGTCTGGCTTCAGTTGTAGGTATGTCTGTGCAGCCTTGAAGCCGTACAGCCCTAACAGCAGTGGATCAGTTCCAGGGTATAATATAACTGTTTGCATCCGCCGATTTAGCCTACCTGCGCCAATGATGGCGACATCGAGGATGTCTCCGATTCCGTTCGTCGCAGTCGGCATTGTAATTATAGCTGATCCCGTATTCGGTGGAATTGGATATTTTAAGTAATCTAAGTGTAATAGTACGCTATATGAATATGTGAAGAGTTGTATGATTCAGAAGGATTCCCAGAGTGGTTAAACCATGTATATTGTAGGTACTGTATACTACAGACTACAGACTGGAAACACTAAACCAGCACAGACGAAGAGAATCAAGGCAACGGGATAGACTGCAACACCTGTTATTTGTAATAGCAGTAAAAAGCAAACCTCTCCTACCCCCTACGCTTGCAGCGGTGTAGTTGTGGGTGTATATGGAGTTGTGCAACTTTGCTATAGTATGCACCCTTTTCCCTAAATTGACGTCTCACAACCTATGCTTTTTTCATCCAACTGACCGCTCTTTTCTCCTTACTGTAGAACCTTTGCTTTGTACAATATCTATCGAAGAAACTTGATATTGGCCAAAGCCTGAAGACTCTGTAAGACGTGGGTCAAATTTGTATGGCGCCCAACACAGAGGGTGTGTTGGGCGTTTGGCACGATTACTCTACAAACTAACTTTTCCCATACTTCAGATAGCAAATGATCAGTGAGAAAGATCATCAACCTGCATCGCTTGGTATGCACAATGATGGAGGATCTGGGAAACGACAGATCGCACGCTACCACAGCTGATTATACCAGCCTGGAAACTCTCGAAAAGGATATAAATATAATGGTCAATGGAAAGTCAATGGAAAGTATTTGAAAGAAGAGAAAAACGACTAGTTTTTAGCACCTCTAGCATTTATCAAGATACCAACGAACGTTCCTGTATATTTCTTTTTCTTTTCTTTGCTTATTTTATCATGGTCTCTACCAACCGTGAGCCCATTGCCGTTGTAGGTATTGGATGTCGCCTTCCCGGGGGCGTCACCAGCTCAAAGGAATTTTGGGAAGTGTTGCGTCAAGGAAAGGACCTGGTGTCCGAAGTTCCGAATAATCGATTTGATGCCAGTGCCTTGCACGATGATGATCCGGGGAAATACGGCACTATCCGAAGCATCAAAGGAGGGTTTATTGACAAAATTCAATCATTTGATGCCGAATTCTTCGGCATTTTCCCGAACGAGGCATCCAAGATTGATCCACAACAGCGCCTTCTTTTAGAAGCCAGCATTCATGCGCTGGAGGACTCTGGTACTACTTTGAAGGAGGTGGCTGGATCACAGACAGGTGTCTTTGTTGGGATGTTCGCAAATGATTACCTTTGTATTCAAGCGGCAACAGAGCAACGAGACATTGTTAGCCCCCACGTGGGAATGGGCACTCATGACTGCTCAGTCGCTAATCGGGTCTCGCATCGGTTGGATTTACGTGGCCCGAGTATTACTATGAATACCGCCTGCTCGAGTAGCCTAGTCGCGTTGCATCTCGCCTGCCAAAGTTTATGGGCGCAGGAGACCGATGCTGCCCTCGTTGGTGGTGTCAATGCCATTCTTCGCCCTGAGTCTACTATATTGCTGTCCAAGGCGGGTTTCCTTTCTCCCGATGGCACTTGTAAATCGTTTGACGCGGCAGCCAATGGTTATGTCCGCAGCGAAGGAGTTGGGATGGTATATTTGAAGCCTCTCAGTCGAGCGCTCCAAAACAAGGATAGAATCTATGCCTTGGTCCGCAACTCACTTGTAAATCAAGACGGATATACGGCAGAGGGATTCACTGTCCCCAGCTTCGCAGCTCAGGCTGCATTATTGCTTTCGGTCTACAAAGATTCCAGCACAGACCCAGCCAAGGTCCGTTATGTCGAAGCCCACGGGCCAGGAACACCGGTCGGGGATCCGATCGAAGCAAGTGCTCTTGGAAAGCAGCTTGGACAAGCGCGATCTAAGGAACAAGATCCTCTTTGGATTGGATCAGTCAAGGGTAACTTTGGTCACCTCGAGGGAGCTGCTGGAATTGCTGGCTTCATCAAGGCTGCGCTCGTCACATTTCACCGGGAAATCCCCCCACAAGTCCATTTCAAGAACCCCAATCCAGCAATTGATTTCCAATCCCTCCAGCTCGCAGTACCCACAGAGATTATACCGTTAGCCTCGGATCGGCAACACAAGCTATGCGTCGGTGTCAACTCCTTCGGGGCGGGTGGGACTAACGCGCATGCTATCCTCGAAGAAGGACCCGATGATACTCGTAGCTCAAATCCCCTGCCCGATCATGAGCCGCGCGTTTACTTGCTTTCTTCAAGATCTCGATCTGCCATGGAGCAGGCTGCCAGAGAACTTGCGTCTTACCTACGACTCCAACAGCCCGCTCTAGATGACGTCGCATATACTCTCAACATGCGACGGAGCAGCCACAACCAAATATCGATCATTCCAGCAGAAGGCCTTGAGGACCTTTGCTCTAGACTTGAGCAGCTAAGCTCTGGTCAGGGAACGAAGCAAGTCTTGCTGCTTCAGCGACGATCGGGAAGTTCTACAAAATCGGCATTCGTATTCTCCGGTCAAGGTGGCCAATGGCTGGGTATGGGCACTGCCCTTGCGCAGCAAGAGGTTGTGTTCCGTGAATCATTAGCTGCCTTTGATGAAATATTCATTGCCCTGGGAGGGTTTTCAATCCGCACGGAAATTTCGTCTTGCGAGGGCGATCCAGAAAGGATCAACGAAACTACACTTGTGCAGCCGGCTATCGCAGCCATCCAAATCGCATTAGCGAGAACGTTTATGTCCTACGGACTGACGCCGGATGCCATCGTGGGTCACTCCATTGGTGAAGTTGCTGCTGCCCATATCGCCGGTGCACTTAGTCTTGAGGAAGCCGTCAAAGTGATTTATTTTCGATCACAGATTCAGAGCAAGGCCGCAGGCACAGGAAGTATGCTAGCAGTTGGAATCTCATGGAAGATGGCAGAGCAACTTATCCAGCGGCGTCACTTGGGAGGGAATATGGAGATTGCAGCTCACAATGGTCCTAAAATGACCACACTCACTGGGAGTACGGTAGAACTCGAGCAACTCGCCAGTTTTCTCGAGGATCAGGGGACCTTTGCACGATTCGTCAAAGTGGACGTACCTTACCACAGCCGCTTCATGGATCCCCTTGAGAATGAACTCGTTGCCGCTCTATCGTCTGTTCAAGGGAAGCAGACCACTATCAACCTGTACTCCACTGTCACCACGCGCATCGAGCCCGGTACCCACTTATCGGGTGAGTACTGGTTCCAGAACGTGCGTAGCCCAGTTAGATTTCTTGAGACCGCGGAAAGAATGTTAGAAGATGGCTACGACTTGCTGGTCGAAATCGGGCCACACCCTGTCTTGGTCTCTGGAACCCGTGAACTTGCTCAATCTGCCAAGCGATCGGTTAACATCTTGCCAGCCATGACTAGGGGTAATGAAATTGAGCCTTTCTCATGTGTTATCGGAGCGGCTCATGCGACAGGTGTTCATGCTGACATTCAGTCCTTCAATGGTGGCGGGGGCCAGTTTATCGATCTTCCATTATACCCTTTTCAACGCCAGCACTACTGGTACGAACACCCGGAAGCTCAGCAGCGTCGCCTTAATCAAAACCAACATCCGTTCCTTGGAAGCGTTGTCCGTCTGACCGACGAAAGCCGTGGCGGGGTGCGACTCAGACTGAGCACAGGCGTGTCTCCCTTTCTCGCCGATCACATTGTAGATGGGGCAGTGGTGTTTCCAATGACAGGACATGTCGAGTGCGCATACCTGGCAGCTCGGGAGCTCTTACCACACATGAAGATCTGGCTTGAAGACCTTAGATTTGAGCACCCTGTGATCTTAGCTTCCGCAGAAGACGTCGCTCCGCAAGTGTTGCTGGAAATTACATCTCCCGCGAATGACTTTGTGATAAGTTCGCGTTCCGCAGATTCAACCCCGGATGTTGCATGGCGAGTTTGTTCTCGTGGACGTATCAATGCGCTCGATGAGCGATCGGGGGCTGTTCCAGAGGAACTAGAAAGTGTGAGGTCTCGCGTGCAGTCCGGGATGGAAGTTGACTCTGAAACATTTTACTCGAAACTGGAACAGTCAGGTCTTCGGTACGGGGAGGCATTCAGAGGAGCTCAAAAGATTTGGCGGCTAGGGGGCGAGATTTTCTCATATACCAAGCTCCCAAGCTCTTTGCACGCTGAGGCGGCACGCTTCAGATTCCACCCAGCACTTTTGGACACTTGCTTGCATACGATGTTTGTTGATAAGGACCATCATGGTGATTCGCGGTATGTTAACCTGCCTTACCACGTTGGACAAGTGGAGATATTCGAAGCAGAAGAGCCTATCACATCAGCATTTGTGCATATCAAGGTGACGCACCGTGATGATACCTTCCTCCGCTGCAATACATCTGTCTATGCCGAAAATGGTCAAATCCTGGCCGTAGGAACCGAAATCACAACAAAGCGCATTCTGGGTCAACATGTACCACGACTGCTGGAACACGAAGTATGTTTTCAGCCTGAGACTCCGGACGGGTCGACCAGCATAGAGATTGATTTCGAGAACGTGCTTGTTCTTGAACCGGAAAAGGGGGACTTTGACTGGCAATCTACCATCCAGAACGCATTCCCCCACACTCAGTTCCATCAGAGGTGTCTGGAGGAAATTGACGTGGCGTGGAATCCCACAGAATGGGGATTCCAGTGGGACCGTCGTTTGCTTGTCTTAATTCCGGCCTTCATGCCGTGGTCATACTGCCGGAGGTTTCACAGAACCGTGGAAGTCGTGATGAAAGCCCTTCTTCGCGTCGCTACATGGCTTCAACAGAACCAAGGGCTACCTACGCTGGTGATAGTAACCAAGGGGAGCTGCATGACATCAGCAGATTCACAATGCGATCCAATCTCCTTTGCTGTGCAGGGGGCCGTGCGAGTAATGGCAAACGAGCTGCCCCGAGTACGTATCCGCTGTGTGGATCTTCCGCTCAACCAGCTTGACCAAAATATTCCATTACTCGAAGAAGAGCTACGAACGAGTCACCTCGGTCAATTCGAGAGCGTCGTGGCCATACGACCTGAAGGTCGGTTCTTCAAACGAATCGTGGCCGTAGACCCCGAAGAGGAAGAGAAACGGATCAAAAGGCGTCTGCCTGCAAGAGGGGGAAATTATTTCTCTGAGCCCGGTGTCAGCGGAAGTCTAGACAATATAGTGTTACGACAGAAATCCCAAGAACAGCTGGGACCGGATGATGTGGGCATTGAAGTGCACGCGGCTGGACTAAACGTCAAGGATATAATGAATATTTTCGGCCTGCTGAGTGAGCGAGCCATTTCTAGGAGTCTCGCAGGTCAGAATCTGGGACTCGAGATCGCCGGGCGAGTTACGGCAGTTGGTGAAAATGTGCAGGATATTGACATTGGCACACCTGTCATGGCTCGAGTGTCCCACGGCCTTGGAGGGTTTGCAACGGCGCACCGTAACCTCCTCGAGCCCATCCCGTCCTCCATGACATATTCTCAAGCTGCCTGCGTTCCACTCGCGTTCATAACAGCATATTATGCCCTGGCGTACCTTGGTAGATTGGAGTCTGGAGAAAGGGTTCTCATCCATTCAGCAGCTGGTGGGGTTGGCATCGCGGCAATTCAAATTGCTAAGCACCTAGGTGCCCGTGTTTATGCTACAGCGGGAACCCCTATCCACCGGGCTTGGGCTTTGGAGATGGGGGTTGAAGCCGTTTTCGACTCACATTCGACATCATTCCATGATCAGCTCAAGGCAACAACCGGGGGCCAAGGCATGGATGTGGTGCTCAATTCTCTTTCCGGCGCTATGTTTTTGCAATCGGTCGCATGTCTTGCTCCATTTGGGCGCTTTTTGGAGATAGGAAAGACAGACATTTATCGGAACATGAGGCTCGGTCTCGAGCAATTCGGTCAGAATGGTTCGTTCTTTGCTATTGACGTCGATAGACTGGCTGCACAAAAGCCGGACTTACATCGTCGCATGCTCAGCGAAGTCTGTACGCTGTTTGAAAACGGCAAGTTAGTCCCACTGCCTATCACGACATACCCCATCACGGAGATCTCCACGGCCCTGAAGGCAGTTTCCCGGTCTACCGTTATCGGAAACGTGGCTGTGGAATTACCAGACAACACTGAGGTTGAAGTAGCGCCACCAATTCAGCTAAAGCTCCGAGGCGATCGAACGTATCTCATCACCGGTGGTGCAAGCGGGCTAGGCCTACACTTTTCCAGGCTCCTGCTAGAGCGAGGGGCACGTCATCTCGTGCTTGTTAGCCGTTCAGGGCCAAAATTTGAAGAGGATCATGCAATCCTGTTAGATCTGCGGCGTCGCGGGGCCAACGTGAGGGTTGAGAAAGCAGATATCAGTAGCCTCGAGGCGGCAACATTGCTCTTCACCCATCGAACTGACTGGCCCCCCATCGCAGGGGTAATTCACTGTGCAGGCATCTTGGGGGATTCGCAAGCCCATGAGACAACGATGGATGAGTTCTGGAGAGTGTTCAAGCCCAAGGCCTTGGGGGCGTGGAACCTGCATCTTGCTACCCACCACATGAATCTGGACTTCTTTGTTCTGATATCATCCATCGCAAGTATTGTCGGGCTCTCGGGACAATTCGGTTACGCTGCAGCAAACCAGTATCTGGATGGATTAGCACATTACCGTCGGGCATCCGGCTTGCCAGGGCTTTCTCTGAATCTTGGCTTAATGGGACACTTTGCTGGGATGTCTGAGAAATCGGAGCGTAATGCCAGGCTCCACGAAATCCTGCATTCTATGGGCTTGTTGACCATGAGTCTTCCAGCAGTTCTGTCCACTTTCGAGCGTAGCATTCTCCACGGTACCACACAACGCATGGCTGCTAATATTGATTGGTCTATGTTCCTCACAGCATACCCTCATCTCATTCGTGATGGTGCTTTCATGGGGCTAAAGAATCAACAAGCTGAGTTGGGCAGCTCCGGGTCCACAAGATCAATTGCCAATTTATCTGGCCCAGAGCGAGTTACCATGATCGCCGATACAATATGCCTCGGGCTCGCCAAAATCATTGGCGTCGAGTCGAGCCGGGTTTCTCTCACGGAGAAGATCAGCGAATACGTATTCGACTCCCTCACTCTCACACAGCTGCGCGGAGTGATATTGCGTGAAGTTCGGGTCACATATCCTCTCATGAGACTTTTCGAAGGACCCAGTATCCAGGAGATTGCGGTGGAGCTTAACAGCTCATTTCAAAATGGGCACCTGGAAAGTCAGAAGACTGATGCTGCAAACGACATATATGAAGGAGGGACCTCTTCAGAACTGTCGACTTTGTCAAAATGGTTCATCGGCGGCAGCGCTGTCAACTCCTCCTGCCCTCGGCTGGTCTGTTTCCCCTCAATGGGGGCTGGGGCCTCTCTTTTCGCCCCTTTCTTGATGGATCCGCCAATTGGACTCAGCCCAGTGGCAGTACAGCTGCCAGGTCGAGAAAATCGATCAGAGGAAGCAATTTTGACCACTATGTCTGAGGTTGTTTCCGGCATCCTTAGTGAGATGGACAAGGTAGTGGGAGCGCCCTACATCTTTTGGGGCCACTCTTTTGGGGGAATCATTGCATTCGAAGTGATTAGAGCTCTCCGAAGACAGGGAAAACCTCTTCCACGTCTTCTAATAACCGGCACCATCGCACCACATCTCATAAAAATCTGGCAGAAGCGAGATGTCTTGCTCCAGAGCTTCAACCAGGACTACAGCCCCGAGTACCTGATGGCTATCTCGCAATATGTAGATAATCCTGACTTTGTTCGCTCGATTTTACCGATGCTGGGGAACGACGCACCTCTATTGCTGAACTACCGATTCGCCGAAGAAGGTCCACTAGATATACCAATCACCGCGTTTACCGCGCGTCAGGATGAAATGGTGTACCCAGACGAAGTTGCTGCTTGGGGCACACATGCGAAAGAGTTCAATCTTGTCGAGGTAGACGGAGATCATTGGTTCTTGCACCGGAACCGGGACGTATTGAGAGAGACGTTGGCGGAGTGGGTGACTAGATAATCCACGTTCCTTCTTTTCATATGGGGGCAGCAAATGAGAGCAAATACAGAGGCAGAAAAAATGGAAAAATGAGAGAGAGGGGGACTGGCGAGGACAGGTCTTATATGTTGGAGGGCATTGAAGGGAGGCTACGTGACGGCGTGTTGGGGCGCTAAACCCCAAAAAGCTAAACTAACTCGAAAAGGCAATTCATAGGGCTGAGCGTATCATTCAAGAGGCCTTATGGTATCATTGATACTAAAAATTGCATTCTGTTTCCTCAAACCCTCAAATATCTACCTTGACTTTGTCCCACCGCGAAGTTGCCACCCTCCCATCTTTGATCACAGCCAGAATTTGCTCATCCACTCGATCCAAAATAGTGATATCCTCCAACGGATTCCCCTTCAAGATCAAAAGATCTGCCACAAATCCCTCCCGGACCTGACCCAACCTATGTTCTTGCATAACAAGACGAGCAGCATTGACAGTAGCACTACGCAAAATCTGCAACGGAGTCAAAACCGAACTGCGCACCGAGAACTCCTTGCTTTGAGCAAAATGCATTGGACCAAGAAGATCAGTCCCGAAACAGACAGTCACGCCTGCATCGACAGCAATCTTAATTGCCTTCAATCCTTTATCAAGAACCTCTTCATTCTTAGCAGCGCTATCAGCAGACAAGAAATTCATCTGCTTAGACATGACATGCGTAATGAGCGTTGGAGTCAAGAAAACATCCATCTCAGCCATCATCTTCGCCGTCTCGAAATCAATGAGATTCCCATGCTCGATACCACGCACACCAAGCTTGATGGCCTGCTGAATGGCGCGCGGCGTATAACTATGACTCGTGACATATGTACCCGCATTCCGCGCAACAGTGACAATAGCCGTAATCTCCTCATCCGAGAACTGCACATGTTCAATGCGGTCAGTAGGACTGGCAATCCCGCCGCCGCCCATGATCTTAATAAAGTCCGCTCCCTGGCGCAGCTCCTCTCGCGCAAACTTATAGCACTCTGCTGGGCTGTCGACAATCCTGCTGATTCCGGATACAGAGCCGCCGCAGCAGAGCTTGGTGTCGTGGGATCCTCGCAAGTCGCCATGTCCACCAGTTTGGGAGAGCGCGTATCCAGCGATGAAGAGACGAGGGCCCGGAATCACACCTTCCTCGACAGCTTCCTTGATTGCGAGGCTTGCGCCACCACAGTCCCGGATCGAGGTGAAGCCGCGGGCTAGCATGGATTTGAGCACATATGGCTGCCGTAGGAGACTCATTTGTTCGGTCATGTCTTTGTAGGATCTTAGATCGGCTTCGCCGGGAACTACTGCGATGTGGACATGGCAGTCGATCAGGCCTGGACACAGGTATTTTCCGGTCAGGTCGATGACATTTTCCTCGGGGAGGTCGTCTGTGGCTGTAGTTGAGCTTTCTGTGATGATTTGAATAATCTTGCCATCTGAGATTCGGACTGTCGCGTTCTGAATCAATTTGCCCCCAACTGGATCAACAATGGTTGCGTTCACAAAGACCAAGTTTCGTTGAGAGTTGAGTTTCCAGGGCTTGATAACTCGGGAGAGGTCCATATTTGCTGGATATTTGGTCATTTTCTTCGAGGAATTTTGCAGAAATGCAATTCCTATCCAGCTAGGCAGCAATATCTCTCAGGTAATATGGTAGTACTGCTTGAAAAAAAAAAAAAAGTAATGAGGGCATAGGTCTCAGCTTTTAACTGGCAGTCCGGGGAGTCGGGGAGTCCGGGGAGCCCGGACCTATAGATAGGACCCATGTTCCGCCTCGGCTCTTTTGAGATCAACTGGTCCTGCGCTGAATTTAGTCCTTTTTTATTAGTCGCCCGCATTGGAGCTAGCTGATCTAGTCGATCCAACCAATTAAAAGCAACAAAGGACGGGGACGATATGAAGCTATTGGCTCCGTCGGCAATCAAGCTCACTAGTGCTAGTATACTAATACAAAATCATTAGCAAATATTCTTTAGACTATTCGTCATTCCTGCTAGTAGTATACTACACCTTTCTAGCCTCCTAGTACATAGGTAGCCAGCCTAACTATTCTAAATCGACGATTGCAAGAACATGATAAGGTTCAGAGTGCGTTACTAAGACGTTGCTCCGGTGGAGATCGCTATACGTAAATTTAATTTCACTATAAATAGGTAGGTCCTAACGGAACGGTTCGATTAGGATATAGTATAGATCTAGCATTAGTTTTCGGTATAGGAAAGTGAACTACTTATAGAATTCCTAGACGGTATTAAACGGCCCTACTTCCGGCATAGACTCGACGTAGAATGCTCTATCATATAGAGGACCTTATACAATGTTACCTATACGTACAGAAAGAGTTATAGGTTCACGGGTGTAGTTTAGGAAATATAGAGTTAAGCATCGTACCTATAAATGATTCTACCGGCTCCTATACAAGGTGGCGAAGGTTACTAAAGATTATTAGGGTGAAGAGTGTGGAAATTAAGAAGAATGGCAATCCAAGTTCTTATAGAAACTGGGAAACTGCAGTTGTTCCTATGGAATAGGGCCAAGTCTGTTGAAAAACACCCTAAGCGACTATGCCATGTACCAAAATTACTCTAGGAACATCATTCAATTTCATTTTCTCGTATTTTCAATATACCCAAAAGTTTGTCCGATCAAGCCAACATCTATACATGTGGCCATCATTCGAACAAGTTTAACGAAGCAGCGTCTGTGCCTCTTTATTCACAGCTTCGTTTTCAGAATCAGTCTCTTCTTCAGAGTCATCTTCCTCCGAGCCAGACTCTTCTTCCGAGTCCGTCTCCTCTTCCTCCGAATCAGTTTCGCCTTCCTCGGAGTCCGTTTCAGACTCTGTCTCGGTTTCCTCTTCCTCTTCTTCTTGTAGCCACTGATCAAGAGTCTTCTTACCAGTCGGGTCTATGGGCATAGCCGGACCGTTTCGGTCCCGGCTTGGAACAGTCGTTTTGTGTTCACGAAGTGCTTTATCAAGACGGTCCCCTGCAGTCATGGAGGTGGCGTTGCTGGATGTGTCCGGTTTCACGTCTTCGGTGCGGAGACTGGGGTCGGGTTCTTGGCCTGGCTCAACCCAGTCTGGGAGATTCGTGTAGCCTCGAAGTCCTAGGTGACCAGCATCAGGGCCGACGACGAGTGTGGCGGACCCGATGAGTAGGTCCTTGCGCGTCTCGGAGGGGCTAGGGGCGTGGGGTACTGGCTTTGGTGCTAGGAGAAGGAGGTTGGCAAGTTGGGTGGAAGACGGCGTTTCCAGGAGGTTCTTGTAGAGACGTGCGCGATCACGTAGGTCGTAGGAGATATCGTAGCGTGCGAGAAGGAGGATATACCGCCATAATAACGTAATACGGTCTTCGGTTGCTTCTTCTGTTTCCTTCGTCTCAGGGCCGTCATTTTCTTGACGGCTCTCCTCTCCCTCTTCATTTCGCTCGGCATCTTCCGGTTCATCGTTCCCGTTGTCATTCCATTCGTTGTGGAACTCTTGCTGGGCTTTGGCGGGGGCTTCGGCTTCGGGGAATGATGGCGACGAAAGCTGTTCCGGCTGTTCCTTTGGTGGATTTTGCAAGAGGTGGTGTAAATACACCTTAGCACCAAGGAGAACAATCTGCTGTTTGACAATTTCCATCTCATCTGCGAATCCTTTGATCAAGACGCGGAGGACATCAGGCGCGATATTGTTATCTGGGTCAATTCCAGCGAATTCGCCAACAAGCCAGATAATGGTGGCTCGTGCGTCTGGGTGGGTTGTTGAACCCAGGTGCTTGACGAGCTGGAGAACTGTATTTTTATGTGAGGCTGGATCTTGTTGGATCAAGTGACGGATGACGGTCAGTGCCTCTGACACGAGGTTGCCGTCTGGACTAGATATCTGGCCGAGAAGGATCCGTAGGCACATGCCTGACGTACTTGTGTCGCCTTGCGCGCAACGCCCAATGGCTCGTACACTCTCTCGTACCAGCTCGGGATCTGTGCCTTTAGAGAAGTGCTCCAGTTCGCTGATTATGACCCCCTTCCAGTGTTTTCCACAGTGCGGGAACAGGATGGTTAGAACCTCCAGTTTGAGACGCCAGATATGCGGCGGGTCGTTGGCATGGACAAGGAAATGGGCCGTGTATTTCGCAAAAGGCTTGGGGGCCCTCAGAGCAACGGCAACAATATTGTACAGAGCGATGAGTTGCATGTCCTGCGGGCTTCGTAGAAGAGCCACAAGGGGACCAACTGCTGACGCAATATATTCTGATGGAGCGAGGTAAAGGAAGCAGCGGACAACGCTGACAATGACGGCGGAGTTTCGGCTCTGCAGTAGAACCTTACAGGCTCGGAGTAGAATCTCAAGATCAGGATCCATTACTGAAACTTCGTACTCTTCGGATTCATTTTGGGTCTCCTGTTGCTGCTTTTCATCGTCGTAGAATGCCTCCGGGGCTGTGCGCTTAACCTTCTGGGTTCGGCGAGGGAAACATTTTCGCGCATAAAATGTCAACAGGCGCAACGTCGCTAGCTGACCCCATTCATCCATATCGACCAGCTTCTTGACTAAGCTGCGATAGTTCTTGTGGATTAGGTCAATCTCATCCGGACACAGATCCAAGAATGCCGCGACGGCGGGGCCGACGACGAAGTATTGCGAATCGCCCAAAAGTATCTCAAGATACCCCATCAATTGTGGCAGCGTGTTGGGGTCCAGACGATAACATTTTGGAATAGCCAAAGCGGCCGCTTTGCGCACGTGTGGACTCATATCCCCACATCCTCTCTTGATGGCCAGCGACACAATCTGGCTAATCACCGGAACCCGAATTCCCGACATAGTCCGAAGCGCCATTGTTCGAATCTGCGGGCTTGAATCGGTCAGCGATTTCTGGATCGCGTTGATGGACAGTAGTGCCAGATCCGGCTCCGCCTCCGCATGATGGACCAAGTAGATGTAAACCAGTTTCTTGACTTCAAGGTTGGCGCTGGCCACATTCTTGACAACTGCCGAAAAGAAAGTGAGGGAGGGTTCCGACCGGTACATCAACTATAACAGCAAATTGAGTTAGCCATTGCAGTTTCCATAGTTCTTGCTCACGGTCCCCGTACCGCGATGACCCTCCGCATTCCATCCAGGACTTCCCGCTCATGGCGACTGTCAAGGAGCTTCTTGATGTGCGCGGGGCTGTATGTTCGCGAAGTATAGTCGGTGCTTGAGGTCCGATTGATAGCAGCGGACTGGGCAGCCTCTAATGTGAGCTCTCGAGCTATGCGCACAGTGACGTTTCATGGTCAGTTCAGGCCAAATAGAGCGGATTGCAGCCCAAAATACCTGTTTCTAGCATCGAGGATATCCTGGAAATTGTTTCCATCTTTCCAGTTTTAAGCGCCCAGTCCAAGGCCTTTGGTTGAGGCGGAGGAAATGGGTGAGAGGTGAGGGGAGGAAAGGCGGAGCTGCTCCGCGGAAGTGAAGTGGATGATGCCGCTACTCTTCGCCCGCCTTCGATCTGCAATGTTCAACTATTTACACACCACCTGACTCAAGATACACGACCATTGCCTTTTGTGGTCGACGCATTATGAATTGAATGATGAAATGTTTTATTTCTCGTTGATGATATCGGAGGGGCAATAAGTGGGAGACTACAGCACAGCTAGTTATCTAAAGCAATGAGTCCAACATTTATGATCGCTCACTGCGATTTGGTGTCCGATCTCTTGCAGCAACTACTTGAAGGCAATTCAGATATCCATCTCATTGTCTGTGCAACCAAAGCCGAGTTCCTGGTGCAAGTCACAGCAGCCATTCGCTCACAGCGCGCTGATCCAGACACTGCCGTGAGGCATGACCTGCTTACAAAAACCATCGGGCTGCTTGCAAGATCCAGCAAAATACGGCTAGCATTCTGCCCGAGTTTAGAAAGTCTTCGGGCATACCTTGCCGTTTTCGGTCCTACTATTGGGGTGACTACCGAGGATGGATCGCTTTCCCATGACCGAAGACTCCTTGCTGTCCTTGATATGATAGCTTTGCATATTACGACTTCCGAATTCTCGGCACAGGGACTTTCAAGAACACTTGCTTCTGTCGTTGAGGCTTCCTCCAGGACGGGGATGGATCTCCGACTTTATGAGTGCATGAATGCCCTGGATCTCTCAAGCACTCTTCGGGGAAGAAAGCTATGGGAAGTGAATGTTCCTTTACTGAGCGGGTCAGTTCGAATGCGATCGGACCAAAATACCTGGGGTGGACAGGGAGTCACCGTGAAACGGGTTGCTGAGCGCTGGTTTGAATTTGACCAGAATAATTGAATTGGGAAAGACTCAAATACGCTTAATGCTGAAATCAGACATGATATTGTAACATAATAAAACTCCTGAGAATGGATTTGTACTGTCCGGGTATCCTATAGCTGACCGCTGAACTCCTGTTTCGCACATAAATGACAACCGATTGATCATAGAGACTTCTCCATCTCTGTCATGTACAGCTTGATATGTGACTCTAGCTTTAGGTACTGGTCGTGGGCTGACTGAATCTCGCTCTCAATGTTCTCCTTTAGGTCGACCATCTAGAAAAGTGTGTTAGCAATGGTTCATCCTCTGTGACACAGGGTAAAACATACCTTCTTCTCTGTCTGTTCAATGCGAATACGTCTTCGCTCCATATCGCGTTGTTTCTCCGCACGTTCCTCGCGGAGTTGTTTTTGGACATTTCTGAGTTCTTCCATGCGTGCCTGCGCAAGTTCGGCTTTCTCCTGTGCATTTTTCTGGAGTGCCTCGATACGCTCGACCCAACGGGCCATTTGACGCTGCAAGAGCTTCTCGGTCTGCTCGACCTCGCGGACGCTGTTCCCCCTGTCCGAGATAGCCTCTGCTGTCCTAGCAGCACGAGATTCCTCTTCGTCCTCTTTTTGCATTTCGGCGGAAATATCATCAAGCAATTTAACACATCCCTGCACATCGTTGGAAACCACAGTGAACGTATCCGACGAGGTCTGCAGTGCACGTGCCCGCCTCTCCATCGAATCGATGGAGGCTTTTTCACGCATCAGATTTTCGGATAGTTCTGCCAGTGAAGACTGGAGGGTAGCCGGAGACTCGAGCACATAAGGTCGTAGTTTCTCCGCTTCTTGTCGAGACCGCACGGTTCGTTCGGTCTTCTCTTCCAGCTGCTGCTGCCGCCGAGCTCTTTCCGTCTTAACTCGGTCGAGTGTTTCTGCGACTCGCGACTGCTCTCGGCCCAGTTCCAATAACCGCGCCTTGAGCGCATCGTTTCGGGAAACTTTCTCTCTCACATGCGCTTCGTTGGATTGGAGGTCCTGTCGCATCTCCCTCAGCCTTAATTCCATCTCTTGATTTTCCGCGAGAAGTTCGTCAATGCGCGATTTTGTTTTCTCTGTCTTGTTGAAGTGCTCGTCAATCACAGGTGTTTGCGATTCTCGGAATCGAACAAAGTTGATCAAGTATGAGAAGATTTTGACGAGTCGCTCGTGCGTTGGTTTTGTCAGGTCTGTGAAGGTGAAGTCATTGACACCGCACTATTTGGTACCGGAAATCATCAGCATACTCTTCAGGTCTTTGTAGCCAGCAATGAGCAAATACCTCCGCCAATAGTTTTCGGAGCATCATGAAGAAACCCATGAGGTTGCGCGTGTCATTGGGAACTATATCAGGGTAGTCGCCGCATAGATCTTCTGCAGCTGCATGCATTGCGGGCTCAACTGTCTCCCGGGTCGTGTTCATGAGCAGTTCTGCGAACCATTCGAACACCATCTGGATTTGCTGGGCGTTTGGTTTGGCCAGATCGGCGAGGGTAAACGGTATACCGATATCGTTGATGCATCCTGCAATCTCTTTGTCGGGCTATTTTACATTAGCATCAGACACCAGGTCCGGCAAAAATCAAACTCACCAGACGCATGAGGGCGTCATTCTCGTCCTCCTTTTTGCGCCCTCGACCGTGGTGCTGGGTGCCTTGGAATTGCTGGCTCATACGGTTGTTATACCCCATCGCGGTAGAGTTGCGCGACATGATAGCTTGGGAACCTGTCACCAGGCAAGGGGCTTATTAACAAAGTGGGTAGACTAATTGTTGTTGATTGGGGTTGATTGTTTACTTGGAGACAATCCCGCACACCGCCCGATCTGGGTTAGTGCCTGGAGGGGCATTATGCAAACCAGGCAAACATAGAATTCATGACTCTTTCTCTTCCTTCTACCTTGCTTTGTTCGCACTTCCACCTCATCGTCACTTAAACAACATGGCTTCTACAGTCTCAGATGCGGCTGCGGCCGATACTAAACCATTCGAGTAAGTAAAACGCGCTCCCTCGAACCCCTCGCATCTGCTCACCGTTCCTTCAGCATTGTCGCAACCTACAATGAACTCCTCCGCTCCGATGCCGACATCACCATGCCCATCGCGGCCATTGAAGCTCTAGTTCTTCTCCTTACACAGTCAGCATCTTCAACAATATCAGAGACCTTGGATCTACTCGAAAAATCCACCGCGCACCTGAAGCGATCCATTCCTAACCCTATCGGTCTCTCTGCCGGAACCGATCTTTTCCAACGATACCTCATTACCACACTACAGCGCCCTGGACAGCTTGGCCCCGCGGGCGATTTCAAAGCCATCCGCACGCATCTCTTGTCAAATGGACGGCTGTTCATCCGACGCGCTAAGGAAAGTCGAGAGAAAATCGCAGCATTCGGCCGTGGCTTCATTCGCGATGGCTGCACCATCCTCACAAACGGTGGCTCCCGAGCTGTCGCAGCGCTATTGCAAAAAGCCGCAGATGAGGAAGGTGGTCCTTCCGCTGTGCGGTTCCGTGTTATCTACGTCCTATCTTCAACTTCCCAGGGTTGCGACCACTCGAATGAAGAACCGGAGGGTATGGAAACAGTCCGTGCTCTGAGAGCAAAGGGTGTGCCAGTTTCAACAATTCCCGAGTCCGCGGTGGCATATTCACTCGGCAAGGCTGATATGGTTATTGTGGGTGCGGAGGGTGTGGTAGAGAATGGAGGCATTGTGTCTCGCATGGGAACCTACCAAATCGGTCTCCTCGCCAAGGCCATTGGAAAGCCATTCTATGTGGTAGCAGAGAGCCACAAGTTCGTTCGCTTGTACCCTCTTGGTCAGTACGACCTGCCAATTGAGCAGCAAGTTGTCGAGTTCAAGTCCGAGGAAGACCTTGTAGAGGAGCGCAAGCAGCAGGCCTCCGCTGACACAAATGGAGATGCCCCAATCAAGCTACCCCTCTGCGACTCGGTTGATTTCACTCCTCCCCACCTGATCTCTGCATTGATCACCGATAGTGGTGTCTTGACACCTAGTGCTGTCAGTGAGGAATTGATCAAAATCTGGTTCTGAATAAAACACATGTCATAGCAGAGCCTTCTCTGCTGTGCATTTCCCAATTTCTCAAAAAAGTTTCATCAAGATGATATGGCGGGGAATAATCTAATGTGACACATGCATTTCATGCGGCCCTACCATGTGGAAGGATCGTCTCAAGTGAACAAGACGGAATTTTCCCCTCTCCACACGTCTCAATCCAATGTGGATATCTATCACATTATCTCCAGTATGCAGCACAAACATAAGCTGCAGGGACGTGGGCAAATCACACCTCTCTCTATTCCTGTCGTCGAACACCTCGAATTGCATAGACATGGATATGAAATGGTTCCGATTGGATGTTGATTGACATAGCTAATTGAGCGCAAAAAGTAATAAAAAAATGTGAATCTCAAGTCTTTTAAACGAAGTACAGAATTGTAGTTTGGTCTTCCCTGGTATCAAACGCCTTCCATCAAGTCGTGCAGTCATCATCATCATCAAAGACTCTAGTTGTACCGGAGCCCCTTCGCAGTCTCGCATGTTGAGCATCATGTATGGAACCTTACAAGGCTTTGCCCTGTACATAGATGGGTTCTTTATCCAGGCCTCCTAGCCCTATAGCCAGCCATCATATTTCTTCGCTTCTCGGTTCGAGGATAGGTTGTAAGAGTAGTCGTGAATCGTGAATCATTAGGCATTCAAGTCTCTCAAAAGAACCGCACAATTCCAATCCACACCCAAGTATGAAACACTGGTTCTATCACAAGGGAACAATTGAACTGAGGCAGTGCAGCCGTTTTCTCCTAACCGCCTATCACACCACGACAAAGAGCTCAATTGGCAATTTGTTTGATGAGAGCGCATTCCTGCGTTTGCATCGCAGCGAACGCATACAGAAGCAAGTAGCCAAGAGCCACAAATATCCACAAGTCGGCCATGTTTGATAGATTTCAGTCAGAAAGTCGGTGAAGGCGAGTGAGATGTGTATGTGTGATGAGAAAGGGTTCAAGGGTGTCAGGCGACTAGGACGGAGTGGTTCGGTAAACGATGCCAGCGTTTAGCTGGAGTTGTTGTCTCCAGTATGGGTGCTTTAAGGAGGTTTGGGAATAATATCAGGTTCTCTGGTAAAACACATAGAAAATGGAACAAGAGAGACTTCATTTCATGAAATCGCATGCTCTTCAGACATTTTAAACACAGCTAGACCGACACTTGACAGATGTGATAAAAAAAATATAACTGACAGCCTTTTCTTCCGGGTTCTTCCATCCAATACGAATCGTCTATTAAAAACCTCGGAGCATGGGACTACACACAGATGCGGGGTTTGAAGATTTTTTACTTCACATGGTATTCCTTCAGATATCCATGAAACAGTAGTTGATTTATTGGGGGTGATATACCGGGGATTTCCTGTTCGAGTTATAGATCGCCGGTTCTATCACAGATTCATCACGGATGCGGGAGGAAATCAGGAAATTTGGCATATTCCGCCGGTTAGGATCTGGGGTATGATCGGTTTAAAATTATTCGGAGATTGAATCAGTCTCGTTAGTTATGTTTGCATTTTTCGGGTACATTCTCATCATTCCATGTTATAGTTTTGCGAATATCAAGCAAGTGATATAGAACTGTGCCCAAAACATATCACACGAGCCTGACATGGCGGTTTGATGAACTTTAATCACGAAAGTATCAACAGGAACCTTGAGCTTTGTCACAGTACATTGAATGTTTATTACAATGTTACCATATCGCAGTATTGGGTCTTGTATATATATCTGTAGCCCCCATCGGAAACAGGTTATACATGGAAAAGTCGTTCTCAAATTAAGTTTCTAGGAAATATGTATCTTGAAGACATCTAAATACAACATAGAATATCTGAAAAGACCGCTAAAAAGACCACGGAAGAGACCGATGAAAGACCACCGAAAAGGCCACACAAGGCCGTATAAGCGGCAAACTAATTATTATACTATATTTTGATCAAGACCCTGAGTCCTTAAACAGAAATGAATCACCACCAGACTCTGCATGACCATTGTGTCACTTGATATCAAAAATAAGGTCTAAGCCGCCTTACCTAGAACGCCTGGAACAACCGCCAGATTCCAAGTGGCCAGAAATGGGCGCAGCTGCATGTCCAAACGCCCTGAACCCTCTACATGAGAAGATGTCGAGTTGCCTCCAAGAATCAAAGTATCATGCCCCACAAGATCTAACCCCGCTCTCCGATCCCTAGGCAAACACTCCAACCTCTTACCTCCAAAGACAAGAATGCCAAAAGCAAACCCATTCAAACAAACTACTGCATCAACGCGCGAACCTCCAACGGCCCGACAGATACCATACCACCCCGCTCCCCTACATGCCTTACCTTTGACAACGCTCGACATGGATGCCCAACCAACAAGCCAGTCTCACCAGAAGCTCCACCTAGGATCCGAGACCCAGAGTCCCGGTCCCCGGTCTACATCCGATACCCACTGCCACAGTGGCTGGTCTATCCGACGTCTTCTGAGCCGACGTGGGAGCCGCAAGTATAACGTCTTGGAGCGGGAAACGAATCGGTTGAGGAAGCGCATGAGCAACTGAGTTTCTTTCACTTCCACACTGGATGGACCAAGTTGGCGGTGATATTTGTATCGATCCGGGCGAATCTGGGTTAGTGGGAAGACAGGAGAATATCCGGTTTAAGTTGGGTTTGGTGGATATCCGATCGAGTTCCGCCGTTTATTTCGGGGTCGCATGGGATTGCGGGTATGTGTATTTTTTGGCGTTTGGTTAGAATTGGCGGGTAGGAGCATTTTGGGAAGATTTTGTGTTCCTTTCAGATTGATCCAATTGGGGCTATGTGTACTATCTAACGTGCGAGTCATTGGTTGTGATGCTCTGACTTTTGTATCTTGCGGTGGCGGTTGCCTTCGTGGCGAATTCTCAATGGCCACGATCCTTCTCAGGTGTTGACTTGGAATGGAAATTACTTTGGAATACAATTTCCAAATACCATGTATAGAATTCTCTACGGAGTAGAGAGTGTAGACATTCCGTGGTCGAGTTCTGAAGAATAAGATCAGGAATAAGGCCCATTGGTGGAATATTCTAATTGCTTATGCTTATGAGAACTAAAATAAAATACAGGAATGTTGTGGCGGCTCCTTGCAGATTTAGTGGCTTCAACCCCTGTACCCGATTCATCGTTTCTTGGCGAGGCCGAACAGCGTTCTCCGATCAGACATCGAGGGGTTGTGATCAAAATGCAGGAACCATGGAACAACATTTGAATCTGAGAGAGTGGAGTGGTATAATATTGTAAACCATGGAAGCCATGTTAATGTTGCAAGGTACAGATCTGTAGGAACACGGGAGATAAGGGGAATACAATATAGCGATATAGATGGGTACATATGTGCATAATAGAGGTAAGGAGGGGGCTCTAGACATCTAATCTTAACCTTGGACAAATAATACAGGCACCTTGCAACCCGCTGGGTTCTCAATTAGATATAATTAGCCCGTGTCCCGTACGTCGTACTAGTTAGACGCCCTTATTGAATAGAACCAAGGCAGAAAGTGAATAGTAATAGATATTATAATTAGTTATAGTACTCTGTACTAATAGATGGTAATCCTATAGAAACTAAGACATCCCTATGACGAAAATGGCCGATCATTTCCCCATTCCAGTATGTGGATGATATTATTTCCAAAGTCCGTACAATAATACATATATGTACGGAATATACATATTGTACATCGATATTTAGTCCCTGCAGACTTAACTAGTTTGTAATGTGCAGAAACTTTTCCCAAATTAACGATCTTAATAGGTCCAAGTGTGAAAAAGTGCGTAAGATCGACCCCATTCCCGCGTGTCAACCCAACGAAAGGGCTCCCATGGGCTCCACCGGGCGTTTAAACGGTATCTTGGCATGTGAGAGGGCACGAGGGTAAAGATGCATACAGGGTTAGGGGCCTCTCATTTTTGAGATCTATGCTATTATACCTATTACTACTTACTATACCTTCTATTTCAATATCCATAATACATATATATAGTAAAAAGGGATTGTATTTACAGTGCGTCATTCTAGAGTCCACTAGTGGATCTCTACTTCTCCCCCACAGGTCAACTGCCAATTTCCAAAAATCTAGACTGTGTGACTTTTTTTTAGGGCCAAAGGTACCAGGTACCAGGTGCAACTGTACAAGTAAAATAAAAAATGCCAAGTCTTTCTTTTATCGCCTTTTTTTGGGATTTCTCCCTTTGGATTTGCTTTTCTGCCTTTCTGCCTTCTCTTCCTCTTTCTCTCCTTCCCTCTCCTTCCCTCTGATTCAACTCTCAACATTTCCCAACTTCCCAACTTCCCTTCATCTCTATGATGCCTATCTCACCCTGACTTCCAGTCACGTACTTCAACTCCCCTTTCCACCCTCCATGAGTCCATTTGTCGCGCCACCGCACTGACAACTGATCCGACTTATCCCTGGGCTTGTGCCCCCAAAGTGACATGGCGATATGGCCCTTTAATCGCAAGAGCAAACGGCACACCATCCAAGTGACCGGTGCCGAGGCTGCTGATCTTCATTCCACATTTGCCGAACCTACCGTCGAGCCCACCTTGGGCCGCAAATCCTCCAAACGCCAAAGCAACCGCACACGGGATGCTGCAGACAGCCGCCGCAGCTCGGCCCTCGTGCCGTCAACTCGACCTATCTCATCCCTAGATCGCCCTGCTTCCATCGATCAGTCACGGAACCCTCCACGCGACCCTCCACTCTCAAGAACGGGTTCCCTGCTGAGGCGGAAACCAAGCCAAAATTCAAATGTTCCGAATAAACTACGACGAAGGCTGAGCAAGCGCAAGGCAAATGAGATCATGCGCGAGCGGGAAATTCGTATGCTCTCATCCACCCCCATCGATATCCCCCATCCTACTCCAGGCAGCGGAGATTATGCACTGGAAAAACGCCGCCGAAAGGCAACCGGTAGGCGTGCCGACCGGTACATGTCTGACATCAGCCTCTCCATCCGTGACTCCGCCACCTCCTCCACGTCTGACATCTCCGACCCATACACCTACAAGGTCAACGCCTTTGCCGCCTTGACCCCACGCCCCATCGTTCGTTATGTGGAAGCCCCTCGCCTGCAGACCGCCAGAAGCAGTAACACACCCGCTTCTAACCGTCAGGAAAGAGAGAAGCTCCAGGCCCTGACCATGTCTGAGGAGGACTTCTACTATTCCAAGCGACGAGTCAATGAACTCGCTGACTCATTAGATGCCGGGGCTTTAAGAGAACTGCTGGATCGCGACCGTCGCCGCCGGGAGAAGAAGCAGGTCGACGACCAGGAAAGGCTTCGACGCAAGCTGCAAGAGAGGGCTGATGCTCAGCAGGCGGAGGAGCGAAAAGTCCAGGCCGCCACCCCTAACCCCGAGCCCGAACCAGAAACCGAAATCGCTCAACCAGAGCCGTCCATCGCCGAAGTCGCTGAACCCGAAATCGTTGTCCCGAACGAAGAGAGCACCCCTCAAGTTGATGAACCGACGGCTGTCGCACCGGAGAATGAATCGTGGTTGCTGGGAGCTTCCAAAGGCAGTGAGCACACTGGACGCGAATCGCGGGAAAGCTCTCGCCTAGTTAGCAATATCGATGATAGTTCCGTTCGTGAGCGGAGATTGGTTCAACGTCCTAGCTTCGCCCCGTCACAGGACATTACCATGTCCCGGACTACTCTTTCCCCCTCTCATTCATCAGTTCGGCATGGAGTCAATAGCCCAACCCATTCACAAGTCTGTGGGCCCAGCTCCGCATCGGACATCTCTAGGGGAGTTGACTCGGAACGCCGACTTTCCGACACCAGCGGTCGCCGGGGGAATACCATTACATCCCTGTTCAGACGTGGTTCTTCTCGCCTCAAGCGGACGTACAAAGAGCGATTCCATGACACTACCCCGGAAGTTTCCAACGCCTCGCATGAATCTTTCTACAAAATTCACACCCAGTCATCACCCCCTCCACCCTCGATTGTCCCTCCAAGAATTTTAATGCCCAGTGGAACCGTGAAGCGCTCTCAATCCAAGTTCACTGAACACTTTGGCGATGAACCTCTCTCGCCTCCTGATTCCCGCCTCCAGTCGCCAGATATCCCGGAGGAAGTTCTTGAGTCCTCTCTCTCGAGAGATCAGACTTCTTTGCATGGACCAACACCCAGCCCTGGTGTGGACATCAAAAATCCGAACCGAAGCCATCATCGGTCGTGGGGTTCTGATAGTATTGACACCGAGGCCGACAATGTGCCACTTTCCCAATCCCTGGCTTCAATTGATTCTGAGGGATCTTGGATGTCAGGCCAGTTTTTCCGTCGGATGTCCCAAAAGCCTAGCAGTCCAGTTCGATCGAATTTGAACTCATTTGGCCGAGACTCTGTAGAGGAACCGGCAGATGCCTGCGATGAGATAGAATCACTGGATGAGTCTCGCTGTCTTAGCAGCAATGTCCTTGAACCGGAGCTCGAACCGGAATCTGCAGACAGTTCGGCAAGCCACCCCAACCCTGCTGAAAGATGGCACAACGAGGTTGGCCGTCGCGCTGTTCTGGTGAATCCAGTGATCCGCCCCAAGTCTACACAAGGAATGCTCAGAGGATATTCCTCCTTGACCCCCATCAATGCAGAGGAAGATTACATTATGGAGGAGGCGACTCCTCCGGAATTGCGGCGGATTCCCAGCGCGAGAGCCGAGATTGGTTATGCCGAATAGACTGGTTGGTGATCACCATCATCTAACACCGGTCAAACTGGATCTACCATTTATCATTATCGAATATCTCTGTGTCATGGCGTGTCAGACAGGTACTATTGGCCCGTCGACCATCGCCATGACTAAACGCAGTCTGCCACCCCTTTGACCCTTTCCTTTGACCCTTTCCTTTGTCACTTCCTTTTGTCAATTTTCCTTTGTCAAAATATCCATCCGTGGGCCTTGGATTTACTTCTTGGCCATCTGTACGATTCTGATATCCCCATTGCCCTGTATCCCATTATTGCCCTTGCGAGCTCGTCATTCTGATTCGATCTGTTGATACCCCCTCGTCGCCCCATGTTTTATCTTTACCATATGCATAAATTCTATTTCTTATTCCTGTTGAATACATAACTGATAAATCCTTATTCATCTTTGAGTGCTTTTCTTGCACATAGTTGGCGGCCTCTGACCTTTTTGATCTACCTTTCTTTGCTGTTAAGACATATTCTTTCTGGCAATTTACTGATTTGAGTTTCTGCATTAAGCAGTTTTTAGCTTACATGGAGATATAGTCATGAGCATGCCATTTTTGAGGTTCCCATCAAATGTATTTAGTCAAGCTTAGCCATGGCCTGTTTTTATATCTAATATTATGGTCTACATTCTTCATATCTTTTAGCTGCTAAGAATTTTCCCTATAAATTACTATATAAGAATGCTCTGATATGTCAATATGTGGTTTTATTGAGGTATAATTACCCGTTGTATATCCCGAATATAGCCAGGGCTGGAGATAAATGCTGACAGTTCCAGACTCCATCTTATTCGTAAGCAATTTTGGGACCCGAGGTTGGGGAGCACGTCATCCCCTGTCGGCTTCACCTCTCTTAGATCTCCAAGCAAACAATTGATATCTACCATTACGAGTATACAACAAAAAGTACTGACAAATCTCATCATGGTAAGTTTCTGCAACCTTGCAGCCCTGGAAAAATCCCTGTCAATCCCCCGAGCAAGCACCAGAGACTTCCAGACTTCCGGACCTCCAAACCCGTGGACCTCAGGTCCAATTATTCAGCGTCTTACCTAAGCTCTGCTGGGAACGTCATCGCCCTATAAAAACCTAGCGCCCCTCACTCTACCCCTCCAATCGAAATACTTATATCTACTCCAGTTCAAGCCTCTTTCAACTCCCAGATTCATCTCCGGAGTCCAGCGCACTTTCAGACCCTTTTCTTCAACACCTATCCCGCGCTTCACGCCTTCTTCTCTCAAAATGGGTGTCACTCCTATCACCTCGTAAGTGTTGATTTTGCTCTATCACTTTCGCATCTGCACCTATATCCCGGAATATTGTCAATATGCCATATCCTACATATCCCTCCTAGTCTCCATACTCATTTTCCCGTTTCGCAAACACCACAAACACAATCTAACAAATTCCAGCGTCGAGGAGTACAAGACCAAGGTCACCGATGCCACCGGTCCCGTCGTCGTCGACTTCCACGCCGTCTGGTGCGGTCCCTGCAAGGCCATCGCCCCCACCCTCGAGAAGCTCAGCGAGGCCCACACCAACGTCCAGTTCTACAAGGTCGACGTCGATGATCTCGCCGAGGTCGCCGCTGCCAACGGTGTCTCCGCCATGCCTACCTTCCACTTCTACAACGGTGGTGAGCGCAAGCAGGAGGTCAAGGGTGCTAACCCCCCTGCCATCCAGGCTGGTCTCAAGGCTATTCTTGCATAAATTTGAAAATTGAGATTGGGATTTGGGCTTTGTTCATACCCTTTGATCCTATGTTTTTTTTTTAGAGGGATGGGCGATCTAATTGAATGCTGAATACATACCGTTCACTAAAATTTGGTCTGTGGTGTAGACTTTGGTTTTGTGAAGGTGTTTGGTTTTGGAAGTCTGGGATAATTTGTTGTGTTGATGGTTAAAATACGTAAATAAGAGTAGAGGTACTTTCAATGTTGATTTTGGGTTGGAAAAAGAAAGTGTACAGAATGTAGTTCTGTCTTACAGCTTGCATGCAGCCCGATCGACAGATCCCTGTAAGCTGCAGTAAAATTCCCCACAGTTTGTAGAACGATCGTAGAACGATCGTAGAAGAGCTTTAGATGTCTAGTATGCGGATCGCTTGAGTCCTACCATGGTATATGCTCCATTGCCATTTGGATATCAAATTCTGATTCCATGTTTTGATAATTTGTATTCTCAACATTGTTAAGGGGTATGGGAGATACACATATTGTGTAAAAATGGCATAGCTTGCCTAAGCCTACAGCTGGGAGAGGCACATGGTAGATAAATCCTTATGTGTGAAAAGAAGCCAAATCTGAACTGCATGGCGCAGATGTGAAGAGCCAAGAGGAGTTGTGGTTAACGACAAACAATTCAATAGCTGTCTATATAAACTATAAACTGCGAGCTGTTGTAGCTTTTCCATCATCTTTCTCCCCCATCTACATCCTAGGTTACTAAACATAATGGCATCACTTACTTCAAGTATGGATTCTGATTTGACCACTTGTGAGGATGAATTTGGCAGGGAGTTCCTCCCCAAAGCCTTTCGCTCTAAGAGGCTGCAATTCTTCAGCTACAATCCCAGAGATCATGACAAGTTCTTCAATTCTATTCAACAGTATTCATCTTCAATCATCAACTTCTGCGCATCAACCCCACGACCAATGGACCTCAAATTCACCTCCAGCGTTGCCAAACACATCCAAAGTCACATTTGTTTGTGATTATCTATGGGGCGTACGACGACGACTACGACGAAGATGTTGAGCCTATTGGTACACTTTTCTTCGACTCATCCCCTCGAGATATGGCCCATAATCGATGCTCTAAGCTGGGAATTGGAATCCTAAAAGGTTTCGACGTCATGAAGCCGAGGCAGTCAACTGGGGTTTGGACTGGGGTTTGGACTGGGCTTTCAAGAGTGCCGGTCTACATCGGGTGGAGATGCATGTTCCATGCTGGAACATGCGAGTGGGCGTGTTATGTGAGGGGCTTGGGTTTCGCACAGATGGGAAAAGGAGGGGATGTTATTACAAGAATGGCGAGTGGTGGGACGAAGTGAACATGTCTATTTTGAAGAGGGAGTGGAGGCAACTTCATTGCTAGGAAGTAACCTTGGAAGCGCATAAGTTTCAATGACAAGTCTTGATTTTTTGACTTTGAGTAATTTCAGTAAGAGTAAGCGAGAAAGAGGAATGTTGAAGAAATCGAACTGATCTATACTAAACCTTGAATAAGCGGCTTAACATCTAATTCTCCCCGAAACCATGAACTGTGTAACCCCATTACAACATTCTATTTGACCCATCGCCACGCGGTTGACAGGAGTCAGTTCGGTCAATTTAGCTTAATAGAGAATAGTCGATCCATCACATCCACCTATATATTCAGTACCAAGGTTACCACGAACCTCTCCACCACATTAAAGATGCCGAAAAAAAAAACTTCAGGCAAACAGGCGTCTAGCCCCAAGTGTAAAAGATGCCTATTGAGCCGAGGGTATCTTAGTGGACTTGACAAGATCAGAGTTTTGCCTTTATGGAGACAAACCTGCTTCCCAATTTTTGTGAGGAAAAAGCCAAAAAAAAAAAAAGAACTCTGGGGGATGAGCTTTAAATCCGGGAATTTTTAATCTATATGCATACATCTATGTGGGACTTAAAAGTGGTCCATACTATTTTATCTTTTTTCGTGTGGCTTTGGTTTCTCCGAGGCAAATAAATTAATTAAAGACATTGCCGACAATATATCTGATCTTAGCCGTGTGATCAGGGGCGCCCGAATTTCAGATTAGGGCCCTATTCTTTTGTGGCGTTCGTGTTAACGCTAATGTGATTGATCTAACTCGATATTTAACCTACACCGGACGAACGGTCTAGTTTCTACATTTTGATAATTATACTTTGTGAGAGAGGTCCGAATGAACATCAAACTGTGGGGCTTCTTTCTTTTCTGGATGTGTAGCTGAATTCGCTTGTTAGCTTTCTCCGAGGCTCCAAAAATTAATCTAAATAGAAGATCCAACCGCAATTCTTTATATTGTATGGAGTAATAGAAGGAAAAACAATATCGGAGACCCCCGTCAAAACCCTACTTTCCATGGTTGATACAGCCCCATCATCGGAGTTGTATCAAATCGAGATAATAAACCCCGATGCTTACGGGCCATTGGCGTTGGCTTAGGCCTCTGATACGCTTAGAAAGTTACCCCTGCCCACATAGTTCTCTATCCGCACCGATCCGATCTAGATCACCAACGAATGAACATGCGATCCAAGGCATCCTCGGTTGGGATACCTAATCTATTAAAGCTAAATGGGGCTTTGGGGCCTTCAGACCCCTGTTGTTTATTCCATACTATTGGATTAGATTAATTTATTTTACTAGGATCAGCCTCGGCAGACACTTTTGGGGTTTTCTTTGTGTAAGTTAGAAGCCAATGCAGCTGAATGCATGGCCCTTTTGGTGGAGCTCACATCTAGATCGGACTAGGGCTCCATCGTAGTACACGTCAATTCATCTAACGTGGACTCGGAGGTTTCTGATTGTACCGTGGATCTATAATATCCGGTTTGACAGGCGCTTGGGCTTATAAGATGTTTATCTCGGGCCCTGTTCCACCAATTTGGTCTTTGGATTCTTTTATATCTGTTTTGCTCTCCATAATTATACTACCAATCTCTTCATGTCGCATTTATATTGATTAGAACAGTCGTCTTCGACTATATCTTCAGCTATACCCCACCCGTCAATGCCCGAATAACGAAAACACCATTACCTATTTCTCTCTTTCTTTCACAATGTCGACAGACAACAATGAGCCGGTGGTGCGTGTCACGTACCTGGCGGGCTACATAGTCCTCTCTTATGTGATCAGTGCAATGGGATGCGCAACTACATTGGAACTACTCCACCGGCGGACATCGAGGTCCGGTCTATTCAACTGGTATGTCCTAAACCTCTCTACCAACTCCAGCGTTCAAACATGTAA